GGGAAAAGAGCGCAGGAACACGACCAAGCGCGCAGAACAAGGACTCTGTCGCGTCATCTGGTGGCAGCTCTTCCTCCGTGCAAAGTGCAACAAGCGCCGTATCGGAAGTAGAGCAGTCGGACCAGTCCGACCTGGATTCGGAGACTGGTGCCAGTGTCGCCTCGAGTACTTCGAGCAAGGGTCCGAAGGGTCCCAAGAAGAAGCGGTGGGTGAAAACGGGGAAAACAAAGACGCGGACGGTAAAAAGAATCATCACACACAAGCACATTGTTCACCACCACGATCATCACAAGGAGGTAGAATCTGCAGACCACGACGACCACGATGCGCATCCGCACGAACCAGAAGTAAATGTGGAAGGCGATAACAACATCGTCCACGGCAGCGCCAGCGGTCCGCCCGGCGGCGGAACAAGTATAAATAGTACATCAAGCCTCCCAGAGGGCATAGACAGCACGTTTTGCCCGCCAGAGATCCTCGCCGAGCTGAGCGAGGCCGAGAAGACGCTGCTGCAAGACGCGGAGCGGGCCCTGGTTCTGTGCGGGTTCGAGAAAGCGCATGCCAACCATCTCGCCAAGAAGATGGGGGCGGTCCCCGTGGAGTGGCACAGCCCCGAGACCATCACACTCACCGTGTACGAGCGCAAAGTCCTGTCCAAGAACCTACCACACGCCGCCACGTGCACGAATCTGGAGGACCTGGCGCACGAGCTCGTGTATGAATTGTAACAGTATCGTCGTTGAATTGGAATGGATGCATATGATGTTGCATCATGACATTTTTATTCGTAAGTCAGCTTTATTCTTTTTATACTTGTTGTTGGGAAAAGACAAAAATTTGCAACGCAATTTTCACCAGTGCGATACTTTTGCAATGCATATTGTGGAGCAGAATGCCGAAATTTTTGCGCCGTACCGCGCTCCCGACTCGGCCCTGGTGTCCCAGGCGGAGCAGCTGCATGACCAGAGCCATCGCTCGTTCCTGTTTGCGAAAATCGCGGGATTGCCCGCCTCCACGAACGCGACCAAGATTCTGTCGTCTGCAAGTGCAGGACCAGATAGTCACCACAAACTACTAGCCCAGAAAGAGAAAGCGAAGAAGAAGCAGCACGGCTCCACCTCTACTTCGGGAAAGAACAAAAAAACGGGCGAAGCTGGTGCAGATATGGCATCAATAAAAGGTGGAACAATCTCAACTGGAACAAAGTACTGTGACTGTGCTCATATTTGCCTTTGCATCAAGAAGGGCACAAGCAAGTTCACTCCTTGCAGCTTTGCATGACAGATCTTGCGCCGATTTTATTTTCCGTGCGGTTTGGAGTTGAATGTTTGACTTTGACATGTGAAGGCATTCGTTTCGAGGAGATCGAGGGAGACTAAATACAAGATCGAGATCCGCATGTTGCATCAGAAATTATTCCACTTGAGATTCTTCCACATGTGGCTCGTTCCATAGCCGAGGCAGATAGCACAACGACTACCACCAAGACAAAGGTGAAGACTACCAGCACCTCTATTAAGGGGCACAAAAAGCACGAAGGTGAAGCTGGAGGCACTTCTTCTAGCAAGAAGAAGCACAAGCAGCAGGATCATGAACATGACTAATGAAGTAGGCGACTAAAAAAACTTTCACGACTTGAACAAAACCCAAATTATTTGGGACAAGATTTAAAATGTAAAATTCCACAGACTGACGTTTGAAATTTTGTCGCCACCCCCAATTATTGCTAGAAGTATTTCTAGCACCACTTACAAATTTGATTTCAGTTTCACAATTTTCAAAAAAAATGCTCTCCGAACAGTTTCAATTTTTCCGTTCTTCTGACAAACTTCACCGAAGTTATTTCTTAACAATTTTCACATCCGAAGCAATACCGAAGTAGCACCGTAGTTAAGTACTTCTATAACAATTTTCACATCCGAAGTAGCAATATGTATTTTCATCTGTGTGTGGCCCGTTGTTCACCGTCTGTATAATGTTCTTTCCTTCCCCTTCGCTGGAAGAGTCCGGTGTCCTCGGCCGATTCTCAAGTTTCAGTTTCACAAGTTTTCAACTTCACAAAGTTTATTCTCTCCTTGAATGTAATTTGTTAAATGTTAATGCATCCAGTTGGCTTGAATGTCAAAGTCAATGTTATTGCTCTCGTTGGTAACTGTATAATTGCGACGTTGTATGATTGTCCGGTTGATGTTCTGTTGACGTAATTTTTCAAGAAGTTTATCGTTCGACCAATTAAAAATTGAGAAACGGCGCGATTTTTACATCTACAGCTTGCTCAGACGGCGCTGGATCAGTGTTCCATTGTTTCGATTGTTCTGTGAACGTAATTTGCAACTCTTCGAGGAGGGCTGGACGACCCCGACCAGGAGTGAGCGTCTTCAAATTAAAGTACTCACAGTTGCTCCTGGCTATTAGCACTAGCCCTAAGAACGACCGCGTTAGTTCGTCCTCTTCCAGTCGTAATAGATATTTCGCCGACCGCGAATTGTCGTAGTCGTTCAAGACTACACACGCACTGACTGCAGATGCGCAGCCGCTTCAGTACGACGATTTCGTTTGTTAGAATAGACTGAGCTTGAGCAGCTCGCGCCATGATACAAAGTGAAAAAAGTTTTACTTATGTTGGATACCAAGAACTATTCCGCACCTGCTACGGTGAAGCGCCACGGGGGACAGGGATAACAGATCATTCCTCGTTCTTCTCGACTATCACAGCAGCGAATACTGGTCCAGCCTGACAACAAGTCTTGGTCTTCTACTTTCACCACAGATGATTCCTCAACCGCCGCGATCCCTGTCCGTCATGACGTTCGACCGGTCGCGGAGCAGGGAGCCCCCGCCGGTCGCGAAGTCCGTATCACCGTGCACAACACCTCATCTCCCTTGGTCCGAACAACGGTGTGACCAGCAATAGGGACAGCCACAGGTGGCACGCCGCTTCTGCATCTTCACAAGTGCATGGACGGATTGTATTTAGTACTTACTACGGAGTGGCTGCTATGCCTATGTGTACAAAGTTGTCATGCAACGGAGGGCAATGAGAACGACCGGAGTTGGTTGCATTGCACCACCAGTAGGTGGGGGAGAGAGACGAGGAGAGTTGTGCATTGTCATAGCCCGATCCAGAGGACGACAAACTCTACCAGGTTTGGTGCGCATTGGTTGGACAGGAACAGGTATCCTGTGCAAAAAAATTGTCGCGTAAAGAAACTACAGCTCAGTAAATCAAAATCGTAAGAAGTTTATTCTTGTGCATGTGCCTGCAAAAAGAAAAACAAAAAGTTGCCATGCCCCTTTCCAGATACGCGATGCTTTTGCAATGGATGTCAGGATAGCAAGTACGATCCGACCGGAAGCAACAAAGTTGCCACCTTGCGGTTTTTGGACTTCAACCGCTTTGAGCAGGTACTCGCGGACAAGTACGATGCCGGTTATCCGAAAAAGAATTGTGTTGGTTGTGCTTGCGCAGATGATGTGTATTCTATTGCGGAAACAAAGGATAAAAAGAAACTAAATTGTTGAGTACAACAACTCCCAGCGGCGCCGGCGCATCACAGGTTTTCCTTGTCATACAGAACTATTTTGTCAACATGCCCGCCTAGCACAACTAATGAAACACAGTTTTTCTTGGATACCGATACCAGCCGTCATAAAGGCAGTAGTTCAACCGCCACCGGCAGTAAGGAAACCGCGGCGGCCGGATCCAGCCCCTTGCCCCCACGCGAGGAACTACAGGGTGATCAAGGTGCAGAGAAAGAAGTGCACGACGAGGGGGCGACGAACAAGCAAGATTCAGTTCCACCTCAGTCGTCAAGAAGCAAAGCGGCCGCCCCGCTCGGTTTGTACCCGGAGGAGCGAAGGCGAATCTGGCAGGCGGTAGCGGGGACCGCCAGAAACAAGGTTTCCTACGCGCAGTTCAAGCAATCCTTTCACCGCGTGCAGTTTTTGCGCAATTTGTTGAACAACCTGGCAAGACAGAAGTTGCTAACCAGGTTTGTGATTCCGGAAGGGTACGACTTTTCCAAGCCCACTGCGGAAAACTACAGTCTACTTTTGCGAGGAGATGATGCGAAGGGCGTGACAACTTCATCTCCCGCTCCACCAGCACAATTTGTCGGGCTCTCCAAAGAGGAAAAGCTGCGACTGCTCAATGCGCAGATCATGAGTAGTCCGCTCTTCGGCTGCATCCGCGCCGATATGGACTACGAGTACCACAGCTACTACACGAAAACCCGGATCGAATGGCAGGACACGCTGATCAAGCACGTCATCCTGAAGACGGAGCGGGTGCACCGGCCCTGGCTGATCTACTCGTGCGGTCCGATGGGCGCGGGGAAGGGGCACGTGATGCGGTGGCTCAGCGTGCACAACTACCTGCCGATGGAGCAAGCGGTGCGCATCGACCCGGACTTGTTCAAGCTGGTCATGCCCGAGTTTGACCAGTACCTCTCCAAAGGGTACCAGGAGGCAGCGGGCACCCTGTGCCACCGCGAGTCCGGCGCCATCCAGGAGATCTGTCTCGAGGCGGCGCTCCGGATGAGCCAAAATATTTGGGTCGACGGCAGTCTGCGCAACACGGACTGGTACGTCAAGCAGGTCGCTGACATTCGCGATCGCTTTTATCCAAGAAGCAGAAAGTGAAAACCGGTGTCACTTGGCGTGACTCCTTTTCTTGAAAGAGTAGTATAACACGAATAAATGCATTCAACATTGCATTGTGCATGATAGAAGATACGACAAATCGTCATGTATGCCATAGCCTCTCGTAGTACTAGGCCATCAACGAAACACTACTGAAAATGGCCTTCGATCCAGGCCGAGCATGAGAAATGTAGCTGTCTTGCAATTGTGGTTGGCATCAACAGCGACGTACACTAGGTTTTTTTTCTTGGATAGGTTCCCGCAGTACCGCATTGCCATCTTCTACGTCCACTGCTCTGTGGAAACGGTGCGGAAGCGGTAGAGATTCTGTTTGCCGATTTGAATTTCGTTTTTTGTCAACTATTGTATGAGAAGGCACTTGGTATGATCTGCACCCAAACAAAATCTCAAACTACATAAGCGGGCTACCTATGAACTTAGGTCGTACAACGTAAAAATCATCGTAATTGATGAGTGCGCATCAAAACCACAACGACACTCGTCCAAGCAACAAGTACGTACATGTTTATCATCATTATCAGTGTGATTGCGCGCAGCGAGGCCACGGGGCGGTGGATCCCGGACGCCGATCTAGACGAGAGCATCTCTGGAAGCAAGCGGTCCGTCGAACGGCTTTCCCCGATGGTCGATGTTGTCGCGCAAATCCGCAACGAAACCACACCAGAACTGGAGGCGTTGCTCCGCGTGGACCGGAGTCAGGACTTCGTGCGGCTCGGCTCGGTGTTCTCCCAGGACCTGGGGAAGATCCGCGAACGGCAGAGCTACCCGGTCTCGATGAAGGCCTTGCGGTGCGTCCGCGTGGTGCCCGCGCCGCAGGTTTTTCTCTTGCCCCCGACCGCAGCCTCCTGGGTGGATCTACTAGAAGACGGGGGTCCGTCCGGTACTAGCGGTGTACTATTTATTTCACCACGCGGGGGCACAACGACTGCTGGCGAACAGGATCGGGACGGCAGTGAAGTCAATGTAGTTCCGGCAGTCAGCGCAAGATCCGCCATCCGGAAAAAAGTCCTCGACGCACAGCGGCAGTTTGCGCGGACTATTCGTCGGCTGGACCGGAGTGAAAATTTGGTGGCCTACTTGAACGGCCGGCTAGTGTACGTGTCCCCCGTGACTGTCGAGGCCGACGGTGCACTGACTGCTTTCGTGTGCGCGGCTTACGAAGAGGATAGTACTATGGGCACTGCTGCTACTACTTCTAGAGCTAGCCCTTTTGCTCGAACAGAAGTGGAAAAAATAGTACCCCCCGCAATGAACGTCGCTGCCCTGCGATGTGGCGAGCAGGAAAGCAAATCGCATGTTGCGAGCGGTCCGCCTGGGCATCTCGAGCAGAAAACCAACGTTTCTGTCGCAGCGGCAGCTAGACACGACCCTGAAGACGTCGAAATAGGAAAAAATGCGGCAGGCGACGACCACACCGACGAGATGTTCTTGAGCAAGAATAACGAAGACTCTGGTGCTCCTGCTGCTACCGCACCACAAAAGGAGCAGACGCACGCCGATACCAACGCGCAGGAGTACATGAAAGCCGCACTCACGTGCCGCACCTCGCGGCTGGAAGCCTGGTGGGCCGAGATCAGTGACATCGCGTTCCCGCCCCCGAAGGAAGAGGACGCCGACGACGCCCGCACGTCCTCCAAAATGCAGCGCTCGAGCTCGAGCCCGGTCTTTGTGCGGGGCACAAACTCTTCTACTCGTACGGAAGAAAGTCCCGAGCCCGGGCGTGTGGCGGAGAGAGGTACAGCTGGTGCTACTTGGGACGTTCTGGGCCGTGGAACTGGAACACCCCTATCGTCGGAACAAGTCATTTTGCAGCCTACTAGAAGCCGCCCGTCCGACAGTGGTGCAGGGGATCTTCGTTCGGAAATGTTGCAGCCGCGCGGGCTACAAGTGCAACAGGTAGGTGACACGAAGATCAACTCAGGAGCATTAGACGAGACCCCGAGGAACCAGAAAAGCGCCAGCAGCGGGTCGAGCGGGGCTATCCGCGAGGAGAGCGACAGCGAGCAGGTCGGCGAACTGGATGGGGTTCTGCGCGGGAAGAAAACTACGGCGGTGCAAGACGAAAATGATATCGAGGCGATACAGCTGTGGGGTCACGGTCAGGTCGTTGCTAGGTAGGTAAGTACTCAGTAAAGAAAACATGGACATTAGCACTTGCGTCGATCGTCGCGCCCTCCCCGTTCAGGAAAGTTTTGAAAGTGACAAAATAAAACTGTATGATCACTGAGGAGTACAACGATCTGACCATGGACTCCAAAAACATTTTCCACATCAATAAAACCACGGCCCCTTTCCCCTACCGGTGTGGGCAAGCATGCGCTGCGCAGCCTGTCGAGCTGGCGCCACACCGGCTTCGACCTGGCCGCGCGGCGCATGCACTTGCGCTCGAGCAGTCGGCGGAACCCCTTATTTCTCTCGAACTTGACCCGCACCCGGACCTTTTCCAGTAGCGGCGTCCCGCGCAGCGGCGCTCCCCGGCCGCCGACTTCCGGTGCGAGTGATCAACAGATTTTGTCGAGCCAAGGGTCCTCGCCGGGCCACAAGATAAATCGGCGCTCCTCGTCCGAGCAGCCACCTCCGTATGGCACTACTAGTAAGAACTTCGGTCCTTATAATTTATCCAGCGATCAGCCGCTAGAAGGACGACCCGCTGCGACCCGCAGCACCGGAGCTTTTCTTCCTGCCCAACAAGACGAGAACAAAGATCGTCCCACGACTACGCTGCAACAGCAGCGGCAGCAGGAACAGGAGCAACGGGAAATGCTTTTGTTTTCCGAGACAACTTCTAGTTCTACTTCTGGGTCTGCACCAGCAACAGCATCCCCACCACGGCTGAATCTGAAGCGCACCGTGATCGCCATGCCGCCTGCACTGGACGATGGGTGCGCGACAGGCAGTCTGGACAGCGAAGCAACGTCGGGGCGCTCCGAAGATGCAATTGGTACTTTTTCATCTTCCCTGCTATTCCCAACAAAAGCCGCGTCCTCCCTTGCGCAGGAGTGCCCAGAAGACGTCGAGACATCAGCAGGGAATGCAACGCAGGAGCCCGAGATGAAGAAGACCACGACTTCTCTCACGACCGTGCAACAACCAGTGTACAACGCCTTCTCGAATGCGGCCAACAGCAACACTAAATCGTGGTTCCGCACGGCACCGAGCGCAGAAATTTTTGGGTTCTTGCGCTACGACGGAGCCGGTCTTGCGGGGCTGTCGTCCCGCTCAGCATCTTCGGATTTCCTGTTCAAAACCGACACGACGTCGACGACCCGGGAAGACTTACTGCTGAACCTCGAGCACGAAGAACAGGGCGAAAGCGACACCTCCGATGACCACAGTGAAGCAGAAGTAGATCATGACGCGACCACTTATGAAACGGAAGCACAGACTACAGCAACAGGAGAAGCAACTACAAGCCAAGATCAAGACAAAGACAGTCCAGCTGTTGATGCAAATACGAGGAAGAAAACGGGTGCAACATCAAATAACTACGGAAATAAAAACGTATTGAAAAATTACACCCCGGATAAGACGCTGAAGACAATACATGCCGCCGCACGTATGACCCGCTCAGACGTTACAATCTCAAACGTTACAATAGAATATGGGAATCTGTGACGCAAGAGTGCATGATCTAGGCAACCCTCATACGATTGCGCATGACAAGTTCCGGAGCCCCAAACCCACCTGCAATCCGGCAAAATTTGTATTGCGAAAAGCTTAATTCTCTCTGCGTTCCTCATGCTCTTCATGCAATACAAGTTCCAGATTCTATTGTAACGTTTTAGATTGTAACGTTTGAGCAGGCCATAGCACGGGTCGAGACACGAAAAAACGCTACCGCTTTCTCGAAACGCAAGTGGTTTCCGGAGTTCTACTATGAAATGCAAAAATGTCTAGGCCTACAAACTTGTAATGCTAGAAGTGAATGATAGACGCGCCGCAATACGCAGGTATGCATGACAACTTTTGTGGCTGCCATGTCTTACGTATTGCGCATGGCAAACTGCCTTTTCGCATGACAGTTAAGAGGGCTCTTTCGTGCCTATGCAACACAGATTCTCGAGTCATGCCAGATAAGCATGACAAACTTGCATTCTTCCAGACCCAGACACTTTTGCATTTGATATCTACGCGTACGAGGCCGTGGCCTCCGAGCCGTTGTCCCGCGCCACCAGCCGTGGTGGTGTCAGCTTGTTGCTGGCGAGCGAGCCCGGCGGGGGACCTGCCTCACCTGCTGGAGGCGGCGCTTTCTACGATGGCCCGGACGAGGTTTCTACGATGACCCGGCGAAACTGGAGCACGCGGACGACGGACGCATACAATAACGTTGTTGCAGGTGACCATGTTGATGGGCAGTTGTTGTACCAGCATGACGACGAGAATGATGGCGACAGAACGGATACGGCAACCCGCGAGTCCTCGATCCTGATCAACAAAGGCGTCAACTGTGCTTTGCCCTACCGCCCGCCAAAGAGGAAAGGCGGAACGCATGACGGAACCTCCAGGCAGAACGTCCATGGCGGGGACGCGATAGCAGAAGAGACCGGCGAGCAGACGACTGCGTCGCGAGTAAGTAGAAGCAGGGGCATATCAACGGGAGGTGGAGCAGGGGGCGACCACAGTAGAGGTGCGGTTGTTGGCGAATCCTCTACGACAGCAGGGAATTATGCCATGAACACTGCGGCGTCAACGTTTCACTTGCCGACCATCAAGTTCGGCAATTGGGAAGTGCTGCGGCCGCACTCGGTCCGCGCGCACCGCTTGCTCGTCGACGCCATCGCGAGTCATGGCAGATTTCTGTGCTCGCCCGGGGATGGAAATAGTACAACTACTACAGGGGTTTTTGATACTTCTACATCGGCCGCCACTGCTGGTCGTGGTCCTGCAGTGCTGCAGCAGAATCTCGCCGTAGGACGAGAGCAGGGATGTGAGCGAGATGGCGACGAGCAGGATTTCCCGCCACATTCTTCTACTAGTCGTGTCAGCACGAGCAGCGACGGATCGTCTGGCGGGGTTCTCAAGTCTGGACGCTTTCATGTGCAACAGCAACCGAATAGAGGCAATGTCTCTACTCTTCCCAATAGGACCACCACACCAGCACAAAATGCCGGTGTGTCTACTGCGAATGCTTCCGCTTGCTCTCCTCGTCGTCCCGAAGGATCCTCACCTCGGAAAGTCGTTCCCCTGTCGGAGATTTTTCACAGCACCGCTGACGGAGACCCCCACGAGGACCTCCACCAGCGGGATAATTTTTCCTGCGCTTGGGTGCTCCCCGGGGAGCACTTTGGGATAGACAACGACGGTCAGGCGACCGGAATGCTGGGCGGCTTTCTCTTTCGCACGGTGAGGTGGCCCGAGGATGGCATGAAGCATGATATGTTGGGTGGTGGTGCGAGATACCAACACGGTGCTGCAGGGAGTGGTGGTCCTATGACTGATTATTATTTCCTGCCCGTCACGGAGCACTTCCTGGAGATGCCGTTTTTCTAATCGTCGGAGCAACCCGAGGCGAGAGGGAACTTTTTCAAAAAAAATGCGGGTTTGGTCGTATTTTTTCTCTTTTGTATGATGAGAGGTGATCGTGATATTAGATCGAAACAAATCTTCAGTGCCCAACGTTTCAAAATGTTGCTGAATAAGCCTCTTCTTGTAGTTGCTTCTGCATGACTTCTCGAAAGAAATACTAGCACGCCCATTCCGGTCGACGACAAGGTCGTTGTCAGACTTCCGACCTTTGGGGGCCGCCTCACGCAGCGGCGAATTTTTGTTCATGTTCGTGACCGTAGCATCAACAAATAGAAGGCAACCGAATCGCCGCGACCTCGAACTTTCTCCTCCACAAATACACAATCAAAGTGAAGATCATCATGCGCCGTAGTGCGACGAAGAGCACGATCCCGAGATAACGAATCAAGAAAGATGCATCGGTGCATTGTTATGCTCATGATTTGACAAGTACAAGATCGGTCAGTAGATGATAGAAGAACTTGTAGACGAACAAAAGATATCGCTAGAAACAGTGCCTACTATATCGGAACTAGTTCACGACCTTGCTATAGGCAAAGAAAATTTGTACTCGTATCGGTAACCGTTGGGTTGTGTGCATTCTATTGATTGAACTGGAATCATTTTGCGATCACTTTTCCCATACGATACCAAAAGCACTCGTTCATCGTACGCTCGGTAAAACTTTTTGGACTCGGTAGTGGATCAGAGCCAGACGAACCGGCTTCGTGGTAGGTTCTGGGAGGGATTTTTACTTCGGTGTGCGGAAAAGTGCAGAAGCAGTTTTGAATCTCGAAATTTAAGCTGATGCGTAAAGTAATTGATGACAAAGAGAAGACCCACGTACGACCGACAAGACAAACTAGAAGTCTTGAACATCGAGCAAAGTTTTCGAAAGGGAAAGGGTCGATAAGTAGTGCTATTGTGTAAACCACTTATCAGGTGACTGTACTTATAGTAACAACATGTTCCTGTATATTCAGATTTACAAAAGCGACTGAAAGTTACATTTTATCACCCTGACGACCTCGCGGTTTTTTTTTTATTTAAGTATCATTAATAACTGACACTGAGAAAAACTAAAAGATCTTGATGAAAAACGAGAAAAAATGGCTGCGAACACGCGAAGGAGGTCCTGCTGCTGTCGGTTTTTGGATTGGTGCTACAGCGATTTAGAGGTGGTGAATAACGATGTCGAAGACCTGTGGTTCAACGAGCCCCGCGTCTGCCTCCGCAGCTGGCCCTTCTTGCTCGCCTTCTGCCGCGTGGTGAGTACCATCGGCTACACGCTGGCTATCGTGCTGCCTTTCTTCAGCACCGAGGAGCTGTACCGAGCCTACTTGCCTTATTTGACACGAGTGAATGTCATTATCGGCTTTCTCTTCTACATCCTGCTCTTTTACCGAGACCGCCGGCTGTACCAGCAGGCGTGCGCAATCAGCCTACTGCGGGACCATGAGGACCAAATTCAGGAGACCGCTTACCGGGCTAGCGTGTTGACGGGAAGCGCTAGTAACGCGCCTGGTCAACAAGGTCGTCAACATTCATCCGGGATGAACTTTTTGCGGGCGAGCCAGGCAATCCCGCTGACTAGCTCCATCAAGTCGCTGCAGGACGCAGAGGAACTGCTGCTGAGTGAGGAGGGCGTGCGGCAGCGCACGGCATCCGAACTGCTCCAGTCGGGCGGAACAATGGCAAGAAGATCCTCTCAGGTGGCGCCGGCTTTTCAGGATGAGGGGGACCATGCAACAGCGACTGCGGCCGACGCGACCAGCAACGTGCTGCTTCCGCGGAGCTTTAACCACGTGCGCATCCATCAGCAGGGCAGCTCGAATTTGACGCGGGTGATGCGCCTGCTGCAGGAGTGGATAGTCGTCATGTCCTTAATGATTTTTGGGTTCTATTGGCTCTTGATCTACAGCCCGGCCAACTTTGCGCCGGTCGGCACGAACGCCGACCAGGTCCGGGAACAGCAAACCGACCCGTCACGGTCGCCGTTGGACGCAATGATGGCCACGCGGGTGACCTGGCAGGACCTGCGCCTGCTGGAGGCGCAGGAACGATGGATAAACACCGCAGCGTTCTACCAGGCCGAGGCGAATTTCGGCGCGCGCGTGCCCCCGATTGATTTATCAAGTGTAAAAATGTCTGGGTCTGGAAGAATGCAAGATTTGTCATGCAGATTTTCCATGACCCATGAGGTCTGGAATGCAGGACCTAGCATGACAGATTCTGCGCGATCTCTCTCATGCCTATCCTGCATGAGAAACTCCCTCCCGACTTGGTCAAAACTGGACGACTTTTGGTAATCATGCAACACAGATTTTTAAATACTTCAGATTTAGCATGACAAGTTGCATTCTTCCAGACCCAGACATTTTTACATTTGATATGATTTCCAAAAGAGCAACTACTCGCAGCCCGTCCAGTATCGTACGAAAAAAGTGTTTCACTGTAAGGATTTTGCAGGTTTTGCATCACAAGTTCGTTCTACATGACAGAGAAAATTTGCCATGCAAGCTTCCTAAGAGAAAACACACCTAAAAATCCAGTTCCTTGCATGTGTAGCAAGACAAATACTTCTGTGTTCCATTTTATGCATCCCAAGTTTACAGTGAAACAGTTTTTTCCTGTGATATCCAGCCGAATTTTCTCCCCGATAGAAGTTCTTCCACCTCCGCGGCGCGACTGCCGGCAGACTTTACGACCGTCGCCAGCTTTTCCGCCGTCGAGGCCCGGGCGCCGCTGCTGCTCGACGAGCACAACCCGATGCTCGATCCGGAGAACGACCTAACCCAGGCCCAGCGCCGGGAGATCGTGGACCGCGAGCGGACAGAGGCGGCCAAAGTGGCCCAGGAGTACGCCAACAACGAGGACGCGGACCGCCAGCTGTCCCCGACACCCACCGGCTCCTCGTTTCGCGCGGTCGGCAGCACGAAGCAGGAGAGGTACCCGACGGCCTACAAGCTGTACAGGCTGGGCAAGAGCATGAAGAGCCTGGAGTTTTGGATTTGCCTGTTCGAGCACGCGCTGATTCTTTTCGCGGCCACCACGGAGTTGTGCCTCTTCCAACACCGGTTCCTGACGGGGCGGCTGGTGCTGCTGCTGTTTCTCGCGCTCACGTGGCTCGCGACCAACATTGCCTACACGCTCGCGCTGCGCACGCCCTTGTACGCCATGCTCGATTGGGGGACCAACGTCGGCAAGGCACTCGCGTACGTCGGCGCAGTGCTACTATTCCTATCCAAGAAAAAAACGTTGTTAGTGTAACTTTTTTGCAGGACGAACAGCATCACAGATTTGTTTTGTATGACGGAAAACCTGTCATGCGTAGCTAGTAAGCGAAAACACGTATATGTATTAAAATAGCCTCTGACGCATATCCGGCATGACAAGTGGAAGTGTAACTGTATTGCAACATCTGCAAGACAAAGTTGTTTTTTTCTTGGATAATTCCTCACCCTCGTCTACTACGCACTGCTGTGCGCGCACCGCTCGCGCTGCCTCAGTGCCAGCCCGTACTACCCGAGGCTGACCGGTTCGTCGGGCGTGCCAGCCGGTGCGGGCGACGAGGAAGATCAGGGTTTACTGGACGAGAGCGAAAAGGAAGAAACATATTGATTGCGGAAGAACAAGAACAGTATTCAATTCTTGAGCAGAGCTGGACCTGGAGCCAATAAAAGGAACTACCGCGCTGTGCCAACATGCCCCTGGCCTCTAGGGGGTTGAGCTCGAGTGACGTTGCACGAGCCCCATACTAATTAAGGTAGGAAATGGAACTTTGTCTTTGTAGTAGCACCTCTACTCCAACTTCAACTTAATCTTCTTTGCAGCTTTTAGTACGTCTCTATAGTATAAGTTGTACATACTGATGTTGCAATTGGTATTGCATGCAAGAGGAACGGCTCCTCTTCTACAAGAAAAACTTGGACAAAATTAAAAGCCATATACTGCCATAGAAGTAGCGATCGCTTATATGTACACTATATGTTGTCCTGTCTTATCATGTGAAAAGCAAAAGCCTCGACCTCGAGTGGTCAACCGTTTTCTGCGTGTAGAGCTCTCCTCACCAAGCACCAGAAACGGCAAGAGTAAAAACGACTGGCGGACAAGCAGGAGCACCAGACGTTTGAAAATACGCATGCTTGGGATTCAGAACTACACCAAAGGTTTTATAGATTACTATTGCAACACCATCTTCAAGCAAACCCACTTACTCGAGCGATTTTGCAATTTGCAACATGAAAAACAACTTCTGATCTACCAAGTATCGATTGGCTTTCTGCGCGGACACAGGTTGCAGCTGCAACAAACTATACGTACAATGCTTTCGATGCAGACTGCGCAATTAAAATTGTGCTCTACGATAGAAGATACGTAGGCTTAGGGACGTAAGTGCGCCGGCGGTCTGACGATTCAACTATACCTCGAACAATCTGCGCTTGTGTTTCTGCATTGGTTCGGCGATGATCAAAATCTATCTTCTTCGAGATGCAACGCGGAGAGCGGATAGAGAAAGAATTGATCAAGTTTAGATCGAGTCATCACGATCACCCCTTGACGGGCCTCGACCCTGCGATCTTCTGCTCGAGCACTGTAAGAAGGAAAAAAGATCAACCCCACGACGTGATCCTTTTGATCCCGATTGCGAAAGGGTCCAGTGGCGCAGCTAGGGCGGTCTTTGTGCTGCTGGTTCTAGGATCTTTATCTGCAGAGCCGCAAAATACATATTGATTCTCGTCTCAGATCATTTCCAGAATCGTCCTGGTGGTGCACCATGATTACACATCTAGCAACGACGATGGAAAATCTTCGTCTCTAGTACTACTGCTCGTGATTAAACATCGTGCTTCACTATCTATAGCCAACACGTTTACATGTAGATCGGAATTACATGCGAAGAAATTTATTGCGATTGTGAGGACTAAGGAATTTTTCAGGCTTCGAAGTGTCGAGTTAGCAGTAAGTGTCCCTTTCTAAGAGTAATGAATTCTAGTAGCGTATAATTCGTGGAGTTTGCTGCACCGTTTTTGGAGAAAGCAATCAGGATTTTCGGTTTTGTTGTGGTAACTCGATTCTGCTATAGTTGTGTTTACTGCGGTTGCGGTACTACGACCATGGCAGCTGCATTTATACATTGCATAGAGGTGGAACAGACCGCTTAATAGGGTTCATAAAAAAAATTGAATTTCCTTTATTTCCTCGCTCACCGCGGTCACGGCCTGAAGATTAAGCGAGAAGCGGAGAAGTTACCGATTCCTGCCACCGCACAGAAGTTGTAAATAGAAAACTACGAATAGCAAGTCGAGTGTCAACGGAGAATAAATTGCACCAACAGCAAGAACCGTCTGCGGCTCCGATCCCGGCACAGCGGCGTGGCCTACGTCATTTTTGATCCAATTGAAGACCGGCTGCTGGTGCCCCGCAGCGGTGGCAGTGCTGAGTAAAAGGTCCGGAGGTGAAGAAGAAAAATCGGGGAGACATCATAAAAGTAGGGATGTACACCAGAACTTCTAGCAGTAGCACGCGGGCGGGACGAGGTGACCCCGAAGTAGAACGCCAGCACAAAAGCTACAGCAGCCGACACATTCAGGAAAGCGCGTCTACTTTTCGTCGCGACGAGGCGGCGCAGAAGAGCCAAAGTGTTGTCCTCCTGGCGCCCTCAACTACATCTAGGGCAACATCATCCACCTCCACCAAGCTGGTTTCCTCCGGAAGGGGAAGGCGGGATGATGTGGACACTGTCCAGGAGCCGTCCTCACAAGCTTCTGCTCCTCTGCTTGTTCTTCCGCCGGTCGTCCTAGAAAATGAACCAGAAAAACAAAATGGGAATAAAGAGGAGGAGGAAACGACACTTCTTGAGCAGACACACCTGTTAAAAAGCAGCACAGGAGGGTTTTTCTCAGAAAGAACCCAAAGGGACGACGAGGACGAGGGGAGGAACACTGCAACTAGAAGTTGTAGTGGAAACAAGGAAGAAACTAGGAAGAATGTTGACCCAGCAGGAGCAGAGCAAAAACGAGGAGCACGAGGATCTTCGCGAGAACAAGGAGGATCTACTTCTTGGCTCGACCGGTTTTGCTTTGGCGACATGCAGATAGCGGAGCACGATCCGGACAATCTGTGGTTCGACGAGCCGAGGCACTTTGTCCGCAATTACCCGCTGATCTTGGCCTTCTGCCGACTGGTAGGCACGCTGTCCTACGCCTGCGGGATTTTCATCGTGGGCATCACCAGCGAGAACTTTCTGCCCAAGGCCTACGCCGCGTACTTGACCCGGGTCAACGTGCTGGTCAGCTTCGTCTACTACCTCCTCCTCTTTTGGCGTCAACAGAGACTCTACCGCAAAGCCTGCAGCGCCAGCACGCTCGCGTACTGATATGTGTGGAAAGCATGTTTGTTTATACAAAAGAAATCTTCTGCGAACAGAAACTTAATGTTAATAAAGCCATTGAAGAACTTTCGAATGAATTTGCAAACGTGCAGAAGATTACTCTTCTCTAGTAATTTGAATTTCTTTTGCGTAAGCCACCACATAATGAATTGAAAAACATAGGTTTTGCGTTCGACAGGAGCAGCAGGCGGGTGCGGCAACATTGCTGCACGAGATAAATTCGGATGGTGAAAACGAAATCAGCTACGACGCAGAACGAGGTGCCGCGAAAGGAACAGCTCCCTACGACGTAGTAGATCTTCAAAGCAGCCAGAAAAGTGCACTTTTTCTTCCGGAAACCGGAAATCACGACATGCCGATGAACAGCAATATTATTCAGGAGCGCAGACGAAGTAAAGAAACTCCACGACCACAACAACGACTACGCAGCGGTAGCGTTGAGCCAACTACAGTAAAAACTTTTCGCGACGATGAAGAAAAAGACCTCATTCTTGGCGCCACCCACCACGAAGATGATCTGCAACACGACAAGAAAAACTCCTCCGTTAGAAATACACTGTCAAGTTGTAGGCCCCGCGCCAGCCACCAGCTTGCGGAGCAGGCCTGCCAGGCGGCGCACGAGATGGTGGAACAGGACGAGGTGGAGTTGCAGATCCCGGCGAGACGGCAGGACTTTTTCATGCAACTCCGCATCCAGTCGCACGAAAATTCGTCGCTGACCAAGGTGATCCGGGTGCTGCAGGAGTGGATCATCATCGTGTCGCTCTTGATTTGCGTCGTGTACTGGGCCGCGTTACACCGCGCCTCGGAATTCGACTACATCAGCAGCAACTTTTATGTGCGCAACAAGGTGAGCCAGGAGGGGTCGTTTGCCGCCCAGCGGATCACGGTGGAAAACCTGCAGGAGATCGAGCTGCTGACCGAAATGCGGAACCTGGTGCAGCAGTACCACGGGAAGGCGAAGGCCGCCGCAGTGTCGGACTTGCTGCTCCTCCAACCCACGGCGTTCTATCCGACGGCGGTTGAGTACGAGAGCCGGGCGTATACGGAGTACAATCCGCTGGACGCGAACTTCATGAGGGAACGCGTAAGAGACACGCTAGCGGAGTTCATGCGGAAGCAAAATTTTGATGACGGTCAATCGAGTGGTGATGTTATTGAACAACCAGGACCCGAGCCTCCTTTATTTTCACGATCTCCTGCAGGTCCATCTCCGTGGGCAACAAGCAACGTTGTGCTGGACTTTTCTGATGTAGCACCACCGTCGGCCTCGGAGGCGTCCCCATTATCACAACAAGGTCCTCGAAGATCTTCGCAGCACAGAGGGCAAAGAGGACCACCTGGTGGTTCGTCTGCGTCGAGAGGAGGTGGACAGGGCGGTAGTACCAACACCCGCCAGCAGCGCAGCTTCAACGCCGCGGCGTTGCGGCAGCGGCGCGAGAAGATGCTGGGCGCCTTGCTGAAGCGAATCGCCACCGTGCATGCGCATTTGCAGCTGGTAGTAGATGAAAACTACAGCAACACAAATCCGCCACTTCTGCCGGGCGAGGAGCCCATCGAGGATCTCACGCGGCAGGACATCCGACAGAGGTTCAACGTGGCCAGGAAAATCGTGCTGGAGTACATAAAGTTGTACGACAATAATTCGTATCAAATGTAAAAACGTCTGGGTCTGGAAGAATGCAACTTGTGATGCTGCCTCTGCATTCTAAAAAAATCTGTATTGCATGACCAGCAAGAGGAGTTCACTTTGTGCTACATGGAGACGGTATTTCTCATGCGGAACAGGCATCAGGAAGCCCTCGAAAAATCTGTGACGCTAGGTCGTGCATTACAGACATCGTGGGTCATGCAAAACATGCATGACAAGTCTCAGAATCTTCCAGACCCAGACATTTTTGCAATCAATAATTCGGACAAGGACCAGGCGCAGCAGAAATACCCCCTTGCCAAGAAGTTGTTCGACAGTAGCAAAGCAAAGCGGCGGACCGCGTTCACCTTGACAGTACTCGAGCATGGGTTCATCGTTTTCGCAAGCCTCACCGAGCTGCTGCTGGTAAAATAATGAACAAGACTATAGTTGTGTTACCGCTACTTGTTCCACTTTAGCTTTTTTCTTTTGCTCTTCAGTATCTAATATCATGTCTATGATCTTCTCGATTGTCGTTCATCTGTTTTTCTGACCCTTCAAGAATGAATCTCTAGATCCCTGATACAAACGCAGGTGCAGCAGCGTTTCCGGTGGGGGCGGTGTTTTCTGCTGATTACGATGCTGGTACTGTACGCATTTGTGAACATGATCTGGACCTTCGTGCAGGGTTACGCGATCTACCCGCACCTGCTCGACTGGCGACAGGCGCCCGCCGTTGCGGTCGCCGTGGTGGTCGCGCTCGCCGTGCTCTTCTCCGGAATCTACTGGCTACTCATTTGCACACACAACCCACCGGGAAGCAGAGGAAGCTGTTGCGGGGGACGGAAGAACAAAGAACCGAATCAGGCTAGTGAGACGACCTCCGGACACGTTGATTCTACCACACGACTCGAGGAAAATATCGAATACGACGGGAGGGAGCAAGCCACAGCTGCAAGTTGTAATATGCGTGTAGAGCACAGAGGATCGAAACACGAACAGGGATGTTATGACAAAAGAGGCGACTCTGCCTCTGCCTCTTTCAAGCGACATCACAGTACGGACCCGTTCTCAGGACCACACTCCGTGACCGAAATAGATCAGGAAGACGAGCTTGACAGGACGAGCACAAAAAACTTTCCCCTTGCCCCCCCACGCTTCGAGACGGATCGCGAGCCGCTTCTGGTCTAGAGGCGAAATTAGTAGCTCGATACAGCAGGTCGAGTTGCGACTTCCCCCCACAGAGGCATATACTGTACGATTTCTGACGACGAAATTTTGAAATTATGCACTGCTGCGTATGCTTTTCCATTTGGGCAAGGACAACTTATTGATTACTATGGATCTACGCATTCGCTTTGATTAATACTGCATCGCGGCCCTGACTTTACTTCCCGTCGGAAAGACAAAAAGTAAACTAAATGGCAAGATGCATCTAGGCAGCTGCGAGTGATTTGAGCAATTGTCGAGATTCATGCGATATCTCCTGCAAATGTGCCTAGGGGGACCCGATGAAACGGTATAGGCTAAAGCGAACAGGAAAATGAAAGAGACCCGAGGTAGCCCCAACGGTGCCGGTAGTAAGTACAACGTAGTTGGGAAATAAGTAAATGCTCTACCAGTGCTGGGCCTCTACGTGAAGACGAATGAATTAACTTATCATGCAAATTGAATGTTGCCCTGTGTCCCCCAGCATCGCGCCCTGCACATGAATGACGTGTTGTGTGTTGCCTTTGCAGCCGCCTTACTTCTTAAGACTTTACCCGAAATGGAAATTCAGCGACTTTGCTTCTACTGCGCGAAATAGTGTAGTGTTAGTTCCAAGGCACCTCCACGACCAGAACGAGACTGAACAGCAGAGTTGAGCGCTCCATCGTTGTAACTGGAATGAGGCCGATTGAAATTTCTTCACTGATGAAATGCAAACAGGCAAGTGTTCCATTCCGAATGACTGGCAGACAAGGCTTGACTTGTGTGAATTTGTGTCCGTACTTGGTTGCGTTTTTTTTTCCGTTTCGTCTTTCTCCAGCGTGCACTTGACACCGAAAAAGTCTACTGCTATACTAGACAGATTTTTTTACTACTGCTGTTGGAGCTGGTACTGCGGTGTCGCAAAACCGAAAGAGCCATAGCCCTTTACTAAACCGGAACCACCAGCACGTCGGCCACTGACCAGACAGATCGGGGTCTCGCGCCGGCGTACCTTGATTATTGTGCGGAAAAATCATGTACTTCACTCCACTTACAAATATATCTATTAATTGCTAGTACTGTTAAGCGTCATACAGGCATAGTATCCCATTGGTACCTAAGCTCGCAAAAAGTGCAACATCTGGCGTCGACACGATGGATCTAGTGTGTCTATAATATCATAAGAAGAGTATTAACAAGAGAACAAACACGATGATCGTACATTATACCGAGCAATGGTAGTAGTGGTCGCGCTCGCAGCTTATTACATGCGTAGTAGCTGATCATCAAGTAGGAGCTGGAGTGCGCATGGAACTACCTTGCGGATGGATCTCGTTAGGCGATTTGAGGCATTCAGCGTTGTTGCGTAAAAAAGATCTTAACCTTTAGATGGCAAGAATTATCTTGTGGAACAATTGCCTTTCCTTTCTGGCCACGGTGGGCGTAGAATTTTTGTCTGGTAACAACATGCGTAAACGGTATGTAAAAAGGTGAACTGTAGCGCGAGCAGCTTTTTCAGACAAGCGCGTTGGAGTATTTTGAATCACGATGCTTGTTGTCAGCGACCAAACAAGGAAAATTAAGCCTGTTGTTTTACTCGGCCCAGTCACATCAAACACTGGTTCACAAGAAGTAGTGTTGGGCGTTAGTTAGCACACAAGCTTAATTATATCCTTAGCGACAACCAATTCATAGTACTAGGAATTTAAAGTTCCAATTACAAATCAGAACGCATTCAAAAATTTCTAGTAGCGAATCATAAAGGCAGCACGGGAAAAACTTTTTAATTTAGAAACTACGTTTTTTTATTCCCCCGCGAACGACAAAACAAATTCTACGAAATCTGTAAGATTAATAAGTGAAGAAAGTGAGTTTATTTTTCAGTGATTTATTTGAACAGCTTCGTGAAAAAAACTAGAAAACGGCCGCTTTAAGAACCTGCTCGGGAACAAAGCTAGGCGAAAAAAAAGATTCTGACACAAGAACTACTTTGGCGTTTTTTTTACGTCACAACGTGATTAGAGAACTTTCCCCGAAAGAGCCCACCCTCTAAGTGGTATTCAAAAAAAGTAAAACAAGTTGGCTCATCTGGCCGCCCGTGGTCCCCTTCAAAAATAGATCCCAAGCCGTTGAAAATAAGTATTCATCTCTTCGCTCTACTACCCCTGTTCGAGACACGCTCGATCGATGAAAACAATTATTAGCGTACCCCTCAAGAAGTAAACTATCACCCTGCACACGAACGAACGAGTTAGAGTTTTTGACCCGAAGGAGGAAAGATTTCTTCCTGTTTTGTTTATTTTACCTCGCCCCATTCTTCAACCCTCGTTTGGTTTCTTGGTACAAAAAAGCCGACCCAGTAGCTAGCACTCTTGTACTACAAGATTTCTGCTTTGGAAGTGAGTCCTCCACCGCAAGAATAAATTCAGAATGCAGTTTTACTAAACCACCGAAGAACCCCAACCAACATAGTAGAAAGTGTCTGATTGAAAATAAATCATTCAACTACATTCATAGGGGACCACGACTTTGAAGAGGTCGTAGTTCAGAACGTTAGGTCGTATAGCATAGCACAAGGAGTCGCGGCAAGAATTCATAGCAGCTTCCACACGACATAAGATCATCTGGCGGTTCGGCGGGAGAGGCATAGTTCGTTCTGTACATTTACATTGTAAATCCACGACCACACGGCTTATCAACTGCAAATATCGACGACCACGACGACCCGGGTTTGGAAAGTTGCAATGCTAGTATTAATTTCTTTGTCGTGCAGCAGCCCAAACATGACAACAAGAAATGTAAAGGGCTTTTCTGATATATTATTCCGCAATTTTGCGTTCGTTGTAATTGCAACATGCATGACAGAGTTCTTCCAGGGCTTGATGCGTCGAGCTGATCCTACCACTCACAGCTTCAACTCCAAGCATTGCAGCCTTCGAGGCCCCGTGATGATTTTCGAGATTTGCAGTGCATACGACAAGAAGGATCCGACACATCCGACACATCGAGCATCGAAAGAATAGGCATACGATTGATCATCTTCACGAACCACTTGGGAAAAAGTAGTCGTCTACACATCAGAAGAACCGGCAAAAAGTACATCTTCGAATAGAAGCATCATCCGACTCGCGCGGAGATCATTCCCATACTATCAAATGTAAAAATGTCTGGGTCTGGAAGATTCTGAGACTTGTCATGCATGTTCTGCCTGGGCCATGATGTCTGTGATGCATGCCCTAGCATCACAGATTTTTTGAGGGCCTCGCGATGCCTATTCCGCATGACAATTGAAACGAGGCAGGACCACCTAAAGACAGAAGTTAGGACAGAAGAGCGAAAATTCGTAGCGTATTGCAATAACGCCATAAGAGCAATAGAGATGGTGAAGAAACAGCAACACGAAGGGAGTGGAGGAGTGTGCGCGTGCTTGCTGGATTACGACGAGATGAAAGAGAAAACGCGGGGGCTTCTGCGGAAAGAGCAAGGGATAGCGTTAGAGCTGCAGGAGGAAATAGAAAAAGCAGAAAAACAGATTCCGGGCTTAACAATAGTCAGACGCTGGGGAAAGCAGAACGCGCCAAAAACCCTCGAAAAAAGAGAAACACAAGGGGGCTATACAGAAGCGATACCCTTAAAGGTAGCAAACGTGTCGAAGCATGATGATGAATATGCTGAATGGGTTCAGTACGATTTCGGCGAAAAAAATGTACCGACAAAACCGATCTGGGAATGGCCGGAAATGTCAAAAATAGAAAGACAAGTGTATACCTACCGGAAGATTATAGGAGACGAAAAGAAAGACGGGAAGAAAGCGGAGGAGGGAGGCGGTGACGGCGAGGACGACAGAAGGAAAGACAGCACAGGAGAGAGGAAGGGGAAGGAGGCAAGTAGCAGCGCGAAGGTGAAAGCTCGCTGCGGAAAAGACCCCAAAGGGAACACTGCGACGACAGACACGAGCAGGGAGATAGTCAGCGGGTCATTAGCAGAAACTATCAGAAAAATGGTAGAAGGAGAAAAGATAAGAGCACAGAAAGAAGGAAACGAAATGCTGCAGAGGGCGCTGGACATAATAGGAAGAGCCACAGACCTACTAGAAACAGCCGAAGACGTTCCATTAGAATCTCGCGCGACGTCGAGCAGCAGCAACAGGAGGGACATGCCGGAAATAACAGAAGAGCGAAAGGAATCAAAAGAAGAAGAAGAGAACGAAATAGAAGAAGATGTGTATTTCTCCCCGGCGCAGGAGTACCAGGGAAGCCGCTCAGGATACGTGTACAAACTCGGGCGCTTTGGCATGGGGTATTATAAGGATCAAGGACCGGAGGAGGCAACGCGGGAGATGTTCCAAAAAATTACGATAGGGGGGCCTGGAGGAAAACTGCCTAAGAGGGAAATCTCGAAAGAACAGAAAACAGTGAAAAAAGAAGTCACAGGGGATGCGACGCGACAAGAGAAGAACACGCAGCAAGTGCGCAAAGTGGCAGAGGAGGAGGAGGAAATAGAAATGACATCACGAGAAGCAGAAGAACCAGGCGGAGAGGGGAGATCAGGAAGTCTGAGAAAGAAAACCGCCAAAGACATAAGCGAAACAGTGAGGGAGAAAGAAGATGAAAAGGAAGAGGAAAGATTTCCAACATTGGAGGAGCTGAACGAGAGGGACCGGAAGCGGGACCGCGAAGAGGCAGCAGAACGGGAGGAGGAGCGCAAACGGCAGGAAGAAAGGAGATCTATGAAAAGACCGAAGTATGATAATGCATTACAGGAAGAGTTAGCCCAAATGTTTAGGAACACGCACTGAAAAACGATGACGAAAGAGATGTTGAAAATAATGAAAAGAAAGAAAGAGAACGGAACAGAAGGGCGAAATTGGGGGAGTAGTGTTCTGGGTGTCGGCGGAGGGAAGAGGAAGCAGAGGAAAGAAAAAGAAAGAAAAAATGGCTCCCTCGGTCGTCTCAGCTAGCCTGCAAGGGCTCCGTTTCCGCCAGCTGAAAGGCTCGGCGCTGCTAATCATCTCGTCCTCGCCAGCCAATAGGCACGGCGCTGCTATCCCGTCGTCGTCAACGCGTCCCTTTTACTAGTAGGTGGGAACAGGGTTGCTAATTTAAAGACTGCGCTAAGGCAGCGCCCCCCTTCCCCAAGGGGTCCCCCCGGGGCGGGCGCGGTGGCGGCTCTGCTAACGCGGAGCTTCAAAGTCCGACTCTACCTATGCGCATAAAAAGGGTGCGCGGATGCAGGTCGGTAAAGTGCTTGAAAGGGGTATGCTTTGGGGTTGCCCGTCATCGTGATAGGGTCAACGTGTGTGACCAATAGACCCCCTGTATACCTAGCGCGCAACCGACCACAGAAGCTGTAGCGTTAAATGTTTGTAAGAATAACCCAACAAGGCAACGCTGGAGCTCCACCTTGCTCGAGGGCTTGGATGGTAAATCAGGTCAGCCACATCTAGCGCCCACTGGCCGTACTCATGCGTAAGCAATCGCAAGCGGTTCGGCGGATGCGGTCGGGTGGTACCTGTAGGACGTGGAACGGGTGTCCACCTAGGGGTATTGGCAGAGGCTAAATCTGTTCTAACGCCACGGTATTGGCAGAGGCTAAATCTGTTCTAACGCCACCCTGACAGGAGTCAAATGTCAAAACAACAACAACAACGCGTAGCAAGAATTACACTCCCTTTGCTGCTCATGCAATACAGATTTTTTTGGAATCCAAATTCAGCATCACAAGTTGCATTCTTCCAGACCCAGACATTTTTACAGTTGATACATACCCGGAGAACACAACCATCATCCTCACGAACTTACATTATCGCATTGAGCATTATCGATAACCACGTCAAGTGCCGTACTAGCTGCAGTCCATTGTTTACTGGAGCAGAAGCAGAACAAGAAACAACGCCGAACCTCCTACGAGGCCCGCGCAGAAGTAGGAAAAACTCAGTTTCAGGATCAGGAAACCGAATCGACCGAATCCTTCTAAGGAACCGCCGGCGGGAAGAGCTACTTCATTCTGGCACGATTTAAGTACCTTCTGACCCCGTGGTCCTCGTCGTTTCAGAAAAATCACAGCTTCAAGTAGAACCTGTCCGCCCTTCTTTCATTTTCTACTGGGCGCCAGGACCAGCAGGAGCAGCCTCAAAACTACGAGCCGCGGAAATATCAGCGCTATCTGCTGCCAGAAGCTACTCCTGAAAAGCAGCTGAACTCCAAGTCCTCTGTAGTTGGTTCTGGTCGACACCCCGAGAACGATTGATTGTCCGCAAGAGCAGGAAGAGATCAGCTGGGCGACGTCGACGGTACAGAACTGGAAAGAACTACTACGTCACGCAAAGGTCTTAGAAGTTAGAGAAAGAAAGGGCTCGGAGGGTGACTACGAGCTGCGCTCCACCGCGTCGCAACGCCTGGAAATAACCGTTTCTACATGACCCCATCGGAACAAGTAGGCATTGCAAAAGCATCGCACTAGTATAAGTTGCATGCACAATATTGGATTTTCTCAACTTCTTGAAAAGTGGAACTTGCAGTGCTGATTTGCCTTGGAAGTAGAGACATTCTGTCATGCAAGATTGAAATTGGTAGGTTATGGTTTTGCTCTTGGTACGAATGCGATACTTTTGCACAGGACAAGAAGTCATGGAGTACAAATTGTTCGTCGGGAACCTTCCCGCTGACATCAGCGAGGAAGACATGTATTGAGAGGAAAATTCCCCCTCCCCTTGAGAAGTACTGCTCAAACAAAGGGGAAAGCGCTTGTTTTGTGTGCTTACCTAGTATTAATACCTTCGCGTTGTATTTTAATTCTTTAATTTTGTGCGCAATGTTGTCCTATACCGTTCGGGTCATTGTTGGGACATCTGTCATGCCGAACCACTAAGACTCTGCTCGCTACACTCAGTCACAGGATTAGCATCTACGTGTGGTGGCTTGCTGCAATACGGAGCGAGTTGCGTGCACGAGTTTTTCCATTTCGATATGGGAATGGGGGGGATTTTTCATCACGATAGCACGCGCACCGTTTTCACCACATACGGAATGGTCACGGACGTACACATTATGACCGGTATAGAGTAGTTTTCTTTTCAGTACTTATCTGGTAACCAAAGCCCGCGCGCAAAGCGCTCTTTGCGAGATGCTCATCCATCGCAAACGCAGCGCGAAGGCTTTGCCGTTGCCATATGGGAGGGACTCGGGAGTATGCAATCACTCGCAAAGTCGGGCATTTCCAACTGTGTTTTGCCTTCAGAAAGCGGATCGGAGGGAATTTGTGCGAATTTTGCCGAAAGCAGCCAAAACAGCAATTACCAAGCGAGAAGAGGGTAAAAAAGAGCAGTTTTGCTGCTCCGCCCGGTCTGAATCTGAAAAAAGAGAAAAGTATTTTCGGCTAGGGCCGATGGTGTGATGCGTTTTATAGCGGAAAATGCGTCACTACCAGGCAGCCCCGGCCGCTTAAAAATTGAAAAAAAATGCTTAAAAAGTGCGTTTTTTTACAGCATGCAAGCGGGCGACAAAATTTACCAAATTCGTCCAGAACCTGGAAACCGCTTGAAAATTGAAAAAAAAGACGAAAAAAGTTACATTTTTCGCAGCGTGGAAGCGGCCGGGAGAAAACGCGGATTTTCTGCATGGCGCAGCGGCCGCTTAGTAATAAATTGAAAATGGCGTTTTTTTGTGAAAAAGCAGAAGCCGCTTGTTGAAAATTGCCGCTCAAAAGGGGTTCGCAAAATTTTCCGCAGGCCCGTACCACCGGGATTGGACGAAGAAAAAACAATTATCAAGCCTGTGGAGGTGTGTCACACGGGCACGGTTTTCGACCTCTCTGAGGTCGCAAACTGGAACCCTTCCCAGGCTTGGAAAAGCTCGATCTGGGTGGCCCAAAAGGCCAGCCGTGACCACCTACGGAATGGTCACGGATGTACACATTATGACCGGTATAGAGTGGTTTTCTTTTGGGGCACTTACAAAAGGCGGCGTCTCTATCAACATGGAGGAAGACTTGACAGTAGCGCTACGCGCGAATTGCAAATTTAAAAGTTTTCATTCAGTTGTACGAGGACAGCAATAAATAATCCATACCCCCTCCACAAATCATAATCAGGTCGGTCCCAGTCCGGTGCGGCATGTGCGTTCGTGCACTACGCTGATCAGGTGTCTGCTGACCAAGCAATCGCTGCTCTGAATAAGACGTACAAAATTCGCATCGATGCGGTCGACCCGATCACGGTAAGTTTAGTACTGCTGTTGCTGGGCATTTGTTTCATCTGGGAAAAGAAGGCTCAAGCACCATCTGATGGTGAGTATACGATGATTTCAAAACTCATGTCGAGAGGGAGTTTTTCGAATTCCCTGTTTATCCAAGAATTATCAGACGTTATTGCTGCGAATACACTATTCAGGTATCGTATGCCAAGGTCGACACCCGCGCTTCAGGCTCGATGACAAGTGCAGGTTCTTACGCGGGATCCAACGCCGCCGCAGCAGGTTTTAATCCAATGCTCCAGGGCGCTCTGAATCCGTACGGAATGTATGCGACGGATCCGTACGCCGTATATGCGCAGGTACGACGAGGAATTGAATTAGTATATTTGTGTGCATGTTGACAGTGGCGTTTCTTAGGCGTGACCATCAGGAGCAAGTCCAAAATTGTGAAGCGCAACAAGTTCAACTTCTTTCGCCACTATGGCTCCATGATGCAAGAAACAACACAAATTGTCATTATACATATATCAGGCTCTCGCGCACCAGCCTCCGGCCGTGGCGGGGCACGACTTTCTGAATCCGCTTTACAACCCGCTGTACAATCCGGCCGGCATGGCGATGGCCGGTGGGAAGGGGCCGGGAGGCATGAATCCCAAGGGCCCCGGAGCGGCCGGCATGGCCAAGGGCGGCGGCCACAATGGCATGGTGCACAACCAGAATCTTCCCATGGGCGCCCAGGTCCAGAACGGCATGATGCAACACAACGGCATGCAGCAGCAGGCCGGCGGGGCCGCGGGAGCCGCGGGTGGTGGCAGTTACTACGGCGGCGGCAAGGGGGGTGGACCGCGCCCCGGGCGCAATCCGCACCCCAACCACCCCGGTATTAAGAAGAATTTCGGGGACGCTTGACCCACCTAGGAATTTCGCAAGGCTGCTGTGCTGCAGTGCTCGATCAAGGATTTGTAGATTTCGCAATCATCTGGAGATGAGACTACTTGCAGTTGCTGTGCCTTCGAAGACACACGCACTTGCATCAGTTAGTATCATACACAACACGAACAGATTTTGATACTAGTCGTAGTCCGTGGTTCCGCGCGTCGATTCTTCTCCAAATGAAGGTGAAAGGGGTTTGGAGAAGCTGCGGGATCTTTTGCTATATGCACCTACTGACGGTATCGTGAGTATCGGTAGGCACAAGATCGACGAGAGCGTGTACTTGCAGCACAGCATGACAAAGTGAAATTCCGCGGTGGTGCTACGTCCTCGCTCTTCGTTCGCATACAGCGGAAGATCTTCGTCGGCAACCTACCCACTGACATCACCAAGGAAGTGCTACGACAGGTAAGTACTGAAAGAACGGCTTTTTGATATGCCGGCACATCCATTTTTGCCTCTACGTGGCTTGAACAGGAGCAGGACGACACTGTGATTGGAGGTGTACTATGGAATATGCGGAATGAAAAAAAAACAAAAAAGGTTTTTTCCACATATGGTGTAGTGACGGATGTGCACGTTATGGTCGGCAAGTCAGACAGTGGGCAAGCCTATCAAATGTAAAAATGTCTCGGTCTGGAAGAGTGCATGTTTGTCATGCTTGTCTGGCATAACTCTCAAATCTGTCATGCACGTTACCCAAGAGCGCCGTTTTTCTGTCATGCAGACACGCAGTTTGTCATGCAGAATAGGCAACACCGAGAAGCTCAGAAACTTGTCATGCTGAGCCAGCACTCGTGGCCTCCTCACGATACGCCACCCAGCATCACAAGTTTCCAGACCCAGACATTTTTGCACTTGATAAAGCCTGTGCGTTTGTGGAGTACCAGCAGCAAATCGAGGCCCAGACCGCGATTATATCAAATGCAAAAATGTCTGGGTCTGGAAACTTGTGATGCTAAAATGTGCATGATGGAAACGCTTCCGAATGCAGTCCGGCATGACAACTTCCCAAAACGCTTTCTCATAGGCAATCCGCATGAGAAACTGCGTTTTTGCATGGCAAAAGAGGCTGCGACTTTTGTTGGTTATGCAATACAGATTTTCTAGGTATGGAAAGCTAGCATTACAAGTTCCAACCTTCCAGACCCAGACATTTTTACAATCCATAGATTAACACGCTAAACAACAACTACGAGATCCGAGAGGGCTGCGGCAAGATTGTCTGCCGCTTCTACGAAAAACCGGAGCACGGGCAGGGCGGGCACCGCGGCGCCAAGGGCGGCTTTGGGAAAGGCATCAAAGGGTCCGGAAAATACGCCGGGGGCAAGCACATGAACTACTTGCAAGGTACAGGTATTTGATGTGCATCTATATCTTCTGTAACTGTAACATGAACTGTTACTGATAGTGTGGTAGCGCAGGATCGAGAAACGAGACCTCAAGGACTGCTTGATGCTCATTCGGTCCCTCTAGCAGTGCAACGAATTGAACTACGTGCTGGTCATGTATTGACTTGCAGTTAAATGAGATGTTGAAAACATCTGCATCAGTTGCGTTTCGAAATTTCGTTCCCGGGTGATCACTCTCTCAGGTTCCGCAATGCCGGATCAGACGTATAACAAAGCCGCACAGGCCCAGCACTCCGCATTCCTCTCTGGAGCGCAAAGTCCGACAAAGGCGCAAGGTACATTTCATGTTGTGTTTATTCGTCAACCTTGACATGGTACATTGAATCTCGTTCATGTTCTTGAAGAAATTTTTGCCTTGTCATGCAACGACACGTTTTATATTCAATTCACAATTTTCACAAATAAGTCAAAGTGCACGAAAATAAAAACAGATGCGAACGAGCAGCCGGTGCAGTTGAAGATGTCATCAACGCCAAACACGAGTAATGGAGCTGTTACCACCGCCACCGACGCAGAATTCCTGAACAGCAGGTTATCAGCCGTTCCTAGCACTAGTTGTGGCACTGACCTAGAGAATTTTCAGTACAGTAGCAACGGGACAACTGCAACCCACTAGAGGACGACTCATTCTTTCTGTGTGTAAAAAAGGGTAGTTGATGTAGGTCTCTTTTAGAACTTGCAAAGGGCGGCGTGTCACGCTAGAGAGAAATTCATTGTGCGTGTGTGCTGTTCCTTTCTATCTTTCTTGCTGAGTACGGACGTGAAGTCTACTTCACGGCGCTTCTCAGAGGAATTGTGCTTCTCTAGAAAAGCAAACTTTTAGAGTAGATAAAAACTAAATGCGGAGAAGCAAGACGGCACGACATTCAGCAATGACATAAAAAGCTTCGAGAAGCTTATTACCCCATACTTTTTACTGCTTTTGGCATATTACAGATGATTTGTGAATTACATGAAAACAAAGACAAAGAGACACTTCCCCAGCCACAATCCCGAGACATACATTCAAAGGCGTGTAACTTAGATCTCTTTTGTGGAGCACGTTTTCGTTCTCTACAAGTACATGTCGACACTACTCTTCATACTGAAATGAAGGAACACAACATTGGGACAGCAAACTTCCGATGCGTATGCTAGTACGAGTATCCCTATCCCCTTAGTAGGTACTGGAAGAGTGCGAAGTAATATATAACTTTCACGATTTAGGTGGAGGTGCAGCTCTTGTAGCTCGATGTCGTTTTCTGATGATCAGGAGCGGGGCTATTCAGGCTTTCATACCCGAATAGGGGCTGTAAAAGTGCTAGACCTGCTTTAAGTATCGACAGGGTCGTCGTACCGAAGTGCGCGGTGCTGCACCTGCTATATCGACATTGAGTCTCTCAATTCCTACAGCGTAGGACCAGGACCGCTACCGTAATCTACCATCTGCTTTTCATTCATAAATACAACCGTGAATATTCGAGTCCTGCCGCTTGCACTCCAACTTTTCTATACTTTTACTTACACACTGCAAGAGTCATTCCCTCCAAATCAGGAAATCGCGACGCTTCTGGGGAAGCCACACCCACATAATGCAAGCACTACAGTTCTCAGAAAGAGTCAAAAACTACTTTTAAGTGCTTCACACTCAGAGCATAGATAAGTAAAAGCACTCTCCCTGATTGTTAGTTATATGAATCGCAGATGCTGTTTTTGTCAGGTTCATCTATCCTCTTATTATTCGCACCTTTTCCCCCATGCAAAAGCAAAATATAAATAAGAATCGGATGGATTCTGACCGTCCCGAGTTGGGCACACACGACATAGTAAATCCTAATCCACAACGGCGGACCACACGCTGTTTGTTGGGTGCAGAACTCATGAAAGCAGAAGAAGTTAAACCTTTGACCACATTGGCCGGCATCTTCTTGTTTAGGAGCAGGCTCTCTTTGGAAGGAAAACAAAATCTGTGGTAACTGCACAAGAAGGAAATGGGTGCAGTGTAAAAGGGCCATGTTGTAGTACTACTCCGAGAAACAGCGAACTGCGAACATTATTAAGCGGTATAATCCATAGGCCCCTTGGCTTTGCTCATCTTCCTGGGAAACCATGTCAAGGCAAAAGATGAACAAACGAGCTCCCATGGACCGCACACGGAAAAGGCATTCATAGGACCATTTATTCATAGCAATACAGCAACAAGCTCACGATCTGCAGTACAACATCTTCAAGAAGAAATTTTACTTGGCACTCTTCATGTTGTCGAACAAGAAGAAGTTTTTGAAAATTCGAAGAAAAGTTCTTCCGAATTCCCTTGTACTATGTACGAAACATCATATCACGACCGTTAATACAACTTGGAAGCCCCTCCTTTGCAGGCCGAGCTTCGCTTGCTTGCAAGTCTGAAAAACGGCATCACCCTGCTGCTGCTCCGCGGCAATTATTTCTAGTTTTCTTCTAAACCCTTGTTAACCTATACTACTGTTCTGGCCTCGTCTGTTTCCCTGATTTGACTTTCGTGTTTCACTGTGACGTTTCTTTACTGTTTTGTACACCTTTCTAATTCTATTCCTGCTTCTATTTGTTTTCGTGCGCGTGCTGTATTCCTGAATCACCAGTTGTTGGCGTAGGCCTTCATCTTCTGTCATTTAGTACACTTTGGACAAAATAAAAGCTTAGCGTCGAATTAGTTGTTGTTGTTTATCACCCTGAAAACCCGTCTTTCGCTCCTTCTGCGCAGCGCTGAGCTTGATATCGTATTTTTAGTTAGACCGCTACAGATAACGGTGAAGAGAGGTGATCTCTCCGCACCTGCTGATATCTCGGTTCGTAAAGCTTTATCGGTACGGTCATGATTATGAAGTGGATCTCGAAAACCAAAACGTCGAAAAGAAAAAAATTGAAAATTCAGGTGTGCCGCCTCATCGCCAAAGCCCGCAGCAACAAAGTCCACTACCGGGTCTCCGGGAGAGGAAGGTTTATTTTGCTCTTATTGATTAAAAAAAAAAATGGAATTTCAAAAATTCATCGGACAGCATTCTGATATTTGGTTGATCACCTGTGAACTAAAGTCCACACGTCTAAATCAAAAGGTATGTCAACGAGCAGCCCGGTGCGACTGGGTGCGACCGCCATTGCCTGATCAGGAAGATGGAAACGGAAAAAAAAAACGTGACAAGTACACCAGCCAAATTACTCGCGACAGCTTGGAGGCAAAAGCGAAAATTGAGGCAGTGAACAATCAGTTTCAGAGGCAACGATCTTTTGAATTTTGCGTAATATCCCGTGTCAATATGTTTCAGTATCAGTATATACAATTTAATATGCCGAATTTTCAAGACTACAATTTTTTTTTCAACTCGTTAGAGCTTTTTTCCTATTTTTCATTCATGGTTGTACACCGGACAGAATATGATATTTACTATTCTGAGCTTGAAGCAGTCGTTCCCGTTTCATTGTTCGCCAGTCGCGGCCTGCGCCGGGGGCTCGCTGCGTAATAAATTGGAGTAGGATCATCTTCTTGTTTACGTATGACATTTGTGTTTGGACAAAGAAGAGCAGGGGAAAGAAAGAGCTGCGGTTGGGCATGAGTGATTTCGTATTGCGGATTTACATATTCGAAAAAGAAGGTTGACGAGGTTGCCGCGGAACTTGTCCATGCAGATCGATGATATCCAGGAAAATCACATGGGGCAGGATGCAAGATGAGACAGCCGCATCCATTCCCATTTTTGCATGATCTAGACTTTCTGGCTTTCCTCCGAGGTCCACAGTCAAATTCAAACCCATTTCCGCCATGGCAGATTGCATTTGCTCTCCCCTGTTCTTCTTTTTGCCAGATTCACTCGCACCTCCTTCAAGCGATTTAATTTTTACAGCATTCATGGGGCTGGAACTACATTGTTGAAATAACCTGTTATTAGCTGTTGTAAATAAACGGAGCAGACGTAGCAGGTGCAGGAACGCGGAAGAGGTCGTGCGCGGCTACGTTCCTTCGAATGTAGTTGAGTTGCGGCACTGCAAAAAGCAGCTTTACATATTGACGGTTTCAAAGGCATTATTTTTTCGATTTATTTCTTCAACACGGGCTTAAGAGGAACTCGGGCTTCAGCTTCTGTGCATACAATATGCAGCATTTGCACTTGGCCACTTTGTCAGGCGACCAGTAGAGTATAGATGTGTCGGCGTATTTTTATGCGGCTACCGCCTCTGTTGGCTCAAGACAAAGGCTAGGAACAAGGAACCTTCGAGTTTGGGTTTACTTGATCTTGGAGTATGAAAGCGATAATTGAATACGAAGCCAATGAGAATCAAACTGAGCCTGTTGCAAGAGGATTCATGGCAAGGACGACGAGTCACAGCAGCATGATAGGCACGGTCTCGCCTTGCTTTGGGAACAGGAGTCGTTTGGCACTGGCGGTACCCAATCCGTTACCCTTGCGAACTTGTTCCCAGGCTGGGGCTGGTGGTTCGGTGTCTCCTTCGTTCGCCCTCTGTTCCCATCGTGGGGCGGGTTTCCTTTTCTCTCGTGACAGGGGTAGGAGTCACGCCTGGCGCGTGCAAAGTCGTCGCTTTTGGTTGCTCGCGTCTGGCTCTGAGTTTTGGATTTTCCTACGAGGGGTTTCGGGTTCCTAGCGAGGTTAGCCTGGGTCGCTTTGGGTCGACAGCAGTATTTTTCAGACGCTACTCGGACTTCTTTCCTTGCCTTCCGGAATGAATTTTTGCAGCCTCGCGCACGGTCGGCCCTTCGCCGTAAAAGTAGTACTGACGTCGATGGTCGTCAGCGGCAGTGAGTTTTTCAGCAGCGACGTTCTGCTTGGTGGTGTTCGGATTGAGTTTGCCGTGCCTGCAGTGGCTGGGATTGTTTTGGATCGCTTGCTATTTTCCCACCCAGACAGAGGTTGGGGGCACGTTGGAGGTGCGAGGCTATTTTTAGGTTTGGTTAACCGGGCGGGAAGTTGGGTTTTTGCCTAGAGCGCATGCTCCTTTGAGTATGGCCTCGGTACCCCGGGAACGGGTATCAGTTTTTTCCCCAGGTGGGGGCTCGGGTTTTTGTGTCATTGGTTACACCGACGCGGACGTAGTCCGCAGGTCTCGCTGGATAGTTTGCTTTGTGATGGATTCACATCGTTTTCCCCCCCTCCCACCCAAGTGGCCGCTCACGTCGTGCCGGTTCGTCCGGACAGACGTGTTAGTGGTGGAGTGGGCCGCTCCCCGCTATGGAAGCTAGGCGCGGCCTGCTTGACCCAGCCCCAGGTGGAGTGGGCCGCTCCCCGCTATGGAAGCTAGGCGCGGCCTGCTTGACCCAGCCCGAGAATCAAACTGAGCCTGTTCTTGCAAGAGGATTCATGGCAAGGATGACGAATCACAGCATGATAGGCTATCGAGCAAAAATCTGTTATCGTTATCGAATTAAGAATTTGAAACGAAAGCGATAATTTTTTTAAAGTTAGGTAGTGAGGTAGCTATCTTCGGTAGTGATTATTTTGATTTCGTTGTGTGCATTTGGATTTGGTCACTCTCCTGGGGCAGCAGACGGCAGACTTGACGCGGCGGATCTCGAGGTGGTGTTGTTCCAGGTTCGGTGTCGCGCAGTCATCCCAGGCCAGACTCCACGTCCGATCTGGATACTGTCTTGCCAACTGCGCCAACAAAACAGTGTGGCTGCGAGTGCTTGGAAGCATGTCCGGAAGCCGAAACCGATAACAGACACGTAGCACGGCGGCACGCGGACTATAAAAGTGACCAAAAAGAGTGCTTGTTATCGGTTTGCTCGGAGGCTTCGGAACAATGGCCGTTTTTGCTGGCCAAGTTGGCCAGATTTCGGAGGCCCTGGCCGAAACCGATAACAACGACGCTTTTTGGTCACTTTTATAGTCCGCGCGCCATCCTATTTCCCGTAATTTCTCAGGTCAGAGCCCGGTGACGATGGTGGCCACGAGATGGTGGGCAGATTTCATCATCAACGACTGGGCGGTAACCAGAGCACCCAAAAAGAGCCTCATTTCTGGGCATCTACCTGCGTGATGCAGTGGGCACGGCAGCACTTCTACCATGTCAAAAACGTGACGCGGCGGTGACGCAGGTCCGCACTACAAATTGATCTTTATGAGCCCAAAACAAGCTTTCAACTTGCACTGCCGGAAGCTGAGCAAATCGCATCCACCTGGGAGGGTTGGCGCGCAGCTCGAAACGGTCCGGCAGAATGGGCTCGACATGATCCAGGCTTCGGTGCGGCGCTTGGCCAAATGCACTCCTGCTCGTTGAAAGCGAGTTGCTTTGAAGTGCCCTTCTATTGGAAGCGAATTACTTGCAATGCCTTGGCATAGAAAGCATTTTGTTTGTTGTGCTAGTAAATTGCAAGCAATTCGTGTTCAGCGCCAGGTCGTTAAAAGCAACGCGCCTTCAATATAAGGGGTCGCCCAGCAGCTGCCACACTCTAGCCTTTCGGAAATGCGTTCCCAAGGTTTGCCGGAAATCCTGGGAGCACATTTCGGCAAGGTCCCCAGCCCCACGTCGGATTTGTGCTCTGGCCGGCGACAGGTCTGAAGACCTCGCGCAAAATCATCCGACGTCGGGGAGATAAAGAAGTGCGCCCCTAGGATTTTCGCCGCGTCGAGACCTGGGATCATAGTTCTGCAAAGCCCCCGCCTAAGATGATGTTGTGCGGGTTTTTCTGTGTTTCAAGGTCAGAACACAAACTCGGATAGCACTCTCGTGCTCTGGCCTGCAGAAGTGTGCTCCTAAGATTTGTTGATATCGAACTCAAATCCGAGAATTCCTCAGATGCGAGCTCACATCCGAGAACTCCTCACATGTGAGCGCGCATCCAAGAGTTAGAAGGTCAGAAGAACTGCGCAGCATAATCTTACGCGACAGACTTACAGCAGTGCGCTCTTTGGATTTGTGTGTTGCGCCTCCAATTGCCTCACTTGGAGTCGCGGTTCAAACTTTCACACGCAGAGCGCGGCGATTCGCAAGTTTAGCCGAACCGGCGTAGCGATTTCGTTTCTGGTTTTCTGACATTGTGTGCCCATCACAGGACTCCTGTGATAGGCACGCAACACTTGGGGGGGTGCCAGAAATAAAGCTGCCGTGCCACTTCGGCTGTACTTGCGAACTTTGTTGCCTTGCGCGTGACAGTTCGATCCGCGTGTCCAAGCGAGGTGTATGTAGACGCAACACGCAAACCCTGGGAGCTAATTTCTGTGAGTCACCTGAATAAAATTGGTGCTCAGAGAGAGCGGTTTTGCTGGCCAGGGCACAAATCTTACGGAGGCAGCCTACAGAAATTAGGTCTCAGGACCCCACATCCGAGAACTTCTCGGATGGGGCTTCACATCCGAGGAATTCCCGGACGTAGACTCACATCTAAGAACTCCTCGTGTGTCCGCTCACATTCGAGAACTTCTCGGATGTGCGCTGCCACCCCAGGAGGTAGTATTTGATGTGGCGAAAATCCTTGGGAACAAATTGCTGCAAGTCACCTGCGTAAGATTTGTGGTCCGATCGGCAATACCTATTGGAGCACAAAACCTACGCAGGTGAGTTACAGATATTAGCTCTCAGGATTTCCGCCGCATCACGAAATTCTTGACGCAGCGAAGATCCTGGAAATAATTTCTGAAAGCTACCTGCGTAAGATTTGTCTTCTCACCGGTAATACCGATCTGGGCACAAATCTTATGCAGGTGACTTACAGAAATTAGTTCCCAGGATTTGCGTGCTGCGTCTCCAATCGCCTCACTTGGACACGAGGATCATCAGTGTGTCCAAGTGTGGCGACTGGAGACGCAACACGCAAGTCCCAGGAGTGCATTTTTTTGAGGCACGAAAGCTGAAGCTGTAGGCGCGCGAGTTCTGATGTGCTCTTACGGAAGAAAGCTCGCGCAGCTGCCAGAGAACTTTCACACACAAAGTGCCGAACTTTGGCGCTTTGCTCGTGGAAGTTCGATCCGCGTGTCCAAATGAGGGGATGTAGAAAAAACTCGGAAATCCTGGGAGCTGATTTCTGTAAGTCGCGTGCGTAGGACGTGTAGTCAGACCGGGACTATCGGTCGAAACGCAGATCCTGCGCACCTGCTTCAAAATTTTTGAAAACCGAAGCTTTTAGGAACTGCTCCGGGAACTAATTTCTGAAAGCTCTAATGCTGCAAGAGGATTCATGGCAAGGATGATGAATCACAGCATGCCATCACAGGGGACCGTCGAAGGATGACGAATGCACGTCGGTCCCACGACATCGGACTTCACAATTAGGAAACATAGACCCGAGGAGGACAGGCAAGCTTTGATGTTTCTTGAGGCGCGTTTCTCTCATCCTACGCTTTTAGCTCCTGCCATGGAAGGATAAAGCGAATTAGCACAACTAAACAGACGAGGCATTGGGTAAGGAAATATCACGACGCAGCCGTCGCTGCGTCGCCGCGCCGTGCCTAGTACTTAGTTACAGCTATGCCGCTTGAGATTCATTTTTGCGGGTTTATGCAGTGCGTGGCCTCGAGTGCACATCTTCACTTTATTCTATATCATTACACACAGTTTCTTCAGGTGGAGTAGAGCAATATACCCTCCACGAGGCCCGTACAAATTTTTCACCATTACCATTTACCAATGATAGTGATACCAGCAGCCTGATTTTTTCCGTATTTTGCAGTAAAATTAGCAGCCCTTGACCTCGAGAAGAACTCCACACCAAAAGTCCTTCAACATTTATCCCGGCACCGTCAGCACAGTTGTGCGCCACCACGGCATTCTTTCTTTACATCTTCTCACGATGCATTATTTTCATTCTTCATCTTCATCATGACGAGTGCTCCCTGAAGGTCAGTCTGTCGTGTCACAGCGAACTTCTTCTAGGGCCGTCAGAAAACTGACTTGAATGAGGCAGGGATAATATTACCGGAAGTGAAGCCCAAGCCGATGGCCCTGTTGTAGAAATTGTTTTCCTCAACCACAACTCAAATACTTTATCATAAGTACCGAGCTTCTACTGCAACTTGTGTGCCGCCATCCACATCCACGGAGCTTGCTGCTTTTATCAGACAAGGGGCTGAGAAAGCGTTCGGGCGAGGCCTGTAGTAGTTTCGGAAAAACAGATAAGAACACCAATTACAAAAGTACCTTCATGAAGAAGATTCCCACGTATGAGGGCAGAAGTGCCGACCGTCCTCTTGTGGCGGCTAGGTAGGGTCGTGACTAAGACAGGTCGTGCAGACCGCAACGACGGGCAGGACCATATGGCGTTCTCAAACGTTACTTTTTCAACTGTTTCATGAATTTGTGACGCAAGAAGCGCCAAAGTGAAATGGGCGACCTTGATGCGCGTCTTGCATGACAGAAAATTGGGGCGGATTTTAATGCTATTGAGCGCGTCGGGAACTTGTCATGCGAAGAAGCCTGACCGTGTGCAGTGTGATGCCAGATAGTGACTTCACATGACAAGTCATGTTGAGGATGTAACGTTTGAGAGCGCCATAGACCACGAGGAGCACTCCGAGCACCACGATGAACAGGTAGTTGCAAATAAAGGGGGCGTGGCTAATTCACTTGCAGCGATCAAGAGGGACCAAGAAGAACATCATTTACACAAAATGTAAAAGCAAAGTTCATGATGGCAAGAACATGTTGGCAGCTACACCTCCCACGACCACGGCCATCGTAGCTAGTAGACGACTTGAAGGAAACTTTTTTAAAGAAACGAGGTTTTTATGGCATTTTGAAATACTCAAACCGAAATCGAAATCAATATTTTTAGCATGAGGAATTCGAAGTAATTATAGATACGGAGATGCAAGGGCTGTGTAAAAACTGGCTGAACTGAACATAAAAGCATGTGATTGTGCCACGTTGGCGTGGAGGTTCGAAATTGAGCTTCAAGCTATACGGCGGATGTCACACGAGAAATCAACAAATCTGAGCTCTTCTTTGTCACATGGCGCGCTTTTGCAGCTTTTGACTGAACAAGAACCCAATCATGCTTGATTATTTTCCCGGAGGTGGATGTAGTGGAAATATATGTGATGTCCGCGCAGCTCCGTGTTCTTCACCGAGCCTTTACATCTTTTTCTATCTAAACCGAAACCAAACTTCCGCGGGGCTTTGACGGTTTTCATATCCGGCGCAAGTGCGTCGCACAACATTTGTGCGGACTGATTTAAATCAGAATCGTTATCATTGGGTGTCGTCTGTCAGATAATTCTGGAAGGCTGTAAGAGGACATTGATGACACCACAATTATCGTGTGGACATGTGTCAACTCGTTGTCGCTCTGCTTTTTCTCTCGTTGCAGCGCTCCCTGTCGCGTCCATTTTCGTAACCCGTTTCGTACAGACCGCTACTTCCCGTTTTCGTAAAACTCGTTTCGTACGTAATGTTGCACACGTTGCTTCGTCCGTTTGAACTTGATCCTCCTGGCTGTACATTCATTTGAGTCCAACGTCGCAACAAAAACAAAGCAAAACAGATAGCCTCCCCTTTCCCCCCATAAATTTGTCTGCCCTTCTAGGGAAAAATGTTTCTTCCCTAGCTGCAACCGTATCCTCCACGACTGACATCAAGCAGGGTTCTTTTACTCTTACATCATAGTACAACCCGCACCCGCGTTCTCTATTCGGTTTCACGATATAAGACAATGTTCACCATGTTGATGACATCAACGGCGCAACAGCCACCGCTTTCATCGTCAGGACGAACAGGCGCCCTAGCGCTAATGGCGTTTCTCTCCGGGCCGATCAGTGTAACTCCGGGCAGAAGTACAACCGCACCACCAGTGAAGACTAGGACCAACAATGCTAGCAGTGGCGCAGCTACAAGTTTGCGTCTGACCAAACAAGCTGTTCCCCCAGCGAGAAACAAAGCCAGAGCGCCAGAGCCACAAGAACCCGCGGCGAGTTCTTCCTTGCAGATCGAGAATAAAGCAGGAGTTCTGGAACGGCGTGGACGGCGAGAGACTACTACTAACGCTCAAAGACGGGGAACTGCTCACGCAACAGCAGCAACAGGACGTCGAGCCACCACTGCAGCAGAACAACATCTTTCGAGCCTGACCTCCGCAAGTCGTTCGAGAGGCAAAAAAGGCGCGGAGGCCGGGACCGACGCGCACGGGAACCCCTGCAGTGGCTGGGGGCACAGCTGCGCGGACACTCCGAACTGCTGCGACGCGGATCGGGCGTGCTATCCGGACAAGCTTTCAAACACCGCCTGGTGCCTGATTCGGCCAGATTCGGGCGTGGCGGGAGAGCAGGGGGTGTGCGACAGCAGCAAATTTGAATGTGCTGCCCCGCTCTCGTCGAACACCGTCCCGCCGAGCAACTCGCAGACGAGCACGGCGCCACCGACGACTGAGCAGCCTGAATTCAGTGGCGGAGGTGATCCAGAAAAAATGCAGGTGGCTGGTCTTGGCAGGTCGGGCGGCTCCGACAATACGGGAGGACAAGAACAGCACCACGAGGACGGCTCTCAAGAGGGCGGGGATGGCTCCGGCACCGGCTCGGCTCAGCCCCCGCCGATCCCAGGAGAGGTCGGAGGCGGCGGGGACGGCGAACAGCCTGGTGGGTGCTGCAGCGATATCGAGAAAAGGGTCGCCGCCCGGCCGCTCGCCGACACTGCTTTGCCAGTGTCGCCCGAACAAGATACTGGATCAAGCGGGACGAACACCGCGGGTCACTCCTTTTTGGAGACAGGAAGAACAATGCCTAAAGCGGGGTCGCGTGGCACTTTGCTGCAGGAGGAGGAACAACCTTCTGTGCTACACGGCATTGATAACCATCTAGCATGGGACAAGGTTGAGAAGAAAGGGGCAAAAACGGAAGTCAGTGGAGGAGATAAGCAGCTGCTCCTTTTAGAAACAAAGGGCAGGAGATCAACGCAGGGAGCAGCCAGCTCGCTCAGCACTAGTACTAGAGGACATGACGACCGAGCGGTTAATACCGAAGACAAATCGAGCAGCATGTTGGACTTCGCCAACGCAACCCTACCGCTTCCCACTTCTAGCAGCATCTTTCTTGCAGCTCAGGACATCAACGCGGCGGAGCAGGAGGAGCAAAGAACTTTGGTTACTACATCCCCTGCTCGAGAAGGAGTCCAGGACACACAGCAAACCTCCTTCGCTTCAACAGCATCGGAGTCGCTGCATTCAGAAACCTCCGAGGTGAAGGCACTTACATTCGCCACCCTACGCGGAGGCTGGAACCACTGGGGCGAATGCCGGTTAGGTCATGAGCGATGTGGTTATAACTACCAAGCCCGCAACTGTTGCGATGGGGACCGCAAGTGCTACGCGAAAAAGGACGGCTGGGCGAGTTGCCTCGTCAGCTGCCATTACTCGGACTGGCACTGTAACCAGAACCTCTGGTTTTGGCCGCCGCACCCCCAACCTCAGCCACAACCGCAGCCACAACCGCAGCCCCAACCGCAGCCCGCCCCCGTGCCCAGCACAACTCCGACCCCACCCAGCACAACACCGGCCCCAGTGCCCAGCTCCAGCACAACTCCGACCCCACCCAGCACAACACCAGCCCCAGTGCCCAGCTCCAGCACAACTGCAGACCCCGGGCAAGGCGATCCCACAACAACCACGCCCATGATTCACAGCTGCGCCACGAATGTGGAGGACTGCAAAATCAAGGCAGAGGTGACGGCCTACCCGTGCTGCGACGATAACCGAAAGTGCTTCGAAAAGAACGAACAAGAGGGGGGGCGGTGCCTCCTGTCCTGCAACCCGCAGGGCCCTGAATCCGACTACACCTGCACGCCCATCGGGGATCACAACACCCCTCTGCAGTCCTTCAACCCCATGCTCCCGTCGTTGCGACAGCAGGAAGGTCCGCCCCCCAGTGTCCCAACGTCGCATAAGGAGGAGCAAGGGGAAGAAGTAGTGGCGTTCAACAGCACCGACGACCACACCGTGCTTGTCCCTGAGCAGGAGGGAGACGAAAACGCGTCTTCTTCGTGCTGCAGCGGCGAGAACGCAGAAGTCGCCAGACCGCTGGATGGTACTAGCGCCATCGGTGAGAGACCCCCGGTGGTGCACGGGGACCTGCGCGAGTACCGCCGGACAGCCGAGCCTCTGGGGGAGTCGCTGCACTGGTGGTGGGCCACGGTGCCCATCCCACCGGAGGAGGAAATCCAATCTTTTCTGGAGATGAACAAATCTTCAACGCGGATGTTGAAATCCGGTACATCAGACGAACCTTCAGAAGATTCCGCACGGCCAGAAGCCCGGTTCTTGTCGACGGATGAAGTCAACATCTCGCTGTACACGGATGGTACTCTTCATGCGCCGGAACGGGGTCGTGGCGTGGTCGCAGCTTCATCAACAAAAGCGAAGGACGCCGCGCTTGACGAGCGAAGTGCCAAGAAAATGCGAGAGGTGCTGGAGAATGAAAACCTTCCGGAACAAGTAGACGGTGCCGGCGATTCGACGAGAGTAGTGGTCTGAGAACGATGACCTATCTGCATTTGCTGACTAAGCTGTTTCTGTTTGATATTACTCGTTCTTATCACGCATATAGTACGTATTTTGATACTTCTACTGGTGTTGTACTAGAAATATTTTTTTTTTTCCCATCAGATTCAGAACTTTCTCGTTAACCATTTTAGAAATTCACGCTATTTTTGTCACCTACCTGTAGCCCCAATTAATTTTCCCTTGCCGATGATATATTTATCAGCTTTCGATCAAACTACGAAGAGGAAAAACCAACTCCCCTTTAGATCCCCAAAAGCACGTTAGTACACACTGACTCTAACGCAGTTTCTGTTTCCCCCAGCTACGTTGCGCTACTGAAACTAGTAGGTACTTCGTTTGGATTTTGCATTGCAAATCATTTTACTATGTAAGTACTCGAACTATAGACAAAAAAAACAATGCTGTGTTGATGAGGCGAGCGAGGAAAGACCAAAATGAGGTCGTTGTTTGTTCTCCGACGGAGCATTGTCAACGAACTGTTCGCTCAATGACGAGCACTGTCGACGGCCCATCCCTGCGCACATGATCTGGTCCCCTTGGCACAGTCCATCAGTTTTTCGTCCCGTGTCGTGTCTATTGGATTTCAAGGAGGACGAAGGACGGTATGGCTTTACCATGCTGGAAGAGATCTGCGTCTGCTCTGCTGCTGCGAGCTGATGGTCGGCCAGCGGGTGTTGCCCTCCTCAGTCGTATCATCGCATTTTTTCTGGAGCTGCGCAAAAAGGCAGAATGTCGCATACAACTTCTACAGGGAGTTATGCTAGTAAGAGAAGAAGAAAAGCAATGTTTGTGATTGTGAAGATAAATCGTCTTCTTCCGATCATGCTTGTGAGAAGATTTTGTTTGAGGCAAAGACTAAACGACCATCTGCGTCTCTGTTACACCTGGTGGTCTCGTGGCGCATCTTAGCTGAGTCCAAACCACTTAGCAGCTCGGGGGTTGAAGGTGGCACAAGTTTTAATTGCTGCAAACCACTTAATTCGTTTGCTTCTATTACATCGGATTCGGAGTAGGGTTAAACTTTATAGATAAACTCATTCGGAAATGATAACGACCTGATTCCTCCAGTGAGTGAAAAGCAAAAGGCCCGGAATAAAAAAGTCGATATTATGGCGGACCCATTTATTCCACGCGATCCCCTTGGCGAAGGTGAACAAGGAACATCGATCGCCCCAGAAGGAACTCGTGTCCACCAGCACAACTCCACCGCGACCCTGCATCCCGCAGGAGTTCTGGTGGGCACCGGGCAAAGCGGGCCCAGCACGTGTTTTGCAACTGCCACTACTTCAACGACGACTGCAGTGCGTGCCCCCCAAACGTCGACGAGCGGCAATAAAATCAATGCTGCAGTAGGTGGAAATACGGGAAAGAACGACGACCCAGCTGCAAAATCGAAGCCGTCGCTGGCGGAGCAGAACGCGGTATACCAAAGGGAGATCGACGAATACCTGAAGCAGATCGTGGGCGAAGATGCCGCATTCTCCGGTGACGCGGGCTCTTCGACCTCGCACCAGCAGGCTGCCGGGATTTCCTTGCCTGGGCAGAGTGCAAGAACTACTTCTCGCAGTAGCAATCTGAACGTGGTAGTGTCACCGCTACGGCAACCAGAACTTCTACAGGGAGATGCTGGTGCAGATGTTTTGAACCAACACCCGCCTGGAAGTAGTGAAAAAATTCTGCCCGTGGTCGAACACGCCCTCGCCGAAGACAACGAATTCTTTGGGTCTCCCGGAGAAGAAAAATCCGGTTCGGCGAGTTACGAAAGTGCTATTTCACCCGGTCCGAGACAGCAAGCTTTGCTGGAAACGATGGTGAAAGCGAAAGGTAACGGTGTAGTTGTCGGTCGCTCGTCCTCTAATTCGGCTTCGCCCGGAGCCGGAATAGGAGAACATCAACGAAGCGTAGCGGCAAATACAACATCTTCGTCCATCGAGGAGCGAACGCGCGCGGATTTTGAGCGCTGGCGGGAAGAGAGCCAGCAAAAGAGCTACAGAGCAGCAGGGGGTGGTGGAACTAGTATTGATAAAACAGAAGTAGAAGCTGGGACTTCTAATATTGCCGTCGACGCAACGAATGCCGGCGGTGCAAGAAACAACATTCCGGCGGGTGTAGAAGTTGTCCAGCCAGTTGACGTCGGGGTATCTTCTGCTGCGGCGAGCTTTGAGCAGCAAGGCGGCGCCCGGGTGCGTGGTTCTTTTCCACCGGGCGTGCACCCGCATCAACAGGGGGTTTTCGTTTACTCTTCCGCAGAGGGCGAAACAATAAGCTCGCCAGCGCGACGCTTCCTCCGCCAAGCGGATTTGCGATTGGGCGTGCAAACTGGAAGTACTACAACTACTAACCTCGCGGCCGAGGGGAAGATGCCACGGTCGGCGAAGGGAATTCCGGAATCAACGCGAGGACCTGCTCGCGAGGCACGGAGCGGCGTACGAAATGTCGAAAACAAGGACAAGCAAAATTACAGTACAACAGGCAACATCCAACCGCTTTCCGCTGTGTCGGAGCGCGCGGACGCCGCAGCCAGAGAGCACGACCGCCAGCTCACGGAGTCTTCGCTCGCGGACGCGCAGCGTCGGGTGGCACAGCTGCAGAACGAGCTGGCGCACCAGCAACAGACGAACGATATCAAATGCAAAAATGTCTGGGTCTGGAAAAATACAAACTTGTGATGCGCATTTCAGAACACAGAAAAATCTCTCATGCATAGCAGGCAGCAAAAGTTGCACACTTTCTGTCACCGAAATGGGGGATTTGTCATGCGGATTCGGCATTGCGGAAGCTTCTCGAAACCTGTGATGCTAGAGCTTCCATGCCAGACCTTTTGCGTCATGCAAAAACAGTGTGACTCTTCCAGACCCAGACATTTTTGCATTGGATAAACGAAAACGTGCTCCAAAACCTGGTGACCACGCAGGATTCCAACCGACAGCTGCACGCACAGTTTGAGACCCAGGAGAAGCAGATCGCGCTTCTGACCGACGTATCAAATGCAAATATGTCTGGGTCTGGAAGAGAGAGTCATGCTGTTTTTGCATGACACAGAAGGTCTGGCATGGAAGCTCTAGCGTCACAGGTTTCGAGAAGCCTTCGCAATGCCGAATCCGCATGACAAATCCCTGAATTTGGTGACAGAAAGTGGGCAACTGTTGCTGCCTATGCATGAGAAATTTTTGTGTGTTCTGAAATGCGCATCACAAGTTCGTATTCTTCCAGACCCAGACATGTTTGCATTCGATACGACGAGGTGCTCGCGAAGGAGAAAGAGCTGCAGCTGACCGTTGTGAAGCACGAACAGCTGCAGGAAACACGGAGCGAGGCCCACGCGGAGGAGCTGCGAGGGCTGGAAGCGCGGCTCGAGGAGGTGCGCGCCCGCACGACGACCGCGCACGCGGCCTTCAAGCAGCGGGTCAAGAAGTTGCTGCAGTCCCTCCACGCGGAACTGCGCCACGTGCGGGCGAACTACTTCGATTTGCGGAATAACGCGCGGGCGGAGTTTGAGTCCTTCTACCACGAGATCCTGCTGCAGATCAGCCGGCAGGCCGTGGCGGATCTGAAGAAAAAATTCGCAAAATGCGCGGATACGGAAGCGGATTTGCGCAAACGCGTGCAAGCGCTCAATACGGAACTCCAGGAGGAGAAGCGGGCCCGGAAGAACGAGGTAGCGTCGGGGCAATTGCGTCACGCGCAGCTGCAAGCAGAAGTGGATCAAGTGAAAGTATTAAGTTAGTACTTGATGAACTACCGCTGCCTTTCTTGTATTGAATTTGAAATCAGGCATCATGAAGTACTTTATCTTAAATATGAAACTTTGTAATTTTGTTGTTGACGTGGTCGAGATCAGATCGATGAGGAAAACGTCGAACACGAAACGTAAGCGAGGAGTTGTTCTCTCACTGCTCCTACGTCGAACAAAACATCAAAACAAGATGGACAATCACAAAGGTGAAACACGCCAAGGACGCGGGTGCCGCCGCCGCACAGATTCAGCAGCTGGAGACCAGCTTACGCGAGGAGCGCGAAGCTTTTTCCGCCGAGCGCCTGGAGTTCGAGGGAATTATGGACGAGGGTTTGCGGTACAAAAACGACGCGGAGGAGCTGATTCGCAACGCAAAGACGACGTGCGCGCAGCTGAACGAGGAGCTGCAACAGGTCAGGTCAGAGAACGTCGAGAAGCAGAGTCTGTTGGAATCCCTGCAGAAGAAGAATCGCGAGCACGAGGACACCGTCCACACCGCGCAGGTCAATTGTGACTTGCTGCGGGAACAGGTTGCGGACCAAAAAAAGAAGTTTCAGGAGAATTACCAGTTGGAGATCGAGAACATCCTTATCACGCGGAAGAAAGCAGCTACTTCTAGCGGATCATGTTTGTACTACTGCAAAAAAAAATTTGATTAGAAAAAGCACACATTTATTATTGGAGCCGGTACTAGGATGCTTTGTTGTACGATATGCGATTCATTTGTGCAACATTTCAGTATGCTAGTAGCTTTTTTCCGTGCGCGATACTCCAGCGCAACTACGAGGAGAAGGTGGCGACCTTTTCCGAAGCGGGGCACGCGATGGGGACGGACATGGCCCGAAACGTGCAGCTGTTGCAGGATGATCTGAAGCGGTTCCGCGCGGAGAACGAGGCCTTGAAGCTCGACAAGAAGGTGGCGGACGCGGAAGCCATCGATCTGTACAAGGACCGGGACCTGTTCCAGTCGCGACTGTCGCAGTTGGAAGAGGAGAATAAGCAGATGGAAAAGCTGTTCGCGGAGGCTCGGCTCGCCTGGGGCCACCGCGAGGAGCAGCTGCTGCGGGAGGTAGAAACCAGCGCTATCAAATAAAGGAAAAATCCCCCCTCCCCATATCGAAAACGAAATTTGTGTTGCTGTATTTGAGTACACAAATTGACTTGTAGTTTTGCTAGAAGGCCAAGAGACGCAGCTGCTCCCTCCTTTGCAGGCCATTTGTCATGCTGTTTTCCATTTACCTTGGCCTCCTGTCATGCTGAAGACGCAAGGCTCTCCTACGCCACCCAGCACTAGAGTTTGCTTCTTTTGCCTTCTAGCATGACAACGCGATTTGTGGTCTCAAATCATGCTACACAAATCTCCGCTCCAGTATGGGGAGGGGGGATTTTTCATTTTGATAAGCGCCAGCAAGGATCTGATGGTGCGGAAGTTGCAGCAGGACCGGCGGGACCTGGAGCTGGCGACGCGGGGGAACGAGCAGGTGCTGAGCGAAAAGATAAAGCAACTGGCCGGAATATCCTGTGTAAAAACGTCCCCACCTCAGAGTTGTCATGCAAATCTGCATCCCAAAAAAGTTTCCGACTGGTTGGTACTTTTCTTGGGGCGACTTGCCGTGGTAGCGCTCGGCTTTTGTATGATGAGGTTGCCGAAAGTGCTTCCTCGCCCACCCCCCGGGGAGGGGATCCTTGACCTGTGGCGCTGGGAGCGGGTGTCCACTACATGATGATGATGATGATGCGGAGCCCCATGAGAAGCAACTCCTATTCGCGTTTTGGAATTTGTGATGCTAGAAACAGCATCACGTGCTAGATCTGTGATGCTGCTGTAGTAGCTAAACAGGATGACCCTGCGAGGCCAAACTTGTCATGCGAAACAAACAAAGCTGGTTGATTTGTCTAGCAACTTTCCCATCTTGACTCTGGTATGGGGACGTTTTTCCACAGGATACGGAAATTTGGAAGGATTGGAAAAAGACTACAAGCAGGAGATACGCTTCAGGCTGCATGAATACGCAACTCTCTGCAAAACAAGCTCTTGGGTCGTGCGGTCCTCGCTCGTTCTCCTTACATACAAGCTATAACTGAGCGTGACTTCTATGTACTGCAACTACAGGCAGCTCCTGTCATCTGTGGTGAATCATTTTCATCGAATCATACCGGAATATAGAGAATTCCGCTGAAGAGCTTCAAGGAGCTAGAAGCATCAAGGCATGACTCGTGACGATGCGTTTCTTTGACGTTCTGGTTCCTGGTCAGAGCCAGAAGTGAAGTAGGCGAAGACCCGCTGTAAGACTTTTGTTTTGCAGGGGATAACACAGAGGAAAAGGCAAAGGAAATGCTGATGGAGAAGGAGGAGGAGGCGAAAGGGAAAACAGAGGTACTTTCTTATATAGTTCTTTCCGGGCGGCATTTAAAAGTTTGCAATTGAGTAAACACAGTGGCCTACGACCAGGAACTGCAAGTAAAATCTTGACACTACTATCAGGAGCTCCATCGTCTCCAGTTGGCCGCCGCGGAGGCCGTCGAGCGTAGCCGCATTGTGGAAGAGAATCTTTCGCATGAGCGTAAGCAGTCGGAGAAGCTAAGGCTCCAATACGAGAAGTGGCGCGAGGAACACCAAGCCCAGATGCAGGGTGTACGGGAAAAGTACGAAAAGGCGCTCGCGAAATGTAGCGAGGACAGCGGTATCCTCTAGTTTAGAGATGATGATGCGAATTATTATACTTTTCGTGTGAGTTTTACTTGCCCTTGCAAACTCATAGTAGGTACAACTCGTGTTGCAATCTGCAAATCACGTTCTGTGAGGTAAACTGAAGTCGCGCGTGACGGAGCTGGCGGCCGAGGCGAACAAGGTCGGAGAGCTCGTTTTGGACAAGGACAAGGATAACCAGAGCCTGTTCGGCTACTTCGAGGAAGCGCAGAAGTCGATCGCCTGGCTGAAAACGGAACAGGAGAAGGAGAACCGAGCGCACGAAAAACTGAAGCAGCGCTACCAGGAGGACACCGCGGATCTGGCGTACCAACTAGAGCAGAGCAAGCGGAAAGAAACGGAACTGCAGCGAAAACGGGAGCAAGACCGTACTCATTCGGTTTTTTTTGCTTTTCGTTTACTGCAAAAGCCATTTTTTTTCCTGACCGCACATTATCATATTTATCACTTTTGTTTACGACAAAGATCAAATCTCAAGACAGTTCAAGCTCCTTATCATCTGAGTGTAAGTAGTGCATGATTTTTACTGGTTTGCTGTTCCCCCAGGAACGTCGGCCTGAACTTTTGGTCTCCGTCGAACTGAAATGTGGAGCTTCATGCTGCAAAAGAAGTAACCCCAAAATTTCCGTTCTCGCAACCAAAACAGGTCTCCAATTCGAGCGTGAGCTCGGCGTCCAGATCAACAGCGTGAAGTCACAAGCAGAGGTGGAAGTGAAGAGGGCAAAACAGGAGTATCTGAAGCTCCTGGAGGACGCGGACCGGCGGTTCCGGGATTCCCTGCAAAAGGAAAAATCGAAGTTCGTGCAAACGCTCGCGGACGAGAAGGTTCGGCTGAACGAGGAAAAAAGCCGGGTCGTTGAGTTGAAGGGAGAGCTTCGTCGCTTCGCGCTGCGATAGAAGCTCTTTGACTACCTACACCAACTCAAGGACTAACTGCGAAACGCTGTACTACATGTTGTCCTACACGACCATCTTTGATTTGAGTACTCCAATCCACATCTAGTGCTACAACTTCCACTTCCATGTTCGGTCGTGATTGATCATGGAAGGATACTTCACGAGGTCCTCGTGTACCCGGCTTGAGGCAGATTGTTTTTGTGGCTAACATGCGACGATCACGATGCTGCATTTTGAAAGTTCTTCGGCAAGAACGCCTAAGCCAGCCCCAGCGCCGGCCAGTGGTAGCTTTGCACTTAGGTTGTACTATCTTCGGAGCAATCGCGTCGACAGTGCGAATTCTATATCGTAAACGGAATCGCTGAACAAGAAATCGCTCGTGGTTTTTCATGGAACTCGCAGAATCGTTGCTGGAACGTCGTTAAAGTGCTGGTGATATTACGATAAGTCTTCGTATGATTCGCTTATTATCTCCGCTGATTTACTTGCAATATGACGCGATGGCACAAGAAGTCGCTCTCGGATGTAGAAAAAGGAGTAGACTTCTAAGAGTTGGGATAAAGGGGAGGTAGTGTGGGTAGTGTAAACATGTACAAGTAGACAGTGACAGACCCGCATTTCTGCCAGACGTAGAAGTGCGACGATCACTTCCTTGCTTTTGTGCTTGTACCTGAGATGAACAAACCGAAAAAACATGCCAGTCGGAATGAAAGCTGTCATGGAACAGCAGGAGCACTGGTGGGCGGAAAAAATGAGCGGAAATGCTAGCAGAAGCCCAGTCGACGCCCTGGCCACGACCGCGACAGGTTCGGTGATGAAGTCATGGGCCGTCCTCGCCGTCGAAAGCCTCGTCGGATGTTCGAGGAAGACGCCCGGAAATAAAAGAACGTTCTTCGTGTCGCAACCACTGGGCGGGGACAACTGGAAGACGCTAGTACAACGCGAAGTAGAACCTCCTGAACTACATGGTGCGCCGAGCCACAGTCTGTCTCTCCTGTCAGGGCAAAAAAACAGCAGCAGCAGCAGCAGAGTGCGAATCAAGTTAAACGACTTCTCGAAAAAAAACGAGATATTTTTGTCGGTAGTTTCAAAAAGAAGTCGGTCGTCTACCGCGTTCATGGACAGCGACACAATGCAGACTGCGGACGAGAACTCGAGTGATACGAAGGCTGGCCCCGATGATGCGGTGGACGAAACGACTTATGATCCGCGAGAAAATAAAAGCTAGCATTTGAAATGTGTTTATTTTGCAACGATGAATGAGTAGTCTCGCCCATGTTTGCAACAGACACAGAGGATAGCAGTACCTAGGAGGGCAAACGTGTTGACTTCTAGCTAGCTTTTTTCTCTCTTACACGCCCGGAAAGCTGCTGAAAGAGGAGATGGAGAGCGCCGAGGAGGATATGACAGACGAGCAGAAGGAAAAAATTGAAGAGGAGAAGAAGAACCTGACGCCGGAGCAGAAAGAGCAGTTTGAGAAGCAGAAGAAAATGATGACGCCGGAGGGGCAGGCAGAGCTGATGGGGAAAAAGGAGGAGGAGGACCAAGCGCCGCCCCCGCCGCCGCCCCCGCCACCACCGAAGGACGCGGAGTGGACGGAGGAAGAGATTGACGCTTTCATGGCGCAGAACGGCATGGACCCCAACGCCGACCCGGGGAACCAGCCTATCCCCCTGGACCGGGAGGCGAACCCGCATGCGGACGACGGCATTCGGCCCCGCGCACCCGCGGTGTCGCCGGACGTGCTGCGGCCGAACGAGCCGGACCTGACGGACATGCGGTTTCTCGAGGCGGAGGAGGCAAAACTGGTGGGCGGCGGTTTGCCCCTCCCGCGCGTGGCCAGCACGAAGCCCTCGCTCCGGCAAGAGCACCACACCTTTCTGGAAAACATTCGGCGCGCGCAGGGCCGCCCGGAAAGTTTTGCCAAGCCCGTCATGAAGCCGAGGATGCCCTTCAAGATCGTGCCGCACAAGCCCAAGTCCACGGCGAAACTCGCGGACCAGCTACAACAGCTCCAGGACGCGCGGGAACAGGCGGAAGCGACGAAGCGCTTCGTGCAGGAAAAAATGGAGGAGGCGCAGGAGGAGGAAAACGACGGCGACAGTGGGGTGCAGGGGGCGCCGCAGAGCTACTAGAAGGAGCATAGAAGAAACGTTGTTGATGATGATGTTGTGTTTTTTGCAGTCGAAGAAACCGTCTCAGTCTCTCTCTGATAAAGTCAATGTATCCAGCAAACAAGAATGAACACGAAACAGTCGATGAGGCCTACGCTCAGACACTTTCTGAGTTCCGGTGCTCACCCAAACCGCGTACTACTCATTTGTTCTACCATGTTCACTGCGGTTGACGCCATTCTGTTTGTACGGTCGTTTTCATCGGGTCATATTTTTTTTTTTGTGTTGGTTTCCACCCGTTTGCTGCTTTTCTTGTTTATCATGCAGCTCTAGCAATGTCGTTCAAGGATCATTGTTTGGCACTGTACTGACTCGTTCTGGAAAACTCCTTTCGCTTTTCGTGCTGCGTTCCTTCGTGATTCTCGTGCGTCCTGTCGTCCTGCGTGTAACTGTCGTCCACGTTGCTCCTTCGTGCTGTTGAGTCGTTACTGCTCGCTGTTCGCGGCTTGCTCGACGTTCACTTGTTACAAGTGAAAGTCCATTGCTTTGATTATATCTTTTTCCATTCGATTGCGATTTCGTGACACAGGTGTATCTGTTTTTGGTTGTGTTTTGTTTGTCCCTACTAGTAGTTCTCGCTTCAAGTAGAAACAATCGAAGTCGTAGCTTCAAGATTTTCCTTCCCTCAATCGTTTTGTTTATTTCACGTTTCGAAGTAAAGTTTCGACCTCGCACCCACCACCGCTGGCTGTCAGCAGATAAAGCTCGGGTCTTGTCAGTCCCCTAGCGGTGGTGGGTGCAGCAGCTATTTATTAGTATTGATCTAGCTCTTTCCACCGTGGCATTATATGCTTAAGCAAGTATAATAACTGGAGGTGGACTCGAGGTTTTCTTAAGGCTTGGTTTTTTACTGACTCCTCGACAACATCAGCACACGAAACCTATACAGACCGCTGAGCTCACATCCTTAACCGCCTGAGATGTCAGGAAACGAGGAAGAAGAAAATGGTCAGGCGGCGGGTCGTGCCGACTCTTTGGTTCGTATGAGTGACGTGGCGCAAGCAGATCGCGAGCTTCTTGACGAAGATGTGGATCAGCAACACGGAAGTAGGACATCATATCTGAAACCAGAAAGCGCAACGTCCGCTGCAACGAGGCATTCGCTGCAGGACGGCAAGGAAGAACCAGAAGCAGAACTGCGTGGTGGTGCTCATCAGAGCAAAATAAGCTCGATAAACCACGAGGAGGTAGTAACTCGAGAACTGCAGGAAGCCGACAGAAGTACGGATGCAGCTCTGCGTCAGACGTCGCCGGAACATTCACCAGCCAGCGCTCTTGGTGGTGCGCCGCGGCCAAGAACAGAGGACCACCTGCTTGTTGCAGACGAGGGGTTTCAGCTGCTGACTGGGTACGCGCAGCTCCTGAAACTGTACTCGCAAGCGGCGTATGTGATGCACACTAGAACAACGACGGCGAGGGGTGATGGAAATCGAAATGGAGTGCAAAGGGAACACGAAAATGAAATAAAGACCTCAAACAGAAGTACTTCCTCTTTCATTGCGGACGAAAGTGCAGCTCCAGCCGCCTTCACAGCACGAGAAGAGGAGAAACTGAGCGCGCTGTTCAACACGCTCGCTGTGGCACAAGCCCGCATCCAAGACCCGTTGAGAAAATTGTTGCAACGATTTGTCGCGCAGCAGCACAGCAGTGGAGCTGGTGCTACAGTGAGAACTACACAACTTGTCACGACCGCAGCCCAACATGGGAGTAGTGCAGGGACGGCAACACACGATCAACAAACTAGAAACCTGCAAGAACAGCTGGCGGCGGACAACGGCTTCGTCCAGCGTATTGCTGACCTGGTGTTCGCGAGACAGAGAGTAGAGCTACACCAGACGGGAAGGCAGCAGCATGATGCGAAGCCGAAAACAAGCGGTGAAGACAAGGGCAGTGACGCAATACGATTAGAACTGGAACTGGTGGATCCATCAAGAAATAAAACTGCCACAACAACCACAACTACAACTGCAAAAGCAGCCGACGAGGACGAGAACAACATTAAGTCCTCTTCGTTTCTTGACGCCGCCGCGCGGGAGCATGTTGCCAGACTGGAACGAATGGTGCAAGAGTTCCAGCTAGAACTAAACCAGCGGCGGTCGGAGTTCTTTTCGCTCCAGAGGCTAGATCCCTCCGATTCATCGCCCGCGGAGCCACCTATGTTTTCGCTCGACCTCACCGCCGACCGGGGGGACCGGAGTGTGCTGCAGCGACCGGGCGGAGGCTCAACGACGCAAGGAGCCTGCGGCGCAAGCACGAGAGGACAACTGCAAGAGAGTACTTCTAGAGGAGGGAAAGAGCAAGATCAAGATGACGACGAAGATGATCTCGATGTACAGCAGCTACCGCGGCCACTTGAAATACTTGCACGCCGCCCGGTCGAGGATCTTGGCACAAGTGGATCTACGACGGTTGTAGACCTGTCCCGGTTCCAGCGCGCGCTCCCGCAACCGCGGGCTTTGAGCGTGCGGGAGCGGCGACAAAACTTCATAGGCGCAGGCGATAGTAAAACTCCAGATAGTTGGAGTTCTCCTACGACAGTGGAGAGTGTTGCACGGCCTGTTCTTGCTGCGCGCGGGGAAACACTAGAACTCGGAGACAAGAATAAAGTGGAGAATGTGCAGCTGCATCAAGCTCTGGACCACGCCCTTCATGAGCAAGCCGGCGCACGACGTGGACCACGACCGGGAAAAAGCTTCACGCGCTCCAAATCCGAGCCACGAAGCGTTGGTGGAACTACTAGCGAAGCTGCTCTGGGCGCCGTTGGTTCCGTCGATGTCGACGTGGTCGTGCCCGGACGGAAATATTTTACCGAGTCATCCGCAATGGGGCGTATCTTGGCTGGAAAATTTGACTTCGAGGAGGGTCTGGTGTCCGTTTCCCGCGACGGAGGAATACAACAGGAGCAAAGTAAAGAAGATAAGCCCGCGGCCCGACGGGGTGTTGAAGAACACCCACCTGCCTCCCCCTCGTATCATCGCCGCTTGAAGCGCGTGCAGGAGCGGCACAGCTCCCTGCTGGAGCTGCTAAGTGCCGACGGGCGGTCGCCGGCGCTGGACTTTTTCTACGTGGCGCCGGCCATGGACGTAATCGACCAGGTGCGGCAGGCCGCGGAGGCCGGGCGCGAGCTGCGGCTGGCGGCAGAGAGGGGCGCGCCGGCGCGGCGGCCGGGCCGGGACTCCGAATACGAGTTTGGCTACACGGTGGAGCAGGAGAAGGCGAAGGCGGCGGCGCTCAGTCTTGCGCTGGACGGGCCAGGTAAGCCGGCCGGGAAGGGAGCTGCGGTGCCCGCCGGAAAGGGAGCACCCGCGGGGAAAGGAGGCGCTCCTGCGGTTCCATCTGGAAAGGGCGCGCCTGCAGTTCCATCGGGGAAAGGCGCTCCAGTAGTTCCATCGGGAAAAGGCGCACCCGCAGTGCCATCAGGAAAAGGCGCGCCTGCTGTTCCGTCACGAGCGAAAGGCGCGCCCGCAGTTCCATCGGGGAAAGGTGCACCTGCAGTTCCATTTGGGAAGGGCGCTCCACCTGCAGTTCCAGCGGGGAAGGGCGCTGCACCTGCAGTTCCATCGGGGAAGGGCGCTCCACCTGCAGTTCCATCGGGGAAGGGCGCTCCACCTGCAGTTCCATCGGGGAAGAGCGCTCCACCTGCAGTTCCTTCAGTCAACGGCGCACCGGCGGTTCCGCCAGTGAAGGGCGGTCCTGCGGTTCCAGCGGGGAAGGGTGCTCCACCTGCAGTTCCATTTGGGAAGGGCGCACCTGCAGTTCCAGCGGGGAAGGGTGCTCCGCCACCGGTTCCATCGGGGAAGGGCGCTCCACCTCCAGTTCCTTCAGTCAAAGGCGCGCCGGCAGTTCCATCAGTCAAAGGCGCTCCTGCGGTTCCCCCAGTGAAAGGCGCTCCCGCAGTCCCAGCGGGGAAAGGCGGCCCACCGGCAGTTCCATCGGGGAAGGGCGGCGCTCCACCTGCCGTTTTTCTAGACAAAGGCGCTCCACCGCCTGCGGTCCCGTCAGTGAACAAAGGCGCTCCGCCTGCAGTCCCGTCCGCAAAAGGGGTGCCTGATATAGCAGCAGCGAAAGGCGTGCCCGCGGTTCCACCGGCGAAAGGTGTCGCTCCTGCAGTTCCGTCTACGAAAGCAGGGATTCCTGCAGTACCTCCTGCGCCTGGAAAAGGAGCCCCGCCCGTTCCGGTCCCGGTAAAGGGTGCCGCACCCGCACCCCCGGTTGGACCCTCGTCCCCGAAGGGAGGCGTGCCCCCAGTACCGTTGACAGGAAATAAAGGAGCTCCTGCTTCGTCCGCTGTACCTGTGACAAAAGGTTCTCCAGGCCAGGTTGGGAAGGGCAGCGCTCCCCCTGTTCCATCGAAGGGCGTCCTAGCCGCGCCCCCGGTGCCGGCGAAGGGAGGTTCTTTATCGGTCCCCCCTACAACTTCACCTCTTGAACCAGAGTTAGCTGTTTCACTGATGGGCAAAGGAAAGTCCCCGACCAAAAAGCCGGCGCCGCCCGCCGTCCCCGGAAGTAAACCCAAAGGAGGTGATGCGACAAGTGCTGTTCCTGAAGTAGAGAACGCGGACAACCGCAGCTTCGGGGCAACCGGGGAGTCTCCGCCTGGCGTGGCCTGGACGGGCTATTTCAAAGGTCCGCCGCTTTTTTCCGGGTCGGGGGGCTTGGGGAAGCAAGGTGCGCAGCTGCAAGCTCCTGCAATAGAAGAAGATTTTGTACCGAGGACAACTTCAACAGGAGTAGAAGAAACTACAAGGCGAGTAACGGCGCAAACTGGAGGTGCAGCACAACATCTTCCCTCCCCTTCCCCTGCAGGTGGCGGCAAACAGTGGTACAAAGGCCCGCCGGTTCCCGGTGCGACGCCACGCAAGGGGCCCGCCCCTGGACCGGAGGGCAAGCAGGCCCCGAAAGGACCGCGCAAGGGCAGCCGGATGAACAACTCGGGGACGGGGGAAACGGCTCCAGCGACGCAGCGCCGGAGCCCGGACGTTGACAAGACGGCCGATACCGGAGGGAGCTATCGAGAGTGAGTTTTTTTCTCTGGAAGAAAAGGTTCGCAGAGACGAGGTATTAAAAGTTCCTCGCTGTGAGGTCACTCTAAAGGTAAACGAGGTTGTGTTGTGAACGTGAGGGCAAGTTGAGATAAAGCCAATAAATCTACCACACTTGCTGGTGCCCAGCGGGTTACTACATTTCTTCGCAGAAATGGAACAGTCACGAGTGTTCGGCTCCGCTTCGAGGGTTCCAAAGCGTCACTGTGTTTGCTGCTGAATGAGTAACGTCGCTCTTCGTCGTTCTGCCAGAGATGATCCTCTTGCTCTTCTACACATTTGTTCCATGGAAGTGACCCAGTGCGGTCCGCACAATCAGAGATCCCGATGCGTACTTTGTTGCACTAATCTTCTCCGTCTCGTGTAAAAATGAATACAACACATGCACAGATATTTACTTTCTGAAACACTGACATGCAACAAGGTCGTTGAATTGTTCGGAAAAAAAGCGGCGCGCGACTGCGGATCCGGATACTCGAACTTTTTTTGTCACGTAACCCGGTGCGTGGTCGTACTTAGTACGACCACGGCGTGCTCTTTCTTGATGGAGATAGCTTTGGCCTTGCGTTTCCTCAGTCGGACAGAACTAAAGAAATGTCAATGTCAGTGTGGACAAAAATCTGTATCTGATTGTTGCAGCCTTCTGTACTGAATATGAATAGGAACAAGTAGAAGTGCCACCAGCAGAACAATATAGCGCTACTGCAGGAGGCCGCTGGGTTTGTTCTTTCTACATCGGCAAAACTGTTGCTTCGATGCATGTTCGCTATGGACGACGTTTCAACATTCCGCAGCATTTTTACGTAGATGTCCTCGTCTAGCGGCAGTGGCGACGATCCCGCAAAGCCGCCGGACGTTCCACCGCAGCACGGAGCTACGGGCGTGGGTGGCAGTGCAGCAGGTGGTGGCACCAGTAGCGCCTCCTCGACGTCAACATCGCAACAAAGCCCAGCTGCTCCGACGGATAGTAACTATAATCCGGAAGGGGCGGCTCCCGGAGCAGCGCAGCCGCAGCGCGGTGGCGGAGGTGCACCACCTGCGCCAACAATGTACGGATACGGCGGAAACCCATACGGCATTGCCGGGAACAGGTGCGAAGAAAGATTTTCAAGCTTTTGATTTTGTATTTTTTGCCGAGTCGCTGTCGTCGTCGCCTTTAGAACCCTTTATTTCATTTACTGTGATGACAATGATTTGGAGGTCAAACAAGTCAAACTGTACAGTGAGTGCATAATTAACATAAGTTGCTCTCCATTCATAGGTTTACGTTTAGTCTGTCTACTTCGTTTCGATTTTTCGTACACAAGAACACTCCCGAAAAATTGACACAGTGGCGTGATGCAGAATGGCGGTGTGGGCGGTTCCGGAGCCAGCGACGCGAACAATCCGTACATGCAGCAACAGCCCGGCATGGCACCGGGAACGGCACCAAATGCGCAAGCCAAACTTCCGGTGCGGGAGGATATGGTCAAGCAGGCGCTAACTTTCCTCAATCATGACACTGTCCGCAAGACCGCGTCGGAGAGCCAAAAACGCACCTTTCTCCTGCAGAAGGGTCTCACCGAAGAGGAGATCACGGAGGCCCTCGGCAGGGTAGGCACCTGGACGGGGGCAGCGGGGGCCCCGACCGCGCCGGGGGGCGCGTCGGCCAGTTCTAGTTCGAATCCGAAAGTCGTGTACCCTCCGCCTGCGTATCTGTACCAGGACAACGATGGTAAGATGGATTGTTTTGCGGGTGAGATGAAAAAAGTCAGACTCAGGGGCTCAGTGTAGAGACGAATATACGAAGATTCTAATTTCATTGTCCGTCGCCTGTGGTGCTACAAGAGAAAAACATCACATCGCATATACCTAAATGGCATCTCCAGACTCCAGCGTCCTCCGCACTTTTCTCCAAGTTTCGGGCGCATTTTACACCAGAGGAAAAAGCTCGCATGCCACCAAACAATGAAAAAACAAGCACAACGATAGCAAAGCCTTTCTTGCGTTAGAGTTCTTTATTAAACAAGATCGTACTTAAACTTATCATGCATGGCTTCGTCCGCGTGAAATTCGATATTTCTTTTCTCATTTGTCGTGTTGGCATTGCATTAGTACGTTGCTGTGGTCGCAGCTTTCTTCCTCGCGATACGTTGAGCATCGGGGCCCTGGCGTACCGCTGGCTCCAGAAAAACGAAACCTGGATTCAGGAACGAACCGGCGTCTCACTCGGGATCGGTACCACATGAAATTTATTGAGTGTACAATGTCCCACTCGGGCTCCGACGCCGGTCCCAATGTAATGAATTGTCATCCCATTTTTAGATTCAGAAGATGGTTTTGATGAATGCTGCCTTAGTTTTGCTCGATTCGTGTCAAACAACCAAAACTCATAGGCCCCTCCCCCTTGGAGAGCGGCCTCGAAGGAGCCGACTTCGAGCAGGGCGGCGCGGGCTTGCTCGTCAAACAGACGATGGATAAGCAGGCCGACGAGATTTCCCAGCTGAAGGGAGTTGTCGAGGAATTGAAGCAAAGCAACAGGGAGTTGCAGGAAGACCTGGCGCGACAAAATGGGCAATTGATGCAGACCATGTCGTATCCTGTGCAAAAGTAGTATCGTGTACTTGTCATACCATAACAGAATTGCATAGACTGCATGATGTTGTGCGAATTCTTATCTCTCTATCTTTCCCTGTTCTATTCAGTATTAGAATGTCCAATCAATAGGGTTTTTCCGAGTTGTTGGGAAGACTACTCGTGGTGCAATTTGTACTACGCTTCGTCACTCTCACTTTTGCGCTGCACACATCGCAATTGATGGAAAAGACGCAACAGCTGCAGAGTACCGCAACGGCAAGCAGCAAGGTTGGTAACAAGGACGACCCACTTCAAAGCGAAAAGATCGCCGACTCCGTCGTTGCAAAGCTGGACGTCGAACGGCTTGCGGAAGTGGTAGCAGCAAAGCTGGATACCAACGCCAGCCTCATGGCCAAGCGCTTTGACGTATTCGAGCAAAACATAGTTTGGGTTTGTACACGTCTCTGTATGGGTTGTGTGTAGAAGTGTGCTTGTTGTGTTTTGTGTCCTAGTGCGTTGCAACGTGGAAGGATATAGTGAAGTGGATCATCTGCATGAATTACCTTTACCATCAGTCGGCTGTTGTACTTTCTAAACAAAACAAATTCTGTATTTTTGCAGACGCCGAGCGCCACGCCGTCACACGCCACCGACGTCGCGCAGCAGGCCCCAGGAGACCCAACCACGTACCGCAAGAAAAAACACTATCTCAGTCTCAACTGGTTACTTACAGCACTGAAACTCCTCGAGACAGTTTTGCTATTTTTCTCATGCTTGATAGGCAAGAAGTGTAGGGTACTTACCTTTTGTACGGATTTTCGTTCGCGTCTGAAGCTGCATAACAGATTCGGTGTTTCATGCTGAGCGAATTTGTGTTATTGCTGAGCAGGCTACGTCTGCAAAGGTTTGGGACTGAGACACTTTTTTTTCTGGGATCCCATGCCCGCGGCAGTTAGTCACCTGAAGGAACAGCAGCCCGCGTCGAGCAGCAGCACAAGCACACCGGCGGCAGTGAAAACCACCTCGATTGCAACACCGGGGTCCGGCAACGAAAAGGATGGGAAGACGAGTGAAGAAAGTGCGGCGCCAGCAACCAGCAGTAAACCCGGACTGGACCTACCAGCGGAGGATATCACAAAGTGGAAGGGGGAGATGAAGCGGCTGCTCCTGAAGCTGGTGAAAGCCTGCGAAACCAAGCAGGACGCCTCGAAGACGCTCAACATGCTGTCTATGCAATACAAACTCAGAATTCAATTACCCTTGCCGTTCACGTACAAACGGACGAACTTGCATTTTGCAAATTCCGGAGCCTACGACCTAGGTCATGAGATCTAAATGAAAAATAAACTAACATAAAGGTTGGTAGATGTAGATCAGGAGTGTTGTGGTCATGCGTAGTCGACGTCATTCGTAATTGCGCTTGTACGTTTGCGGCGAGTTGTACTACATTACCAGTGCATACTGTATCTAGTGATGGAGAACCTGCGGAAACACCCGGGGCAGGACAAATACAGAAAGGTACTATGTGGAAAAGATTTCGCTACCTGAACCTGTAGTCTCTGAAAAAGAGAAAGATCTCGCAGTTTTCTTGAAAGGGTGGTACTTATTTTATACACCGTCCACCTCGCAGACCAACACCAAGAATTCACGATTGTTGCGTTGTTGTGAACGAGTGATTTATTTTCCTTTTCGCAAAAAAAAGTTGAAAAAACAACAGGTGAACACGGCCTCCAGCCGGTTCAAGGAGCGATTGGGCAACAAGATCGCGGCCTCCGAAATTCTGTTGCTCCTTGGTTTTGAGAAGAAGGGCCAGAACTTCGCCTACGGGCTGGATAAGGCGCAGCAGGAAGAAGTCGCGCGAACGAACACGCTGCCGATCCAGCCGGACGTGTGTCCAGTCGTGCTCGCCGTGGATGTAGTTTCGGAGTCATTGCACAGCATTGACTCCTTCTGGACCGAAGCGCAAGCCAGCGGGCAAGAGGCGACTGTTGGGGAAGCGCAACCAGTGGACCCTGCGAAAGATGCTGCCGCAGCAAGGAGTAAATCCACGGGCACGAGTGCGGGCAACGGCGCTGGGACGGCGGTGCGTGGCGGACCGCAAATCCGAGATTTGCTAGCCGAGGAGGAGCAGGCCGCGGCGAATGGCAAAGAATGACTGTGAATTGGTCGTCTAGTTCTTTGGGAGGTGTGAGAGTGAAGAGAACCGAAAAAAGCCAAAGCACAGCTCGCTAGCTCGACAACTCTCTTTTTGTATAGGGAGTCACCGACTTGGTCGGTCAGATGATATATTTCATATGGATCTTCAGGCGGACAATCTAAGTTACAGTTCTTGCTCTCATAGAGCTTTCCCGCGCAGAGTTCTTTTTTTCACACAATAACCGTGAAGGGCCGGCTCGAAGCGTGCAGGAGGCCACAGCTCGCCCTTCCGCTGTTTGCGCATAAAGCAGACAATTTTGTGCGTGGCACGGATTTCAGTATGAAGCTGCGTTCTAATTTTGGTCGGCGTTCAAGAACACATTAGAATTCTCATAGAGCCCAGTCATGATCGTGTTGCGCCGCAGTAGTTTGGATCAGATAGGGTATGAAGTAGAATAGCGTTGGTTCGTCTTAGATACTATCCAGTAGGACGATGCGGTCGTGTTGCTTTTCATCCATCGATGTCTTCGACCCGATCATCGTTCACGTTTTCGGATGTATGAAAAACATCAAGGTGTTTCTTCTGTACTTACTTTCTAATTGATTCGGTCGTGTGGCGCATGGTCCTGGCCGAAATTACACTTTCCGGAGGTATAAGAACAGATACGTGGTGCGTTCTGCCTATCTCTGGAAAAACAAACGTTGGGGGGCGAGGATTTTGCTTTTGTTTTTACAGAAAAAAAGAGGGCGATGATCTTTCAGGTGGATATCTATGGCGAGGAGAACGACCGAAGCATATTCCCACACCGCCGTGGATATTACAAGCAAGATTAGCGACATTATCGCACTAGTAGAGAAGTAGTTCAAAATTGTTCCGACTTATTTATTACCGCTACCACAAAATAAAATGTCAAAAGTTCGCGACCTGCTTGCACGCTACGTCTGTTCTCCGTACCTCCGCGCGCTTGCGGTTGTCATCGTTCTGGTTGGGTACGTGTCGCTTGCTATTTTTCACGCCTTTGATCGCCCGACGGAGATCGAGGAACACGGTCTGATATGCATTGCAAAATTATCGTACCAGTACTGGAAATTGCATGTGCAAAAAGCCAAAGGCCTGAATGGTTTTGCAAAAGGAAAATTTGAGAGGAAATTGGATCTGTAATGCTGAATTTATTAGATAGTACGAGTACGAGCCCAGGTCTTATACTGTTCCGACCACCCACGGCTCCGGCGACGTAACATCTTCTTCCCGCCTACCGGCCCGGATCGCAGCGACGATGGGTTTCAGAGTTTTAGGGATTTAGGGTTCTAGTTCCAACTTATTTGCTGCACTGCAATTTTTAGTACGACCAGCACGAAGATATTTTTGCACAGCATAGTCGATCCCCGGCTTCCACCGGCCCACCTTCACCATCGAACCAGAAACAGTCGTGTCGTTGGATGTTCATACTCCACCAGAACTATCCACTGCTGGTGATCTACTACTTCGAGAAGGAGCGCCCGTTTCTAACCATGGCCAGAAAGAAGTGCATAGTGATCTTTTCGACGCCAATCTTCAAAAGAGAGCAAAGAGAAGCGCGAAGAGGAACCTCTTGCTCATCCACCTGGCACGACAGTTGCGGAAGCTCGGCACGCAAACGGAGCTGGTGTTAGAAGAACAGAGCGAGAAAACAAGAATTTCAACACACACTGGCTGCGCTGGTGGTGGAACATCATCTGCAAGTAGAACTACAGCTGATGAGTCGCAGAGCCCGGCGGGTGCATGCGTGTTGGGAATGTACGCCATCGCCAACTCGCCCCGCGGGGATGGTCGGGAGCGGATTGCGGTCGTGTTCGAGATGAACTTCGCTGAGGACGTCGCTGTCAACGCCGGTTTGCTCGCGTTCGGCACCCAAATCGCGAGGTTTCTGCAGACCGCGCCGTGGCTCGCCCGCGACTGCGTGGTGGCGTTCTTGGACAGCAGCGTCCCGCACGGGAGGGCGGCGAAAAGGTTCTTGGAAACCTACTACGAGCAAAGCGGGCGGTCGTCGTCCGCTGCTTCTGCCAAAAATGCCGGCGTGTTCCCGACAGGCGGACAGCTGCTGCGGCAGGCCGTGATTTTAAACTTGGACGGTGCCACGGTGCGGGTCGAGAGAAGTGCAACTACTTCACCTAGTACTATCGTGAGTGACAGAATTGCGGCTGCACCTTCCTCTTCTCCTACGTCATTTGAAGATGAGCACGGAGCAGGAGAAACCATGACCCAGCAGCTGGGAGTGCAATCATTCACCGTGTTATCCAAGAAAAAAACACCATCACAATCACATTTAGGAGGTTTCGCATCAGAAATCTGTCTCCCATGGCAAATTTTCCTTGTATTGCAAAAACACAAAGGGGAATCGCCTATAACTCTTGACTGTGATGCATTTTTGCGCATGACAAAAATTTTTGTATTGCAAAAATGTGCAAAAGTGATTGTGATGGTGTTCTTTTCTTGAATACGTGTCCTGTGCGGAGTTTCTGGTGGACATCGAGGGCGTGAATATCAAATGTAAAAATGTCTGGGTCTGGAAGATTGCAACTTGTCATGCTAACTTTGGACTCTAGCAAAATCTGTATTGCATGACCAGCAAGAGGAGTCTAGTTTGTGCTGCGCGGGGAGGGCGTTTGTCATGCGGAGTAGGCATCAGGAAGCCCTCTCAAAATCTGTGATGCGCGGTCGTGCATTACAGACATCCTGGGTCATGCAAAACATGCATGACAAATCTCAGAATCTTCCAGACCCAGACATTTTTACATTTGATAGTGAACGGGTTCCTGCCGAACCAAGATATCGTGAACGCCTTCCTGCGCGAAGTCGAGATGGCGCGGCGCTACAGCTACGGCGGCAACCTGTTTCGCCTGCGCTCCGCCTGGGAAAGCCTGTTGTATCTCGGGCCCCAGAACGGCGGCACCCAGTCCGGGCACTCCTGGTTTTTGGCATACCAGATCCCCGCGTTCACGGTCAGGGCGCTGTCCGCACCCTCTGGTGTGCGGTCCTCCTTTAGTACTGAGTCGCGCTCCTTTCCAGCACCGTCGAAAAACGAAAATGCAAATAATGGTGCTCCATCTGTCACAACTCCAGAATCTGGGGCTCGGGGGGGCGATGAAAAGTTCGTGCTGTTTACCACTGAGGTACAACTATCCACAACAAGTAGAACTTCCTTCCCAGACGGCGCTGATGCTATATCTAAACTGGAAATCCAGGCCACGCCGTCTCTGCAACTTCTAGCTGGGGCGACCGAAGGGTTGCTTCGGGACTACAGCAATGTGCTGCAGCAGCTCCACCACTCCTTCAACACCTACGTCATGACGACTTTGCGATCCCACGTCAGCTCCGGGCTCTACTACTACCCCGTGTTTGCCATCATTGCGGGCATGGTCCTGCTCCTCCTGGTCATCCCCGACCACGTGCCGTTCCGGCGGGACTTCCGCGGGGTGATCCATGGGCTGTTCCAGCTCGTCGCGATCGCGGTGTGTAGTGGAATGCCCGTTTTTCTTCTTTTCTCGGACGGCCACATGGAAGCGGTTTCTGGGGCGTGGAGAAAGTCGACCGGGTTCTCGTTGCTGTCGGACTTTGTCGAAAGAACTAGCGGCGCGGCGAAAAATTTCGACGAAAGTCTCTTCGATCTCCGGTCCGGCCAGCTGAAACTCCTTTACTTCGTGTGGCTCCTTTGCGTATCAAACGGCAAAAATAAAGCGCCTCGCCTCGTCCTGAATTTTTGAAATGTCTTCATTGTAAAACTTCCAAGTCTTCGACAATAGAAATACAGACTAGACCACTACGAAAATTATAACGAGTCCGACGCTTTTCTTCTTGGATCACGTTTTGTCATGCAAATACTTGTACTTCCTCATCTATTTAGGGCATCGGGCACCTTGCATCCTGATACTGCGTCCGCCGCGTTCTCACCGCCCTGCAGATTCAGCAGAAGGGCTTCGGCGGCCAGGAGTTGCAGTGCGCGAGCGTGCTCGCCTTCGCGCTGCTACTCGGCGCTCTAACGGTGTATTGCTACGCGCTCGGGGTCTTTTTCACGGCGATAATGGTTCCGCCACTGATCTTGGTGGTGCCGCTGCGGTTCTCGGTTTGCAGCACACGAAGGACGGCGTTGCAGCGATGCAGACACCTGTTCAGCCAACTTCTGATTCTTTCCTTCCTCGCTTTCCACGTGTTTCTCGTGACTGTCGACGCCGAGGAAAGAAGAGAGGTCTACGTGCCCAGATTTGCGGAGATCAGGGATGGTTTTCTCTTCCCAAGCTACTACACCGCGACAAGCTCCGCCCGGGCGAATCCGAAGGTGGGGAAAATGCTACCCGACGACTTGGTCGAGGTAATCCTCAAGACTGCCGTGCCGGATTTGCTCGGTGTAGACGTCCCGGAATTTCTCCGGAAAGTCGTTGCCGATTACGAGCACACCGGCGCGGTGCTGTACCCGGTGTTGTGCTTTCTCTACGTGCCCTTCGTGGTCGTTTTGGTCTTTGTCCTCTTCGACTTTCCCAGCGTCATTTCCTCTCCCTGTGGGTTCGAAGGAGGGGTTCAAACCGTGAAGACAACTGCGTTCTCCTCCTCTGCTGGAGCTTCGGCCGGCGGTGGCGGGGGCACGAAAAACAATAAGATCATACCACAAAGGAAAAAAGTTCTGGACTTGCGTGTGCTCGCCGGTTCGTGTGAGCAAACTACAGTGTCTTGGAGGGGGATGCAGAAAAATGGGCGAAACGGGACGACAAATAACATCGACTTCGACAGCACAGAGAACAAGGACTGCGTCGATTTCCTCACCTTGCAGAACGTGGAAGAGCTTCCGGTGTTTCCCGGCGCGGCAGGGATTCTCAGTCGGGTCATACCGACCGTGGAGGCTTTGCGAAAATGCGCATTCAAGGTCGCCTGCACGGACTTGAGACTACAAGCAGGGGACAAGGTGGTGATAGTAGAGGAGATGGCGACCACAAGGTGCTGGGGGTTCGAAGGTAAAAACCAACATGAACATACCATATCAACAACAGCCGCAAGGAAGAGAAGAAGAGATACTGACGCCCGGTCCTCCGGCTCCACGAGTGCTGCAGAGGACGATGAGGATGATCAGATTGACCGCGACCTCTTTTCGGCACAGGAGCTCAAATATCCTGCGGATAATTGCTAGCACAGTGGATGAATGCGCTATGTTTGCATACGAATTACGCTGACATTTGCTTCTGCAGAAGCAGCAGATGTCAGCACGATTCGACTCCTCTGAAGCGCTACAGAGCTACTGATACACGCTCATGTGAGGGCCTACGCTATTCTTCGGACATACAAAACTACCGGCGAAGTTGCCGTCTGTGCGTTTCAGCTCTCTCATCCTGCCGCAAGCAATTTTCTGTATCGATATTCTAGCAGGGGCGGTTCTGTTTTTCCTCTTGCTTACAGTCTGCGTTGTCGGGGGCACGGTGTGGAAGAAAACTTCTTCGTCCGGAGTTGCCACCTGGACTGACGTTTTTGAAGGGATATTGTTTTGACACATCCGTACGTGTGCCGCTGCTGTTGTGCGTGTGCTCACATGCTTTCGTAAACGGAACACTTGCGCTCGACGTCACACTGGACATGCAAGGAATCGTCGTCCGAGGCTCGTCGTTATGCATGACCAACCGCCACGTTGTTCCCGAACCCGAGATCTAATTGAAGATGTTTGTACCTGTATGTACGCTTGTTTGTTCGTCTGTGATGTTTTGCTCGCACAGTATCCACTCAGCACCGTGCAGTTGTTCAGAATTTTGTAAAAGAAAATGCCGTCGTCCCCCCTCTTCTCGGTTTTCCGACGTCGAGCACGCTCAGCCAGCACTTTATTTGATTTTGTCGTGATTTTTGATCTCAAGGACTCAAAGCCTTGCGGTGGTAATCTCCGTTTTTTTCCTTTTGGTGATGCTTCCCTAAACATTTTTCCTCGAGGTCGAGGCATTTTCGTCCGTGTCATCGTTCCCATTTCGACTTCGTTCACATCTCAGTGTCGTGCAACGGCGTCTTGTAGGGTTATCTCAGTCTTCTCCGTGTTTCGTTGCATCGTTCTTTCTGCGTCCTTGACAACATCGTTCACATTTCGACTTCGTTCGCAAAGTCGTCCTAAGCTGCACCGTACGAGCTTCATAAAAGGTAACTCAAGCCCGGTAGGTCAAGTATTGCCAACAAGTACGTAACGTAACTGAAGATAAGGATAAGCTAATTTGATGAAACTTGCAGAACATGATCTGTCTGTCTCCTTCTTCAGAACATTATCCCAGCACCGTGAGTATGATCTCCAACTCCGTTTTCGTTCATTTCAACCACACTACTAACTATAACCCTTGAAGCATTTTGAAGATGCAATCCTTTTGCTCCTGAAATCGAAAAGCTACGAAGAAGCATAGCAGCAGAAGGGATTTCTATAGATTACTTTTCTTTCATTCTGATTCTGTGTCGACGAGCACGAGGACCATGGCAGGCGTCTCTTCCGAGGATGAGCTCTCGTTCTCGGTGGAGACGGTTGTCGTGACGGGCTACGCACCCGAGCAGGTCAGTCTCGTCACCCCGCTGGACGATCCGACACCGGCCGTGAGGATGCTGAGTCCGCGCGCCACTGGGCAATCAGTCTTTCGTGCGCGGCGAAACGGGATGAGGACGGCGGTCGTGGAGGAGGAACTGCAGGGTAGAATTTTTTTAGCGTTAGGATTTTCTTGTTCATCAGGTCAAGCACGCAGACTAGATGTGTGATGTAATTGTATGTAGACTAGTGGTTCACTTCGAAAAACAACCCAGAGTTTTTGATGATCGTACTGGCAGTACACAAAACGATCATCGTACAAGGTGCAGCTCTTGCACGCACGCAGCTGATTCGTACTTTATTTTGCAAAAATCAAAACAGACCAACCCGAGCTTGTCGCTTCAGCAGTACTAGCAGGAACCCCACCGCCTGCTCCGACCAGCGCGCCAACACAACTTCTGTCCGTGCAACTGCCCGCGCCGACGCTCGCTGCGTTGGAATTCGACTTTTTTTCCTACGCCGGACACAGTACGGAAGATGAGCAAAACCGCGACGCGGGAGAACGTGAAGACCACAAAGACAGCAGCCAATTATTGCACGACTCCGCCGAGTCCGTGGGTCCACTGCTTTTCTTTCCGGACGAATTGCAGAACAACAAGTCCGGTGGAACTACAAGCAAGAAGAAAATTCCGGGCCATTTGAGACGACCGGTACTAGCAACTGCTGCGGCTAGTAGCGCTGTCCCCGGAACAAAAACAACTGCGCAACAAGTGCCTGGAAAGAAAAAGATGAACAAGGAACAGCCGCAGCTCGCCGTTCCCGCGGGAGAGGCAGCGAAAATTTTGACAAACGCAACCGCGAAAGCAAAGAGGGCAGCGAAGAAAGAAACCCAAGCAGAAGCCGACCGACGCAGGGCCCAGTCGGTGCCCTTGCGGGCCTTGCCCCCGGTGGACGGGTCGCTGAGCAGCCGGGGGTCGTCGAAAAGAACTGCGTCTTCACCCTCAGCCTCTACTAGAAATAACGTCCTAGTAGTACCTCTTGCAGGGGAACAGGAAGATGCGCTGAAGGGGTCTGGTCGTGCGGTGGCTGGACCTCCAGGCAGCGAAGGTATAATGTGAAGATTGCTTGTTCTTTCAAATGACAGTAGCGTTTTTTATATTTTTCATCAGATCAAAATCACAATCGCAGCAACAACTTTTCTATCGGAGATTATGGAGGTTATACTCTACGTGAGGATGACTGACGTGACCTTCGTGAAGTTGTCCGTTGCTGGTGCTATCTACTTTTGACTCTATTTTATACTGCATAGGCATGAATCATTAATTATCATTTTGAAATTCAAACCACACCGACACTGCCAACAGGTCCCCGTCCCACCAACTCCCGTATGTCAAGCTGGGTAATGCCGACCTTTTCCGCGACGCCGCATCCGGTAGTGAGCGACACCAGCGCGCGTGATCATAATTCCACCACCTCCCAGCACGGCGCAGCTGCTCCCGCGGGGCCCTTGGTTCATCTCGCGGCTACGCCGAAGGAACTACTCCCCGCGCCCAAATTATTGCGGGGCATGACGCTGGACCACCTGGCCAAGCGGATTCGGCCCGAGGAGAACGACGGGAAGAAAACGGACTCAACCTTCGAGTTCCCGCCCGAGGGTTGGGAGGACGAGGAGGGCAACAACAGCATGAAAACAAAACTTTCGAAGGAAGAGGAAATGAATCCAAATTTGAACGAAACATCGGAGGGTCTTCAGGTGGACCACGACTCAAATGAATTACCACTGGACGAAGAAAAGACAAAGAGCAAAAACCACGAGGGAATAACCATTTTGGAGGAATTTGAGCCGGTGCCCAACCTTTTCAGCGACGTCGACGGGCAATCCGAGGCGACGCAGCCACCCGGCGTCTCCGCGGCGGGCCAAGATGTTGTTGAAACGGGTGACGAGGTAGCTGCAGCGAACGCCGCGAAAACCACGCCGCGGCCGAACCAGTTGAAGATGCGGCGGGCTGCTGCGGTCGCGCTGTTTCTGGCGCGGATGAAGAAAGCGCAGGGGGCGAAGGACAAAGCGCCGCTGGAAGAGGCGCTGCTGGCCAAGATGACGGCGCGAGACAAAGAGAAGGAGCGGCAAGGGGAGATTCCGCGAGACGAGGAAGCAGTGGACGGGGTCGGTGAGCCGGGAGAAGTAGACCGGACCGGGGAGGACGAGGACGAACAGCCGCTGCTGAGCAAGCGGGGAATCCTGCCCTTCACCAACTTTGTGGACCTGATCAACGCGAATTTCGAGAAGCGGGCCATCGAACTCCGCGGCCAGCTGACGACCCTGCCGCTCACGCCCGTGGTGCTCATGAATCCCAGCAGCGGCGAGGAGGAGAACGAATTCGAGCTGAGCCACGAGGAGGTGGAGCAGCAAGCGGAGCAGCCCATCTTGAGCGAGCGCGAGGTGGGCAAGTTCTTCCGGTCGACCGCCGAGATGCAGCAAGATGGGGGCCGCGGTGGGCCGCTGGTTCAGCAGCAGCCCAAGAAGGCGGTGACGCGGAAAACGCGGAAGAGCCAGATGAAATACCTAGAGAACCTGGCCTCCAAGCGGAACTACAAAAGTAGTGCAGCAGGTGGAGCTCCTGCCGTCGACGAGGAAAGCGGTTCTGCGAGGACGCCGCGCGCCGGAGTTGTACCACCTAGTACTACGGGTGGTCCGAAGAGCAAGCGGCAGACAGCAACCGGTCCGGGTGCCAGAAAGAGCACAACGGAAACTAGTAACCAGCAAAACAGCAAAGCCGTCGCGAAAAGGGGCGGTTCAGCGGCCACGACTTCTGGCGTCACCGTGATCGTCGAGAAGTTGAAATTGAAAAACGGCACCGCGACCGCCGTGAACCCCGGCAGCCGCGTGGTCAAGGCCAAAGACCTGTACGGCTCCGAGATGAACAAAAAGGCGGGAATAAAGGAAGGATCTGCGGTGCGCGCAAGCTCGCAGCCAAGCCGGTACGAAGCGGGAGCAGCCGCTGGTGCGTCGTCCGCAAAAAAGGCCGCCGGAAAGAAGCGATACAGCCAGGCACGGAGTAAGCAAACTACAGCTAATGGAGCCCCCGCAGCCAACGTAGCGACAATGAGTAACCGCGGCGCCAATACCGCGGGGGATTTGGAAAGCAGCACAAGCATAGCAACGTCTGGGACCAACGCCACCGGCAAGAAGGAACCTGTGCCGCCGGCGTCGCACCAGCACGACGGGAGAGCTGCATCACCCGCAGAAGCACGTAGCCACCATCAACCACATGGAGTCGGTCCTAACGTCCTGCTGCACGGGAAGAAGGATCCTGCCCATCACGAAGACCGTGCCGCACACACGCCACAGCACACCCCGCGCGGACAAGAAGATCATGTCGTGGCCGACGAGCAGCCGCCCCAGCAGCCGACGTTGCCACCCTGGCAGCCGCTGATCGAGATGCCGGTGCCGGCCATCTACCCGCTCGGCGGGCCGCCGAAGCCGGACTCGCAGGTCGTCCAGATGCTGCACGCGCCGGACCTTCCGTTGGGCGCGGGCGTCGTGAGCCCCCAGGTCGAAGTGCAGGAGTTAAAGCAGCGAATGAACCTCGCGCGGGCGTTAGCACTAAAGAAAATTCCCAAAGTGCAGGACGATTCGGACGACCGGGCGATGAACAGAGCCCGCGCAGCCAGTCTGCCGCCCCAGCCGCATTATCGCGCTGGTGACCACCATAATAACGAGCTCCAAGCGGCAGGAAATAAAGACAAACACCACCGCGTCACTGGAGCAGCACACCCGCGGCATTCGGGGCAGAGGAGGAGTCACCAGCAGCACCATTCGCTGACGAAACTGCAGGGTGCAGGGGGTGGACGAGCTGCTGGTGCAGCAGGTCCGCCCAGGAACTACAGTGAGTCCCGCACGTCCAGTCCGCTCCAGGACCGGCTCGCGCAGAACGGCCTGGGCGTCGGTTCGCCGAAGCGGTCCAAAGACGACACATTTCTCGGACTGCTGGAACCGGACGAGATCCCGGGGGAAGATGAAGAGAAAATGTTCCACCCGTTAATGGCCAGTCCGAAGCAGTGGGGCCGTAAGTACGTGCCGCGGTGGGCGTCCACGTACGACACGGTGGTTGCAGAGGGGGCGAACAGCGACGAGCTGGTCAAGTACACGGTATCCACAACGACCGGGGAGTTGCTGTTCAAGCACAACGCGAAGCAGGCCAGCGCCACCCGGCCGCGGCGTTCAGTGGACGACATTCATCTGAGCGCGCCGCAGCTGCTGCACCCGCGGTCCGCCTGGTTCGGCACCCGCGCACACGGGCTCGCGCCCGGGAGGGTCGTTAGCAACCGGGTCGGCGTGATGTTCAACAGTACTACGGCCCTGACGCCAGAGCAGCAACTGCAGCAGGCCAAGGAAGTAGATCTAGAACAAGTGCCGGCGATGAAAAATTACGCGGTGGGCTCGGATCTTGCCCTCGGGCCAGGCGAGCAGACGTTGCTGCAGCAGATGCCCCCCGGCGCGATGCGGGCGAAGGACCCGGCGCGGTATCCGTTCACCCGCGGCGGTCCGGTGAACCTGGCCGAGGACGGGTTTGGGATGTTGACGCGAAACAGCAGGAGCCACAGCCCAGTACAACAAGGTGCTCGTGTTGGGCAGCATGGACAAGAACCCCACCGGAACAAGAAGCACCCGCACAGCAACCTGATGCACCACGGAGGACAATCAGGAGTACAACAACTTCACAGCAACGACGACAGTGAAAATAACGACCCAGCGCGCGGCCGCAGATCGAGTTTTCCATCGGGCGTCCACCAAGACCGCTTCAAACGGTGGAAGCTGAACAAATTCGCCGGGGCGCAGTCCCGGCTCCACGTCGTGCCGAAGCACCGCGCGTCTACGCCCGACCGGAAGTCGGTGGGGCTTCTTCTCGGCGAAGAGGAGGACAACTCGGAGGTTGTACCTGTGATGCAGGGCCCCCGCGCCAGCACCGGCGCCGCAGCAGGAGCTGGGAAAATAAATTTCGAAGACGGGGGGAACAAGGAACTAGTACCGCAACAAGCCGGCGCAGTAGTTGACCTGACGTCCCTCGCCCTGCAGGTCAACGACCAGGTCGTGGCACAGCGAAACTTATCTCGAAGGAAATCCGCCCCAGGAGGAGCAAAAGGACGAACAACTAAAGGCCGTGCACGGTCCCGCGGCGGAGCGGCTGGCGTTCTTGCGGCGTCGCGGAGGAAGGCGTCGAAGGAGAAGAACGAGGTAGCCCTTGCGTCGTCTAGTCCGAACAGTAGAAGTGGCTCGCTGGACAGCAAGAAGAAAAATTATGCGGTGACTGAGGAACAAGACAATGTGGTGTCTTACGAAAGTAGAACGGCCGGTGGAGTTCAAATTCAGGAACCTGCTGGTGCGAAGATGTTGTCAAATTCGTCGAGCAAGGACGTCGGCGCGACCCGGTACACGGAAATGAACCGGCAGCTGGTGGACAAGCTGCTCACGGTGTTGGACAACGAGCTGCTCGACGCCGATAGAGACTCCCAGACGGGCACAGCTGCGCAGTTCCGCTGCGACGACGCGCCCAGAGAACTACAGGCACGACCTTCACCTGTGAATTATACTGCAACTGCAAACGGTGGAAACGCAAAGAGGAACAGTAAACAATCTACGTCGAAAAGGAATTTTCACAGCCGGGCGCAGAAGCTGGTCCCGGCTTTGGACATGCAGCAGGTGCCGAGCGCCTTGGAGGATGAGGATGAGACCGAAAATTTAGACGAAATGGCAGCTGGGGAAGATGAGCAACAACCTATTGACCAACTGAGCAAAACCGGAGGTGGCACAAATTCTGCTACAATCCTCGGACCACAGCAGTCACCAGCCGTCGGACAGTTGCGGTTCCAGGCCAAGCCGCTGATCGCGCCGCAGCTGTTCGTTGGCATCCCGGTGGACACCAGTCAGCAGGAACCCGTCGTGCTGGCGAACGGCTCGCCGTTGCGACAGTTACCAACAGCTACTAGTTGTACAACAACGCCGGCGGGCATGATACTGTCAACATCTTCACCCCTCGTTCATCCCGCCTCGGTCGTTGTGCCGGCACTACAAATGCAGCCGGTGAGCACCACCACCACCACGATGCTGCCGGGAGGTGGAACGTTGACGACGATGGCGAGTGGAGCAGGTATAAGCAGAATAAATGGCGCTATTGCTCCTGCTCCTGGCCCGACGCCGGTGACGGTGAATAGCAGCAACATGCTGACGAGGCTGGCGCCGCCGCGAATCGTCGAGTACAACCACTAGAAGACGATAAAACCCCTGGATGAAAAACAAAAAGTTCATAGCTAAAGCGGCGATCGCGATGCTGCTCCTATCTCGGTAGCTTTTTATCTTCATAGGTTTGACGAGTACAGTACTAAATACTTGTTTCATGATCATGTTTTATTAGAAGTTTCTGTTTGTTGTAGCAAAATTTAGATTTACGTTTACCCGACTCCCCCCGATAGGTCCAGATATTGCAAGTGAAGTGCGTGTAGTATTCGGACTTGTAGTTTTGCACTTGCTCTCACCCCAGGGATCTTTTCTCAGCATCCCGATATAGTTTTGCTGTCCCCGAAGTGCTTCATGATCCCAGGTTGATCAACTTCCATAGAAAGTTTTTTCTTCCAGACTCAGTCGATAAGGTTTAAGCATTCTGATTTGCCGTCATCTCATCATGTTTTCTGAAGTTGTAAGAACGTGTAGCTACAAGTACGAGGCAGTTCTTTGTTTCGCTTTCATTTTGGAGGTTGTGCTTTTCTTGCATGACGGGCCGTGTCGTCCTTGACTTGAAAAATTTTGGTGCTTTGGCGTGACCTTAAAAATAAAGGAGTGACAACCCGAAGAAGAAATCATATACCAGTGCCATATTCATACACCATGCACAGCGCCATTTGCATTTTCTAGTCGACGCATGCCAATGCCGCCAAACAGTAAGCACAGGACGAGCATAACACCAAGATAGCCATGCTGTATCGTAAAGTTTCAGTTCTTCTGTTTCAGTAAATTTGAAATTCGCAGACCACACAGCAGGAGCAAAAGTTTTCTGGGGTTCGGAGAATGTTCTTCATTGTTTCTCGACCCACTCGTGTTCTTGTTCGACGTGTCTCTTTGTTTTGCATTCGCCTGAAGTAGCGGTAGTTCCAAGATGAAAGTTGCAACCAAAATCGAGTGAGTAAACCCCGCGTAGTACGACACAGGGTGGACGAACGTGGCATGATGACGCAGATCCAGATCTCCGTTTGAACTATGAAGGTTTCACAGCCGCGGCCGCGAAGGTCACATCGATCTACTGACGACCACGAATCGTGCTCGAATTAAATATTGATGATCAAAGACCCGAAAAACAAAAAGTAGATCCGAATTTGTTCTCCGCAAATCAAATGAAGAAAGAGAACGCGGCGAACGCAGCGCATAAGGGGCAAGTCTCCAGCTTAACCGGATCAGGATCTGATCGCGCGCACACTTCCACGAAGGAGTCCTTCATCAAGGTCAAGGTCGTCTCTCACATTGAATTGCAATTTATATATACAAACCAAAAATGTGGTCCATTGCAGTCTTGTTTGATTTTTTCCGAGCGCAGCTCTGTAGCGTTTTAATCTTTTCTTCTACCAGCCCCATAAAAAACCCAATTTATTGTCTAATAAATCGCTGACTGTGCCTACCAGTACCACTACACTTATTCTGCCTCTAGTCCTCCTGCTCTCTTTTTCCTTTTCGTCTATCCTCCTTCAGAGTCATCTTTTCTATTCGCATTCCTTCCCGCCCTGACCGTATCGAAAGAAGGACAATCAAAATGGCCAAGCACGACCACGACCACCACGACCACGCGTGTTCGCACGCGACCCAGGATTCCTCCGCGTCCCTGCTGGGCTGGTACGACTTTGCCTGGTCTGGCGGTTCCTTCGAGGTGTGCTTCCGCCCGGGCGGCCACTTCTTTGCGCCGAAGTTCCAAGCGGCGTCTAAGTGGGAGTTGGTCGTGCAGAACCAGGAGGCGGGCGGCCACGATCATCACGACCATACTAGTAGCCACGCCAATGGACACGACCACGGTGGTCACAAGGACCACGACGGCGACCACGACATGGGCGGTTGCGGGCACGATCACGAGGGCGGTTGCGGCCACGACCACGACGGCGGCAGTGCCTCTGCGGGGCACCACGACCACGGACACGGGGGCCACGATCATGGCGGGGACGACCACAAGTGCAGTGGCGGACACAGCCACGAGGAGAAAAAGAAATACCTGGTGAAGATTGACTGGGGCAAGAAGTTTGGGCAGTACGAGCTCGAGTTCGACCCGGCGCACAAAACCATGGCCGGGGGGTGCGTGTCCAACCCGACGCAGACCAAGTATGGCGTTCTCAAATGTTACATTCTCAACTGTTACATAAATTTGTCATGCAAGAACGGCAAAAGTGAAAAGAAAGGGCGAAGATTGCGCCTTTTGCATTACAGATTTGGCACAGATTTCGATGCTGTTTAGCCCTTCGTAGATTTGCCATGCGAAGCAGCTTGATCGCGGCGATCTTGGTGGTACTTAAATTTGCATGACAAATCATGTAACAGTTGAGAATGTAACGCTTGAGAGTTCCATACCAAAGAGCAGGACTGGCGCAAGGCGCAGTTCAAACGGCCGTTCTCCCCCGTGGAACTCGCCCTGTTCGGCGAGGGCGCGGGCAGTGAGTGGATGCTGCAGTGGGAGAAGGGCGAGTTTTATGGATTGCAAATATGTCTGGGTCTGGAAGGATGCAACTTGTGATGCGCATTTCACAACACAGAAAAATCTGTCATGCATAGGCAGCAAAAGCTGCCCACTTTCTGTCACCAAAATGGGGCATTTGTCATGCGGATTCCGCATTGCGGAAGCTTCTCGAAACGTGTGATGCTAAAGCTTCCATGCTAGACCTTCTGTGTCATGCAAAAGCAGCATGACACTTCCAGACCCAGACACTTTTGCAATCCATAAGTTTCCCATCGTCTTCAAGTGCGACGGCTACAACCACTTCCAGTGCCACCAGTTCCCCGCGCACGCGCACTGGGAGCTGGAGGGCGACAACAAGTTGAGCATCTTTTGGGAGAAGTACGGCAACTACGAATTGGTTGTGGACCCAGTCACGAAAACCATGTCGGGCTCCGCCAAGGGCGAGCCGCAAAACTGGCGGAAGGCCCGCTGGACCGGCAACCTGCCCTTCATGGGCACGACCGTGACCGAGGAATGCAGTCATCATCACCATTAAGAAGCGCAAGAGTAGAACAAGGGAGGAAAGCAAACTAAGTACCGACGTGGTATGAACAAAGCTACGCACCATGCGCAACGGTTTTTGATATTACGTCATGGTAAACGAAACAGGAACAGAGTCCTTCCGTCGACGCGTTTCTTTCTATAGCACGGGCTCCTGAAGAGTGGTTTTGGTCGAGAAAGTGAAAGTTATTGAAGTTGTTGCTCTGGCGACGGTCGGAGTAAGCGAAGCGATCTTCTGCGAGATTGCACTTTCCCTTCCTTCCTGTTTTATACGATGCACGCAATATTTTCTAATGTTGCCACGGAAACACACGAACTGTTACTCGATCTGGTTTTATTTCGATGCCATTATGCCGCGATAGGCTTTATGCAAACAGCAACAAGACTCTGGATCTGCGGGTGGTCGTAATACAAGTAGGAAAAAAATGAAATCCACTAGAGGAGCAAACTGCCTTGAGGTAGCTTTGGTTCATCACTACAAGTCTCAGTGGCTGCAAGCACACCCGCGAAAGACACTACGGATATGGATGGTTTTAGTTGTTTGTAAGATCGACTTCACGACGACATGCACCATTCAATCTCAAGATGATATACCCCAGAAGGTTTAAGATTCTCCTTTCTCCAGAAGGCCCCGTCGGTCTCTCTGTACGCGACATGACATCTTCAAACGAGGCTTTGCAAACAAGAAAATGTATGAAGCAAGCTCTCGTCGAGAGCCGAATCGTCCCTTTCTCTCAGTGGTTTATTTTAACGCAGAAGTAGTTCTTATTCAGTATCAGTTGTATTTTTCCTGGTTATACATGCTAAAGAACTCTCTCCCCACGACAATGAACGAGGAAATTGAAGCAAGCAAAAGCGGTACGAAAAGGAACAAGAAGAGCCACTTGATGATGCTTCAAGAGCAGCTGGCCTAAGAGGCAAAAAGAAGGCCTATGATTCGCACCAATCAGGCTGGCCATAGGATGGTTTACGAGATTCAACAAATTGGTGAGCTTGACTTGTTTTACAAACCGACAACATCAATAAAAAATCACACTAACATTGGTCTGCCGTTTCTTCATCTGCTTCGGTGGAGAAAGTGGGGAAGCCGGGTCGTGTGACTGCTGCTCCTTAGTCAGTGTTCCATGTACCGATTGGTGTCGTGTGTGGTCTGATGTGAGGATACTTTTATTCACGATGCTGATACAGTTACAGGTGCAGGAGGCCGCACTGCTAAAGCACCAGCGAGTGCTGTGCAAGTACATTTTTTGTTGGTAGAGGAAGTTTAGAGCAGTAGAGCAAGTTAGAAAATTTTCACGTGTGTCCACGACCAGCCACGTGTTGCTGTTGCCCTTCGATTTTCTCCAGGAACTCAGAATCACCTCCGTACAACATATTGTGTAGTTTCCAAGCAATGCCCTCCTTTCACGTGAGTCAAATACAATTTGTTGAACACCCGTCGCACTTCTATCGGAGCGTCTTCTTCAACTGATGAGACATGAACCTGCTATCGGTCCAAAATGGCTATCATAGCGTCCATTTCTGCTACAGACCAGGGGTCGTACAATAGGAAAAGCGACGACGTGGACGTTCTTGAAGGCCACAACTACATGACGGAAACTACGCAACAGGAAAATTCGGCTACGGAAAAGCCGCAAAGTAGTCCTATCATGGTTAATTTTCCTCACCTGACTATCAAATTAGAAAAGTCCTCAGCTGTATTTTTCCTCATAGGGCCAAAAAAAAAAAAATTTGCGCAGGTTTTTATGTATCAGAACCAGGCCCACCCTTCAGGGGGTTCTCCGGGATAGGGTACAGCCTCCATCTATCAGGCTGCATTGCGATGGTGTTTGGGATACGAAAAGCAGACCAATTGAAGCCAATCACGGCGGCAGTGCAAAAAGAAAAACAGCACGCCGTCGCGTTTGAGCAAAAAAGTGACCCTGTGGGGCCACCATAGCATCGGGAATTGAATGCAAAAAAAGCCTCTCCCACTGCTACCGTATTTGTACTCACTCTCCTTCCTGACCCTAGGAAAAGCTATGACCTATAGCATCAAAATGAGCTGCTTTGTGAGAGAGTTCTGATCCAGAACTCCGTCGGGGAAGTTATTTGTACTCATAGCAAAAAAAAATGAGTACTCATAGCAAGGTTTCGGACGTCAAAATCCCAAGGATTTTGATCAAAAAAACAGCTTTTTTTTGCAAAAAAAGCATCTTTTTTGCCTTCTCCGCATTACAGCCTCGACGGTCCCAGTCACAATTTTGGCCAACTGAGGCACTTCTTGGCCATGCTTTTCAGCGCCATACCGTCGCGATGAGTCCTCTTTTTCAAAGCAATCCCATCACTCACAAATAAACAGCAGGTGCATAATTTCCGAACTTGCCGTGAATTGCTTTCCGCTTGGGCGATGTTGCACGCCTTGCGTTCTGATCTACAAACATGCTGGAATTTTTTTTTTTTTTGCCCTATGAGGAAAAATACAGCTGAGGATGTTTCTCATGTGATACTGACGGCCGACCGACTTTTTCTTGCGGCGCTGTTTGCGCTGCTGAGTTATTTTCATTACGTGCGGTTCATCCAGGACGCTGATTTGGAGGAAAATGAGGTATTTCGCTGGAAGTACTACACCTGGAACGAATTTCGCGACCTACCAAACCTGCTCGAGGACCAGAATCTGCTTTACCTCGCGTATTTCGGCTATGTCTTCAATGTCACGGCCTCGCCGCACTTTTACAAACAGGGTGAGGGAGGCTATGCGCTGTTTCACGGACGGGAAGGTAGGACGGATTGTTTTTGTGTGAAAAAGAACGCAGTGAGCACTAGTAACTCATTTTCCGGACTTTTTTGAAAGGTCACTCTCACTGCTTGAAAAAGAAACGAATTTTCTTATTTTTCAAACGCAAAACACACACAATGACCAATCAACACCTACCAGCGACGCGGGCGCTGGCGCTAGGCTCGCTTGAGGAGTCTGACTTGGACCGGGACTTGCTCGGGCTCACGGATTATCAACTGCAAAAATGTCTGGGTCTGGAAGATTGCAACTTGTCATGCTGTTTTTGGACTCTAAAAAAATTTGTATTGCATGACCAGCAAGAGGGGCACAGTTTTTGCTACACGGACAGGGCATTTCTCATGCGGAAGGTGCATCAGGGAGCCTTCTAAAAGTCTGCGATGCTAGGTGAAGCATTACAGGCATCATGGGTCATGAGAAATAAGCATGACAAATCTTGCATTCTTCCAGACCCAGACATTTTTGCATTGGATACGGATATGGAGCTGTTTGAGGGTCGAGATAACTTTGAGGAGACCTACCTGTCCAAGTACCCGATTTTAGGCCGGATTTACAACAAAGAGTTGCCCTGGAACCAGGAGAATGTAACGGCTTCGGATCATGGGCGTGGTGGAGAAGACGGTGAGAGCACCGGGACAACATCCTCCTCTGGTTTTACAGTGCCTGCTCCAGAGAATCTTCACCTTGACGACGAAGCCGATGACCAGTGCGAAAATTTGCCATCAAACGCGACTACCGACTGCAGGGAGCGCATCCTGCAGATCAAACGAGGTATGAATCGGACCGCAGAGCTTGGCGGCGAAGAAATAGTCGGCGCCGCAGGTGGAGCAAAGCCGGCGGAGAACGACGCAGATGATGAAAAGTATAGGAGCACGACTAGGGGCAGTAACAGCACATCGAAAAACCCCGAAACCAATGCAAACTCGTCGAAAACGACAACCAAATCAGGAAAGAAAAAGAAGAAAAAAGCCGCGGGGTCCAGCACTGGCGGCTCCAAAATGCCGGCTTTCATGTTCAAGCCGAACCCCTTTGCGTACGACCCGGAGAAGCACGGCAAGGGCGAGGCGCTAGCGCGGAAAGCAAAGAAGAAGGGCAAGTGCCCCATGCGCACCGTGACGGAGACTGCGGTGAAGGTCTACCGCGCCATCCGGGACACGGTACCGCTGCTGATGCGATAGAAATGAAAGGATCTGCATTGTCTCCTGGTGCAGTCATGGTCGCACGGACGCCGCGTGGGTGATGTGGATCTCCGGATAGTACGGAGTTAATTGATAGTCCAGTGGGGCCGACGAGGGATACGTGTCGGAAAGTACAAACATAAAAAGATTTTTTCAATGAGTATGTTTGTGAGTAAATCGCAGTGATACAGTTGAGGACAGAGACTACAACGTGTTGACGGCCGCGCAATGTTGATATAAAACGGTGTTGCGACTACAGTTGGAGGCAAAAATTTTATCTTGCGAACCACGACTGTGTGATGAATCCTTGAGACAGATTGGACAAATTTAGGTGTTGGCAATCTACTGTGTGTGGTGTGGGTTAAGGACTACTTAACACAAAGAAACATTTTCATTTTGCTCTTCCCGCGAGGAAGGACGATAGCATCTTTCTTTTGCGACCGTACTAGTTTTCAGTGCGGTTATTTCTTATCGAGAAAAGAGGGGCGACGAGATGGAGTACGAGTAGAGTTGCTCATTCCTACGCGTCGTAAAGACAACATTGACGGTCGATTGAAATCAGGGCTGTGTTCGTGCACGTGCTTATTTTGGAGCGGGGCGGCCAGCATTACCTTTACCTTTACTATCAGCGTGAGTATAGTCTCAATTGAAAGAAAAGTAGATGCTGGCGATGAAGATCTTTCCTGGTCGAATTTTTCGTTGATTTTGAAAACGCAGGTCGTCAGTACTATTGCTCGTTATGGAACGATCTTGTTATGTCGACTGCTCTTGCACTTGCTGCATGTTGATCTTCGATAAGGATTGAAGGCTTTGGCTTTCTTCAGATAGGCTGTGCCAGTAGTTGAAGTTTTTTCCGCACACGGTGAAGATTATTGTCTATAAGTGTATGCGGCTACCACGTGTCGCGCTCCTGTTCAGGAGCATTAGATCTTCGCATTTCAATGGTTATATGTTTGGCATCCGCACTCTGAAAAGGCTGCTCCGTCGCAGTTGATGTTGGTCCCCGTCAGGTCATTCCGTTCTGTTAAAAAAGAGAATCGTTCCCATCCCCCAATATTTTTTGTGGTCCATGCAGATTTTCGTGTAGTTAGCTTATTCTGCTTTTGATCCACCATTCACCATGACTACTTGACCGATTCTTTGAAGGCGAAGTCGCAGCGAAACAAAACGAAAACCAAGATCGATGATGACCATGGCACTGCCGTCCCGTACAAAATTGCCTCGAGCGCCGGAGGGAATAAACGCCGTCCTGCTCGAAAGCACCAAAAAAACATTCCGGTCATGATCTAGTTGTTCGGAGCCTCCTGGCGAAAGGGCGTCGAAGTCGCGCGATTATTTCAGGAAGAAGAACGAAAAGGCGAACCGCCTCCACCCGGCTTCGTCGTCCTGAAGCCAACAACATGTCCATCGCCCAGCTTTGCCCCCAACTGGGGCCGGACGAGCGGAGTGTTTTCCTGTTCCGCGACTACATCTGTACGCCCAGTTCGCGGAAGTTCGACGAGCCTGAGCTGTTTCGCCAGCACCTGCCCTACCTCTGTCAACTGCAGCCGTTATGGATTCTGCTCCTCGAGGAGAGCAAGCGACCGCAGGAGCTCGCGACCGCCCTGTGCGAAGCGTTTTCCCTGGACTTCCTGGCGCTGCTTCCATCAACGAACTACGAGGCTGGTGTCGGTTCTTCTGGGGCATCAGCATCTTCTTCGGGAGAATATATGGCGCTACCGATCTCCACTCTGCCGTGGCGGATGCAGAAAGAAATTCTGAAATACGTATAGAAAAGGAAATTATATATATTTATACCATTTTCAACGCCAGCTTTTGTTCAATGAGGATTCATTTTTATCCCACTCGGATTTTTGTCCCACTCGGATTTTTATCCCAAGAACTCATCTCGTTCTCGTCCACATCACACTCACAGCTCGACGTGCCTCCGAGTCTTCGCCAGGAGCGGTATGACATCGACGTGTTCGAATCGCCAACGCTGAACTTCCTCGCCCAGGAATGCGGCGGCGCTCTGCGGTTTTCGGAAACGCCGGCGGACCAGAATAGCGGCTCCACGACCAACACCATCCACTCCGCGAAGCAAGCGCACCAGGTTAACCTGGTGGTCCCCGATCCGTTGCTCTACTACTTGATCACCTTCGTGAACGTGATCGTCCTGCGCACCGAGCACCTCGCACGGATGATGGAAGCCCTGGAAATCACCAGAAGGGCGCATTTGGGCGAAACAACAAGCACCGCAGCAGACAAGAATAAGCAGATGGGCCGTACTGGCTTCATGATTTGTTTGTTACTGTTTCTATTAATAAATGCAGGCGCATTTTTACATATGACTATGAGAAAAGTCGCGTGCAAAGACCGCTTGTTTCTTACTACCTAGGTGGAGTGTTCGTAGATGATGCACTGATCTCGTCGAGCAGCACGAACAAAAAATAATCCCAGGCGCCATCCACAACCTGGGCAGCAATTTCCTCACGCCGTTTTTCGCCGGCGGCAACCGCACCCTGCAGAATCTGCAGAAGCAGGGCAGCAAAGCGAAGTTTGGGTCCTCGGAGTTCGTTTTTACAAACCGCCGAGAGTCGAAAACCTACGAAAAGCTGCTCATTGAGTACCTGTACATCTTTCGTGCGGGCACTGCGTCGTCTGGTTTCGGGAGTCGCTCAAACGGAGGATTGGTAACATCACTGAGTTGTTTCTGATGAAGATGTGTTTGTGTGTTGAACGCACTTGAATCAGAAGTGCGGAGATCTTAGGAACGGTCCTTGAATAGGTTGTAAACACAGACTCTGACTTGTCCTCCACGAGTTGTAAGTGCAGCAATTAGCTTCATTCACTGTCGTGTTCCACTAAAGTAGATAACCCAAAACTTCAGGTGCCCACCGCGTCTTCCGCCACGGGTGGTGCGACGACTGCGCAGGAGCGCGCCGGTGCGAAGTTGCGGGGCCGGCTGAGTGCGGGACAGCGCTTGTTGCACTGCCTGATTTTCGATATGTGGTTCGCTTCAACCGCCGCGACTGATTCCTCTCTTGCGCTGCCTGCGGGTGGACCACCGCCGATCCCAAACAATAGTAGCGCGGCTCTGCTGCCTAAAATCGCCCGCGAGGACCCGATGGGGGACCTACTGTTAAACAGTGCCCAGATGCTGCCGGCGATGCGCGTCGCGTTGCTGCACTTGCTTTGTTCCGAGCCGTTGAACAGCCTGCACGACTTCGTGTTTACGGCGGAGCGGGTGCTGCGGAAAATCCTCGCGCACCCGGACCTGCACCTGGACTGCTTCCTCCAGGCGATGCGCACCTGGCTGCTGCTCTGTCAACCCTGGTTGGCCAGCTTGATCTATCCCTACTACGTCACGGCCTACAACGGCATGGGCGGGAAGGGGTTTCGAAAGCTGCTGAACGAAAAGCAACTGGAACACACGATTGGCCTCGAGCCCGAGCCCGTCACGCACTTCCGGTCCGCGAACGACCGGTACGTGGTGCAGGCAACCTCCAGCCGAGGAAAGAACAGCAAAAACTCCGTTGACGCGCTGCTGCCAAATTTGAACGCCTGGATGGGCATCAGCAGGTCGGAGTTTCTCGACAATTTAGACTTTTTCGCGAAGAACGAAGTGGCAAATTTGTTCACGGACTACCACGGTCTGAGGTCAACTAGGACCAACATGATGATGACGGGAGGGAGTGGTTCATCAACCGCCGCTGGAACAATCCTACAGCCCAATATGTCCTCCTCGAGCAGTAGCTCGTATCACACAGAAAAAAACTGGCAGGTCACATTTGTAATGCAAAGATAAATACACAAAAAGATCTGTATTCTATTGCATATCCGAAACAGCATGCTACGGGGCCACCCATGACAGATTTTTTTGTGTATGTATTTTTGCATTTACAAATATGCCCTGCCAGCTTTTTTCTGTTTGATAGCTCGACCCCTGGTGCGCCGCCGCGCGGCCCGACTTCGATGCTTGCCTCCGTCGTGGACACGCTGTTTTACCCGGTCACGTTCGTCTTCGGTGGGGGAAATAATTCTAGAGCTAGGGGGACAGCGACTGGTGTTGGTTCATCTGCTGCAGGGGGTGGAACGTCGACTAGAGGCAGCGCGACAGCATCTTCGTCCTCTCCGACGCAGAGATTCTTCGACCGCGCCCTGTACGGCCCATCCGCGCAGTTTTTCGTGTACGGCCCGGGTCTCCACGACGACTCGCGGCTGGGTGCCGGGGGGGACCGGGAGTTCGGCAATGTGGGCTTCAGCGAAGGCTACCGGGACTACGTCACACGGCATTGGAGCTTGTACGCGCTGTTGCGGCAGTTTCTCGGGCACCCGGTCTTTCAAGAGTGCCGGGAGCACATCGCGACCGGCTACCACAAGACGTCTGGCCTCGCGTCCGTGGCGGCGCTGGTTGCAGCCGGGTCGTCTTCAAGTGCGTCCTCGTCAAGGAGCAGTAGACCGGGAGCCGCACAACCCACATCGACCCGTAGTGCGGCCTTGCGCCTGCCGAGCAGCCTCGCCAACAGCTACCGGCAGCACCGGCTTTCCGGCGCGGACCACCTGGCCATCTACAACGATTTTCTGTCTTTGTCCTTCGCCACCTTGAGCTGCTTCGGCGACCCGGGACTGCTGCAGGCGTTGTGGAGCAGTCAGCGCGACGGGGTTTTGCACAGCATGCGCATGGTGCTGGACTCGGCCGCCACGGCAGACAACGATTCGCTCTTGCAGATGCGGATGGGAGTGGTGTCATCTTCCACTGCTCCTGGCAGTGGTTATTTGCTAGCAGGAGGATTTTCAAGTGCCGGAGCTACATCCGTTTTATCAGCGTCCGCTCTGTCTCTACCACTCTCGTCCAATTCCACCGATTCCAATTTCGGTCGATCCTTCGCGGACTCGCAACCGGGGATGCTGTCGAGCGTCTACAGTGGGCAGCACTTCGCGACGGCGAACCAGCACGCGCTGGCCAACCTTTTCGAGGACCACACCGGGGTGTTCACAGGGGACATCATTGAATGCGCGAAGCCGACCGTCGCGATGCTGGAGAAGGTCTGCGGATTCATGTCCACCGAAATGGAAAGGAAAACGCAGGCAGAAATAAACGTAAGGGCTGCAGGAGGAGCAAAGGGGAAGGCTCCCGCCGGAGGCGTCGTGCAGCCTGACCAACACATCCGGAACGCGCAGAGGAGGCAGGCGGCGGCTTCTTCATCGCCCGGTGGTCGGAGAAAGCAGCACGACCCGGTCAGCAGTCCGGTGAGCAACTTCAAGCAGTGCTCCTCGGTCTACAACACCGCGAATGCGGGGGGTGCGGCCAAAATCCTGAGCACGAAAAACGCCCAGATGAACCAAACCGGCATGCTAGCCAGCGGTTCCGGGCGGTCACCCCCGGCACAGCAGGCACAACTTCGCGAACAGGACTTGCTGCAGGACTTCGAAATGGAGCGACAAGCGGCGCTATCAAATGCAAAAATGTCTGGGTCTGGGAGATTGCAAGATTTGTCATGCATATTTTGCATGATCCATAATGCCTGCGATGCATGGCCTAGCATCACAGATTTTTAGAGCGCTTCCTCATGCCTATTCCGCATGACAAATGCCATCTCCGCGGAGCACAAAAGCTACTCCTCTTACTGGTCACGCAATACAAAATTTTGTCGAATCCAGAGACAGCATCACAAGTTTAGAGTCTTCCAGACCCAGACATTTTTGCATTTGATAGGCGCTCTTTCCGCCCTTGGACATGCGGTCCAAGCTGTACCACAGCACGCGCAAACCGAGTCCCTTACTGTCGCCCGCGCGAGCAGTGCACCACTTGCCTGGTACTAGTGTTAATAATCATGGAGTAGGAGTCATGTCTTCAACGCCTTCATTTGCACAAACAGCAGCGGGTGATGCGCAGCCGCGAGCCGTGCGCGCGGTCGTCGGTGGCGGCGCTTCCGTGTTGGCGGGGCCGGAGGATCCGAACCTCTACGCGGTGCAAGGGACTGGCAGCGGGTTTTCTTGGTGGAAAAAACTGTTCTCCTTCGCGGGTGGGGACGACCGAGGACACAGTACTGTAGGCCACGTGGGTACGTCGAAACAGAAACCAGAGCAAGCTGCAGCGGAACTGCAAGCGCGGTCCAATAGTAGGGAAAACAACAATCACCAGGCTGGTACCGTTGATCCACCTCAAACCACGCTTGATTCGACGTCCTTATCAAGAGCGCCCGGAGGCGGAGCTACGGCACAGCAGCCCGCCAGATCTTCTAGCAAGGGCGGACCAGCAGCAGCCGTGGCACACACGAAAAACCCGGCGAGCAAATCTCGGCCAGCAAAGGAAAAGTTGGACAATTTGCATCTTGTCCCGCCGAAACTATACGACGCCTTTCCGCGGTTAAAGTACCGCCTGCGTCGCGAGACGGTTGCTTGGTCGCCCCTCTTCAACGATTCTCTCCCAGAGGAACCAGTGTTGCAACCCTCTGGGATGTTGGACAAGATGACAGGTGGGGTCGGCGCGTTGCTCGGCGGTGGCGGAGGTCAACTTGTTGTACCAGGCTCCTCGACTGGAGGAGGTACTATCTCCGCTCGAGATCAAGTATCTCTTGACAATATCAATCCTTCGTCATCGACAAATAACTTCGCGGGTTCACCGTCGCAGTCATTACGGAAGAAGTACTATCCTGTGCAAAAGTATCGTATTCGTATGATTGCATTCAAAATTTCCTCAGCGTGGGAAATAGAATTTCTAATGCTGATTTGCTTTGGGAACAAGATTTGTGATGCGAGACTTGCATTTGCATTTATACGAGTACGATACTTCTGCAAGGCATAAGCACAAGATTCAAAACGAACTTTCCGTCACCGAGCTATGGCGTTCTCAACTGTTACATTCTCAATTGTTACATAAATTTGCGATGCAAGAATGGCAAAAGTGAAAGGGGGGAGGTTGCACCTCTAGCATTACAAGTTCTGCACAGATTTAGGCGCTGTTTAGCTCTTCGCAAATTTGTCATGCGAAGCAGCTTTCTCGTGTGGATCTTGATGGTAGTTCTGCATGACAAATTCATGTAACAGTTGAAAATGTAACAGTTGAGAACGCCATACGAGCAGTTCCTCCGGTCCGAGAAGATGCGTCGTGACGCGATGGAATTTACTTCTAACTCTGGCAATTACAATGGGATGATCCACGGCGCACCACATGCAGACTTGACGGGAGAGGACTATAATTCTGCCAGGCTGGAACGGGAGCGGATCCTGCAGGACAATCTCGACTCGAGTCTGCTTTCCGACCACAACTTCCACGCGGGGAACCCGCACCGACACTCCTCCTTGCGGAGACGGCTAGACCTGAACGCCTCCACCCAGGACCACGACGGCGAGCAGGATGAAGTCAGCTACTACCCTGCGCCCAACACGGTCTCGCCCCTCGACTTTTCCCAGTTGCAGCCCAACAGGGAACGAACCACGTCTGGAGATGTTGATCGCGATAACTACTACATGAGGAATTCTGTCCTTGCGGGCCAACACCACGCCTACTACTCTTCCCCGGGGTATGGGTGTTTGAGTCCGGACGACCTGCTTCGGCGGCAGCACCACCAGCTCGCGGTTTACGAGGAGCAGCACCGGGAGCAGAAAAACCCCCTGGTCCGGCGAACGCACAACCGGGGCTTCGAATTTGTGCAGTTCGAGGGGAACCAGTGGCAAAAACCGTGCACCAGCTACGAATGGTGGCCGCTGCTGTGGGTGCTGCGGCAGATTTCCTTTCTGCTGGACGCCTTGTTTTACGGCGAGGAGATGTCGCAGTATCAGCAGAACTACGACTCCCAGGAACACAACCAGCACCCCTGTATCCAGTGGCCCCGGTACTTCGCCGACTGCCGGCTGGTGTTCACCTTGGGATTGGGCTATCTCGTTGTCGGATTTCTCTTCCAGCAGGTAGTGGCGGTTTAGAAATACCAGGGGACGACCCTGTAGTTTCTCGAGGCGTTCATCATCTTGTCGGAGAAGTAGACTTTGCACTACAGCAGACGAGAGCGATGAAACTTCTATGCATAGTGGATTTCGGAGATCATAGATACGGGGACCTTACAGTGAGAAGTGAGCGTTACAACTCCTTTGTGCGAACGGGCGCGGGGGATTTTCTTTTCCAGTGGATGCGCGTTTTGAGGTTGATAAGGAAAAGGATCCAGCTAGTGGGGGTCGACGCATGTTATTCGGGTCGCGACAGCAGGAAAAGGATTTAAGAAGTAAGTACCTGAGTGTGAGTAGGAACAGAGAAAGATCCGCGACCATGTAGTTGATCAGAAGCTACTAGTAAAAGCGCAAGTCCAGCTGGACGAAAAGAAGACAGCTGTTCCAAGAACAACAACGTCGCAACGGCGGGCAGCATTCTTGCTGCGTAAGTTTTTTGAAAGACGAGGGAGCTGCACCGTAAGACGAATCAATTGCTGTTCAGGTCACGAATGTGCAGTTCTTGTCTTCACTTCCCTGATTCGCTACTCTCCCGGTGACAGTGTGTAAAGGAAAGAAACGTGATCTTCATCATTGGAGCGGGTCCAGCATGCTCTAAGCCGCGTCGTGGCCATGTACCCCGGGGGTATGTGTATCTTCATCATGATCCGCAACCGCATCGGTCATCGTTATTTCATTGGAGGTTTTCTCGTATTTTCCAAAAAGAAGGCGCTAGTGGAGAAGTAGATCTATGTCATTGTCCCTCGTTTGCCTTTTTTCCCTGGATCATTTTTTCGCCAAAAACTTCTGAGTCGATGGATCTGAGAAGTAGTGTCTCCAGCACAGTTGTGTGGCTGATGTCGGTTGTCTCCTACTAGGTCCATGCGTCTAGTATAGGCTGTATTTGTTCTTCGCCCTGACAATAAAGGCACGGATACATCATTTTTTTTGTAAGAGATTTTGTGACACAACCACACTGATGTTTATTCTTTCACGCAACATACATCGAGTACGATTTTGGGTTTCGCTACGACAGTTGTTCTTGTATGATGATTAAGATTAATATCTGCTATAATGATGAAGAAGAAAAAGCCGAAATCTTTCCCATTTAAAACTCAGAAAAAAATGTCGCCTGATGTTGTTCACCGAAGGGCTTTCGTCCCTACAGCACTGCTTGTTGCAAATCTTTTCTCCACTGCCCTCGCGGTGCAGCTCTCGCTTTTGTGGAGCGAGCATGATTCCCGTACTTGCGCGAACGTGGATCTGAACGCCGTGATTCCAAGATATACCCCGAAGGACTGCGCTAACTACTTTGCAGGGAAAGGGCACTCCTCCGGGGTGCTGCTGTTCTACAGAGACAAAAGACAGGCTTCGGGTCAGCAAGGCCCGCTTTGCGTGCTGGTGCCTTCGTGCCGGCAGATCGACAAGGCGCCAGAAAGCGACGCGCTGAAGCGCACACCGACAGCCTACGCCCTGGGCGATGTGTGCGAAGTACTGGAGACTTTGGGCCCGACGTCCATCTACCAGCAGGCCGAGCAGGATTTCAGGCAGCTGTTTGCAAAAGAGGAAACTTTTAGCGGAGCTACAAGCAGCAGCAGTGGAACTACGACCTCAAAAAATGATCAAGAACGAGCGACAACATTGTCCAAACCCGAAGATCTTTCGGACCGGCTGCAGCCGCACAACCTGCAAACGAGCCGCGATTTTTGTCGGGAGCAGTGCTTCATCATTCGCATCGTCGATGGCGTGGTGCACTTGATTGAGTCGAAAGGCTCGTTTCAGTCACGGCACCAGATAACGTGGACCCTAATCCAGCGCGTCGTCGAGAAGTACTGGCAAAATATCGAAGTAGACGCGGGACCCGTGGAAGAGAGAAACCTGCCGAGCGATGGTGTCGATGAAGTTTCATCTCTCGATGCGAGCAGCAGACCTGTTGAGCGGGCAGCTGCAAGAGGTAGAAACTACGACCTCGAACTTGTCATCGACACCTCAGACGGGTTAAATACGCCCAGGTGCAAGGCGGACAGTGCAAATTACTACCCAGATGGAGAGAATCTCGCCTCGTCTGGACGGGACGCCGAGAATACCAGTCAACATCCACAGCAGGCGATCGACGAGGCGGAATGCCACCGGGGCTCCGCGGGTTTGACTCTTCTGTTGGCGAAGCGGTTTCCGGACGGAGCTGGGATTCTGTATCCGGATTTCTCTTTTCACAGCTGGCCCGAGGCGGAATGTCCCGAAGCGGATTTGCGCGGCTCGCACGGCTGGGACACGGTTACCCGGGACTTGCTGCAGGTCGGAGATGCACACAGCTTCGCGGACAAAATCGACGCGGTCTTTTGGCGGGGCGCGGATACCAGCCCGCTCAGGCGCGAGGTCGTGAAGAACATCCACCGAATAAGGACTGAATTGGAGACCCACCACCCGGAACTCGAGGGCAAAATCGACATAGAATGGATGCAGTGGAAGCGGCCAATAGGTCACGGCAAGACGACCTCGTCAGGAAGTAGTTCTTCCTCCTCTTCTCCCGGCGCGGAAGATGAATTCCTTTCGGACGCCACGCTGCAGCAGCTCCGCGCCGCCGACGAGCAAACGAGGACAACAAACAATCTTTTTGGCCTGCAAGACACCGACGTCACGGACGACCCGTTCAAGCGACGGAACGAAGGCTCGTTTTCGGAACAGTTGCAACTGATGAATCACGCGTTGACGCAGGTTTTCGCCGACCCCATGCTGCCGGACAGCAAAGCGAAGCGGCACGGGAAGCGTGTCCCGCAGTACCAGGTGAAGGAGAAGAAAAATTCCGGGAACCAATCGGTGCCGAGCGGACAGTGCGTAAAGGTGGCGGACTGGTGCAGGTACCAGTTCCTCGCGAACATACCCGGGGTCTCGATGCCGCTGTCGCTGAAGTACCGGCTGTTCTGCAATTCGGTCATTCTCACGGCCGCGCCGGTCTTGCACCAGTGGTTCTACCCCTTGCTGCTCCCCGACGTGCATTACGTCTACGTTGACCCGTTGTTCCACTCCCTGGACGCCGCGATGCACAGCTCCCCGAAGGCGGTATACGCCGCGATCGCGGACGAGGCCCGGTTCCTCGCGAAAACCAGGCTGACAACTGCCGCGGTGGACTGCTACTGGCGGAAGTTGCTGACGTTAGCGTTGAAACACTTTCCGCTGGTGGCACGGACGGGAGTGGCAGCAGCTCCTGCTTCGCGACAAGAGGCGCCGTTCGTATTTGGTGGACACGACGACCAACAAAGGACCGCGAACCAAGTAGACGCAACATCTTCGGATGAAGAAGTACAAACTTCCTCAACGTGGTCATCTGGAACAACTCCGCTGAACCCCCGGCTCCACACACCGCTCTCCATTGCGCTCTGGGACCCGAAGAGGTCGGACGATCAGTTCGTTCGAAAGGAGAAACTTCTCCAGCAGTTTGGGGGCCAAGCGCAGTTGCAGGGCGAGGCGGGACAGGAGCTGCTCGGGGAGATTTTCCAGGAAACGCGGACCGTGCTCCCCTTCTTTCCGGAAGAGGAACGGTACGAGCGGGGAAACGCGAGGCACAAGCAGCTGTTGGTGCGGACCCGCGCGCCCTGGTTCACCACCGCGTTACTGCCGTGGAGCGACGCGGCGAAGCGTTTGCGGACGAAGGACGACGAATTGGATCGGCTGCCCGGCTGCTCCGCCACGCGCGTGGACTGCAGCAGCGGGTGGGTACGCAACGGGAACAGCGTCGCGGAGTGCCGGGCGGGAATGAGCTACCTCGTGGGCGTCACCGTCGGCGTGCACCACCAGTCGACAAATCAGGAGGACCGGGCAAGGGAGTGTTCCTTGATGAACTGGTTTTACGACAGTGGCCAGCAGGCCATCCGGGATACCATGTTCAACCCACACTACGGCCAAGTAGAGCATCATGTCGAACAAGATTTTCTATCCGGAGCTGCGCCTGCGCCGCCGTCGAGCACTAGTGCCGGTTCTAACGGTGTATCAGGAGCTTCTGCTTCTAGTTCTACCGTAGCAGTTGACACTTTCGGCCATCTTCCTGCCCTTGCTGCGCCCGAGCAGACGATTTTCCAGTTCAAAGAGGATGTGCTGTCAGCTCCAGGAGCACCAGCTTCATCTTCTGCACCTGGAAGGCCTAAAAACAGACCAGCACCTCCGGCCAGCGCTGGCGCGAACACGGTCACGCTGTATCAGAACCCTTTGGACTTCCTGCTGGACGACGAGCTGGACATTCTGATCATGATTCCCGTGTGCGCCAGGCAGCGGGAGCTGATGCAGGTGGCGCGGAGCACGTATTTGAGGCGGACGCTGTACTTCACGGACGTCCAGCACGTCCTGGACGTGGCGGGCCCGAAGCTCGTCCCGCGCACCGAGCAGGTTTTCCAGAACGGCACCGCGCGGGAAGTCGCGCACTTGATGCGCGAGAACGACGCCGCACTGTACCGCCTGCAGCGCACGGAGCGGCTGCTGAAGCGGTACGGCCACAGCGGCGCGCCGTCGCTGACCGTAGCGGATTCCGTGCTGAACCAGCTCCCCTTCCCGGTCACCGACGCGTCCACCGGGCCGACACTGCTGGAATCCAGGCCTACGTTCGTGATGCGGAAGACCCGAATCGCCACGAAGCTGCACTACTTCATCCTCTGCCGGGACGACCCGGACCGCAACGAAGAGGACACGAGCCGGGACTTGCTGGTGGTCGACGTGCCGCACGGGTACCGGTTTCTGGTCGAGAAGATGACGGCGGCGTACCGGAAGGCGTTGGAGCTGCACCCCAACACGAAGTACTTCATCCGCGCCGACGTGGACAACGCGATGGAGATCCAGCAAATCCTGAACTACCTGCCCACCATCGAAACCGGGCAGGAGTGGGAGATTTTGTCGGACCACTTCTGCTATGGATTGCAAATATGTCTGGGTGGTCTGGAAGAATACAGGCTTGTGATGCGCATTTCAGAACAGAGAAAAATCTCTCATGCATAGGTAGCAAAAGCTGCCCACTTTCTGTCACCAAAATGGGGGTGGATTTGTCATGCGGATTCGGCATTGCGGAAGCTTCTCGAAACCTGTGATGCTAGAGCTTTCATGCCAGACCTTCTGTGTCATGCAAAAACAGCAAGACTCTTCCAGACCCAGACACTTCTGCATTTGATATCTGCGACTACCAGCCGGACGAGGTGATCGACCGATTCCGCACGTTCGCGCAGCACTGGAACTCCACCTTCCTCCAGTGCTCCACCATGTGCCAGCGCAACCCGCACTGCCGCTGGTTCGAGTGGGGCGAGCCGGAAACCGCCACCGGCAACAGCCACTGCTTCACCTACAGCCACTGTGAGCGCGTGCTGGCGCTGCCGCCGAAGCTGGAGGCGCGCCGGAACAACATCGGGTCCCTGGTGGTCGACGGAAAGATGAACGACGAGCTGGAGCAGTTCTGGGAGGGCGAGCTCACCCAGCAAAGAAGACAAATCTTGGAAATCGGAAATGACAACGACGAAACCACAACTACACGAGGAGGGGGAAGAACTACACCACTTCTGAGCGACGAAGACGTGCAACAGAACCCGTGGTGGCCGGAGGTATGGGAGGACTTCAATCGACCGGAAATGGATGAAGGGGAAGCTGCATCGGGCTCAGCAGCAGCACAAGGCGAAGAGGATGTGCAACAGCAACAGCGGCGGGAAGAAGAAGAAGAACTACATCAAACAAGAATATTAAAGACCCTCGCCCAGACGAAGCAGAGATTGGAGAATGAAAACCAGAATCCCTCCGGCACCCTGTCCGTGTCCGCCCAGAGCCACGCGCGGATCCACCTGGTGCACTACCGGCTCCGGGACAAGGTCTCTTATGTGTCGGACGTGCGCGCCCAGGAGGAGCGCGCCCGGCTGCCCTTTCTGTTCGGGAGGATTCTGTTCGGGAACCGGGTGTTCTGCGGTAGCTTGGAAGAGGAGGTGAACCTGCACCAGCGGCACTGGGAGAACTGCCGATACGTCCAGGACATGGGCGGGCTGCCCGTCTACCCGCCGTACCCGGAAGCCAGCGGGTATTTGACAACGAACAAAGTCGTCCGGTTTTTGCTGCAGGAAAACCTTCCCTGGAAGGGTAGCGACTGGGCGGTGGAAGACGCAACCGCCGGGACAATCTTTGCGGGGACGCGGTTGCGACGCGTAAATTTTCCCTTCGAAATCATGCGCGCGCAGCGGGTGGTCAGGGTGAATGGCGAGTAAGGCGCTAATTCACGACATTTGGAAGAAGATGGAGAACTAGGTAGTAAAGGTTCTTGTGCGCTAGAGCCGGTCTTGCAGCTCATCACTGGTTTATTCGTTCACCAGTCGGACATGGCTGAACAAGAACCACAAGCAAAACTAATGACCACTTGTTTACACAGCGAATGACAATGATAAAGTCAGAACTTGTTGAACCAGGTGACTGGTGAAGCAGAAAACAGGCGTTTTTAATGCATGCATCACTGGTGTCTGTCGTGGGTGTCACTCAACACCGCAAACAGAACGAAAGCAAGAAGGGTCACCTCTCTGCACATCTGCTTTTCAAGATGTGGGACGTGCTAATAGAGAATTCATGTAGTGGTAGCTTTTCGTGTTCGTAAAACTGTTTGCTATTGCTGCTTCGTTGTTTTTCTTGACGTTTTTCTTTCACACAAGCAGGACTAAGCAGGCCCAGGAGAATCTGTTGACCTTGACACACCGACGCCGCTACTGCAGGAGCGTACTTTTTGAAACTCGATTAACTGCGTTGTAGCTTTCCACCACCTGTGCCGAATAGAGCAGGCTTTCGCAGCGCAGGGTCAAGCAGGTCAGGAACGTGACTATGCTCACGTCCGCCCTTCGCGAGGCGCTGCCGAAGGAGAGTTCGGTTCCCCGCAACCGCGTGTGGTCAGGCGGCGGCGATTCTCTTAACTCCGAGGACACGTCTACCGCCGGGGGCGCGAGCCCGCAGGCGGTGGGGGTTGGAAACGAAGGTGGCAATCACGCGTCTACCGGGGCAGCCGGAGTTGTGTTTTTTCCTCCTTCGACTGCCACACCTCCCCCGTCCGGAGCTGCTTCGGTGCCACCTCATGCCGCGAGGACCACCGGGGGCACAAGAATTTCTACTGCAACTACCGGAAACACAACAATTACGCACGGGCAGCACGCCGTGGCCCTTGCACAAACGGCGAGTGGAGGTGGAGAACAGCATCGACTTTTGCGGCGACACCCGAGCACCGCATCGGCAATTGCCGATCAATACGATGCCGCTTTTGGCACTGGTATCAACTACACCGTCCGCAGCTCGAGCAGTTCCAGTAGTTCGACTTTTTCATCTCGCGCGAACCTGTTGGATCACCAAGCCCAGCAGCAACAGATGATGACCCCCGGCCCAGCGCAGAGCCCGCGTCCGCTAGAGGGCCGCTCCACTGGCGTCGCAGGTTCATCCTCCCTGGGAACCTTTAGTCGGTGCTCGGTGGGGGCGGACCCCGGAGTTGTAGATCCGGGCTCTTTGGGGTTTAGGGTTCGGGAGACGAGAACTTCAATGGCCACTCTGGGCAATCTGAACGCGAACAACGACTCACTCACGCGGCGTTTCACACGGCAGACGGTCTTGTCCGCCTTTCAACCCGGTGGTCCGGCTGAAGGTGCGGCGGCCCCGAGTCCGAACGACTGGACCTTTTCGGGCTTGTATAGCGGGAACAAATTTTGCTCTAGTAGACCGACCGTGAACGAGATCTTTCAAGAACACGATGGCGCTGGTGCGGCCTCCGAGCGGTTGGGAAAAATAAAGCAACCGCAAACTATAACTACTACTGATGAACTACACTCGCTGCAGCGCTCTGACGACTTGATATCAACAGGAAATTTGCCAGGCCTTGTTTTTCCCGCGGACACTGCACGAGCTACTGGCTTCATCTCGCCACTAGCATCTCCCAGGAAGATTATTGCGGACCCTATGGGCGTTGCTGGGAGTTCTAGTAAACTACAGACTCAACACAGCACACTAGTGCTTCAATCTGCGGATCAGCTACTGTCGGGCGCAAGAGCGACATCAATGGCCGCATATCAGATGAGCGGGTCGAATCCTCCACAGGACTTTAACAGTACAACACCTCCGCCATCCTGCTTCTCAACTTGTGCCGGCCTTACGTTTCTCGGCATTGGAATCCCAATCGTGACGCTCCCCGCCGCGGCATTTGTCTGCCCCGTGCCCTACGTCCTGGTTTTTGGTTTCGCCACCGTCGGGCTGTGCGCGCACGTCGCCGGGACCGCGCTCGCGCGGTCGTACGAGCTTGCGACGCTTCACCGCGGACACGAGGTGGCGACACTACCCGACCTCGCACGAGTGTGCTTCCAAAAGTGTTTGCGAACCGAGAATGGAGGAAGTAGTACTAGAGGAACCCTCGACGGAATAGTAAATGTTGTTGATGAAACAGCACTGACAGGCCAGGAGATGGTAGTGACAGCACGAGGAGCTGGCGGAGTTGCAGTTCCTCGTAGGAGGTGTTCGGGAAGATTCGCAGTTCCCAACTTTGTCCTTAATGACCTCGACCAGAGGAACGGCCATGGAACAATCCATGCGGAGGTGGAAACTGAAATTGAAAATCCGCTTTTCGACCTTGTTTTTGAGGATGGAGATGAAGCTGCGCAAGGCGAAGAGTCGACGCTGCTGAACTTCGATGATCCACCTGTGCAACATGGCAATACCGATAATTTTAGTTGCACAAATGGACAATCCGCATTCGTTTTGCAAACGAGAATAGACGCAAGAGTCGACGAAGATGAGGAAGGACATAACGGCGGCGCTTACGATCATGGTTCCCAATCCCAATCCGCGCAGTTGCATAATGTCCCGTTTATTTTACCACGCCTCCCCTGCACAGAAGCAGGACGCGATGTGCCTCCTGACAGCTTTCGCTACAGCCACACAGAAAGAAACGAACATCCAGCGAAGAACATGTTTAGGACGACTCAGGATCAACGGACTTCATCTTGCAGCACTGATAGAAACAAAAACGAATACGGGTTGGACGACAAAGGGGAAAATGATCGTCGACCTGGAACAAGAAGAACAACCAATCTCTCTGCACTCCTCCTGAATGTGGCGGTCGTGATCCTTTTTGACGTTTTGTACCACGCAACCATGCTGTTCACCGGTGCCTGTTTGCTCAACTTGTTCGCGCAAAGTGTACACCTTTTGCACGACATTCCGGTTGTGCGGTCCGCCTGCCGAAGGGTGTTGCACAAGGTGCAAACCTACAAGCTGCCCACCGTGGCAGAAACGCGAATCTTCGTCGAAGACGCACTGCAGCTGTCTTCCGGTTCCGCCCGGGCAAGCGCTCTGGCAGGAGGGACAAGCAACGGAGGTTTATCACTACCCGCCTCGTCGCAGCACATGCACCACAAACCGAAACGCCGTGGCATGCATCGTGTCGTGCGTCCGCGCATGTCCATTGCCTACGCGGAGGAGAGGGAGGAAAGGCTTAAAATCGAAGCAGGCGTTGAAGAGGAAGCACCGGCCGCGCAAGAGGAAGTACAATTCGTCTCTGCTCGCGGCTTCGCAGCCAAGTCTCATCTTCACGCTTCATCGGCGGGAAAAAGCGCTGTCGGAGTTGATGACTCCGTGCCTGTAGGAGCCAGCACGACAAAGATAACGAACTCAACCTTTGCCCCCTCAGCAACGCAGCCGGCGTCGGAGGATGTTGTATATTCCTCGAGGAGCAAAAGTGCGAAAACCAGTACGATATCTTCTGATGTGCTGACAAGGACGAAGACGACCACAGAATCCACTAATATTCTTGCGCCCGCAGAAAATACGACCGCCATTATCCAGGTCGAGGTTCTTGCAGGAGCCGCACATCAAAACCCGCAGCAGGAGGGCGAGTTGCAGACGGCGTGGTCTTCTGTTGAACTAGAAGGAGGATGTTCCCCTTCCGGAATAAAGAACAAGAACGCTACGACCAGCTGTGCTGCGCCATCCATCCCCGTCTCCACTTCCGCACCACGGCCGGCAGACTGCAGCATCGAAGATCTGCATCTAGTACCTCTAACACGGCGCAGGTCCTCTGGGTCGACGCAACAATTGCATAGGCGTCCCGGCGGGAAACAAAATTCTTCAGCTGGGCCGCCTGCCGCATCAGGTGGTGCTGCATCAAGAGCAAGCATGGGCAACAATGTAGCTCTTGAACACGCTGGCCTTCTATCATCGACCAACGACGAGGAGCCCCCGCGAGATGAGGATGCTGAACACGGGTGGTCCACCTCGTCGTGTGCTGCTTTAACGTCGGTCGTGACTGAGGAATTTGCAAACGCTGCGGTTGGAACAGCAGTGAGTAGCGACAGTGCTACAAGAACCGAAGTACCAGCACACTCCACTTCTTGTTCCTCTTTCAACTACACCGCCTCTGCGCCCTCAGCGCTTCTTGACGGTTCACCCGGTCAAGATCTGCTCGATTTGCGGAGACCCAGCGTGTTCGAGCAGCAGCGCCGCGGGCGGGCGGCTTCGCAGGGGGGCAGCCGAATGCGAAGCCCGAGCCCGGACCGGGGGCATCTGCTAGCGGTCTCTGGAGCAAGCCGGCGGGAATTCCCACGGGATGTGCTCGGTGCGGCTGTACCCGCGGCCAGTACAGCTGCAACGGGGGGAACTACAGGGGCATCCACTAGACGGGGAGCTCGGAGAAAACCGCCAGCTGCAGGTGGTGGCGGCTCCTGGCAATCAGGCATTCCTCCATCTGTGCAACCTCAAGATGAAAACAAAACGGCGGACGACAACGCACAAAGTGCCCTTGCGCTTTCGTTTTCTTCACGGTCGGCTCTTGCAGCAGCACCTGTAGAAGAAGTTTCCGCGATGTCGTCGATACGGCCAAGTGCAAGCAGTGGGACCTCCTGGCCGTCCAGAGCAGTGCCTGTGCCCCAGCCGGATGGGGATGTTGATTCGGTGGGACTTGTGCGCGAGTTCGTTCACAGCCCGGACTTGGCTGCACCTGTTCTGCCCGCCCTGGTCGCGGAAGCTGTGCTTCTTTGCTTTCTCGTCTGCTGTATTGCGACATCCCCAAGAACGGCGGCCCGACGCTGCGCGAGGATCGGAGCCTGTGCCGGACTGCTCCTAGCAACCACAGTCATCACAGGCAATGCGCGGTGGTACTTCATTTCTTCTACCGCGATGTTGAGATATAGTCAAAATGATCAAGAACAGCACGAAGGAGTCGAGCAATTGCGCACCCACACCTACTACCTCGCGAATCCGCTGCACAGCATTAAAACTAGACCTCGTAGATGTCGTACCTGTTCCACGACAGCTGAAGCTCATCCGGATGTCGACGCCACAGCTACACTCGTAGAAGTACAACCAGGCCCAGATCTCGCTAGTGCGCTCTTTCCACCGATCATGGGCAAGCAAGCAACTGACGAAGGCAGCGAGTTCCTTCCCACTCCCGTGCACAGGACGACGGATGTTGGTGACATCAACAACGCCACACCACTGCAACCTCCACGGCTCTCGTCAATGATATCCTTCGGGGACACTGCAACTTTTCAACACCATTCTGGGGGCACACCGCAGCTGCAAATTTCATCATCTTCTCGTGGACACGTAGACTTTAAACTCCCAGAAGCGATTTTGGCCTACCGGCAGCTTGTCTACGACAACGCCTCGGGTTCCAATCCCGAAGACGGGCGCTCCGTTTTTCAGCACATTTCACAGGGCGGATGCGCGCTCTGCGAGTATTTTGGGCTCTTCGTGATCGGATTCTCCTATTGGCTGCTCCACGTGCAAGATTTTGTCGTATTTTCAGGAGATAAGACGAAGGTCCGAGCTGGGTTGAATCACGAACTACACGTTGGAGCAACTAGCGCGACAGAGGCATCCGTGAAGAAGAAAAATTATGGACACGGCGAGCAAGAGGAGCTGTACTCTACTCAACATGTCAGCGACGATGACGCTCATATCACTTTGTCCAAGTCAACAAGAAAGAGGTGCTGCGACTTTTTCCTCTTACCGCTGAAAATCAGTTCTCTGCTCCGCATCTGCCTCCTCGCAGCCTGCAGCCTCTCCTGGCTCATTCTGCGCAGTCCGCGGGGCAGGTATTTCCTGCGCAATAAGGGGGGCGTTTTGGCGACACTGCGGGCCTTGTTTTTCGAGGTGGATCGCGAGTGGTTGGCGAGTTTGTGGTCAACATCTACTTCAACCGACTACAGCATGCCCTTCGTCGATGGCGGAGGGCGAGTGTCGGATGATCTTCGTGCCGCTCCCTCATCGAGCGTCGACACAATTAGTGCGGAAAAGTCTTCCAACTTGGACGTCGAATATCACCTGCACTTGTTTACACTTTGTCTCGCCCTCTTCCTCAGTGTGAGCTTCGCCGTGAGCTACATCGCACTGCTGACCAGCTGGAGTAGTCGCCTCTCGCTCGGTGTGCACGGTGTGTTTGAAGCAGTGGGCGTGTACAGGTGGAAAAGCACCTGCCTGTCGTCTTGGTCGTCCCGAAGATGTTGTAAAAAATCTGCAAATACTCTTCACCACGGTGACAAGAGGCAGCAACAAGGAGTCGGAAGGGCGTCGATGGCGACGACCTCCCTTGCACAGAACATCAATCGGCGGGAACGAGCGAGCGGAAACGCGCGGCGAAGAAGATCCGCAAACGGTCGGCGAGGAGGACAGAGACGCCTGCGACTGCGGGTCCACGCGGCCCCACGCGGGGGCGAAGATCATTCTCGTGGCCCCGGCGGAGGTCCTCCTCGCAGCAATCTGACGCGGGAAGCGAGCGACGATGTGCTGCTGACGGACGACGAGGAAATCAATGCTGGACAAGAAGAACTTCTACACGACGACAGCGCGGCTGGACAAGAACTACATCAAGTAAGTAGCGATTCTACTTCTGACGACGAGATGCAAGAAACGGACGATGAGGCGAGGCCCACGAACCAGTCGTTATACGGCAGCGACTTCAACGACGCCTCGCCCATCGTGCTGGAAAGGCGGTTTCTGTCCGACGGAAGTCTCCACCGGAACGACCGCTCCAGGACGTTCTCCGGGGGACGACCCAGTCCGGGGTTAGAAGTGAATGACGACAACTCTGCTGGTCCTCGTCGTTGCCCTAGAACTTCTACTGAGATCCCATTCATCTTCCCCAGCACGACTGTGTTTAATGGCACGGGGGATGAAAGCCAGTTCGCAAATTTCCTCGCTTTTCTCACAAATCCCGTAGAAGATGTCGAACGCTTGAAGACCTCCACTGCGGCTCAACAAGAACATGCTCCGGGCCGCGTGCTGACTACGGTGCTCCGCTGTGTCTGCGTTGTTTTCACCCTCCTCCTCGCTCTGCCCTTCAACGCGGACGCTGTTCTTTTGCTTCTGAACCGGTTCGTCGGGCCGTTTCTGTTCGTGCCGCTGCTCTGGTGGTTCCCCGTGGGGTGCAGTGCGGTGCTTCGTGACGCGCCGAGGAGAGATGAAGTTGAACAAGAGAATGCACCTGGCGAAACAAGAACGCCTGAAGTTTCGTCCTTTGCCGCGGCGGCGGACGCGGTCGTGGCGGACGCCAAGGGGACGAACTTTTGCAGAGGAAGAATCACGCGTGAAGATTTCTTCACATCTGATACCTATCAAATGTAAAAATGTCTGGGTCTGGAAGAATGCAACTTGTGATGCTGCATCTGGATTCCAGAAAAATCTGTATTGCATGAGTACCAAAAGGAGTTTAATTTTTGCTACGTTGAGAGGGCATTTGTCATGCGGAATAGGCATCAAGAAGCTCTCAGAAAATCTGTGATGCTAGGGCACGCATCACAGACATCAGGGCTCATGCCAAACGTGCATGACAACTGTCAGAATCTTCCAGACCCAGACATTTTTACAGTTGATAATACCATCAAAGAACAGAACAAAGATCATGCGAAGAACGGCGAAGGCCGCCACCTCCTCGTCGGCGAAAATCATAATCTTCCGGACGAAGATGAAGCAGCCTTATCGCCGTCAGAGGAAATAATTACGTGCCCAAAAAGATCCTTGTCCTGCCCCGCGCCCCTGCCCGCGCTTGTGCTGTTAGGAGAAGTAGTCGAAGATGAACTACCGAGAAAACTAAACGAGAACGGTGGTGAAGAAGTCAACAACCACGAAAACTGCCATCGTCGTGAGCACAACGCTCCCACGTCTCCACCAGCTGCGCCTTATAATCCTGCCACAGTACCTGCTGTACCGGTAGCAGTACCACAGTTTTTACCCGCGCCCCACTTGATGGAACCAAGAAAGACTCTTTGTGCTAGTCGTACTAGCTTTGTACACGACAGAAATCAAAAGCGTATTGGAGATGATGTTTTTGATACAGGCTCTTCTTCTCGTCCGAATAGGAAAACTAATGAAGCTTCACCTCTAGCTGCTGCTGCTACTCTTCTCACCCTTTTCTCCGAGCACCTCGCGGACTGTAGCTGGCTCGTGATTGACCTGAGCGTCTCGGTTTTGGTTTACCAGCTGCTGGTGAATTTTGAGGTGCTCGCACCTGCCTTCTCCGGTTGCAGTAGTCGTTCTACGTCTACTTCGGAGGTGGTTCTCTGGGATGAGGCTTTCTTACCCCGTCCACGGCGCACACAGAGAGAACTACAGGCAGGTGAAGGAGCGGAAAGTAGCTTTGTGACGTCTGATCCATTTCCGGCAATACCCGCCGAGCAAAAATTGTACTCCTGGTCTGCAGCCGAGGCACAGTACCAGAACTGTATGAGAGGTCTTGTGCACAAATTGACCTTTTTTTATACTCCTCAGCCGCATGTTGTCCTCGTTGTATCTACAGCTACAGAGGCAACAGCTGCAAAGAGAAAGACGCAGCTTCTCTTGTATGTGTTGGCTCGCTCGTTTGTGGAGCTTGTCAACATGGAAGCAGTGCGAAAAGCAAGCCAAAACTGAGCTGGTAACCAAATGCGTGGTCGTAGTTTGATGCATAAGTAGGCTCCATTGGTTCAAAATGACGGGAGTGAAGAAGTAGGGGATATTTGTGCACTCTCATAATATGGCCGGACCCCGCAAGAGACGCCCCATTATGGCCGCTCTTGAAGCAGCAGGTGCAGCACAAGGTGGCTTCAATTCTGTTTCATCCAGCGCCCAGAGAATACTGACACATATTTCATTTTTTACATGTTTTGTTCCGTGGTCGTGAATATTCCTCGATCACGGCATTTTCTTTCAGAAAAAATCCAATTGCCCGAGAACATTGATGTGTACACGAAAATGAACTTCCAGAAGTTATCCTTACTCACAGTACAGCGCGCTGCGTTTTCGGAGCATCGAACGAGGTGGTGATGTAGGGTAGGTGATCTGCTCTTGCTACATTACAATGACTCTTCCGTGCGGAAATGCAGCTCTGCGGCAGTTTTATTTCTCTAATCTGAAAAAGTAGAAAGTGAAAGTGTCGAAGCATGTTTACACGCTGAATATGCAAGTCAGCAACAAGCGTGTCGGCACAAAACTGAAACATGATTTCACACCTTCGCTCGGTCAAAATGAAAAATCTCGTATTCGTAAGCAACACGATAAAGAAGAAATCGGACGAATCTGACCCTCATCAATCAGTCGTGCAGTTGTACCCTCTCTTCGGTGAGTTTGAGTATTTGACAGAGATTCGGTGCAAGAAGAACTTGTTACAACGTGCTGCATATCCATATCGTACTAGCTGTCGTTTCTATCGTCCAACAGAAGATTCTTTTTCGTTTCGTCATAACTGACTGTCCGCACTTTCGCTGCTTTTGTTCCGACGGGCATTTTACGAATAGAAAAATATGCAAAAAATCTCTTCAGGTGTTGCATCTTCCCCCCATGACGCCATGTGAATCATAATTCTATGCTCACCCACATTTCTAATTGCTATATTTGGTTCCCAGACCATTTATTTTTATATTGTTTTTCGACCGAAGTATAAGTAAGAACTCAATTGCAGAAGGAAGAGCAAATAAAACGCGCGGCTACAACCGATGGAATGCGCTGCATCTACCGTTTTATTTAGCACGATTACGACCCAGTAGTTGTAAGCGGCAGATACAACTCCGGCAAGAAACAAAGAGAAGCCCCCGAGGATGGCGGTCAAGGACAGTCCGTCGTCCATCTACGTGGCGATCCGAGTGCGGCCGTTTGTGCCCCGCGAGAAGAAGGCCAAGGAGGGCACCTGCCTGGAGTGCCGGCACCCGGAAATCAAGCTGATCAACACCACCTCGGGTTCGGTGCAGAGCTTCGAGCTCGATGAGATTTGGGACAGCAGCTGCGACCCGACCTCGCCGCTCTTCTTCGACCAGGAGAAGGTCTACAGAAAGATGGGAATGCACATCCTCGGCGAGCTCCGGGACGGCTACAACTGCGCGCTCTTCGCCTACGGGCAGACCGGGTCGGGCAAAACCACCTCAATTATGGGGGACATGAACCCGGAGAAGGAGCGCGGCATTTTGCCACGCCTGCTCTACGACCTGTTTGCCTTCTACGACGGGAAGCAGAAGCTGGGATGGAAGGTTATGACCTGCTCAAATGTTACAATTTCAAACGTTAAAATAGAATCTGGGTTTTGTGTTGCATGATAAGCATGACAGACTCGGACAGCATCCCAGTTTGTGCAATACAAATTTCGCGAGATTGTAGTGCGGATGGGGGCTCCAGAACTTGTCATGCGCAATCCTATGAGAGTTGGCTAGATAATGCACTTGTTGCAAGACAAATTCCAGATTCTATTGTAACGCTTGAGATTGTAAAAACACCTGAGCAGGTTATAAAGGTGGACGTCCGGGTGCGCATGCTGGAAATCTACAACGAGCGAATCCAGGACCTGCTCCGCCCGTCCAACGAGAAGGTCAGCAAGAAGCTGGACGTGCGGATGCACCCGAAGCTGGGGGTGTACGTGCCGGACCTGACGATAAACGCGGTCGAGTCGGCGGAGGACTGCATCCACCTGCTGGAGTACGGGGTCACCATGAAAACCGTGGCCGCCACGCAGATGAACGCGCAGAGCTCGCGCGCGCACACCATTTTCGCCATGAAAATCGAAAAAGACATCAAGGAGGGCTACGGGGAGAGACACGAGTCGTCGGAGCTCTTCATCGTGGATCTCGCGGGCCGAGAAAACGAGCGAACCACCCTAGCAACCGGGGAGCGACTGGTGGAGCTCAGTTTCATCAACAAGTCCCTGTTCCACCTTGCGAACTGCATCCACGCGCTCGGAAGCGCTCAGCAAGCGTCCTCGGCATGTACAAGTTGTTTTTTACTTATTCAAACATGACTAATTCTAATTTCTGCCTGATCATGAATTGCACATGCGCATGCGCTTGAGATAAAAAATTTGAACGCCGATGGTGCACCAGCAGTAGAAGGATGAGTAGTACACATAGCAATCACCGTAGAAGTAGTAGTTTTTCACAATCACACCATGAGATACAAGTGATTAGCTGTTCCATCTGCAGATCGCAACACGGACGTGAGCCTGTTGTATGCTTGCAAAGAAATCCAAACTTTCTTCCTTTTCTTGACGTACGTCAAACTATCGAGAGTCAAAGGTATGATCTATCCAAAACAGCCGGGAAGTCCACGAAGCCCGGCGGGCAGCACGCCAAAGTCGCAAGCACGCAGCGTGACATATCCCAGGCGAATTTTCGCAACAGCAAGCTCACATTGTTGCTCTCCGAGGCGCTCTCCGGAAACAGCAAGACGTACATGATCGGCACGCTCTCGCCCGCGGTCTCGGCCTTTGAGGAGAACCAGGTCACGCTCCGGTTCGCCGCCACCGTGAAGAACATTAAGCTGAAGGCCTCGAAGATCGAGGCGTCTAAGACGGACCAGGTGTCCGCGCTGAACGACGAGCTGATCCGGCTCCGCGAGCAGCTCGCGAACGCGCCCGCGGGCGGCAAGGTAGACGGCGAGCTCCGCGAGCAGCTGGACGCGACCAACGCGGCGCTGGCGGAAAAGCAGCGGTCCTGGGAGGACGCGAAGAAGGAGGCGGAGCGCAACGCGGAGGACCGCAACAAGATGCTGAAGAAGCTCGGCGTCCAGAAGATGAAGTACCAGCAGCAACTGGACCGGATGAAGGAGAAGTACGCCAAACCCCTGCCCTACATCAGCAACGAGGCCGCGGACCCGCACCTGAGTGGCCGGATCGAGTACAGCTTCGACTTGAAGCGGGCCAAGAACCAGCTGAAGGGCTCGTGGTTCTTCGGGTCGGATTACGACGCGCTGGTGAAGACCGCGAAGGAGTTCGACATCGCGCCGGAGGCGAAGCTGGCGCGCAGCAGCGACCGGTCGAGCGCGGGCGGCGAGGAGGTGGACAACTGCGTGGAGATTTCGGGGCTGGGCATCTCCGCGAAGCTGTGCCGGTTTGACGTGACGGGCACCCCCCCGGCATCCAAATCGAAGGAGACATCAAACCGCAACGAGTTGGAGAACTCGGACCTCGACGACAAAACCGGGACCACGACCACGACCGGCAGCCGGTTCGGCGGCCGCGCGTACCCGAGCGCGCTGGAGGTGGACGAGGTGGCTATAATGGAGAAGCCAGAGGACATCCGGGGGTCCTTCAGCCTGCAGAAACAGGAGTCCCACACACTGACCGTGACGCGGCTGAGCAGCGACGGGCAGGTGATGGTGAACAACGAAACCTTGGAGGTCGGCAAGCCCCACGCGCTGCTGCAGGGCGACAAGGTGATCCTCGGCCGGGCGTACATCTTCCGGTGCTACGTGGACTCCGCCGAGGACGACAAGGAGCTGCACGAGCGCGGGTCCACGGGGCTGGTCACGCCCCGGCATAGGCGCAGCAAGTACAACTCACAGGCCTCGCTGGAAAAATGCATCCGGGACCTGCTTATCAGCTGCAAAAATGTCTGGGTCTGGAAGGATGCAACTTGTGATGCGCATTTCAGAACACAGAAAAATCTCTCATGCATAGGTAGCAAAAGCTGCCCACTTTCTGTCACCAAAGTGGGGGATTTGTCATGCGGATCCGGCATTGCGGAAGCTTCTCGAAACCTGTGATGCTAGAGCTTCCACGCCAGACCTTCTGCGTCATGCAAAAACAGCATGACTCTTCCAGACCCAGACACTTTTGCATTTGATACTGCTCGGGGGCGAGACCCTGGCGGACAACACCGAAATCTTTCTCGCCAAGAGCTACCTGGCCCAGCTGCGGTCGTTGTCGATTGACAACGAGCCGCGGGTGTATTCCTTTTTGTACGAGGCGAAGAAGACCAAGCACTTGGTGGACGAGGCCAACGAGATCACGACCGCGGTGCGGCCGCAGGACAACCTGAAGTTCGAGCTAGACACGAGCAGTCCCCTGCTTTTTACAGGGTACGCCACCTCGCACTACATGCCGCAGCTGATGGTGCGGGTGGTCCGCATGCTCACGCCGGCGCAGAAGAAGTGGGGGGCCATCCGGCACCGGATACACTTCGCGAAGGGGCACATTCTGCAGCAGTCGCACCTCCAGGAGTACGACGAGGAGATCCACAAGCACCCGGAGAACCACCCGGTTCAGGACTGCGAGGTGCTGTTCGTTTGGTCGATCACGAAATTTTTGGGCCGGTTTATGGATGTGTCAGAGTTGAAATCGACAAAGTTGAAATAATTTGTTATGCATAAAATGGATGCCAGTTGGAACCCAGTTTCCAAGTGGCGCATGACAAATTTCGGTCGCGGGGCATGTTCGGGTGTTCCGGGCAGTGCATTGTGCACCCCTCGGACCCCGCACCCCCCGGGCTTTAGCTGCGCAGTCTGTTAAGCATGACAAATTTCGGTGGTCCCTAAATCCAGTTTGTCATGCTGTTTAGGCAAAGAAGAGCGATTTTCTCATGCTACTTTAGCAGCTCACGCTGTAACCCCAAACAGGCTTACAATCGGCCTCACTTGCCTGCTCTGCAACGCACGCACCTCGGGCCATGCATTTTATGCATTGCAAGTTATTTCAACTTTGACGATTTCAAACCTGACGCTTCCATACGGTTGGACATGATGCGGGACATCTACCACAACTGGATGTCGGGGGTCAGCTTTTTTGTGGATTTAAAGGAGGATCCTTGGGTATCAAAAGGAAAAATCCCCCCTCCCCATATTGAAGAGGTAGGTTTTCGAAAATTTGTGTTGCTGATTTGAGGTCACAAATCACGTTTGTGTTGCAAGAAGACAAGGGCAGCAGCTTCCGTCCCATTATGGAGGCGGTTTGTGATGCTGTTGAGCCAACACCACGGACGCTTTTCATGCTATGCGCCTAAGTCAAAGCCTCTCTGCTCAGGCTTGATATGGGTCTGCAGTCCTCTCCAGCAAGACAGATATGATTTGCGTACTCAAATACAGCAACACACATTCCGCTTTCGATATGGGGAGGGGGGATTTTTCCTCACAATACTGGGTGGAGGCAGGCCCGGTAGAGATGGAATTTTGGATGCGGGAGAAGGAAGAAGAAAAATTAATGGAGATTGAACAGCTAAAGAAGGAGATTGGTACGTTTTTATTTATTAGTACAGCTGATGCTGAGTCTTTCATCTTGATGACGAGTTTCGGTTTATTCTTTCGCGATTTTGCCACTCGCATGCGCCTCGATTTTTTTTTTCAGTGGTGCGCATCGGTTTCAAGTTTAAGTACAGAATTATATGCATGATTTTTTTCTACTGATTATTCCAAGAATAGAACGCGGAGGAGGAGGATTTGATGAGACGACACGGCGGTCCTGGTCCAGTACTGTATCAAGGTGAATTCTGATTCTGATTCTAACTCCCAAACTTTTCATTTTCCAATATAACAGTGGGCTACAAGGAGAAGGCGAAGCAAGCGAAGACCGACCGCGACGAGTCGGAGAAGAAGCGGGTGAAGCTGGAACGGGAGCTCGCTCTGAAGAAGCAGGAGGAGATAGAGGAGAACAAAATCTCCAACGCCGCGGGCCAGATGTCCGAAATGCAGTTGTTGAAGGAAAATGCCAAAGTGAAGGCACAGGTGGCGACCCTGCAGGAGGAGCTGACCAAGCTGAAACTGGACCAGGCCACCAAGGAGAAGCAGAACGCGAGCAATAGCAAGCAGTCGGCCGAACAGGAAAAAAAGTTGAAGCAGCAACAGCAGCAATTCGTGGAGGAAAAACAGAAGATGCTGGACCGGTTCAAATCCGAAAAAGACAGCTTGAAGGAGGAACTAGAGAAAAGGTTGTCCGACCTGAAAAAGAAAGACGCCGTGGAGAAGGACGCGTTCATGAAAAACGCCGAGAACGACAAGATGGAGCTGCGCAAAGCGTTTGAGGAAGAGAAAAACAGCATGCGGAGACAGTTTAAGGAGGACCTGGAGAACATCCGGCAGATGGAGCAACAAGAAATGGAATCAAAATACCAGCAGCACGAACAGCAGATTGCCACATTGAACGAACTACTCGCAGAAGCGCTCGCGAAGTCGGGGAACGCATAGCTTGTTGCAGAGGAAGCACTGAGAAATATCCCGCTGTGCTGTCGTTCTTGATTCCGCATGAGGAGCGACCCGTTGCTCCAGTAGCAAGTGCGCAATACTAGCAATTCTTTTTCAGCTACACATACACCATGTTGAACTTGAAAGCGTTTTTTTTCATTTCATTTTTCTGCTTATGTGCTGCACCCCGTTCTTTTTTCATGTTGTTTTTTCTTCATGTAGGGTGTGGCAATTGTGTCTACTTATTTGGCGGATGGCGCGCATGGTGCTTCATAAGATTTCTCGAAGAGATCGATTTTTCAAGCCATTCCCATTTCTCTTACACGATAAAGCTACGGTCGTCCTCCTGTCGATTGCGATGAAATTCGCTTCTGTTTCGTTGCCCACAAAAAGTGTTCCCAAGAAGCAAACGCTGTGTGCTGGTTGACACCAGATGAAAAAGGTCATTTCACTGCCGCATGATAACTACGAAAGGTAGATCTTCTGTCGGAATTGCCTCGATGAAGATGGCATTTTTTGTCGTACAGAATGAAAAGGATCTGCATCTGATCAGCAGGCATCTATGCCTGCTTTCGCCCGACGTTCTTGAGCCGATGAGTGTTGCAGCATTTTTGCGCGCAGGCCGATGGAACTGGAAGGAAATCGTAGCGCACGCACTATTAACTAGAGGTCGATTTTTACCCGACCGCCTTGTGATGTCCTTGTTTGATGAACTCCGGTAGAGGAACGAACTTAGACTTATCTCCCCCGCATATTTTATCTGTTTGACTCCTCCTAAGAACTACCACCACTTTTTCTCACCGTCCTCTCGACCCAAAGCAACTACATTCATCCTCATTGTCATACGCGAGTACAACGAGTATCTCCGGAATATCCTTACCCGAATTACAACTAGCAAAAATAGAAAATGTGTGGTCGTTGCGCCGTGATCACGGAGAAAGCTTGCTTGCACAAGATCGCGGGCACTTCTAAGTGGCGGAGACAAGAGGAAAAAGTGACGAAGAAGTACAACCTCTGTCCCTACGACAAGTCCGTCTGCGTCCCGGTCATTCACACCATCACTGTGTCCGCGGAGGAGGCCGGCGCCGGGTCTACTTCTACTTCCAAAGAGCAGGGCACACCTGGTGCTGGTGCCCCAGCTTTTGTTGACCATAAATCCGTCGTCCTTTCGGGCATGCGGTGGGGTTTGGTGCCAGCCTTCGCCAGGGAAGAACCACAGAAATTCACGTTCAACAGCCGCTCGGACAAGTTACTGGCGAGCGGCATGTGGAACCGGCTGCTGAAGAGCAAAAGCCGCTGCATCGTGGTTCTGCAGGGCTTTTTCGAGTGGGGCAAGGAAAAACGACCCAGGTACGTGCAGATGGCAAAAAACTACCCCGGATTTTCCGTTCAGGATGATCACGGCGATCACGAAACTGCAGGAGAGATTACGCAATCAACTGGGACGAGTTCTTCTACCCATGTGAACCAACCGCAAAAAATTTCAAATTCGTCCTCGTCGAAGCAGTTTAAAGAGCTGAACAATGGGAAGAACTTCCCTCTCCTCGTGTGCGGCATTCACGACCGGTGGTCGGGGCCGGGGTACAGCGTGCAGCAGCCCCTCGAATCCGTGTCGATCGTGACGACCGCGACGCCGCAAAACTCCGGGCTGTTCCCCATCCACGACCGGATTCCGCTGATGATCACGTCAAAGGAGCTGGCGGCGAAGTGGCTGCACGACGACAAAACCCCCTTCGCGGCGCTGCTGCAAGAAATCGAGCAGGCGAACCGGATATCAACCGTAAAAATGTCTGGGTCTGGAAGAATTCATGTTTGTCATGCTTGTCTGGCATGACTCTTAAATCTGTCATGCACGTTACCCAAGAGCTCCGTTTTTCTGTGCTGCAGAGCCGCAGTTTGTCATGCAGAATAGGCAACACCTAGGAGCTTAGAAATTTGTCATGCTGAGCCAGCATTTGTAGCCTCATCATGACATCACGCCACCCAGCATCACAAGTTTCCAGACCCAGACATTTTTACTTTTGATACCGGAGCGGGCCGTTGAAGTTAGAGATCTTCGAGGTGAACAAGCTTGTATCCTGTGCAAAAGTATCGTACTCGTAGTAATTGCAGTCATGCATTACAAAAAATCTCGTTCCCAAGGCATGTCAGCATGACAAACTCCATTTGTGATGCTGAGCGAATTTGTATTGCAATTACCACTAGTACGATACTCATACTTTTGCAGTTCATGGCTTGTGGGCAACAGCAAAAACGAAACGCCGGACTGCATTCTGCCCTCCGGGGACTACGACAAGAAACAGTTCGAGAAAAATTTCGGCCGGTTCTTGAAACCGAAGCAGCCTGTGAAGCAGGAACCTCCGGTACAGGAGAGCGGCGAGAAGCAAAAGGAGGTTTCGGGGCCGACTGGTGGCGCTACAACATCGTCGGAAGCTGGCGCGGCTTCAAACAAACGCGAAGCAGCTAAAGCGGAAGTGAAAATGGAGGAGGGAGTGGCATTGCCATCAGATGAAAAGAAACAAAAGACTGAATAGTAGCAGACGGCATGGATCGTAGTTTCACATCTTGATGGCGCATGATTCTGGAAGTCAACCCCTTTTCATTCATGAGTGGCGCTGTAGCTGTTCCTTTACCTTTACATTTTCTTTGAGGACGAGAAAGATTAAGTGTAGGACTAGAAGCAGGAAGATGCTGTGGCGCCCTGCGCAGAAAAATAGAAACTACGGAGTTTCATGTGTTGGCGTTAACTCAGCCGCGCTTCACGTTAGGAAGTCCCATGAACAAAACCGCCTGGGAGCATGGAAGTGAACGACCATATACGAAAGTCATATTGTGCGGATGTGTTCGTCGTACAGATATGCTCAGCTTCGTTTTCTCTTCTTCGTGCCAATTTCTGGACAGGAGCCCCATAAGAAAAAATAGAGAAACGACAATACAGCCCTTGATCTTTTTTTTCTTCACGCAGAGTTGATGAGCATTGAGGTAGCTGGCTGCCTCTGTCCGTGTGTCCAGTGCATGTGTGACGCTAGGATGGACGAGAGCGAGATGTCTACAATGTCAGTGCCTGTTGCTCGCCAGCATCAGGAGTTAGGCCTTGAGCATCAGGAGGAGCAACGAAATTCTGATTAGAACCTCCGCAACTGAAAACCCATGCAGAACCTCGCCGTGAACGCGACACAGCGGCGTTTTTTTGCCCGCGCACCGGGTCGCGGACATCGCATCCAGGCGCCTCTGACCAGCCAGTCACTACTAACGAGGCAGCACGGGTGGGAGTGGCAGGACGACTGGAGCAGCGAATTAACCGCCATGCAGGAGAAAGCAGTGAAAATTCGGAGGAAAGTTCCGTGGGAGGGTACCTGTCCGGTGATACAAAAGATCAAGCAAGAACGGAAAGAGTTCTTGAACAGCGAAGGAAGAAAGAAAAAGAGAACAGCATATTGATGGTTCGTGTATTAAATAAAACATGAAAAGTTTTTCTTTGATCCAGCATGTTGCCCTCCGGCCAAACCACAGGCAAGAATGGAAAGAAAACCGGCTACGGCTCGGGTTTTCAGGAACAGAAAATGCTGCTCGAGATCACAAGAGAGAGATCAGAACCTCGGTCACACATCATGACACGAGCAAAGAAAAGATCAGAATGGACCGCCGGACATCGTGGTTCCGGCGAGAATGGTAGCAGTCTACGGACGATCATCCCATAACGATCATCGCATAGCGAAAAATGCTTCCTGCTACACACTAGAAATTTTTGATGCTCATCCTGCCGCTCTGAAATTATTAAGTGCGTTGCTTTCATCAAAATACTTTTGCAGGTTAATATTACACTCGTGCTATGTTGCTGAACTTTTGCTCCATAACCTTAGTTAAGTAAAGCAAAGCGCTATACTTGTACCAACATCGATCGCTCTATTTTATAGTACTTACTAAAATTTTATCATTAACTTTTCACGAACAGCACTGACGAGACAGAACGCACCATCACCAACCTTTCTAGCATCAAAGCGCACACAATGATGTTTGTGCGATCGCTGCTCTTCGGCGTTTTCTGTCTCACTGGCTCGTCCTTTGCCTCGGTTCCTGACCCAGACCCTGGTGCTGCTTTAAACCACTGTGATGAACCTGTCACGGCCCATGTTTGTTCCTATCTATGGGATGAGTTTCCGCTGCACGCCATTTTTGACGCCGTGTTGACCGGACAGCCGGCAGGGGGCCAATTTGGGGAGCTCGGTACGGAAGCAAAGGACCGAGAACTCTATGCAAAGTTTGAGCGTCTGAAGGAACACTCCTGGAAACGGTTTTACCAACTGCTGCGGCGTCACCCCGTGCTGCAGCAGGCGCACCCCATTCGCGGCGCTAGTCGCCTCTTTCGCGGTCCTGTGGTTTCGAGCACCCTCCCGAAGGTGGGTTTCGCGACGGAGCTGTTATCCTACGTCGAGCCCGAGGTCTTGAGGACCCACCCGGACATCACCATGTGGATCCCCGATGGAGTTACGCCACAGGCCCTAGGTGACAGCTTTCGGCATTTTCTGCATCTATTGGAAAACGCACTGCTGCGCGAGCCAGTGCATCCTTTTGAAGCCGTTTTTTTTGACGAACTACGCGACCACATTGACGATGACCCGAACAGCGTGTTTTCAACGCTTCTTCTGCTCGACCTTCTGGGCCGGAGATATGATAGGGGCTTCGGTAAGTTTCGCATATTCACAAAGCGTGTGCCGCTTTCGCGCGACGACTTGGACAAGCTAGCAGGCTGGAAATGGAATGACGACAACATAGTGCTTCTGCCCAATGCGCCGAGCCTCGTTGTGTGTGGAAGAATCGGGGCCGCGGATCAGGAGAACCTGATCTCTCTCGCGTTCGAAATACAGCAACGGACAAGTTCCGCGAACTGGTCTTGTTGACCTGTGGTCTCGATGTGGTCCTCGTGGTTCCTCCTACTTTGGAGTGCTCTTCTCAATCGTTCGGGGAGGATGTGGGCCAATCTTTGAAAGACACCGACACGCAGACGTCGATGTCAGGGAGTCGCTAGTTGAGAAAGTCTGTCACGTGCGAGGATTACTCGTAGTGTTGTGCAAACGAGATGTAAAAAGAAACACTACACGTACGACAAACAGAAACATCGTCGTGCTGCAAAGGAGTAGAAGAAGTTAGTTGTCACGAAAAAGTAAAATCGGGAACGTATTTAGCTTTTTACAAACAGCGTTTTGTATTTTTGAAAAAAAAACTTCTGGGAGGAAGTGGTTACGTTTAAGAAACAATCGCAGAGATCGATGGCAACGTGTGTTGCCACACTGAACTTGTGAAGCTGAAAAACAATCTGTTTTCTACCGACGTTATTCCAGTGTGCGTCCTTTCACAGCATGTGCATGAAAGGTCTCTCATAGTAACAGCATCGATCTCAAATACACATGTACAATTTTACGGTTCGAAACAGCATCCAAAACTACATAGCTCTAAAGTCGACCATGATCATGTATACAAATTCTGAAACGAAAGACTAGCGTGTTGAGTGCACACTAATTTTTATTTTTCTATTTTTGAAAAGTATAGCGGTGTGTTGCCACACTGAAATTTTGAAGCTGAAAAACAATCTGTCTGTTTTTTCTGCGAGAAAATGTTTTTTCGAGAAGCAACCACGAGAACGCACGAGGAAATGAAAATTTCGAATGGAACAATTTTGAACATTTTCTGAAACTGTCGACAGTCTCAGTCTTTCGGGGAATATCAATCAACGCAAACTGGCCGAGTTATGAATTCCTTCGCGTGTTCATATGGTGGGTCCAACACAACGCAGTGCAGTTCTTGAACAGCGAAGGAAGAAAGAAAAAGAGAACAGCATATTGATGGTTTTTGTAATTAAAAGATGAAAAGTTTTTCTTTAATCTACGCAACATGTTGCTACTTAGAGTTAGAACGTGTTTTGTCACTCGGAGGAGCTCCTACCTTTCTTTCAAGATTTCTTGATCGGTCCTGGACGCTGTTCACAGATCATATTTTATGACAGTCTAACTAACGTACATGGTAAGAGCTCGCCGACTATCACTAGGACAGAAGATCTCGCCTCACGTTGCGCAGAGGCTGGTATTCATCGAATTGAAAATCGGTTGTGAAGTAGAGTCAGAGTGACGGAAGTAGTGCCGAGTATAATCGGTTTGTCTTTTTTCTCGCTGATGCGCAAATCAATGTTGGAGTCGGTCCACTTGCAAGTCGCATATGAATATTCGAAGAAGCAACTTGAACTTACGATAAATCTGCTGCATTTTGTACAAGAAATTAACACTAGTCCCCGAGAAGCAAAATGAAAACCTAGTCAGTTGTCAGTGCCTCGTCTCCGGCGTCCAATCGACGGAGTGACTTTGTATCAAGCCCCCGGCGCTATTAGATCCATCTCTGATAGGCAAGATTTTTCATCACGTTTTACAACGCGCGCGAACTTTGCAAAGCGGTCTTGTATCGCAGAGCTTTGCAGCAAGAACCCAGTCTCAGTTTACTTCATCGTCGACACCACGAGGGGTTGTTATTTTCACAAGAGCTCCAACCACCGGAGGTTTTTTTACGCAAACGACACATACAGGATTTCATCTGGTAATCCGTTTTCCGTCCACGACACAAGTCGAAAAACATCGCGCCAAAAAGATGTCTCTCCCCGTTGACGGCAACGGCGACGTGATCTATTCCGCCGAGGTGAAGGCCCGGCCGACCGTTTTGGTCGAAGAGGCAAAAACCAACCGGTCCACGTGCCGCTGCTGCGGGAAGCCGATCAAGAAGGGCACAATGCGGGTCGGGGTTCCGGCGTTCGTCGCGGGCCGCTTGGTCACGGCGTACCAGCACCCCGAGTGCTTCGTGAAAAAGTCGCTGGAGTTCGAGGAAGTGTAGTCGGGCTCGGCCGGTGCCTGCAAGGCCACCAAGCAGAAGCTGAAGGTGGGGGATATGGCGTTCTCAAACGTTACATTCTCAACTGTTACATGAACTTGCAATGCAAGAACGGCAAAAGTGAAAGGGCGAAGTTTGCGCCTTTTGCATTACAAGTTCCGCACAGATTTAGGTGCTGTCTAGCCCCTCGCAGATTTGTCATGCGAAGCAGCTTGAGCATCTGGCGGCTTGAGGTAGCTTTGCATGACAAATTGATGTAACAGTTGAGAATGTAACGTTTGAGAATCCCATAGGGGAATTGCGCGCCATTGTGGACACGGGGAACAGCCGGTTTATCCCCCAGAAAAAGACCGACAGGTCATATTTGTAATGCAAAAATAAATAGACAAAAAAATCTGTATTGCATGCCCTAAACAGGATGTTATGGCCTCGCCCATGACAGATTTTCCTGTGTATTTATTTTTGCACTACAAATATGACCTGTCGGTCTTTTTCTGGGGGATACGGTTCTCGCTGTCCGCAAAGGTTTTCAAGTTGCTGAAACCCGCACTGAAGGCGGGAAAGGTGAACAAACTGGACAAGATTAATGGGGTGAAGAAGCTGAATATCCAATAAACAACATTGTTAGTGTAAATTTGTGATGCAAAACCTGCAAAATAATTGCGGCTGTCATGCAGAGCATGCATTGCAACGTCCATTCAAGCGCGTTTTCACGTACAATCTATGCATGACAGGTTTATTATTTTGCTCTCATGCGAGACAGATTTGTAATGCTGTTCCTCCAAAGAAGTTACGCCTACAATCTTTTTTTCCTGGATACTGAACGCAAAGCAGAAGGACCTGGTCAAAAAGGGCGTTTTGTGAGCAGTGAAAGAGAAAGAATGGAAGGGGGCAAGCTGCTGGCGCATCGGCATACTTATGTCAAACAAATGACACAACGACGTCCTCACACTATGTATTGAACGCTGGCGCTGCACCTGCACGAGGCACTGAGTACCATTTTACATAAGTTATCATTTTTCTCACTGTGACTGTGTCATATCAACAAAAGGCTGATCTCCATATGCATAGTTTTTGGAAGATAATTCTAAATTTTGGCTCTGATGAAAAAGTGAAATTCCGAACAAGTGGTACTTCCTTTTTGAAGGGAGGTTCGTCCTTTTTGTATTTAGCAATCTAGTATCGGCGTAAGCAATCGTTGTATTTAGGTACAGTCCGCCTACTACGACTACCCCTAGTAGCATATCTCACGACCTGCCTCTACGTAATATCGTGCCGCTGTGTTGGAAGTTGCAGCAGAGGACACATGTGCAGCGCGAGAATGTCCTGCAACAAATTGAAATGTATTAATGTAAGCAGTAGCATGTATGCAGATAGTATTCAGGATCAGGACTGCTTGAAAAAAATCAACAACAAGTTGTGTTGCGAATCAGTCAAAGCGTGGCATCGACTTCAACGCATGATCTGGTTTAAGTAACCGCGCTCGACGTTTTCACACTTGTGTGAGCAGCAGCACCAGCTCGCTGATTCTGCGCACAATCCCGCCCTGCTGGGTGGTAGGGTACTGTCTTTTTCAAACTGGGCCATGGGTTTAATTAATGGCTTTGAACGTGGATAATTGCCTCAGAGAGCACGATTTTCGTAGTGTGAAGATCATGAGATGACTGGACCACGCACTACACCTTCTTTATTCGAGAGCAAAAAGAAGCAGAATTATGAGAGAGTTGATTGTTTTTTAAGGCGGGGCGGGAAGACACTGAGGCGTTGTAGGGCGGGACGCACAACTACATGCGTATACGTTAAAGTATTTGCCGAGGTATTGCAAGCGACAGAGCATCCCCTGACCACGTCTGTGTGCCTTTCCGAACAAATTGCAATTAAAGACATTTTTCCGATTCCGTTATAAGTAACTTGTTTCCGTTTCTTGAGTTTGTGGCGTGTCCTTCCCTGTGTGTTTCCATTTCGCCGGCAGACAATTTTCGTTTCGTTTAATAATCCAACGACCTCCTGTTTTTATTCTAAAGCACAATTAGGCGCCCGATAGAAGTACCACACCCTCGTCAACTGCCACCGATTCCGTTCTCTGGCCGCCACCGCATCTTCCCACGGACTTGTCCTCGCCGCGCAGCATCATGGCAGCCGGACCGCCCGAAACAAGTCAGCAAAATGCACCGCCGAAGCAGGACCAAAAAGTGGTCGGCCCTGACATCTATGGCGCCAAAGAAACTTATCAGCTCATTCGGTCGCTGCAAGCCGCGCTGTTCGGAGGCGTTTATGAAGCGAAAGGTGCGTACTGATTGACAATTTATGATGAATGATGAAGTGCTGTCAGGTCTACTGACTGTCACTGTTTTGCACAGATGAATACAAGATGAAGATCAATATGCTAAAACCATGTGCAACCGACCCATGATATCAAAGCAGGTTGCACAACTGGCCGCTCCTTTGCCGTCAAGGTCCTGCACAAAAGCGAGCTCAGCAAGTCGCCACCCAGTTTGGACTTCTGCGAGGTGCCGCTGTCAGAAATACGCTTTGAAAAGCAGATGCGCGGGCACGAGCACATCGTTGAGGTGAGTATTGAAGTTACTTATGTATGTAAGTGTACTTGTTTTGCACTTGCATCACCATTAGCACGATGGATAATAACGACCACGACCTGGGCAGTCAATAGAACCCGGGCCTGCGAAGATACTCAAAACTGAAAAGCGCACCTTCAAATGGAAATTTAGGTCCACGAGGCCTTCGAGGACGAGTATTGTCATTACATTGTGTTCGAGCTAGCTGCAAAAGGAGATTTGCTGGAAGCGCTGAAGACCAAGCCCGATGGTTTCCCAGAGCAACAATGCCGGTAGGAGGTGGATATTGATATTGATATCATATTAATGTTCCATCGATGTTCATGTTGCACACAATCGAATTCGCTAGTGGCGAACGACGGAAAACTGGAATCATCATCATGTGATTTCTTGGACAAAAAGGAAACACCGTGATGTAACACCTTCCTCCCAAGGTTTCTGATGCGGCAGGCTGCATTGGGCCTTGCGGCGCTGCACGACCAGAAAATGGCCATGCAGGACGTTTCGCTGGAGAACTTGCTCATCTTTGTGTACGGTGACACGGTCCGCATAAAGATTTGCGACCCCGGACAAGCGGTGGAATTTGCGCTTGACGAAAAGACACAGGAGGAAAAAACTGTACCCTACAAGGGCTTGGTCGGCAAAAGCTTCCGGCCGCCGGAACTGTCGGAGAAAAGACCCTATCTCGCGACGAAAGTGGATTCCTGGTGCCTAGGCTGGAGTACAAGAAGATTCCTCTTGTTTATTGGACTGCTGTTTCCATAAGAATTTCGATTTCCGTTTTATCTACTTTGATGGCATCTACTCATCTAGTAGGGAGTCTTTCGTCGATAGATGACGAAGTAATTGAACAATACAGAACTGTGCGAAATAAAATCAGGTACTTTCTACCTCCTCTCCGCTTTGCCCCTGTTCCTCTCGGCCGACAGCGCCCAGCGCGACCAGGAGTACTGGCAGTATTTTCGCCGGGGCGATCTGGAGGGTTTGTTTCGGCGGAAGATATCCGCTGCAAAAGTATCGTACTAGTATAAATTGCATATACAAATTTTCCCAAAAACAAAAATGCAATTTGTCATGCTATTTCAGGTAGAGAGTTGGATTTGTTATGCATATCTGCAATCAGTACGAGTGCGATACTTTTGCACAGGATAGAAGAACCAGATTGACCAAAAGCTGTCGCCGATGTGCCTCGACTTTATCGTGCAACTGATGAAGATCGAGCCCAGCAAACGCATCTCCGTGCACGACTCCTTGAAGCACCCCTGGCTCGCGGGGGAGGCTGTGCCGAGACAACTGACGGTGTCGGAATTGGACACGATTGAGCGGAAGCAGGCAAACTACCCCCGGGTCCGAAACGCGGATCACTTAGACGCGTTTCAAACCAGCAGCTCCGCAGGGCATTTTCTGTTCCGCCCGGAAATACGGAAAGCGAACATGCTTCGCGGCGCCGGAGGCGCGAGCCAATCTACAACCGGCGCCGCAGCGGCAACCACCGCCGGCGGCTCGAGCTCGAGCAGCATGTATAGTCAGTACTTATTTATTGTGGTGCTGCTGGTGAGAAATCAAAATGTTGAGGACGCTGCCCAGGGCCGAGCTATCATCCCTATTAACAACGCTTGAGTTTGTAAAATGACCATAGTATTAGTACCTCCGAGTTGTAATAAGGATGCATTGTCACACCAGGTTTCGCACGCGCTCGCCGATGCCACAAGTGATTCCGTCCCCGAGGTTTCAGAGTCCATTTGGACAGCGACTCCGCTCGCCCTCTCCTTTACCGTCGAACTGGGCAAAACGGTGAGAGAACACTTCAGCGATATTCATTGTTAATTGTAGCCAGCAAGCAACGTATCCAGAACTTGAGCTTCTTCTTCGGTTCTCGGTGCTCTTTTAAGATGAACTAGATGAACTACCTTAGGGCGCGTGGAATAGCAAAAATCCTAGATCGATGCCCTGGAGTAGCAGGAGTTCGAGTTGTAGAAGAAAACTATCCACTCAGCTCCTTCTCCCCGATGCCGACTTTGGGCTTTATCTCGCCCGCCGCACCGCCCCCGGCGCAGTTTGGAAACTACAAAGCCTGTATGTCGGCCGTGAAGAGTAGAGAGCCCGCTTCGATCGGAAAGACGCAATTGCTGCACCAGGACCAGCCAGAGCGAAAATCACTAGGAGCTCCTACCGGTCTGGGATCTACGGTAGAAAAACTCGAGTTAATAAATACGGTTACTTCAGATTTTTATGGTTCTAGCACATAATTCCGTACAAGTACAATATAAGTAACGGTGGACCTTCGTTCCCTTGCATACTAAGGTCATTGAGATCACAAACAGAAGCAACGACCATATCGTGAAGATGATTTGGACTTCTACGTCTGATCCACAATTCATTCAATTTCTAATCCTGCTTATTTTTAAGGCTTACAGAAATTAGTTCCTACCCTTGTTCCCGAAAGCTTAGGTTTGAAAAAAATGGAAACAAACCGCGAGGGGGGTTTAGCTTGCAAACTCTCGCAGTCGCTTGGAATGGCCGAAGGCCATGAAAAATGTGGCTGGGAAGCAGCCAGCGCGCGAGCTTGGGGGAGAATGGGCAGCCGTCTTCGGCGGGGCTGCCGCGCTTCTCCTGCCGGGCTGCCAGGAGTGGGCCTTGCGCTCCTGCTCGTTGAAAGCGAGTTGCTTTGAAGTGCCCTGCTATTGGAAGCGAATTACTTGCAATGCCTTGGCATAGTAAGTATTTTGTTTGTTGTGCTAGTATATTGCAAGCAATTCGTGTTCAGCGCCAGGTCTTTAAAAGCAACGCGCCTTCAATATAAGGGGTCGCCCAGCAGCTGCCACACTCTAGCCTTTCGGAAATGCGTTCCCAAGGTTTGCCGGAAATCCTGGGAGCACATTTCGGCAAGGCCCCCACGTCGGATTTGTGCTCTGGCCGGCGACAGGTCTGAAGACCTCGCGCAAAATCATCCGACGTCGGGGAGATAAAGAAGTGCGCCCCTAGGATTTTCGCCGCTTCGAGACCTGGGATCATAGTTCTGCAAAGCCCCCGCCTAAGATGATGCTGTGCGGGTTTTTCTGTGTTTCAAGGTCAGAGCACAAACTCGGATAGCACTCTCGTGCCCTGGCCTGCAGAAGTGTGCCCTGGACTTCTACGTCTGATCCACAATTGATTCAATTTCTAATCCTGCTTATTTACTAGGCTCCGCGCGGAGCAGGAGGGTCCGGGGCCGCGGTCGACGCACCAACCTTCACGTCTACCAGCGTTCGGGTGCCCACCCGGGGGAACTCCGGCCTACAAGGCACGACGTCCAGTACGAGTGCGACAACTGTTGTCGCTCCACCCAACCATTCCGCAACGACAACTCAGGGTGGAATCAAGAAGAGCATGCACGACAAAAGCCCGGCCGAGCGGCTCCCGAGCACCCGGAGCGGCCTCTTGCAGGTGGAACCCGCGCCACCCTTGTCGCAATCGCAAATACAGTCACAAGGACCACCTGCTCCGGGTCAGACCTTTAGTACCAGTACGGCCGGTGGGGCAGCTGGGGACCACACTATGTCAATGGTACAACTGTCGCACCAGCAACCCGCTTCGGTCCCTGTGCGGGCGCCGGCGCCTGCGGCTTCGCAACAAAACGTTGTTGCCGCGGGTCGGGAAATCAATAATGCCAACGATGCGTCAGCTGCTCAACTTCTGGGAGCTGCGGCTGCAGGTGGGGTGGCAAACAACAAGCCGCAACAAGTGTCCTCTTCACCCAGCGGAATGGATGTGACGCAACTAATCATTGAAGATAAAGTTACCGGGAAGGCCCAGTACCATCATCAATCTCAATCTTCGTCTGGCGGTGGCGCTGGCGCGACCACAGGCTCCAGCACCGCGAAAATAACAGCAGCACCAAATCATGGGTCCGGCTCCGCTTCTAGTAGTAGCAGCTCTAGCAGTGCAGCCCACAACATCAACACGGTAGGAGAGAAGTATACAGAGACGTCGGCGAACCAGCATCTGCAGCGGGGGAGCAACATCAAAGCCGCGGAGCCAGGACCACCTAGTTCTACCGCAGCGGCCGCTGCCGGCTTCTGGTCCGGTACTAGCACGGCCTCGTCGTCGCGCTCTGGTACGGGAGGGATGCAGCAGGCAGGAGCTGGAGGAGGCACTACTAGTTCTGGGGCAGCTCCTCTTACGAACTCGAACACCAGCCAGATAAGGAGTCTCTCGTCTCAGCAGCGTCGTCCGTTCTCCATGCAGTCAGTGGCGACCACCTTAGGGCAGCCAGCGTTGCTGTCAGGCGGAGGGATCAGCACGATGAATGCAGCACAAACATCCGGTAGTAGTACAGGAGGGCCGAACTATGCGACCCGGGGCCGAGCGGTAAACTCCGGCTTCCAGATCCGCGCTCCGTCGTTGTCCAGGACCCGATCCTATCAAATGTAAAAATGTTGTCTGGGTCTGGAAAGTTGTGATGCTAAAATGTGCAAGATGAAAACAGTTCCGAATGCAATCTAGCATGACAACTTTCCAGAACGCTTTCTCTCATAAGCAATCTGCATGAGAGACTGCATGTTTGCATTGACAAAAGATGCTGCGCCTTTTGTTGGTTGCGCAATACATATTTCCTAGGTATGGAAAGCTAGCATTACAAGTTCCAACCTTCCAGACCCAGACATATTTGCAATCCATAGATCCGGGACCTCCGGCGGGAACCTGGTCTCTCTGCTTTCCTTATCCTGTGCAAAAGTATCGTACTCGTATTGCAATCATGCATTACAAATTTCTATTTTAAGGCAAATCCGCATTACAAATTTTCTCTCTCAAGCTGAGGAAATTTGTAATGCATTTATACGAGTACGATACTTTTGCAGTTCATATTCCTGGCAGACGCCCGTCGCTGGGTACCGTGGTGCGGCTAGCGGAGCAGGGCCTCAACATCAAGTAGAACAGCTGCCCGCGACTTCAACCACGACGGTTTTGCCCGAAGAGAGTAACTACACGACCGGTGCAGGAGGAGCAGCACCCCCCAGGGAAGCCGCTGCCGCTTCATCGTCTGGTACAACGAACTATTATCTGCAGTCGCAACATCATACGCAAAGGAACCAACTTAGCAGAAAAAACTCGAACAGCTACCTGCGCCCGTCACCGCAGAAGCTCCACCTCGCGTCGCCGCACATGGGATTGCAAGCCAGAGCGCTCGTCGGTCGCGGGGGAGCTTCTGGTACTGGTCTACAACAGCTTCAGTCGCAGAGGACAGCGGCCCAGCAAGTAGTAGTACCGGGTGGTGCCACTAACGCTTCGTCGTCACTTCTGGCCGCGGGCACTAGTACAACGATTGCTGACCAACAGCAAGCCGCTGCATCTTCAAGTAGTGGAGTGGCCGTGCCGCCACCTGTTTCTGCTCCACAACCTGCGGCCTCGCAACAACAGCAACATCAACCCCCACCTACCATTCATCCCAAGCAGGGAGCCCGCGAGATCGAGGTGCGTGTTTCGCTGCCCCGACTGACGACCAGCAAGAACAGAATAGTACAGGAAGCCGAGCACATCAGCATGATTATTTGGAGCACGGACACCGCGGCGCGCATCGTTTCTGCCTGGATTGAGGACCTACATGCGCAGGGTCTGAGGGAAGCGCTTTCGGTATCCTAGATGAAATCTGAAAATCTATACTTCAACGCCCGCAATTGCACATCGCGCATAGGATGAAAACTACTAGGTCCAGTTTTGCATTTCATACAGCTTGTATGACTTTTACTTTTTCGAATGTTTTGGCGCAGCCCCCGGCTGGCGGCGGGCGTAATGCAATTCGAAGTTCAGATTCATTCTGAGTGTTGAAGATTTTCCATCGCATATGCAGTCGCGCAGCACTTAGTTTTTCAAGTCTCGGAGGTGATTTCCACGGACGATACCGTCACGGATTCGGTGCACGCAGCAACGCGCGTTATGGACAAAACTGCGACCGTGACGGAAAAGAAGCAGTACAAAGTGGAGGTTTTATCGAGCTTGGAAAACCAAACAAACCTCGATGACAACCACGCGGCCACCAGCTTCGGGCCGACCGCAATTTTGGCGGCAGAGTTCACTGGGAAGCTGCTCATTGCAGAACAAAGTGTAGAAGTTGACAACAACATGACAGCTCAGCATGGCGCACGAGGTACAACAAACTCTGCTACAGCTCCGGCCGCAGCGGGGACAGAAGTTGCTGCGAAAATGGCAACATCGACCAATTTCGGAGCTGTTCCCGCCAATACTACTCAGCCGGCGTCTGTAGCGAGCTCCGTTGCCGCGCAGCCGACGGCGAGCAAGTCCCGGTTGATGTACAACCAGCAACACAGCTTCACGCCGGGCTACCTGTCGCCCACGACTTTTTTCAAAGATCACACCGCGACGACAAGCAAGAACCCGGGAGCACCAGGTGGGTTTGTGCACCCCAGTACTATGATGTTTCCGAACACATCAAGCACGCCCGGCGCCACGCTCCGCACCAACCTGCAGCCGCAGAAACTCGGCGAACCGCAGCAGCAAGAGCCCCCTGCGCGCGGACGGTCGGGGGGCGGCCGCAATGCTGGAGCTGGCGGAAACCACCAACCAGGAGCGACAGGACCAGCTGCCTCATCCGGTGCTGCTATGAACGGACGGTTGTCCGCGGCGAACCCCAATCCCTGGCGAGGCCAGTACCGGTCGCCATCCCCGATTGCCGCCATGCAAATGACTTTGCAGCCACTCCGCCCCATGTCGCCGCTCCGCCTGTGCCCCGAACCGGTCAGAATGCGGTAAAGAAATTTAGTACAACTGCTGCATGAAATAGAAGACGGGGCGTGGTTCCACATCACACTGCCTCAGGCATCTTGTGCAATCAGGCCGCTGTAATATTCTACTTAATACTTACTACCACCTTACTAGCTACGAAGCTACAGAAGTTGAACCGGAACTTGAGTATAAACTAAACACGATCATTTTTCAACATTATCATAAAATAGATTCCTATTACTCTCCTGAGGCTAAGCCCGTAGTTTCTGACGGAGCTAGAAGGAGGAACTTACAGTTCGATGAGTACGTACTGGCAGGAAATAATCAGATCCAAAGCTACATCAATGTGAAATGTAAAATGCACCGTGGGTTCGGGTAAAAAAAAGCAAAGTATGGGTTTTCTTTCACGGCACTTGCAAGCCGCCAGGCTCGAATACTATCTTAACAAACAGCCCGCTTGTAGTTGACCACTCTCGTACTAGGTTCGTACATGATGTGTAGTACATCCTGCTCGACTTTTTAAGACATGCGCCGCGCGTTGACTTTGCGATTGCGATCTCTTGCAAGACCATTGTGGATGATGCAGCAAGGGCGAGTCATAAGTACAGCTTTCCTGGTTAGCCTCAATCCTTATCCAGCTCCGCCTGCTTCGGATCCTCCACATCTATACCCGACGAGGTGAAATGAGCATACTTACTTCAATTTCTTTGTGTTGCTACGTCAAAATGGTTCAAACAGCCCCCCTGTGTAATATGCTACTGCGCCGAGGGAGTCGAAGTGGTGTTGTTTGAAGCTGAAACTTCTACAGCTTTCACACCAATGGTCGTGATCACCAAGCCGAAGCCTGGAGCACCGCGATCACATGAAGTGCCCATTAAAATCTAAATCGCATTAGTGCGCAGCTTGGAACATCTCAAGCTGATGAAGACTGCTACGTGGGGCGATATTGACACAAATCGATACACGCACCACAACACCACCTTGTTTATTGAGTATCTGTGTAGCAGGTGGTCGTGGAAGCGTCTAGCAGTCCTGTCCGAGAAAGAGGAGCCGTCTGCCGCCAAGACAAGCTCTCAACACATCGAATGATACTGTTTCCGTTACTGTTTATATGTTTTTATGAAAAAGTTCAGGTTCAAGCTGCGTAAAGTACTTAAAAGTAATAACAGGCGCTGTGAGGAAGGAAAAGGAATTCTTGTTCTGTTTGTGCAAGAGTCCCTTTCGCTTTTCAGCCTTGTTGTGAGTTCGCGGTCTTGCTTATCAAATGAGAGTCTCCATCTAGTACCTCACTATCACACATGCACGAATTCGGGCATTGACATTGTGGTTTGTCGCTTTCACGTTCCTCATTCGCGTAATTCCGTCTCTCTGTGAAGGCAATCGGTGGTCGTACTTTTACTCTTTGTGAATGGTATCAAAACTCGTAGTATTCGTCTTCCAGCACGTCGTTGATGCAGCGTCGCACATTGGCTAGAAGGACGAGGATCGGAAAGGTCTTGCAACATCGGTTTTCGTACAACTTCAACTTTGGATGGTGATGATATAAAAATCGGTCGTATTTATTTACTGAGTGGCGGACTTGTTTTGCTTTCGTCCTCTCTGTGTGCCAGCGTAGCTATTGCTTATGTGAATTTCGGACTCGTGCTCGTACATCAAGCAACTTTCTCTTCGTGCAAAGTGTCAGAAGAAGCAAACTCGTGCACGAAAATTTCTTCTCGTCCAGCGGTGTTTGCTTGCAGTGCGTCGTGACGAGGATTCATTCAGATTTGAAGTTTCTGTTCGTATTTATTTCAAAAATATTTTCATCTGATTGTGCCTGACAGGTGGTTGCTAGTTATATCTTCCCCAATCATCGTCTGTTCTCGGAGCGAGAGTCATTTCTCCCAAGATGATTCTAGTTCCGGACTAGATGCTCCACGAAGCACCACTTCGTAGGAGGTGATTATTAGAAAAAAGTAGCACCGCTTGTCCTTTTCTATTTTAACATTTTCCCATATTTGTTTTATCACGTTCACCATCATCCCAAGACAATGACGCAACAACTTTTTCTTGATTTCACCTGATGTGCTAATGCTTTCTACCTTCATCCACGAGCCCCCGCTCGTGTACTACGGTGGGTGATGAGTCCATGAGAGCAAAATTTACACAGTTTTCCTTGAAAAGTAAAACCAATTTGTATCAGTTTCAGTTTCATTTCTTGCTTGTCCTTTATTTGCGTAGTTGTCGACCAACAGAATGAAACGACGCGGACCCACCTTCTCCTACCAGATGCTTTTACTGCTGTGCAGGATGCTCTCCCGGCCGGCGGTGTGGCTGCTCGCCCCGTGGAGTGCCTCTATCCTGGACACGGCGGGAAAAGGCTACTACATTTCGGCGGCGCGAGAGCAGCGTCGAGCCCAGTCCACCAGCCTGCGGGGAGTGGGTCGGCTTTCCCCCTTCATGCGGGCGCAGCGGGAGGCGCAGAGGAAAGGCCGCAGACGCACGGCCAGGCGCATAAAAGGGATGAGGGACCACGCGGAAGACAACCTCTACGCCCACAGGGTAGAAGACGACTCTTCATTCATTTCACCGTCAAACGACAGGATTGTTGATGAAAACGTCTCGTCCCGTCCCGGCCCGCCATCAGAAACCGGCACTACATCTACTTCGGTAATCGACAACAGGCAAGGGTCGCGACCAGCAGTCCTAGAGTCCTTGCGGAGGAAAGCCGCGACACCTAGCAGTAGTACAACTAACGAAGACCACTCGTTTCTCCTTGATCCAGAAAGTAGAGAGGAAATTTATGTTCCGGCCCCTAGCCGTGCTAGTACAACCGTCGCTGGCTCTGTTGCACCAGAAGACGCAGTTCCGTTCGGGGAACCACAAGGTGAAGAAGACTTTCTTGAGCAAGCCGATCATAGTGGTGAACACGCCAGCATACCACTCCCGGGTGACGACTTACCTCGGGCACAACAGACGATCTCAGCGGAGGACGATTTCGACACTTCAGCGTCTAAGTCGGAAATAACAGCTCCTTCTGCACGGCCGGCAGATGAGCTGCAACTAGATCCTGCAGAGTTAGCAGAAACACGACAGGACCCCCGCGACCAGTTGCTTTTCCCGTCCTTCTTGCAACTCGCAAACAGGTTTTTGTTTTTCCGCGAGATGAACAAAGAGCAGTTATTTCGAAAAACCGGAGACGACGGGACGGCGAGCGCAGACGGCGCGGCGAGTACGGGAATGTCTGTTGGCGCGATCGCCGGTATCGCCGCCGGAGGTGCCGTGCTTCTGATAGGTCTCATCGTCGGACTCGCAATTGGGTGTGGCGGTGGAAACAAGAAGAGCGAGGACGGCGCAGCTTCTAGCGAGGGGACTACAGCAGGAGCTGCAGCAGTTGTAGCAGATAGCACGGAAGATGTTTCCGGGAATGAGACGGGAACAGATGCTGCTGCCGGCGGTGACGGCCCCATCAGCAAGAAGATGTTCAGTGGCAACATGCCGCGTGCCGAGGGAGAAAGCGCGGAGAGCGACGATGCGGAGCCGCTGGAGGAATCGGACGTGTGCCAACTGCTGAAGAACAACGGCGCGAGCGAAGAATTCGCGAACCAACTCGCGGCCAAAATCGCAGACCCCAACCGCGCCAACAGTACGGAGCTGAAAAAGCCGGACGCCGAGAGCGACCTGATGGCGCTGATCAACTGCGGCTGCAACTGCAAAACCATCGGGGAGGCCCGGCGGGTGCTGAAGCTGAACCACAACATACCGGGCATCGCGGAGGAGGACCAGGTGGTGCTGATGAAGGAGCTCGGCATGGACGCCATCGTCGCGGGGATGCTGGCGAAGGCGATTTGCAACCCCGGGAACAAGCCAGACCAAGAGCTGCCCGCGAACCTGCTGGAGCACCTGGACGCCTTCGGGTTCATGCAGGGCGACAACTTCGGGATGGCGCGCGAGGCGCTGCAGGAGCTGCACCAGGCGGCCGGGGCCGCCACGGACGCCGTGGTGAGCGCCATGCCGTCGCAGATGGACACCAGCGGCATGCGGCCCTCGATGGTGCAGCGCGTGAAGACGCAGAAGACGCGCAAAGTGCGCACCCGCAAGCCGGCGCAGACCGCCGCCGCCGACGCCCAGCTGGCCTCGCAGATGCCCGCGGCGCCCACGCAGGCGGAGACGGCGCGCATGAACGAGCTAAAGTCGCAGGTCCGGAAAAAGAAGGAGATCGTGAAGCAGGAGAAGAAGACCGGCGGCGGGGGGGGCGCGCGCAAGTCGCAGATGATCTCCGCGCGGGACTACGATTACGGGAACATGGCCTCCACCCGCGGGGACATGGCGTCGACCCGCAAGAGCGTGAGCCCGGCGTCCACGCGGTCGCCGGCCGGGCGGAAATCCGCAAGGGGCCCGATCGATTCCGCAGAGCCAAACATGGACAAGGACGACAAATGGGAAAAAGCGCGGCAAAACCCCGAGGTGGAGAAGATCTTCAAGAAGCTGCTGCGGAAGGGCTTGACCAACGAGGGCGCGAAGAAGGTCTGCCTTCAGATCACGGACCCGTCGGTGCGGGATGTGCTGCCGTTCGACGACGCGTTCCTGGCGCACAAGGACCGCAGTAAGCTGGCGGAGCTGTGCGGCGCGCAGGTGGGCGCGCGGCTGCTGGTGCGGGACGTGCGCGAGGTGTGCGGGGGGCTCCCGGGGGACATGAAGAACACCATGGCCAGTACCCGGGCCTCCATGATGCCCTCGCAGATGCCCACCAGCACCCGCGCCTCCATGGCGGCCACGTCCGCGCGGCCCTCGATGGCCATGGCGGCGCTCAGTCTGGAGGACACGGGAACCTCGGACACCCGGTTCCAGCAGCACGCGATGAAGCTGGTCACCAACAAGAAGGACTTCGACGACGCCAAGGACGGCAAGCTCGACCTCGTCGGCCCCACCCAGCTGGACGTGGCCGCCGTGCTCGTCGCGCAGGGGTTCACGGAGGACTACGCGGTCGCCCTGGCCAAGCAGTTGAACGACGCGAAGACCAAGGACGAGGACAAGATCGTGAAGGCGGGCGAGGACGACCTGATGTTGCTGCAGGCCTTCGACATGAGCAACCACGCGCACGTGGCCGTGATGCGCGGGTTCGTGGCCGGGCGCGGGTGGGGCGGGTGCCGGCTGCTGGGCGAGTACGAGGAGAAGTTCGGCGCCGGCGGCGACACCAGCTGGGTGAAGCGCAAGGACGTGGAGGACCTGCTGGCGCCCTTCACCGCGAAGTTCCGCAAGAAGCTGGCCGGCATGCTGCTGGACGAGAAGTACCAGAACCGGGGCAAGGACCCGGTGGCCCTGAACGACGCCACCAAGGAAGACAAGCAGAAGTTCAAGGACCTGTTCGACCCCAACGACGACCACCCGGACGACAAAGTCCCGCTGAAGGATTTTAAGAACAAAGTGCTCGACGACCTGAAGGACAAGAAGAAGATGTTCACGGGCCAGGACATGCAAAACATCCTGGACCCGAAGAAGCCGGGCAACGAAGAGCGGGGGCCGAAGTACTTCGACGACACGAAACCGCCGAAGAACGACAAAGCCAAGGACCGCATGAAGAAGGTGCTGGAGGAGGAGTTCGGGTTCACGCCGCCCTACGCCGACAAGGTGGCGGACCAGCTGCTGGACCCGAACGTCCCGCCCAAGCAGGACCTGCCCAAGCCCACGGACAAGAAAGACAAGCAGGCGGTGCAGGACAACGCGAAGGACACGAAGGACGCGGGGCACGCGCGCGCCCTGGTGCGGAAAAAGTGGAGCGACGACATCAAAAAGCGGGATAAGGACCGAAAGAAGAAGGACAAGGAGGCGCGCAAGTCGCAGACGCCCGGGGGACCACCCGGCGGCCGGAAGTCCGCGCGCCCCTCGGCACGCCACGGTGGACCGGGCGACGACCGCAAGTCGCAGCGCGGGGGCGGGGGCAGCCCCGGAGACGGCGGTAGCACGCCAAGGGACCGCAAGTCGAGGATGCCGGGCGGCGGCGGACCGGATGATAAAAAGAACCGCAGCAAGGATAACAAGGGCGGCGCAACAAGCGGTAGCGACCGCGACGATGACGGCGACTCAGGGTCGAGAAAGAGGAAGGACGACGGCGGCCGCAAGTCCGCGCGGCCCTCCGCACGCGGCGGTGACGGGGGCCGGAAGTCCGCCCGTGGCGGCGACGGGGGACGGAAGTCGGCGCGCCCGTCGGCGCGCGGTGGGGGCGACGACTCCCATGGCGGCAAGAAGCGGCGGAAGTCGGACGACCCCTTCGGCAGCACGTCCAACATAGACGATGAGACCGACGGCGGCACGAAGAAGAAAAAGAAGGACAAGTCGGGCCGCCCCGGCGATTCCGGCGACGATTCTTTTTCCAGTCGAAACAACGATGATAGCGACGGCGGCTCGAAAAAGAAGAAAAAGAAAGATAAGGGCGGGCCCTATAATAGCAGCGGTGGCGGCCCGGGCGGGTCGAGTAAGAGTGGCGGCGGTCGTCACGGCGACGACGACGACGAATCCGAAAGCGGGGGAAACCCCACCCATAGTGGCAAGAAATTCGACGGCGGAAGCATGGGCAACTATGGCCCGGGCCAAAGCATCGACAACCGCAGCTACAACAACCAGTCGGGAAAAGCGAAAGACAAATCGGGCGGCAAGAACAAGCCGGGGTCCCCAGGTGGACCTCCGCCAGGGCCAGATTGGCTCGTGGGCAAACCGCCCGGCGGGGGCGGTGGAGGTGGTGGCGGTGACGACAACGACAGCGGTATCCTGTGCAAAAACGTCACTACCCCGAAGTCAAAATCATGGCACTGGTAGATAATTTTCTATGTATGCATTGTAGGCACTTTACTTTTTCGAGTACGTATACTAGTTTTAGATTTACTAGTATGGCGAGTGCGACGAGATGCAGTTGCGCAGAGTAACTTCTATGGGTCTGTAGTCTAGTGAGTCCCGATCCTGATACGAGGGTGCGCTTTGCAAAAGCTCCTTACAAGAGGTCATGCGAATCTCTGCATGACCAAGAAGTCTAGTAGGGGGTTGGAACGTTTTTCCACGGGATAGGCGGGAACAATTTCAACGATAACAACGGGGACGAAGACGACGGGAGCGGAAAAAAGAAGCGAAGTTACAGCTACGGCAAGAAAAACCCGTTCAACAACTTCTTCCGCCAGCCCGGCCAGGCGGCCTCGGAGGCGAACCGCGGCAAGGCCCCGTTCCACCCCGGTGGGAAGGCGGGCGGCGGCGGGCCCGGGTACACCGCGAACCAGCACCCGGGGGGGCGCGACGACGACCCCTACGGCCCCGGCCGCCGGGACGTGTTTGACACCTACGGGATAGTGCACATGCAGGTTGGTAAAACCGGCGGCAAGAAAAACAAGAAAGGGAAGTACACCGGCGACACCGCCGAGGCACTGGACCCCTTCGACCCGGCCAACCTGAAGCGGGAAAACCTCCCGCAACACCTCCAGGACGTGCCCATTGGGTACGTCGGAGACAACCAGTTGTTCGACTTCTCGACCGCGGAGGTTACAAAGGCGCTGCTGAACATGGGATTCGCGCAGAAGTACGCGACCGCCCTAGCCCGGCAACTGTGGGACCCGCGGGTGGTGGACAAGACAAAGATTCTCCCCGCGAAGGGCGTGAACACGACGGTGTTTGAGAGGTTGGGCTTCGGCGGCGCCGAGTCCGTTGGCGAGTTGCGCGGCTACGTGAAGGCGTGGCTGCGGGCCCCGAACGCGATCTCCCGCCTGGACCCACTCGCGGTGGCGGGCGAGTCACTGGAGTTTGGCGACTTCGAGAACTGTCTGCTGTCCTTCGGCTTCACCCCGGACTTTGCGAAGCAGGCCGCGAAGGAGTGCGTGAAGTTTCAGAACTCGCTGGGCGTCGACGGCGGCTGGCCCTACGCCAGCTCGCCCTCCGACGTGGCGGTGCTGCGGGAGCTGGACTTCACGCCCGAGACGACAAAGTTGCACCACCTGTTCCCCCTGATCCAGACCGAGACCGCGTACCAGTGCGCGCACCGCGAGGTGGAGACGGCGCTCCGCGGCGCGGGGTTCACGGCGGACTACGCGAAAAAGGTCGCGAAGCAGATGATGAATCCGCTGGCCGCGGACGGCGGCTGGGCGCCCCCCGAGCAGTACGAGGTGGCGAGCGAGGGCACGAGCTGGCAAGAGGCCTTCTCGAAGGCGAAGAGGAAACAGGAGATTCTGACCGCCGGGGGCGGGTACCTGCCGAACCGCGGCGACTACGAAACCGCCACCACGGGCGGGCTGGAGGCCGCCCTCGCCCGGATGAAGAAGCACCAGACGCACGTGACCGCGGACGGCTACTACGACCCGGTGTACGCCGCGGCGGAGCGCGGCGAGCTGATTGAGGGCTTTCTGAAGGCGCGGGGCAACCGCGCGCGCGAGGCGAACGCGGGCGCGGACCCCAACGACAAGATCCCGATCGCGACCGACGAAACGGACCTGCGCATCCTGGAGCGACTGGGGCTGACCGGCGGCGCGGAGGCCGCGCAGATGCGCGGGTGGCTCGAGAAGCGGTGCCGCATAAAGACAGACAAGCGCCGGTTCGTGAACGACAACATCTACACGGACACCCAGTGCGTGTACTCGCTCGGCGAGGCCGAGTCCGTGATGAAGCGCGTGGGGTTCACGCCCACCTTCGCGGCGAAAGCGGCCGAAACGCTGTACTACGACGGGTCCATCAACGGGGACGGCGCCACCGCGGCCGACCTGCGCATCCTGGAGCACCTCGGGCCGCTCGGGGACGCCGAGACCGCGGGCAAGTGGGACACCTTCATCCGCAAGGAGAAGCTGCGCAACGTCGGCCCCAACACGGGCGACATGGCGCTGCTGGGCGTGGTCGGGGACATCGGGCTACTGGAACAGGCCCAGTTCGGCGAGGTAGAGTTTGCGGGCATGGCGGAGCGCAAGATGGAGCTCGTCAAGAAGCAGCGAAAGCAGAATGTGGTCGCGGACCTGCAGACCCTCGAGAAGATCGCGTTCGGCGACCCCATGGTGGCGACCAAAGTCCAGAAATTCATGACCGCGAATAAAATCGGGGGCGGGGGCCGGAAGGAGACCTACAAGCAGGATCTGAAAACGCTGGAGCAGCTGGTGATGAACGAGCCCGAGATGGCCGAGCAGGTGGAGGGATGGATGAAGGTGGAGCGCATCGGGCAGACGGGCAAGAAGGCGCTGGCTGCCGATCTGGCCCTGTTGGAACAGCTGGTGTTCGAGAACGCGGAGGTGGCGGAGAATTTCACCGGGTTCGTGAAGGCGAACAACCTCGCGATGCCAAGGCGGGAAAAGGAGAAGATCAAGGAGCTGCGCGCCCACAACATCGGGGCCATGGGCCTGAACGGGGAGATCGAGTCCGCGGAGCTGCGCGGCGGGCTGACCCGCGCGCAGAAGCTCGGGACCAACCGGCGCGACCCGGAGGTGACCGCGGACCTGGCCTTTCTGGAGCAGATTGTGTTCGGACAGGCGGAGGTGGCGGACATGGTCACCCAGTTCGTCGCGAAGGAGAAGAAGAAGCTGCAGACGGAGACGCTGGTGAGCCTGACCTTCGGGGAGGCGGAGAAGGTGATGTTGCAGCAGGGCTTTTCGCCCGCCTTCGCGCGGGGCAAGGCGCGGAAGATGGTGCTGAAGCACGACGAGGCGGTCCCGCAGACCCCGCAGGACCTCCAGGCGCTGGCGGACCTGGACCTGACCACCATGGAGGGAGACGACCGCGACGCGCAGCTGCTGAACCTGGTCATCGCCGAACAGGCGGTGGGCAAGCAGGAGAAGCAGGCGGACGTGGCCACCGCGGCGGTGACCGCCGTGCGGCGGAAGGTGAACCGCCCAAACCCGGGCCCCTGTTCCTGTCTGCCGTGCTGCGCGAGACCCGACATAGAGGAGTTCGTGGACGACGACATCGGCATGGGGGTAGCGCCGACCGAACCAGCCAAGGAGGACGAGGACGAACAGGAGCTAGCCGACCTGCTCACCGCTGGCGCCGCGTCGGGGCCGACGGAGACCGCCGAGGACCTGGCGCTGCCGCCCGAGACCGCGACCTCCGCCGGGGCCCTGACGGAGGACGACAAGGAGCTGTTTGCCGAGGCCGCGGAGGCGGAGCGCAACGACATCGAGGAGGTGCTGGTGAACGGCGGCTTCGCTCGGTCGGACGCGAAGCGCATCGCGCAGAAGGCCACCACGGACGGCCACGTGAACAACTTGATAGCGGAGTCGGACATGACCATCCTGAAGGACATGGGCTTCGGGGGCGTGGAAACCATGGGCACGCTGCGAAACTACGTGGCGGCGCGGAAGGTGGCGGCCAAGGCCGCACCCACCACGAAGCCCGACGACTACGAGTACACCGTGCAGTCCGCGCTGGAGGACAGCGGCGAGATCGCCTTCATCCGCGACGCGGCACAGATCGAAACGGTACTCGTGGATAAGGGGTTCACAATGGGCTACGCGAAGAAAGCGGCGAAGGCCATGGTGGAAAACCCGGAGGAGGTACGATTGGAAATGTTGGTTCACTAGTTCTAGTACTTCATCCAGCATCGCAGATTAAGAGGCTTTATTTCAATCTTCACGTGATGCAAACTCCAGGTCCAGTGTCATGCAAATAAAAGAATTCGCTCTCGCTGGCTAGAAGTGGAAGATAGGCACTGTGGCTTCTTGTTATCCGTGCTTTTCCTTACTGTCCGGAAGCGCGAATGGCTGACTCTCTCTGTCATCATGCGTGCTGACGAACTTGGCGTGCAGATTCCACAAGATCATCATCTCAGTTCCAGTTGTTTTATGAAAACATATAACATTGCTTGCATACGAGTTTGAGTTTGTGAAGATGTTTTGCGTGTCTACTTATGTTTAATTTTCGGATACAATTCTACAACAGGCTCCCCCCTCAGATGATTTGACTGAGCAAGACAAGGAAGCGATGGAAAACGCGGGCGTGAATGCCGAGGAGGGCATTGCGGGCCTCCAGTCCCTCGTCGAGGACGCGACTGACAAACAGGTGCTTTCGTCCGCGATGATGAGCACCTACAGTCTGGCCTCGGTGGAGGTGGCGGCCGACACCTGTCTGGACCTGGGGGAGACCGAGCAGGCCCTGATCACCTCCGGCTTCAAGCCGATGGTCGCCAAGTCCCTGGCGAAAAAGGTCGCGCAGGACGACGACGCGGGCGCCGGCACGAAAAAATTGACCAACGAAGAGAAAAAGGAGCTGATCCGGGCGGGCGCCGGCGGCTTGGCCACCAAGGGCGCGGTCCGGAGCTACCTGATCGCCAACCACGCGCAGTCGATGCCCAAAAGCATGAACAGTGTGGGTGGAAAGATCATGTCGCTCACCAGCAACGCCGACTTCCAGTCAAACATCGGGTCAAAGCTGCAAAGCATGCAAAAGAACGGCGGCATCGACAGCACCATGCAACTGTTATCGGGAACCGGTTAGGTTGCTGGGACTAGGACTACACCGCCGCCGGTCGAGAATCCGTCAAAAACTGAATGCTCATGCTTTGTGTCTCCTCCTTAATACGATTAGTTCGTTGTTCTCCAAAGATGTCTTTTCTAATTTCCTGTTCAACATGATTCAGAATCTGTTTAGTACATTTTTATACATCAACATGCACCAGCTTCAAATGCTGTTCAAAAGACGTGAACACCCTTCACGCGAAACTCGTTTCAATTTTTTTCTAGATAGCACCTTTTTGAATTCCAATTTCATATTTACTTGTAACACTTACACTTTCAGTATGGCTTCGTTCTCGACTATTAATCATCACTTTTCAAGTTTTTACATTGTTTAAGCATATTCACATTATTCAAATTCCATTGTTTTTGTTTACACACTAAGTCAACTTTGCAATTTAAAATTCACACGAATTACACTAGCCGACAGATGACAAAAGTCGTCATAATTCTGGACTTGTTTTATCGAACCATAAAGAAAGAACCCGGTCCTCAGCCCACGTTTCACAAACAGTAACCCTTTGACTTGAGAGAAAGAGAAGTTGAATATATGCGCTTGATATAAGTACGATTTGTACCGTATCCCGGTGCTGCTGCTAGTCTCTTACATCTCAGGAACAAAAAAAAACGAAATATTCTCACTCCATGGGGAAGAAAAAGATCTAAATCTGAAATATGCCTGGCGAATGAAATCGCCAGCGCTTTATGCCGCGCTTATGAAGTCATCGCGTCAACTTGTCGCGGTTCAAAACATTTTTCTCATGGGTCAAGATCAAGTGCTAAGAAGTCGTAAAACTGAGACAGAAAGTGCTAATCATGTGGCTTCCCTGGTCTCGAAAAGGATCGATCACAACAGCAAAGGAAATGTCGCTTAGAATGGCAGACAGATCGAATCAAAACCAAAAGGAAAGAACAGATGATCACGTTGGTATAATATACTAGTTGTGGTACGACCTCCGAGCTCATGACTGTGTCGAATTTCGATGATCACGATCATCGCGTGGATCATCAATCGATGTCCCTAAAAGCAGGCTTGAAGATTGTTGATAGAATTCGGATCGACCGCGAAGATATAGCGTATTGGGTTGTAGTCGTTTAGGTGCCGATTCGAAAAATTGAGGTTTCCAATTCCTTTCGAAGTTGTGCCTTATTTGTACTCGAATTTATTATAGGGAGAACGAGAAACACAAACACAATTCGTAACCATGTCCACCAGCAACCTGGCCGCAAAGCTCCGCAAGCTGTATGGTGAGGCGCCCACCGACAGCACGGCCGCACTGGAGCAGCACGACAGCCTCCTGGATGCCCCGTCCCTGAAGAAGCGAAAAGTCGACGCGAGCTTGCTCAACCTCGGCGGAAATGATCAAAAGACAAGCAGCAAAGGAAGATTACGCCTCCGCGCCGACATCCCGAACTTGGTGCCGAGTGCGAAGGTGAGCAGGAGAGAGTTGGAGCAGGACGATGGGATGTTGAGTAGTGCTGACGAGCAGTCCTCTTCGGCGGAGCTGGAATTTGTCAGTGGCGACGAAGTAGAGGGCGGCGAGGACGGCACTTCGAGTGAAGATGATCTGCAAGAAAAAGGCTCGTCCTCTGAACTGGAGGACAACGATTTCAAGAGCGAAGCCAGCGAAATCTCCTCCGACGATGCTCCCATCGAACAGAAAACCACGTCCCACGGTGCGCAAGCTGTCGCTCCGCGTGGCGGTATTAAACATGGAGCGGAAGAAGAAGATGACCAGAGTGACAAAAAGCGGCAGCCCCTTTTCGCCATCAACGCAGACCTGCAGAAGCAGTACGAGGAAGCGACGAAACCGAAAAAGTTCACGTTGATCAAGAAGATCGGTGACAGCACGGTGAACAGCGGCGAAAAGTTCGCGCCCCAGGCTGTGAGGACGCAGGTGAACTTCTTCAAGAAGTTGCAGAAGCTGCGGATTTTGCTGGAGCCAAGTCTGAAAAGGGTCCGAGATGCTGGTGTGGGGGCCACGAACAAGGCAAGCGAAATTGAAAGGCAGAAATCCCAGCACGACCAGCTGTTAAAACTGAAGTCCGAACTGCAGCAGCTGCAGGTAAGTTCGCTCCCGGAGGAGTGGCAAGTTGGACGAGCAGAACTACAAGCGACATCAAACAATGCAACTTCTCAGACGAAAGCGGTACTGCCTCGTCTTCCAGAAGTAGAGCAAGTCGTGACGAGTTGCGTCGACGCTCTGGAGCAGACCCGGCAGGAGACGCAGGTGACAGTGAAGGGCGAGAAAGCGTTCAAGGTCCTGGATCAGAGCATCCCCGCACAGATCCGCAACGCGCTCTTGGACAAGAATTGGGAGAAGAAGGTGCACCCGAAAAAAGCGGCAGAGGACAGGACAAGTGCAGCTTCGACCACACCAGCCACAGGCACGACTTCCGCTCTTAAAAATCAAGATGAGGACTTGCTCGATCGGAGGTTCTATGACGACCGGGACTTCTACGCGCAAATGCTGCAAGACATAGTCTCAGCTGGTTGTACGGCGACAAAAGGAGACGATACAAGCGGAAGGAACTTGATTACCTCCGCGGCAACGGAGAGCGCAAATTCCAAGAGCAAAGCGCTGAACTCCAAGAAGAATTTGCACTACGATCGCCGGGCCTCGAAGGGGAGGAAAATTCGCTACGTACCGATCGAGAAGCTGCAGAACTTCATGACGGCCAGGAGTGTCGTCGAACAAATGAACGATACGTTAGTGGAGCAAATGATGAGAAGTCTGTTTCGCTAACATGCAAACTTTAGCGTTGGTGCGGCAAGATCAGGAAATTGTATCATCACGAGGAGCAGGAAGATCATTCTTGCAGCAGTCTGGTGAAGAGGTTGTGATGTTGGGATCACGTAGTTCTCATCAACATGAACGACGCAGAGCTAAATGTCATCGCAAAACATGTTGAGACGACGTCCTTCTCCTTGCGCTCTTCGGAGGTCGTAGGGTACTTCTCTACTACATGCAAAACCGTACTAGATATCGCTCATCCAGATGAACTTACTGCAACTTAAGTATGCAAAGAAACACAGTTTTACTTTTTATGTTGATGTACCCAGCTGGTGTTCAGAAACTGCAAATCAAGCATCGGCAACGTTGATGCGTTCGGTAAAGGTCGTTTGTGGATGTGGGTGCGCCGCCCGCCCTCTCGCCATGCATCAGCGCTAGTTCGTGCCCTCGTTATCCTCGGTATCGTGTTTTCTTCCCGGGGGTCTAGTTCGTTCGAAGTCGGTACCGTCACAGTAGTTTCGCTCTCGTGGGTCGTAGTGCGCGTTTTGAAGGACGAATCGGACGTGCAGGGGGTGCCGCCTGTCTGACTATACTAGAAGCGGGAAGTAGAAGAATGGGACACGAAAGTCAAAGTTCGATCCAGTCAGAAAATGTTGTTGGGGTCTCGTGGTGCGCCGGGTACGGGTAAAAAGCAAACCTCCACCCCTTATGAATGTGACGCATCTACGCGTGATTGTCCTCGTGCTAGTATCGTTGGAAAGCCTGTATCTACATCTTGTTCCTGTGAGTCAGGGCCATGAAGTACGATGAAATAAACAAAACTACGGCGTCGAACATGAAATAAACAAAAGAATCGCCGAAGAACTGGAGGAGAAAAAGGCCCACATAAACAAACTGACAGCTTCAAGGGCCGGAGGTTTGTTGTGGTCTCGTCTGCTGCACTGTCGCGTAAATAAGCCTCATCGGCCGGATTTGACACCGCTTCTTGCTACAAGAAAGAAAGAACAACATGTCGTCCGGCAAATCGACGCGGACAGCCACGAAGAGGTGCGCAGCAGCTCTTTCACCACCTCGCCCAACCAGAAGGCGTCTGCGTACTGTAGCTGTGCTGTAGTGGTTCTACTTGGAAATACTAGATGAAGTACGGTAGCATCAACATGATGCAGAAACTTCTCTGGAGACCAGCACGGAAGAGGACTGCGGGTTGTACTAAAAATGATGTAGCACCACGAGCAGGTCCAGGTCCTCGTCCTCCCCCAGGTGAACCAGGAGATGGACTACTCTCGGAAGAGAAAGAACTAAGAGAACCGTTGGTTCTTTCCGGCGGACGAGGAGGCTGCGCCACACGTCCTCTTCTTCCTTTGTTCTTCGCCCCTCGTCCCGGTAAAAATGCCTCGGCCACATTTAATATTTTGTGGCAAGCGATAGCAGTTGTACAACTCGTCCTGCTCTTGAGCGATGCGGGGTCTGTGTTTTTTTCCACACATGGTCAGGAGGACCATGTGCACAACTACGGAAAAACAAAAAGAAGCCTTCTGCTACCCGGCGTCCGCGGCTCTGCACAGCACATGGTTGACTGGAGCCGCGTGCCGACGTACTACCACGGCCAAGACGAGGACCCGAGCCATGACGGGAACCATCTGGCCAGGAGGTCGTTGGACGCACACGACTACACCGAAACCAAGAACTCCGTAGAAGAGAGCAGTGTGATGAACAAGAAGTATACTCATGCGCTCAACCCCTTCGTCGCACCAGCAGGTCTTGGCGAGGAGGTGGACAAGATGAACCAGCAACGAATGCTGACCGAGGCAGACAACACGACTTGCGCACACCTGTATGAAGATCACAGCAGCGGGTGGGGGAATATGCGGATCAAGTACGAATTGATCGAGATCAGTGGCGGGGTGGCGAGTAAGGTCAGTAACTATACGGCGAGCAACTACGACAGCCGGGTGCAGGATTTTGTTTCGCGCCTCGAGTCTGAAGTGTTGACCCTCACCCTCTCCTTTTTCAGCACGACGTTTCAAACGCGGAGGTTCACCACCCGAGACCGCCTGTACCCGGACGTCTACCGGCAATCCTGCCTCTCCAGTGTAGCCACGTTTAACACCGCCACCACAACGGGGGAGGCCGTGGAGGACGCGGACTTCTATCTCTACATCGACCTCCAGGGCTCGGGCTGCAGCGCGAGCTCGGGAACGCAGGCGTACGCGGGCGCGTGCGTCAAGGACCAGTGCGGGAAACCCATGTTCGGCACCGTCACCTTTTGCACCCTCACCAACACGAACCAGGACAACGGCGGGTACACGAGTATCTCCACGCTCGCGAAGCTCGACGACGTCGTTTCGACGAGCGTGCACGAAGTGATCCACGCAATCTACTTCTCAGCGTCGTTTTACCCCTACTTCCGGGACGACCGGGGAAATTTGCGCATTTCGCCCGCTTCGGCAGTGGACTCCGTGACAACGACACGGTTCTCGTGCAGTTCCTCAGGGAGTGTCACCTGGAACGATAACAGCGGAGGAAGCATCTGGTATTGAAATTCATATCTTCGGTTGAGTAGTACTATTTTTTTGAATTTGAAATCTGAATATTCTGATCTGCATGTTGCAAGGATTTGAATGCTCTTCCTTGGCGCCACGTGTATGGTTGTCTGGAGAATTTTTGTAGGACCATCGCTCCGCTGTGCGAGAGATTAGATGACGAGATTATGATTTTATCTCTGTTGCGTGAGGGTTGCAAAAGTAAAAGTTGAACAAGTTTATGAACTTGCATGCAAATTGCAAAAGCAGGCGTGAATGTGCTTATATTTGTTGTTTGTATGCTGCGAAGTGGCACACTTTTTTCTTATTTTCCTGCTATCTATACCTGTTTTCTCCGAAGAAGCAAGGCATAGCGACTGTTACTCTGCCTCCTGCAGCCTGCATGCGCAGCTGCGTTTTTTCCTGCTAGAAAGTGCCGCTTTTCCCTGATTTTGTTTGACTGAAGCTTGGCATGGGTAACTCTTTTCCTAGAAAGCTTTGCACCTAGCGATCCATACAAAAAAAATAAAAGAAGATGAGAGAAGACATAGAAGAAGCTCCCTGTTGATAGCAATTCTTTCAGAAAACCATTGCACTAAAAGCAAACGCCACGAAAAAACAAAATCACAGGACGCACGACCTGTTTGATTCCGACGATGGTATAGCAGGCCTCGCAGCGCACGGCGGTTTTACCACGTCAGAGTGCAAGTGCCCGACGAACGTGAAGGCGAACCCGACCAGCTACAGCGTCACCGATTGGGCCGACTGCTTGACGACCTATCAGACCAACCCGAAGTGCGCCTTCGACTTGGTTACCCCGAAGGTGCAGGAAAAGGCCCGTGAGTACTTTAACTGCTCGAGTCTAACCGGCGCGCCGCTCGAAGCGTCGGACACGGGGTCCTGCTCTCCGGTGGCCTCGCACTGGGAACAGAAATCCGTGCACTGCGAGCTCATGGTCCCCAGCGGCGGCATGGGCTGCGACTACAACTGGCTCTCGACCATGACTCTAGCTTTGGCCGAAGACAGTGGCTGGTACAAACCCGACTACACGCGGGCGTCAAAATATCGCAAGAAAATAAAAGTATTTGTGTATGTGCTTCTCTGTAAATTTGTTGGGCAAGAACACCACATGCATGAGCATGTGCAACACCGTGCAGGAAAGCAAACTTGTGATGCCAACTTTCCACGATTTTCGTATACCGTGAAGCACTTTTATCGTGCGATACGAAACCCATCGAAGACCTGCACTGGGGGTACAACAGGGGATGCGAGTTTATCACAGGAACCTGCCTCACCAGCGGGACTACAGTATTGATTTTTGTTTAAAAGTACCTGTTGTAGTACGGTACTGGATCTAGAAACTAAATGAAGTAGTTGTAGCTCGTCACTTCCGCTTCGACTTGAATTACAGTTGACTCGTCCGCTTTGGGCGTCGACGTGACATCGAGTTTTATTTTTAGAGGCCATTGGAAGTTGAACGACTACGTATGTCTAATGTATGCGCATGAATTTCATGCGACTGCTGCTCGTCGCCAGCGGATGAAGAGTGTGTAACAATACTGCGAGCAGAACAAATCTAATCGACAAATCAGAACTTCCATGAGTTTTGCAATACCAACGGGGTGGACCGTCCTTCCGCCCGCGCGTTGAGCGTCAGGCGTTGCACAGTTTCGAGCTATGGATCCGCTTTGCCAACAAAGTTCCAGTACTTTTCCGGTGCGAGCAACCAGGGCGGGTCCAGCTCGCTTCTAGACTACTGTCCGTTTTACGATACCAGCATCACCGGAACCTACTGCCAGGACTTGACCAAATTCTACTTCACCACGCAAGGCACGATTTCGGGCACGACCTACTACCTAAATTACTACCACCAAATACCAGGAAACAGCAGCTACAGCTTCATGTCCAACTTTCGGGCCGCCATCAGCGTCCGTACGCCTGACGAATTTGCACTTTTTTTTACCATTGAAGGATAAGAGACCAGGTCGTGTTTTGAAAAAATAATGTGATCGTGAAGATTCATCATCTCATCATGAGATGATTGTTCACACTTGATTCATTCATGTATAACTGAATTCATGCTCAGTAAAAAGAAAAACTTCTGCGCACCACTACAGCGGGTGTCGGGGTTTTTTCCGTGCCCAGTAGCAGCACCGCGGTTCCCGTGTGTTACCACACGGATTGCGGCTCGAATCCGTACTACAACACGACGGAGTACACGGTGTATGGAATTTCCCCCGACATTCTCCAGCCGCAAATTACCGGATTCGACTACAATTACCAGGGTACGCTGGCGCAGATCGGCATTTGCCGCAAGGACACGAGTACTGGCGTCACAAGCCTCGTGGCGAACTCCAACGTGCTTCTTGCCGGCACCACGCCGACCGGCTTCTCGAACACGCAAATCACGGGGGCGATTACGTGTCAGCCGGTGGACATAGTGTGCAACTACGAGCGGCCCCCGCACGTCACCGGGGGCTACCACCAGGGGGAGCTGGAACGGAACGATTTTGTTTCCGCGTTCGCCACGACAGCAGCGAGCACCTCGTCGTCTAGCGCCGAGGCAGTGAATACCACGACGACGACGACAACCTCCACCACAACTTCCACCACGACCACTACCAGCACGACCACCTCGACGAGCACAACCACGAGCACCTCCACCACCACCACAACCGTGACGACCAGCACGACCTCGACGTCCACCACGACCATAACGACGACGACGCCGGCGCCAGAGGTTTCCTACGTGCTCGACTTTTTGCCGGGTAGCAACTGCAGCAACGACACGAATACGAGTGATAATTCCTCCAACTGCACACTGGTGAACCATATCCATTGCAAAAGTATCGTACAACTCGTATGAACTGCCAAGGGTGTAGTTGCAACATGGCAATAGATCTGCTTCATCTTTCTCTGAACCCGCATCATAACAAAGACCTTTTTTATGTTTACGTGCGACTTACTAGACTTGGACGATTCTTTTGCAATGCATGAACCAGACGAAAGTCTCCTACAATTGGAACGACGTGCTCAACGAAGAGGATGACTCGAATTTTACCGCGCCAGCGTCCTCTCAAAACGGCTCCAACGAAACCACCGCCAGCTCTGTCGCGTTTGACGACGATATAGACGCGGGGTCAGGCGCTCCAAATGGTACGGGAGCAACATCGAACGGCACGCAGAATGTCAGTAACGACAGTGCAATTCTGCTTGTCATCGACGACGATGTTGATGATATTATGGGGGTTTTCTTCGGTCCTCTGAACGGATCAGCAAACGGGACGAACCTGACGAATGAAACCGTCCTTGTGACCTCAACCACCACGACAACGTCGAGCACCACCATCACGGTTACCAGCACGACGACAACGACGTCGACCAGTACGACGGTGACGCTCACGTCCACCACGACCACCATATGAATTGCAAAAATGTCTGGGTCTGAAGGAATGCATGTTTGTCATGCTTGTCTGGCATGACTCTTAAATCTGACATGCACGTTACCCAAGAGCTCCGCTTTTCTGTGATGCAGAAACGCAGTCTGTCATGCAGAATAGGCAACACCTAGAAGCTCAGAAACTTGTCATGCTGAGCCAGCACTTGTGGCCTCATCATGAGACGCCACCCAGCATCACAAGTTTCCAGACCCAGACATTTTTCCACTTGATACACCACCACGTCGACCTACACGGCTCTCCCCTTCGGCGTCAGCGAGGCTGTGGCCAACGTCGACGCAGCCACCGTGGAGGGCTACAGCGTGGAGGCGTCCGCGCAGTTGGTCATGACAATTCCACAGGGCACCACGGAGGCGCAGCTGATCAGCTCGCTGGGGCCCGCGTTGCAGACGGGCTTGGCAGACTTTCTCGGCGTGGTACCCGCACTGATCGAGATAATAGCAATGCGGTTTATCACAGAACGCAGGCGGTCACTGATAGGTCGTGGTGGAGTAGAAGAAGCCAATTCTGCTGTGCAGCTTGCTGGTGCAGACGGGGGACGAGGACAAAAAAAACAGCAAGGGGCAGCCGAGGTGGAGAATGAGAAGGCAACCAGGTCTAACCATCTTCGAAGCAGTGCCAGTAGTGCAGCTGTCGACATTGAAACTATAGAGCGCTGGGACCCGCGGGACGTAAGAACATCATCAACATCTCCAGGTGGTCATGCTGTTCCACAAGTAGAGCTAGTACACCAAAAGCTGCACGACCATGCTAATGGTCGGAATCAACAGGTTTTACAGAGGAAATTGTCAACAGCGCAAGGCGTAGAGGAAACTGAAGAAAAAGAACGACTTTTGGTTTTGTCATCGTCAACACCAGCACCAGTGGCTTACACAAGCTCTGGCGCACTGGAGCCGCGTCATTTGCAGCTTGCGGGAAACAAGAAAGTAAGCCAGGAGGATGCAGAAACGACTCGCAGTCGTTTGCTGTCGCACAACGTGCCAAAACCGGTAGAATTCGACTACAGGTTGAAGGGCTTCGCCACGCCCGAGGCCGCGTCCGCCAAGGCGCAGACCATGACCCTGGAGACCGATGCGGAGCTGAGCGCACTGCTCACGTCCGTGCAGACCGCCGTGGCCAACGATCCGACGATTACAGGGTTCACCATCAGCGAGGCGCGGGCCAGCGCGACGAACACCGCGCCGTCGGTGGGCGTGATCCTCTTGCCAACCACGACGACGACGAGCACGAAGGCGCCCGTGCCGGAGCCGGAGTGGGAGTTCCTCGGGCTACCGTGGTGGGGCGTGGTGCTGGTTGGCAGCGGCGCGGCTCTGATTCTAGGCGTCACCATATGGGCCACCGTGGTATTAGTACAGGATGCGAAGGAGAAAAAGTACAGTTTTATATTTTGATGCCGATGCTTCAATCTGTATACTGTATGTTGCCCCCGAAGTGACTTTGGGCCAGACATGGAGCATTTCCGATATTTCACATATTTCATCTACAACATTCGAGTCCAGTTTGTTGGTTCGTTCCCGCCCAACTTCTTTTTAGTTTTTATGCGGATCACCGGTCTCTCTCGCCGAGTTGCTGCGAAAGTACAACATGTGCTTGAGGAAACGAAACTGCATGTCAGATGGTTGTACTACAAACATCAAATTCAAACTACAGCAAAATTGCCTCCGAATTGGATCCCAGCTCCTCTGAACCGTCCAGCCCCCGCGAGGGCCAGAAGAAAAAGCGTGGTTTGCTCGGTGGCTTCGACGTCTTCAACCTGTTCAGCAGTGGGTCGGAGGAAGAGAAAGTTGTCGAGCAAGAGATCGTGGAGATAGTCTCGGAGCGGTCCTCCCCGGTCCCGAGCACGGATATCGAGTGGGACTCGCCGAAGGCCCGAGACAACCTGGAGAAGCTCCGCGCCTCCTCGCCGCACCACCGAACCAAGCCCGGCCACCCACTGCACCACCACTGGAACAGGATCGCACCTATGCAAAAAAAATTCCAATGTCAATTTTGTCGAATACAAATACCATAGATACAGATACACGAACGCGCACAGAAGCTGCAGGAGCGATCACGCATAGACATAGCCGCAGCAGGCGTCAAAAATAGACCAAATCCAGGTACTGGATGTTGTAGTGTCTGTGTACTGTTGAGGAGAAGCTGTAGAAGAGCCTTGCAGCCCTTTTCATGCATTCGGCCTGTCAACATGATTTGCATGCGCACGGGAAAAGAACAATTGACATTGATTTTCTGTGGATAGCAACAGTCCCGGTTGCAGAAGAAGATATTGGGCCATTTCCGCAGCAACCCCCCGCGCAGGGAGTTCCGCTGCATCCAAATCCGAGAGAGATGAAACTCCTGAAGCAAAGCAACAGGCCGGGGCAAGGGAAATTCAGGATTTGACGTGGTTGGTACTATGTGGTGACTCCTGCCTTCGGGCGGCTAAACCTGATGTGCAACAGGTTGCTGTTCCTTCATTTTACAACGCAGCAAAAAAAAAGCGAATCCTTTATTCGATAGACGCTGAAGCAAAGGCGAATAGCGAAAGCTGTACCAGACCCTCCAAGTTCGAAATGGAACAAATATGAATCGTTGCTTTGTTTTCATTTATTACCGCTAAATACAATTGTGCATGATTGAAGGTGATCGTTGGTGGTTGCTTCTGCGCCACATTGTCCAATGCAGTGTCGCATGTTGAGTTATCTCATGCGCATGCTGTAGTGAAAGATTTAGATTGATTAGACACGACCGGTGCTGCAATCTGTGCTGCTTACTACTGATTGATTTATTTTTCATTTTCTATACGCAAAGTTTGTGCTGTATACACTTTAACTTTTACAAATGCAAGCCATGCATTTTCGCTGGTCTACTGCATAATGAATGCGATAGAAAATTTACCTTTTCACAATCACACTTCCATTTTGATGACACGTATTAAGAATCACTTAACATTTATTTTATTTAGTTCACATGTGCTTCCGCTACTGCTTGATGTCAGCTTTTTCATCTCACTGTGCACAAATTTGGTGATAATTTGCTCCACCTCTGTCGGTTATTTTGTACAATGAAAGAAATCCACGTATAAAAATGAATCACAAAAAATTTCTAAATGGAAGAGTCTAACTACACTCAGCCGCTGAGCTCCGTTGGAGGGCAGGTTGTGTCGTGAAGGAACAAGCCCGTCACGATAACTGATTAGAGAGTGAGAGCGGCCGTTCTGTCGTTGTTCGTCAGCATTTATTGCAACAACCCAGTTACTTTCTGTAGACGAGGCAGAACTACTTTGCAAAAGATGTTGTAATAGAGTTCACCGGACGAGAAAAAACCAGCACAATAGCATGAGATTGAGCAGCGCGAAAGGGGCGCCATTTTCTACGAATGAATGGAGCGTCGTCGAGTTGGATGCAACTTAGGCTGCATCATAGCGAAAAAAGAAAGTCAAAGTTCCTATTTTGCTACGTATTACCAGGTCAATTATCAGTTTGTTCTTTGTTGTTTGGAACGAAAAAACATTGCTTTCCAGTCTGTTGCTGTTCATCATGAATATGGTTAAAGCAGCTGCAGATCATTTTTCGCTGCGGGTACTATTAGTGCGCGTTCACGTACAGCACCTGCCTAATATATTTTGGTAAAAAAGTACGCAAACCTCCGACGTAAAAAAATAATGCCGACCGTGCTCGACGCGGTCTCTCCTGGAGTGACTGCGCCTTCGTCCGGCGCGGCGAAAGATGGAGATCCCGTTGCGCCGCTCGAGGACGCGACAGAGCAGCTGCTTGAAGAGGCCGCGGCGGCACCCGAGGACGTCGTTGAAGAGACAACCACGGACGACATGATGGAGCTCCTCGATCTGCTGGCCGACGCGAAGCGGGGGCGGAATCTGGAGGAGGTTGCGGGCGTTTTGGACCAGATCGGGCGGCTCGCCTTCGCCAAGGAGGGCGAAAGAGAGGCGGTGTGCGACTTTGACGGAATCACGGGGATGTGCGAGGTCGTGCGGGAACCCCACATGTACCTGGATGAAGGGGAGCTGACGGCTGCCGAAGCGAAGTTCATTGACGAGTTTACAAAGAAGAAGAACTTGATTGCGGACGACGACGAAGAAGTCAAAACTGCAGCAGCTTCTGAACCGCTCAACGCCATTCCGGAAGACACAACGGCCACAACGAAGCCAGTAAACCCGTCGAGTCTCGACGAGTACAAGGAGCCAGTGAGCTCGGAGCTGATCCCGCACCTGACGCCGGAGTCCGCTTTTGACGTGAAGTACCGCAAGGCAATGATCGCCTTCTGTCAGAGCCTTAAGGGCGTCTGCCACCGCAGCAACCTGAATCGCGGCGCACTACGGGACGAGGGCGCGGTCGAAGAAGTCGTCGGCTTCGTGGAAGCGACGTTCCACTGTCTCGCGAGTCCGACCGACGGAAAGCCGGTGTCGGGAGAAAGAAAGGAACTTCTGGAAAGGTGTATCGCTGCCGGGTGCTGCGGCTTGAAGGCTCTGTGTCAAGGAAACGACGGGAACAAAAAAGTACTTTTTACCTTTTTTTAACGTTTTTGAAACGATTACGATGAAGAACCTCCACTGATTACGTGGTTGGTGTTTCGTTTTCCGTTTTTTGCATCGATATTATTTATCGACTTCCACTTCTAAGAATTTCATTTTCAACTACTTTCCTCTATTTCACTCTGCAGGCCGTAGTTGCAATATGGACATACCTAATGAACTACAGCTTGCGGCACGGATAGCCGGAAAATTCAACGCTGAGGGTTTGGCGGCAACAGATTGCTTGGATCCGACTGTGCCAACTATGGCAAAGACGACCGACAAGACAGGTGTGAAGATGAGTTTTGTTCCGAAAATTCGAAATGTTCTTGTATGTGTATCTCAATTCCATTGCTAATATGCTTTTCGTTTTGATACGCATAAAGCAAAACAAAAACAAAAAAGCAGTCCGAAAATCAAGATTTTTACGAATATTCAATTCCCACCAAACTCCGCAGGTAAGGCCATCGACCTGCTCCTAGAAATCCTGGAATACCTCTCTGAAAGCGCGAAGGTGCAAACCCAGGGCATCTGGGCGCTGCGGTCCATTGTCACGGACGACGACAGCCGCGGCGGGGAGTCGATGGTGCCGTCTGCCGTCGAAAACCGGGACTACGTGTGTGACCGCGAAAGGTTCCCGCGGGTGAGGGAAATCATCGTCCGCTCGTTTCGGAGCATGAAACAGAGCATCGACGACAACCTGGAAAAGGAAAATCTCGGTGGTGAGCAGACAGCACATAATGCTACTTCCAGTAGCAGTTCTGCCGAACTGCCGGAGCAGCCGAAAAAATCCCCCATGTCTCCTGATCAGTGGTACCGGCTGGAGGGAGTGTTGCTGCTGATGAAGGAGGTCGGGTGCCACCAGGAGCGCATCCACAAGTTCGTGTTCGAGGACAACGTGCTGCCCCTGATCAAGGACACGCTGTCCTACGGGCACCAGAGCATTGTGCGCGCGTGTCTGTTCGTGCTGCGTCAATTCGCGTTTTCCGACCACATGAAGGACCTGTTTACCAACACGGACGCGGAGATCACGAAAACCGCCACTGATCTAATGAGATCACAGAAAAACACTGATCTAAATGAGAGTCGAATCACTGATCATGAAAAAAAAAGACCCTAGTGCCCTGGGGTCTCGAACAATTGACGCCATGCCCTGGCATTGAAAGAAAGAAAGAAAGAAAGACCCTAGTTGAATGCTGATCATCAAATCAAAAAAATCGTTTGATGATCAGCATTACCACGAGCTAACAAAGGTGATCATCAAATCAAAAAAGTCGTTTGATGATCAGCATTCAACTAGGGTCTTTTTGTTTCATGATCAGTGATTCGACTCTCATTTAGATCAGTGTTTTTCTGTAGTCTTCCGACACTCATTTCCGACAACGCGTTTCTTTGAGAGAAATGCAGCACGTTGTCGAAGAAGATGAAGAAGCAACGCCTTGCTATAGTATGCTCTGCGCCAGTTCCTTGAAGGCCCGGAAGCCCTGGCTCCAGGCTGGGCCTGCAAATTACAAGTGGGGCAGCCGCCCACAGTTAGGGCCCGAGGCCGGTGCAGGAACTGGCAGCCAGGCTCGAGGCGGTGCAGCGCTGTGGCTGCTTTGGGGGTTCTGCGCTCTTCTCAGGTGAGCCGGCTCCGCGGCTGCGCCGGGCGTGGCATGCGCTTCGTCGCCGGGTGAAGTTTATATATATTTGGCGGCGCTGCTTTTCCTTTTCTTTGTTCTCTCTTGGCAGGCGCTAGGCCGGGGCCCTGCGTGATGGCATAGCGAGTGTCTATCGCGGTCCGTGCCTGCGCCGACTATGAGAGACTCGCCGCAGGAGCTGCCGCGGCCGTGCAGCAAGGTGCCTCGCCGTCTTCATGTTGAAGCCGGGGCGCGAAAGTCGCGCCGCGTTCTTTCTCTTCACCAAACTGCGTCGTGCCGTCGGTGCAAATTAAGAACCGACGGCATGGCCTCCGTTGCTTGTTGCTAGTACGTATCGGAGCCGCTTCTCCGCCGGCTCCGTGTATTTGCTGCCCTTGGCGGCACGCAAAAGCCAGCCGTCATCGGATTGAAGTGTGTGAACCGGGCCCCCGGCCCGTCGATGCCTTGACGCATTCGCGGCAGGCGGGCAAGGTCGAGGCACAGAGCCGGGCCCGAACCAGGCGGGGGATGGCATTCCAAACGAACCGGCTCTACGCTATGGCCCCGACCCTCTTCAAGCGCCGCGCCCCGGCCGAGGTAAGAGCGCTCGACGACCAAAACGCGTGGGCGCTCGTGGCCAGACGGGAAGAGTGGTTTCATGCGTCCAGCAACCATGAAAACTAACACTAAGCACCTGGGGCCCCCAAAGCGTCCGGCCATTGTCGGCCTTTCCCATCTCCGGCATGCACTGCTCGCATAATGTGCGCAGTGAACACTGCCACACTCTGCGAAAAGCTGCGCCATTTTTTCGGTCCGTTAAAAAACAAACCCGCTCCGCGAGGGTGTGCTGCGATTTTTCTTTGGTAGATGATCACTGTCGGCGATCACCATTTCTCCTTCTATACTGTTTACCAACACGGACGCGGAGATCACGAAAACCGCCATGTTGGTACTGCGGAAGTACTATCAAATGTAAAAATGTCTGGGTCTGGAAAAATGCAACTTGTCATGCTAAATCTGCATCATGTAAAAATCTGTGTTGCGTGATTACCAAAAGCTTTCCACTTTTGACCTAATCGAGAGGCAGTTTCTCATGCAGGATAGGCATGATAGACCTAACGCAGAATCTGTCATGCTATGTCCTACATACCAGGCCTCATGGGTCATGGAAAACCTGCATGACAAGTCTGTCACTCTTCCAGACCCAGACATTTTTACATTTGATAAGTACACCAAGTGCACGGCGATTGTGGAGCAGGCGTTCGGCCTGTTCAGTAACCTGACCTTGAGAAAACCGCAGATCTGCGAAACGCTGAACGCGGACCCCATGCGGATCGCAGCGATGGGACTGCTGGTGCTGGCGGAATACCAGGTACTTCTTCTTGCGTTGTAATACTATCAAGGGTTGTTCAACGTTTGGACTTAGTATTTCAGCATGGTCGTCGTGTCTTCAGATGCATGTGGTAGAATCGTTTCTGGGGATGAAGATTCCACCTATGGGCGGTACCAGGTCGTTCTTGTGCTTGTGCACGAGCGTTGTGTAGCTTGTGCCGACAGATGAAAATCATGTTGCAAAAATCTACAGAACAACGCTTCTGTGGTGACCACCGTGCTGTTCACTTTGAGAAACGTCGCGAAGGCAGTGCCCGAGGCCGCGAAGGAGATGGAGGACAGTGGGCTATTTGAGCTGATACGCAAAATCTACTTTCAGCGGGAGGCCGACATGCACCGGCAGTGGCTGGCGGCGAAGGACATCGGGAAGCAGTTCTTGCGAGAGTTCCGGGAGGACACCGACGGCATGCGAAGACCCATTACGCACAACGATTACTACTGAAGAAGAAGGATATTTTTTGAAGAAGCACCTGCAGTTTTTCATCCATACTTAGTGCCTTTGGGGTGTGTTTGTCCAGTTGGGGTGTGTTTGTGTGTGTAGGAAAATCCTGTGCAAACAAGGCAGTTGTGAACATTCGATCGTGTTGACATGATTCTGTGAAAGTGAAGCAAGCATACATTAGTGATCGATTGCGCTATGGCGGAAGTCAGTGTCCACAGCTATTTTTGTAAAAAATGTTCTTGTTGATCTTCATCTTCAGGTCTTTTTGCCAAGGAGAGCCAGAGGGTTTCTGCGTGCATACTAACGTCTCGGCCAATTAGTGATGGGGAAGAAGTCAATCCGAGGATCAGATTTCGGTCCAACTTCAGGGTCTGTTGAGTCCGAGGATCAGATTTCAGGGTCTGTTGAGTTTCTCTCCAAAAAACTGTTGTACCGCCGCACCAACGAGTGCGAGCATACCGAACGGTAATATTCTGATCTGATCTGATCTGTACTTGTTTAAATTGTGATCCGTAGGCCAATGTTGAAAAAATCTAAATCTTTGAGATCCAAATTCCTGAGACCAAGACCGACCCATCAGTTTCGCAGTTCCAAAGTCAACATGCTTGGAGGATCTCCACGCTGAATGAAGTACATGGTTAAGATCGCACCCCGTGCAAGCAGACAGCCTTACTATGCTTTTCGTTCGCTATAAATCTTTCCTTTTCCAGCGACAACAGCGACTTGAGTAGCTGCTCGTCCCCTCGAGAGCTTGGATATTGAGTAAGTCTAAAGACTAAGGACATTGTCTATTTGTTGTGACGATCATGGCTTTAGATTTAGTGTTGGTTATCAGCAGCTTGATGTTCAACGGTCCAAGAAGTATATATAAGCAGCTACCTTCTTGCGGCCCCACTCCCATGGCGATTCTTTTGATTTTACGTGACTAGCCGGGCCAAGAAAGAAGAAGATGTGCGGAATCGGTGCGATCTTGGAGGACTGGGTCGAGGATTCCGACCCAACATCATCAAGCTCTGTGGAGGAAGCGATCCAGCAGCTAAAAACAGTATTGGCCTCTGCTGAACAAACTGTCGCAATATCAGGAGCTACAGAGGAAGCGCACGCACCGGGTTGTAAAGACGATGCTAACCATCAAAAGACACAGCGGGAACGGGCTCGCTCCAACGGTGTTGCTGCAGATGAGTCTTTACCGCAAAGGCGGCAGATGAAAGAAGCATCAACCGACCTCGGGATCATAACGAATGAGGCGTTGGACCCGAACAGCAGCAAGAAGGAGGCGTTGCGTTCACAATTTCTTCGTCTTTTAGCCCGCCGTGGGCCCGACCACCGAGAAATGCTTCGGTGTGACGACTCGGTGACGATGCTGGCATGCGTCCTGCACATGCGCGGCCCAACCTTGACTCCGCAGCCGGTGTTTGTGGGTGATGCGGAGGACCAGCTCCTGGGACGACGAAACAGCTGCTCTACAGTGCCCGTGTGTACTACAAGAAATAAAGACGGAAGTTGGTTTGCCTTCAATGGAGAGATCTTTGGGCTGCATGATGAGGCCGGTGAACATCAGAACGAGCAGCAGGAGATGATCCCCGCACGGAAACTCAAAGGAGCAACAGAATCTACCCCCTCTGATGTTGAACGTGGAAGTGCCGGTGCAAAAATCAACACTCTAGACGCAACGCTATTCGCAAACGAGATTTCGGACACAACATGGCTGAGCAAAAGAATTGTGGAGCTCAGGAACAACGTTGCTTCTGATGCTTCATCAACGACAGAGGAGCAAAAAGGCCGGCTCTTCGACGAGCTGCTTCAGAAACAAATTCTGGAAAGAATCCAAGGGCCGTTTGCGTTCCTCCACTACTGTGAAAGGCGACAGCGGCTTTTCTGCATGCGGGACGGCTTGGGACGCCGAAGTCTCTGTGTGCAAGTACGGACTGGGAGGATCGGGTGCAGCAAGTATTTTGATGATCTCGAGAACATCAAATGTGCTGGGGAAAGAACTCACGATGCAGACACGCAAGGCAACACAAGAATGAGGACGACGATTCTGGTCGGAAGTGTGTTGCCGCTGCCAGGTGACGGAGCCAGCGATAAAGTTCTGCTTCACGCCGAAATTCCCTGTAGTGGTGCGCTGATCATACAGAATGGAAAAAGCCATGGAATAAACTACGCCGAGAACAATGACAGCGGCCACGTAGTCGCCACGAAAAGCACCTTTGAAAATGGAAATGGAAAGGAACGCCTTGCGAGCCCAAGCCCTCCTTTCGTGCCTTTCGAATTTCGCGAACGATTTCACCCCGCGCTCTCCAGCCCGTTCCACAATCTGCGAGAGGCATTGCGGACGAAGAGTGGCTCTTGTTGTGCCCTTCCTGCACCACGGCCAGCGCTTTCTAGTGACTCCGCATCGGTTCGTCCTCGTCCAACACTATCAACCCGATCGCCCTTTCAGACCGCGGCCGCTCGTCTGGAAACTGCACTGCGCAATGCCGTCCGCAAACGGGTCCAGTTTCACGAGGAAGTGACTGTACTCTTCAGCGGAGGGTTGGACTCCACCGTGCTCGCGGCGCTGGCTGCGGACTACGTAAAGAAGGTCCGGCTGGTGAACGTCTCCTACAGCCCGACAAACTCCCCGGACCGCGTGACCTGCTTGCTGAGCTTCCGGGATCTGAAGGCGCGAAGGAATCATGATAACCCGGGTGCTGCTGGCGGGAAGTTTGACCTCGTGCTGATGGATTTGGCTGAAGGAGATGAAGAGGAAGATGGGAGAGATCTCATGACCCATAAAAGCTCTTCCTCTGATCTCACCTGTAGCGTCGACGATACCAGACACGTGAAGGCCTTGCTGGGGCCTAGTCACAATACTCACATGGACTACAACATAGGGATGTGCCTGTGGCAGGCGGCAAGCAGACCCGATGCGCGAGGACCGCCAGCGCCGTCAAGTCGGAAGGCAGAAGAGGAAAAGAAAAACACAACGAGGCATTGCTATTCCCTTCCCGACTCAGACGAACTCTTCCCGCATTGGCACACGTTATTTGCTCAGGCGGCGCAGCTGTTGCCGGACGAGAAGCGACCGGGCGAAAACGCGAGAAAAGAGAAACTGAAGGAGAGAGTACTGGCGGAATTCCCGGAAGCGTGGCCTTGTTACGAACAGAAAATGATAGACGGAGGGGACAATGCTCCTGCCGATCTAGTAGTTGGGGCGTCACTGACCGACGAGCCGACGATGCTCCAACCCGGAGCGCGCCCGGAAGCTGCCGTTCGCGTTACACGAGATGAACACGAGGATGACCCTATAGCAACATCTGGCATCGACTGCTCTGTGTATCGAGACCACTGGCGCCTTTGTGATCGTGGGCGGCGACAGCCTGACACCGCTACTAGAACTGCCCCTGAGTCTGGTACTTCCAGACAAGAATTCCAATGTCATCACGAAGGTAAAGAAGATGGGTCGAGAATAAACAAGGTCCTCCTGGTCGGTCACGGGGCGGATGAGCTCTTCGGCGGTTACGCACGACACGTTTCCCAGTTTTTGACTCACTATCAACTGTAAAAATGTCTGGGTCTGGAAGAATGCAAGATTTGTGATGCAGGTTTTCCATGACCCATGAGGTCTGGAATGCGAGACCCAGCATGACAGATTTTTTGGGGTCTCTATCATGCCTTTCCTGCATGAGAAACTCCCTCTCAACTTGGTCAAAAGCGGACAGCTTTTGGTACTCACGCAACACAGATTTTTGCATCATTCGGATTTAGCATGACAAGTTCTAATCTTCCAGACCCAGACACTTTTACATTTGATACTCACGGGAAGAGAGCGATGTACGACGAGCTTCGGAAAGACCTGGAGCGCTTTTGGACCCGGAACCTATCAAATGTAAAAATGTCTGGGTCTGGAAACTTGTGATGCTGGGTGGCGTCTCATGATGAGGCCACAAATGCTGGATCAGCATGACAAGTTTCTGAGCCTCTAGGTGTTGCTTATTCTGCATGACAAACTGCGTTTCTGCATCACAGAAAGATGGGGCTCTTGGGTAATGTGCATGACAGATTCAAGAGTCATGCCAGACAAGCATGACAAACATGCATTCTTCCAGACCCAGACATTTTTACATTTGATAGAACCTGGGTCGCGACGATCGGGTGTTGGCTGACCACGGCAGGGAACCCAGACACCCATTTCTGGATGAGGATGTGGTGCAGCTGGTAAGTGAGCTGGTGCAAGAAAACGAAGTCCCGGCCGCAGGGCCAGATAAGATGCTGCTGAGGTACATTGCCGACAAAGTTCTGAAATTGCCCACCTGTGCAAAACTGGACAAACGGGCCATTCAGTTCGGGTCCGGGCTCGCAAAAAAATCGAATAGAGCGAAATTTGGATCCTCCAGAAAAGCGAATGGGAGGGCGCAGTTCGAGTGAAGAAGGGTTCTGTATTGTACTTCTGGAAATTGCCGAAGTAGATGAAATAAGGACGCACCGCTTCTTCATGGCCCTCATTCAGAGTAAGTACTTATGTGATGCAGAACTTCCATCTTTTTTACCTTACGTATTTGCCACGACAATCAGCGACCATCGATGTCCATCCTCCTTAGCGATTAATTGAAGGCTCTAAACGATACACATAAAACTATAAACATGAAATATTCACTGGGCAAGCGCAAATGGCGTGTGCGAAGAGAAACCGCGCCTAGCAGGTCACTCAGTTTTGGCACTGCATGTGTTCGAGCAGGATGCGAATGTTAGCGTTCCGACGTTCTTTCCGGTGTTGAGGGACTGTGAGGGATTTTGGCGAGGGCATCTTTTCTGTTGCCACAGAGCAGAAAGAAGCTCGTTCTGAGGTGAGTGATTGAGGTGGCTTTTGCTAGTACTCGTCTAGTACTACCGAATCCACGTCGTTCTCGTTGACGCCTCCAGCTGCTTCAGTCGAACCTACTAACTGCGCCTCGTCGTTCGATGGTATGTAGGATAGCAAGAGTTCTTGTTGTGAAGAAGATATTCGATTTTGTGCGTAGTCGTACTGCGTTCCCCGCCCTTTCCGGGATTCCTTCGTTTGAGATCACAGAAGCAAGTAGGTTTGAGCGTGGCCATTTGCACATTCTTCGGATTCTTCCCGAAAAGAACCAAGTTCAACATGTTGAAGCGCAACACGGCGATGCAGCACACGCCCATGGTGCCGCCAGTGGGCTTCAAATTTGTCCCTCGCCAGCAGCACGTGTGCGGCCAGGCGGGGTGTTTCGAGTGCTACGACATCTGGTGCGAACGCTGCGAATCGAAGGACCGCCGGATCATCGAGCTGGAGATGCGAAACAACGAGCTGGTCAAGCACATCACTCTTCTGCAGAGCAAACTCTTTCCGAAAGCGGCCGGCGCTGCGGGGGCGGGAAGTTAGAGTGTGGCGTGAATGTGGTTTTTTCTCTTTTCGAAGAAAATTTTAAAATTTTGTTTTGTCAAAATATTGTATTCTTTTTCAGCTTCTGTTACTGTTTTCCTTTTTTGCGCAAGATGATGATATAAGCATCGAGATAACTTCTAACAGACACACAGGCTCCGTGAGGAAGATACAGATCGAAGAATCTTGATTCGATTTTGATTTGGTTTTGCAGTTGAAAGTGGTTAGCATTCGTACGCTTGAGATTTATGCTCTCGAATTGCAGAACTTCAACTTGAGGTTTCGCATTTCTCATGATGGTTTTTCTTTTTTGACCTCTAACTTGTTGTCAGGCTTGCTCTCTCAGGTTCGAACGCAAAAGACAAATTTCCGAAAAGAGTGCAGCAGGGAACTGCAGGAGCGCGAAATAACAAAGAGAACGACCTTCACTAGTCTCTCATTTCTAGGATGTTTTTCCACGGCGTTCTGCCATGCGAGCGTAGTAGCGACTCCGAGAGAAGAAGTTCTGATAAAACTAGCTGTACTTATCACATCGACACCATAAGGAGAATAAACTGAGAGCCTTTTTGGTTGAAAAAGATCCACCCGCGCTCACAGCAGTAACATCTCGAGAATAGTGAGGAGCTCGACAAGAGTAGATTATTTCCCTGCCATTCACGAAGATGTCGGCACAACAAGAGCCCGACCCGCTCCCATTCGACCTTCCGGCCACACTCGACGAGGTTTCCCCCGGGTTGCTAACGCGTGTGCTCCACCATGCGGGCGTCTTACCCAGCACAGCCACGGTCCGGTCCTTCGAAATGCGGAAGCTTGGGCGAGATAGAGGCCTTCTGGGAGACAAAGCTGTGCTAGAAAAGGTAGAGTACGATGGCGCAGTCGTCTTTGCAGGAGAAGCGAGCGGTGGGCAGGAGGAGGAGAACCAAACCAAAACTACTACTTCGTGTTGCGGCAGAGCGTCTTCATCAAGTCGTGGCGCCACTACGTCTACGGCGGTGTCTGCTGCAAGACCAGGAGCAGTACCCTTACCCCCCGCTGTCGCTGCGTCATCCCCGCCACCGCCCGCGTCTTTCTTCGTGAAGATGTTTCCGTCCGATCTGAACGTGCCGGTGCAAAGCGCCAAGATGATGTGGACCTCGGAAGTTCGATTCATCAATACCGTGCTACTAGCTGCAAATGTTGACTTCAGTGGTCGAGAAGGTGTGGATTTTCCAACACCCAAATTCTATTTTGCTGCCGGACCTCAGGAGGAAGACGGAAAGCAGCCGCTGCCTCCTCCAGACGGTGCCTCTCCTACTCCTTTCAGCACTCCCCGTTTTCTGATTCTGATGGAGCCCATTCTTGGAGAAGGAATTCGGAATGGCGACCATTTGTCAACAACACCTTCAACAGCAGGACCCGGACCATCCCCATCGAGCACCATATTAACAAAAGTTCTGCCGCTCCCCCACGCCTACCGCGCCGCCAAGGACCTAGCAGCCTTGCAAGCGCCCTTTTTCGGCTGGTCGTACGAGCGGTACAAGGCCGACGAGCGCACGAAACTGCTGCCGCACCTTTCGTATGAACTGCAAAAGTATCGTACTCGTATAAATGCATTACAAATTTTCTCAGCATGAAAAATAAAGTTTGTAATGCTGATTTGCCTTGACAAAGAAATTTGTAATGCAAGACCTGCATTTATACGAGTGCGATACTTTTGCACAGCACCTCTCGGACCCAAACCGGGTGGAAATGATGAAGGGCTTCTTGCAAAACGTGATGAAGTATGGATTGCAAATATGTCTGGGTCTGAAAACTTGTAATGCGAAAAATGAATGATAGACGCACTGCAATACGCAGCTATGCACGACAAATTTTTTGGCTGCCATGTCTCTCTTACGTATTCCGCATGGCACCCTGCGTTTTTGCATGACAGGCAAGAGGGCCCTGTCGTGCCTATGCAACACAGGTCCTCGAGTCATGCCAGACAAGCATGACAAACTTGCATTCTTCCAGAGCCAGACATTTTTGCATTTGATATGAGGGCCGGCGTGGAGATGTTCGGAAAAAGCAAGGGGGTGAACGCGGTGCTGGGTCGTGGACGAGACAGTAGGTTGGACCTCTTCGCGGAAGCAGACTGTACCAGCGAGGACGAACAAATGAACAAGGCTGCAGCAAGCGGAAGCCCGTCCTCCAGCAAGTCGAGAAAAACTGTCGTCTACGACAGCTACCTTCGTGGCTTCCGCGAGTACTGGCTCTGGTTCGAGGAGAAGATCTGGAACCCGATGCTAGCGCCACCTGCACCAGAGGTGGGAGAGCAGGGGCAAAGCCAACACGGTGTTGACGAGTCTCCCGGCGGCGCAAATAATCGGCCGAAAAATAGTTCTTACTGGGATGCGTTTTTCGAAAAGTGGAAGAGCATCCCGGTCACACTGTGGCACGGGGACTTCCACGCGGAAAACATGTTTTACAACGAAAGGAAAGAGTCCAACGTCTACATCGACTTTCAAAATGTGCAGCTGCAGCCGGGCGTCCGCGATTTGGCCTGCTTGCTTGGGACGGGCTTAACTAGAGAGGACCGAAGGAACGAGGAGGAGAAGATTGTGCGGTCGTATCACGACGAATTGGTGCGCAGATGGGCTGCGGAGGACATCTTCCAGGCTTCATCAAGGAACACGAACTTGCAGGTCGAGAAACAAGAAAGCAAGAGCGTTGCAGCTCCGCCGCTTTCATCGCCGCCCGATTATTCGTGGAAGCAGTGTTGGGAAGACTACAAGCTGATGAAATTTGACTGTGTCTTCCGTGCGAGCATGATCAGTATGTTCATGGCCAAAGCGGTCCGTGAAAGGACGGGAATCTTCGCGGACGATTTTTTGGCGATGTTAGTACCGCTTGACGGCTCTGGTGATGCTGATGCTGCTGACGTGATCGAGGATCGGGACATCTTCATCCGGGAGAACGATAAGAACGAGCATGTGCGAGAACAGCGGAAGTTTAACGCTGTCATGATGCGCATTGTGGAGGATTTGAAAGACGCAGAATGGGATAAGATTCTGAAAGATGTGGTGACGTCGGCCCAAGGAGCATGAAACTAATGGGCTCAACAAACTCTATGATGATGAAGATGATCGCGACCTCATGATGATCTCCACACAGGTTCATCGTCATGCTTTTCTGGAACGAAATTAATCGAGACGATGAAAATCAAGGCTCCCTGCGCTCCTTTACCGGTTCAGTGGTCGCGGTACACGAAGTCGAAGTACAGCACTGTCCTTGCCTTGCTAAGGGTCGGTGGGCCGATTTTTCTACCGTGATTGATCGAACCTGCATCGCCGACTTTTTGTTGAGGCGGTTTCCTCATGCCATTCGAATATATCTCGATCTCAACCTCAAGCATGCCATCCGGACAAGAACGATCTCCTAAGTACACATCCACGTGCTTCACATGAACACTGTATGTCAATGGCTTAGATACAAAAATCAATATCAAGAATTTTTTAGTGGATCTAGAGCGATCAGATCTCCAGGAAGAGGAAGTTTCTAACGGTCGCATCAAAAGCTCTCAATCCGACGAAGTTCTGCGAACTGTCTTCTGAAGTTCTCCTCCTTTACTTTAGTTCTTGTGTGATCGAATACGCAATGGACGAACAAGAGCCAAGAACTCTAAGGGGGCCGCAAAAGGAGATCAAGGAATCGATGGGGAAGAAGTGACGAGGAAACATTGATCCACTACGTAGCTAGTCTCTTGTCTGCGAAAAAGCAAGTAGGAGTTTACCCTAGTCTTCTAGTTCTAGTTCTCCATCTCTGGTCCGCGAAACAAAAAACTTTAGCGAATGCCACACAATACAAAGAATAAGATTCCTTGGGGGAGTTGTCTATAGTAAGCTTCTTCCGCGTCGATTCATCACATAGATTGATCTATCATCGCCATGCTTGTGCCAGTCAATTGTCGTGCTCGTGATTCTTGCTATATCGTCTTCGTGATTCGAAAAGGAATAAGGAAAACGGAAAGAACGTGGCGTCGAGGTTAATTTGAGTTTCGCACACAATTCAAGTTCAACGCAAGAGGAAATTGTTTTTCACCACCTAGACAAAAATACAATAGGTACCACGCACTGGTACCCTTTTTTACATTGATTATCCATGAAAAGTACGGCTTTTTTGATTTCGGCGCATTTTTCCTTTACCTCCTCCACCTGCGAAGAGTGGACGTGAAGAAATTGGGACAGAGCTGCGGAGAAAACGAAACAAATTGGAATTCGCAAAAATGGCTTCCGTTGGTGGCTACGCCCTTTGCCAGTCAGCCTGCAATGCCGGTGCGGTTGCCTGCTATGCGGCTGCCGGCGCTGTGTTTGGGGTTGGAAGCGTTCCGGGCTGCAACGCAGCGCTGGGCAGCTGTATGTCTGCTTGTGCGGTAAAATTTGGAGTGGAAGGCGCCGCGGAAACCGCGGCCACTGGAGGTTTGATGGGCCCGATTGTCTGGGTCGGAGGTGCGGTCCTTGCGCTTGGCAGTTTCTGGGTGTTGAAGAAGTCCTCGTGATAAAAATTACGAAAACCTTACTCGGAATATTTATAAGTTGCATATGGCTGAATTATCAATTATGTATGATTTGTAATCAAGAAGGTGTGGCAGTGGCGAGCCAGTACCAGTTCCAGTTGCGGAACACGAGGAAAAGAAATAATTTTCTTGTAGCACTCCATGACCATGTCCATGTGCATGTCCAGCATTTACTTCCTCTTCCACCTCCACTCCGAGGACACTCGGAGTCGGTGGCTTTTGCTCTACCTACTGCAATTCGCTAGTTCTTCGCTTGATATACTTCTGCGACTGCTCGTGTAGCTCGTGTTCAGTTCTTCACGCGGTACTCAACTAAATCGCTTAGAGTGCACTTCTGCAGGAGCACGTGGCGCCCATCTGAAGAAGTTACTTGACTTTGTCTCGTTCGCCTTTATTAAGAACAAGAGTGGTGCAATGAGTTCGAAGAAGACGGCTAGATTCGTTGAGTGAGAAATCTGCTATGCGTGACCGTCGTGAGTGGCCGAATCGTTGTCGATGTTGCTTTGAATCCATCGTATTCAGCCCAAAGTAAAGCAGGATGAAAGAGAGGGAGCATCTTCAGCATGTCTCAGAGCAGTTGTCTGTATGAGAGCAGGCCGAAGAGAGCCGACAGACTCGTCGCTCGTTCACGTTCGCTCGCTATCAATGTTAAGGAGAAGCAACTTCTGACAATCGTGCGACGTAGACGTATGGCATTCTGCTTCGTGTGTTGAGTCGATGAATGTGAAGATGTACTCGTCACACTTGAGCTTGTTGCGGAGAGAGTGATCATACGATATTTTCACATCTCGATTGGAAGAAAAAATGGCTCAGCCCGGGACCGCTCTTGCCAGTACCGATAAACTAAAATTTGTTTGTTGCATGCTCAAACTCATGGACATGAAATGCCATTTCCAGCCTAAGAATCATGGGACAATCACAATCTCAATTTGTATTCCATGCGGTCATACAGTCGTATGATTGGAATAGAATCAACTTGAACAGGTAAAGGCAAGACGAGTCTCGTGGATTTCTTGGAGCATGACACAAAAGCGATCATCGACTCGCCCAGAAGCCTCCAGGCATGCGCAGGGGAGGGTGTAGCCCCGCAGGATCTGATATACAAGCCCATCGAAGCGTTCGCCGAGAAAGGTCTGGAACCCAGACTCGTGAAGCTCAGGTAAGAAGCAAAGTTTATTTTTCCTGTATATGCACTTGTGCTACGTCTACGGGCCGGGGCAGCACAAGCAGACCATGATGGAAACAAAATCTGAAAAAAGATTCAACCTGGATCGACGACAGGTACGACTTCTTTGAGGCAAAGAGGAACGACCTGCTGGCAGCATGCAGGCGATCACGAGAGATCATCCTCGAGGAGGAGGGGCGAGAACGAAATCACAGCATGACCGGCATGACCCTTGCAGAAATGAGCAGAGCAAAGGGAATTTCAACAGGTATTTACATTGAGGTAGATATCGTCGACTAGTAGGCTCGCTGAAGAAGTAAGACCATGAACATCGTTTTGTCATGCCATGATCGCGCAATAGGGGTGGGGGTATGGAAAATCGCGTATAGATCTGCTGCACCACATGCTGAAAAATAACAGGTGTCCTCTCCGCGATGCAGTCCGATTGCGTGAAACAGGAGCGCAGCAGGCTCCAGCATGCTCAGCACCTCCAACTCCAGTGGCTGCAGAACTGCCTGGCGCACCAGTTGCACCAAACAAAAATGCTCGAGAAGGCGGACCAGTTTATGCAGGCCGAGGAAGCAGACGAGCAGCAGGGCAACAAAGACGCCGCAGAGCGCATGCGAAAAAAGAACGAGGAGAAGCGCATGCGAGAGGAACAGAAAATGGCCGAATTAGCAGCGCAACAGAAGTACTGAATAGATGTTGTCAACAACACTTTTAACTTTCAATATGGATGAAATGGTAGGTAGTTCTCGTGGCCTCTGCATGATTAATTAACGGATAGAACTTGAAGCAAGTAGAGCTAGAAGATATCAAAGTTTCCACCATGAGCATGATGCAGGAGCCCTGGTATTGCTTTAATTCAAAAACAAAATAGACTCGAGCAGCAAATTGCCAAAGAGGAGTTCGAGCGGCAGCAGGAGGAGCTTGAGCATGAGAAGCAGCTCGCGGAGCAGCGAAGAAAAGAGGCCCATGCGCGGTCGATGGCGGACCAGGCCGCGAAAAAGAAGGCCGAGGAGGACAAGGCCGAGCGGCGGAGGCAGGCATGGATGCACCAACAGCGGCAGCTCGAGGAGATGCGGGCCAACGACGAGCGCAGAAACGAGATTCGGAGGCTGCAGAAGGCAAAGCAGAACGCGGACATGGAGGCGAGAAGAAAGTTCAAGGAGGACAGAATAGCACTGTCGAAAGCAAATCTGGGCGACAAGACGGGTGAAAAAATGGCGGCATTCATGGCAAAGCAGAACCACGAACAGGCACGCGAGGACCGGTTGAACAACTTACGGCTGCTGCAACAGGAGGAGGGAGCAAGACGAGGTAAGATGATTCATTTTCGGAACAGAAGGACAGGAGTAGGAGATGAGTATGAGCATGACTTCTTGATACTTCGTTGGGCATTTCTGCATGACAAAGTAGTTGATACGATTAAGATATTCATCTCATGGATCGCTCACAGGTTTCCAAGTCATGATGAAGCGCAAGGCCATTATGGACGAAGCGGACAGAAAAGCAGAGGAAAAGAGAAACTCCATTATTTACGAAAGTGTAAGCAGGTTTGTGTTGCGTCAGTTGATGAACAATTATGAGACCACTAAGTGGATACACTGTTGCAGTTGCTTCACAGCCTGTTTGTATTTATTGAAATTCAAATTGTGTATCACGCAATACAAACATCACTTCCCCTCCTGCATACCCTCGAGCATCAGAACGAAGTGGAACACCGCATGATGCTCCACGAGATGAAGAAGGAGAGGTACTAATGTCTTAAAAGTTTGTCATCCGAATATGAAAAGATGGGAAACTATATATAACTACATCATGACTTCCCATGCCGGAGCAGTGCGCAAGAACTACAAGGAGGACAAAGGCGTGCGGATCATGTTGAGTGATGCACTTTTAACATTGTGGTCTCGCATGCGGCCACGATGCTGCAGATGCGACGCACGTCAAAAAAAACTTCAGGTATCTCGAATTCAAAGCGGAACTGGATGCGCTCAAGGAAAAAAACAAGGAAATCAACGTCATCCGGCAGAGGCGAAAGGAAGACCAGAAAAGAGAAGACGTCGCAGAAGCGGTACTTATTTTTCCAATGAGGATGCTCTGTTTCATTCTAAAAGCATGTAATGTAGTAGTACAGTTTTCCTTTTCGTGTCTGTATTCTTGGTTGGCATGCGGAAAAAAGTACATTGCACACTGATATTGTACATGTAGAAGATCATGAAATTCACGACAACCAGCTCTCGTGGCTATTCTACGATACAAAACCCCTCAGGTCCGGCGAAAAGACGACAAAATCGAGATGTTGCACCACGAAAGGGATTTTCTCTGGGGCCTACGCAGAACGACGGGTGCGGAGATTGCGCGCGCGAAGGACGAAGTCAAGCAGCTCATCACAAGCATGAAAATCAAGTAGGATAACGATTGCTGATGTTGGGTGTCTGTTCTTTTCGATGACGATGGTAGGCTGCATGAATGGTGCATAAAGTAAGAACTAGTCGTACATAGACACGACAAGAAGCGCACGATAAAAAAAGGTAACATATGATAGTGCTATAGTGGGTGTTCTGCATGATTCCAACTTCTACTCTCATCTATCAGGTCCAATTACGATGCCCACAAAGTGGAGGGCACAATGCGGAAGATTTTCAAGCGCAAGATTTTCAACACAGACTTCGGAACGGTATAGTGTTTGACACGCATCATGCCAAACTTCGCTCTCTGGTATGACATGCATGAGAAACTTCTTTCCGGTTTTTGTTCGCGATACTGTTGTAGTTGCATCACGATGGTCAACACCATATTGTAGTGCCTCATAAAAAAACTTGGTACTTATTAATATCAGGTCCAAAGCATGCCCGACCTGGGATTGGGTCCGCAGGGCACGCAGGGCGCCGTAGAGGACTACGCGGCCGGCGCGGGGGTTGAGCAGAAAATCCAGTAGGCCAGTCCAATTTTAACTGTTCATCTGTACAACCACCTGGACGACTCGCACTCACCACCGTCGCTGTCAGCTTGTATCAAAAACCAAAACCTAATACTTTTCATCTTGCTTGGCGCAAATCAAAATGAGATGATAAACGCAGCAAGCAAATATCCAAAAAGCACGAGCAGAACTCGAACTGCAGCCTGGTCCTGTTTTTGCGGTCCACCTGTTGAAAGAGAAAGTTTGCAAAAACAGAAGCAAACCTATGTTACACTTTCAAACAATTAGCAAAAATTATCGCACAATATCAAACCGTTACTTTATGTTACTTTTCAAACAATCAATTATCACACAGAAATTCCAAAAAGTCAACAGAAATTATCGCTGCTGGCTCTATATACGCAGCTTTAATTAAATTAGAATAGCCTTTCAGAGAAGCGAAATGCTAGGAAGGTCTCGTCCCGCATTCGCCCAGAGGACGAGCACATAGTTGAAGAACTCTATACGATTTTTAGCAGAATTATATATGTGAATCTTTAACCACCACTAAGAATATACCAAATATTATGCAAGTTTTACCTTGAAGGCGCAGTGCAGGTTAGTATCATAAAGAGCAGAGAATATAGCTTAGACGGAGCAGAACTACAAGGACGCACAGAGCACTTTGCTGGGCCAACGACGGACACGTCAAGCCAGGACTGGGGTATGGAGGAGAAGTGAGTGATCTTCCCGCCTGCTGCTGGTCCTAAGAAGCGCGCCGGCTTGTCATGTGAGTTTGCCTCCTATTTATTATGCAGGCCTTTTTGTGATGCAAAAGGCCTAGCAAGAATAAAGATTACTCCAGACTACATGGGATTGAGTGATCTTGCATCTTGAAAAAACAGCGGAACATTGCAAATCCGCATGGCAGCGGGCGACTTTTCTATAAAGCTAGCAGCAGCCCGCAAAGTCACTCGCTTCCCCTCTATAAAGGGTGGAGAACCTTCGCACTGACGCGAAACACGATGCGGTGCTCGGAGGAATCGCTCCTTCGTGTGGTCGGTGTGTTGCGTGTTGGAAGCCGCGCGCAAAGAAGCTACAGGTACTAGAGTGCCAACGGCGGAACAATGTCGAGGTGTAGTGGCTGATGTCCTTCAATAATTTCTGTCGCGTCTTCAAATTATATTATGTTTATCGTGTACTTCTGTATCTATGTCTGGAGCTTTTGCTTTTTGTCGCACCGAAAATGAACAGAATAATGCTGGTGGAAGCTGTTGTTGCTTTGAAGACACAGGACTCTCGACGCCGCCTTCACTCAGCAGCGGAATCGAATAGACGCAAGTTTTTTCAGTGCTAGAATCGACTAAGAAAAAGAATGCGAAAGATCTTTCGAAGAACGGTGTGGACGACAGGACGCCGCCCTCAGTAGAGGAATCACAATGTTTATAGTCTGAAGCAAGATACAGGGTCGTCCTCATGTGCGATTTCCTTTCGGGCAGGTCGTTGATTTGTGACTTTTTTCGTATGGGCTCTAGATCGATGATCGTGGAATAAAATGGCGCTGCTGGTGATCGGTTTAGATTTTTGCCACTTGCTGCAGGGCACTCGCTCCTCGTCGTCTTTCGTAGAAGCAGTTTCGTTCTGCTCTTGATCGAAGTCTTAGTCGTTCCCTCCTGATGTTGTAAAGAGATCTTCCATGATGAACACTTCTGTTTTGCTCTTTCATCTTGAACGACCATGTCAAGACAACGTACAGAACGAGCAGCGTTTTCATTCGTGTCATTTTTTTTATTTGGAGCCCGAGCCGCTGCCCGCGGCTTGTGCAGAACTGTTTTTTTTGCAGGAGAAAGAACAAGACTGCACATCAACAACAAGCCGTAAGAAATAACCGCCTCAGTCAACACACCCAATAACTCCAATAGCAACTAGAACTACATGCCCTCCGCCGCCGAGGGATTTGCAGCGGAGGTGCGGGAGCAGGCGCAACGGGTGGCGCAGCTCCAACCCCCAGACGCCGAGCAGCTGCACCTGTTACTAGACCGGGAGGAGCGGAATGCGGAGGTGATCACGCTGTTAAAGGAGCGTTTAGAGCAGCAGAATGCGGACATGCAGAAGCTCGTGGCGGAAAACATGGCGATTTCCGAGCACCTGCAGACCGTGCAGGCCTCCTTGGAAAAAATGAAGGCCCTGGCGGCAGATCGGGGTATAGGACAGGAGGTCGGGAAATTGGTCAAGGATAGCGGTATTTGATAAAGAACGTGATTTCTTGGTTTTGCATTCTAGTCCTGCTCTGCTCATGCACGACGCTTCGCTTGTTCCGTCGATGAATTTGCAAAAAAGAAGTGCAAGAGGCGTACGAAATCTACGGTAAAAATGGTTCCAAAATTGAGAATATGAATATTCTAAAACGCAAGCAGAAACTCCAGCATGTTACTGGTTGTACAACAGGTCTGAACGCCTACCTGTGCCGCAAAGTCTTCCGTCTATCAAATACAAAAATGTTTGGGTCTGGAAGACTGCAGATTTTTGTCATGCTGTTTTTACATGACACAGAAGGTCTGTCATGGAAGCCCAGCATCACAGATTTCGAGAAGGTTTCGCAATGCCTAATCCGCATGACAAATCTCCCACTTTGGTGACAGGAAGTGGGCATCTTTTACTGCCTATGCATGAGAGATTTCTGTGTGTTGTGGAATGTGCATCACAGGTTCGCGTCGTTCCAGACCCAGACATATTTGCATTTGATGCCGTCGACTCTACGACGATGCCTTGAAGCGGGTCGAGAGGAGGCGCCAAAGGGCGATGAAGCTGCTCGCCGAGAAGGAGGTGAATTTGGCCAAAACCTTATCCGATGTAAAAACGTCCTCACACCAGAGTCAAGATGGGAATTTTGCTAGACAAATCCACCAGCTTTGGTTGCTGCGCCTGACAAGTTTGGCCTCGCAGTATAATCCTGTTTAGAAAGCCCCAGCAGCGTCACAGATCTAGCCTAGCATGCTGATTCAAGCATCACAAATCTCAAAACACGACGAGAGAACGCTCCTCATAGGGCTCCGCATGAGAAACATTTTTACCATGCAGATTTGCATGACAACTATGGGGTGGGGACGTTTTTACATAGGATAAACCTTTGCGGGACAGATCGAGTTCACCGACACCGACTGCGCATTCCTGCGTATCCGCCCGTTGGTGCCGGTGGGCAGCCCGAGGTCGGCCACGGCGCCGGGGGGTCTTGGCGTGCGGAGAGCCCTGGCGTGAGAGGTAGTTGTTTTGTGCTACTTGTTTTTCGCTACTACCGCTGCGATACGTTTGGAGGGGAGAAAGTGAAAGTGTGTGCTTTGAGAAATGTACCTATGCGCACGACGAATGATCTTCGTCGCTTTTGAGTTTGTATGATTATGGTGTACAATAGATTTACGGCCGGCTGCAGTGCATGTACTCGGTGCAGGTGCAGTCGCTCGGATTTTTGGACTTCATTTGGACAACAAACTGTACTTGTGCTTGATGTGGAAAAAGATTTGTAATGGTAATCATGATTATTGATGCCTTGGTAGCAGACAAAATGGACAACATGGAGGTGAGCGAGACGAGTCGCGATCTTTCTCTGCGATCAGCGTTTGCTTATCTCTTCAATCTCTCAGAGATGGAAGCTCTAAAGACTTTGTGCTGCTGTGTTCGCGTTCACATTGTGTGATTCGAGAAGTTTGCAAGCAATAAATCGCAGCTTCGTCCTGCAGCTCCTGTGCCTCTCACTGCAATATCAAAGGATTGACTTTCCTGCAATTTCTACTGGGGCATTTTCAACTTCTATCTATACTCGCTTTCGTGTTTCACAATGTCAGGGTCCCCTCGAGTTGTGCATGATGGTGATCTTTATGTAGACTTGTGATCATACGCATACGCTTAATACGGGGAAACGGATATTAGTACTAGCACGACAACCACCGCCTCGTCTCACGTGTCTCTTTCAAAATAGCATCTTGTCGTTTGAGTTTGTAGACATGTTTGTTCTCAAATAAAAGATGAAAGCCAATGACTCTCCCACTCGGCTGCCCAACTTATTGCCTTTGTCACAGGATGTAATCGTACTTGTTTATTGTCGCCTGGGCCTATTAAAGAAGGAACCTACACACACAGAGATTGACCGGGGACGAGATTTCTAGTCCATATCATCTAGTAGCACCCCGTCGCTGAAGTGCAATTGCAAACGCGCTCCCTTGTTGTTCCGATCGTGCAGCTGCTATGCTCCTCAGAACGGCTACGAAAGCGCTCGTCAAGGTACGGCGGTAAAGATTAATACACATACAGCTTAAACTTTCAGCATCAAGATTCATTTTGATTTCAGGAGAACAGAGTCTGACTTTGTACTTGTAGGGTATTCCTATTTGAAGTTTTATCATGTGGTGAAGATGATGATGAGGTGTTCAACACCACCTACCCTTGTTTTCCACGTTGTGGTTGTCATATCGCCATAATACGACATCTCTCCGGAATAACAAGATCTGCAAGAACTACAAATAAAAAAGCCAACAGCATGACGCTTTGCCCATACTTCTGGGTCCTGGCGCTCGGGTCGCTAGCGCAGCAGATCGGTCGACTGGGGGCAGCGCTGGTGGTCGGAGTCGGCGTTTCCGTTGCCTACTGGTACCGCTACGAGGAGCTGCCACTGGTGCCCTACGCCATGGACCTCATGGGCTCTTCCGCCGTCGGCTCTGCAGAAGTCTCAGCCTCGCTGAAGCCACCGGGGACGGGATGATTACTACCGACAGGCCGGGTTTGCCACGAATGCGAAAGGAGCTGCGCCTCATTCTACCAACATGCACGAGCTCCAGCACGCAGGGGCACGCAGGGCGGCTGTCTACACTGCGGCCGGGGCTAGCTCGCGTTCTGAGGTTTTCGTTGCTCCGCCGTTGACACCAGCACGATGTGTTGTGACTACATCATGAAGACCGTCCGCAAGTTGTCGTGTGCACAGGTGAAGCGCCGGCGGCAAGGTTTTAGTCACGTGAGCGTTCTTCCTGCTCTAACCTGCAAAAAAAACGAACTGTGTCATAGTGCAACTACAGCGAGAACATCTTCCAGGAAGATTTGCCTCGGAGCAAGAACCTTTATTTCTGTGTGTCCTTACGCTTGCGGTTAGGGTTACCGTTTCCGTTACACAGCGTACAACTACGGGTAGCACGACAAAGAACAGAATAAAGACAAACTCAAACAAGAAGCTGCCTCAACATATCATGAATTACTACTACATGAGAAACGCATATTAATATTGGATCTTCATGCTTCATCTGATTGTATGTCGCATGGCATTTGCGAGCACAGCTCCAGGTCCTGGTCAGTTGACGCTGCTCGTCCGCGCAAGCTTAGGTCCGTCTATGATGGGAGGCGTGTTCGAAAAGCAGTGACCGATGAAATTCTCTTCGAGCGATGTCTTTTTCTGTAGGTGCGGTCCGTCTTAGAAAAGGAAGTATATGTTGACAGCATACTCTTTTGTCTTTCTCTTTCCATCAGTTTGAAGGTGCTTCGTCCGTGCACGCCTGTCACTCCTGATTCGTTTCGTCGTTCGTGGTTTTGCAGAACAAGGTGCCACCTGTAATTCCTTTCAACCTGAAAGCAAAAATGACGACAGCAATCACGTGAGTGGGTGGACGAGGACGGCGTGGCTGAGTACTACTCGACGTGCGCATAACCCATCAACAAGCCACTGAATCTGAAGGACGCGGCGCGGCCTCCCTCGAAAAACTGTTCATTGTCGTGGAGCCAGCCTCCAGATGAGCCACTTGGATCGAGACGCTTCCGCCTCCTGATACTTACTACTAGCTGCGTGTCCCGCAACATTAAAAACCAAGCTTCAACAAGCAACGACTACGACTGAATCTTGACTGTCCGTCAACTACGTGCTGCACAACATCAACAAGTAAGATGCGAGGCCTTTGCATCCCCGCGGATCGCGTGTGCTGTGGGTGCCTGTCTATCAACCAAGCAGCGATCTCGGTGTGTTTCTACTACGTTTTCACCGGCATCGTGCAGATTGTGTCCATCTTCGCGATGGCGCCGACCAAGCAGGAAGCGGATAAGGAGCACCATTTGACCAGAACAAGTACAACCACTTCTCGCTGGTGCCTTGTCGCGAAAAAAACTGCTTCATCGTGCATTTGCATGTTTATTTTACCTAGCAGGGGTTGTCCAGCCAATACAGCATGGTGAATATGTTCGGCGTGCGCTGGTTGTACTATCTCTTCGATGCTCCAGTAACAGGAAGAGAAATGCCTTTGTTACTGCACATTCGCAAACTCGAATTTAACGATCTCAGGTGATTTCCTGGCCCAGCTTCATATTTTCTACCAAATCCTCGGATTCGCGGTCGGTACCAGGGGATACAGAGGGGTAGCTTTACGGGAGCCACATAACGTGCGCATTGCGTTTCTCTTCACGTGCAGTTACGCATCTATGGCACTGTGCGGCCTCATGAGGGTATAAAAGCTTAGAATGAGTTAGAATTTGAGTTCCTTATTTCGCACGTCGATTCGGCAGGTCTGTTGACCGCGAAACCATCAATGCCGCACCAACAGTTCCAGCGCATGGTTTGTAGTTCTTCTAAGTTGCATTGGAAAGGCGTGCTGTTGTTTAATCAAATATGCAAAATCAAAATCACGAACAGCTTTCCGTGGTGTGTGACGAATATCCAGAAGTGGAGTGCGCCAAGCTAAAAGCCGTACTCGCCGGGTCAGTGGGATGCGAGTTTTTCTTGTAAGAACATTGATTTTCGAAAGAATTACACTTTCTTGTTCTTGATGGACGTGCACTGGTGTCACCTTCGATGGACTGTTCTCTTTGTAATTTACTTACATGAGATCAGCATTCTGTCACTTTCAGGTTTACCTACTTCGCCTACATTCTGTGGAGTTGTTGCGAAAAGCTGACCGCCGGTGCAGGGGACGTGCTCCCGAGGTTCATGCTGGACGAGAGCCTGATTTCCACCAACCAGCTTCCCGTGCCGCAGCAACGAGGTTCGCAGACACCGCTCACCGCACCAATAGAACCCTTCAGCGGACAGGGACACAGGCTGGAGTGAGACAGAAAAATTTACTACATGATTTACAAAGATTAGACTCATCTTTTTAAATGATTTTCATTTTGTTGAATGCACATGGTCACAGGTTTCCAATAGCAATAGAAATGAACAGCGGAATACAAGGACGGGAAGCAATTTGAAGAACCTTCTGTTGCACCTTTTTGTGTACGATATGACATTAGGAATAGGAAGACATGGGGGAAATTGAAGTAGGAAGCTCTATTTGATGAAGAATGTTTCTCGTTCTCCGATGAAAACTTATCGCGGTAAAACCTGTAGGAGAATGAAGGATGGAGAATTGAAGATGGAGAACGCAGTTATCAAAGCACGAAATAAAATTCCTGTACCTGAAGTCTGGTTGATGCCGGTCAGTGCAAAACTCATCCGCGGAGATTTTGCACGTGCTTGTGCCGCCGATGAGAAATGCTTCTTCCGCGGCGGGGACTGCAGCTTGTGGGAGCAGACGGCTGGTGTTTGTTTAGCGTCAAAAGCCTACGTTTTTTCAAGTACTTGGACTCCTGTTCTTCTTGTAGTGGTATTGCAGGAGCGTTGAGAGGCATGATAGTCATTTGAACAGAGTCGCTGCCGTCCAAGACGTTCAAATTGTATAAAATATGAATCTGCCCCTGAAAGAGACAATTGTAATTGGAAACTAATTGGAGAGAGAAATCCGCAATGGGAGCATTGACGCTTACGCATCCCACAGGCACAGGCTAGCAGAGTAGAAAAACAAGCCACTTCTGCTCATCGACGTTTTTTCACTTGTGCAGCTGCAAGAAGGCGCAAGACCAAAAGTCAAGATGGCCGACGAGCCTGCTTTTGAGGAGGTCTGGCAGGACCGGGAGATCAAATTTGACCAGAACCCGCAGGTGCAGAAGTTGCGGAAGGGCGAGTTCTATCTAGTGAAAAAGTTGGATCGTGCACGTGGTTAGACTAATCGCGACATACTTGCATGAAGTTCATCAAGACAGCTCTGCTGCTTTCTCACGACATGCTGAATCTTTCCTTCTGAAAATGTACATTTGTGATGCGGTTTTTTTGATTCGCTAGTTCTACCAGTGCGAAGATACCAACCTTGTAGAAAAATGCATAGTTTCCAAATCGACAGCATCAATGCGGTGGAAGACACGAAGGGGAACAACGGGGATCGCGGCATGCTGATCGTGACGAATTTGCGCATTCTCTGGACGTATGGATTGCAAAAATGTCTGGGTGGTCTGGAAGGATACAACTTGTGATGCCACTTTTGGAATCTACATAAAATCTGTATTGCACGAACAGCAAAAGAGGTGTAATTTGTGCTACGCGGAGAGGGCGTTTCTCATGCGGTATTAGCATCAGAACGCCCTCGCAAAATCTCTGATGCTAGGGCATGCATCACAGACCTCATGGGTCATGCAAAATCTGCATGACAAACTCCTGCATTCTTCCAGACCCAGACATTTTTGCATTTCATAGGACGTCCGCGAAGTCAGCGCGAACGAATCTGAGCATCGGGTTCTCCTGCGTGACCAACGTGAACATCAAGCTGGTCAACAGCCGCCTGCGTGGCAACACCCAGGCGCTGTTCGTGATGACGCGGTTCAACAATACCCGGTTCGAGTTCATTTTCACTTCCCTGGTCCGCAACTCCCCCCGCTTGTTTACCACCACGCAAGCGGTCTTCAAAGCCTACGAGTCCACCAAGCTGTATCGGGACCTGAAGCTCCGCGGAGCGATCATCAGCAACAAGGAGTTGTGCCTGCTCCCCAACGAGCAGGTTTACGAGAAGGTGCAGGGAATCTGGAACCTTTCCTCCGACCAGGGGAACCTGGGGACCTTCACCATCACCAACGTGCGCGTGGTCTGGTTCGCGAGTCTGGCCGAAAACTTCAACGTGTCGATTCCCTACATGCAGATCAAGTCCATCAACGTGCGCAACAGCAAGTTCGGACAAGCGCTGTATGGATTGTAAAAATGTCTGGGTCTGGAAGAATGCATGTTTGTCATGCTTGTCTGGCATGAATCTTAAATCTGTCATGCACTTTACCCAAGAGCTCCATTCTTCTGTCATGCAGAAACGCAGTTTGTCATGCAGAATAGGCAACACCTACCTAGAAGCCCAGAAACTTGCCATGCAGAGGCAGCACTTGTGGCTTCCTCATGATATGCCACCCAGCATCACAAGTTTCCAGACCCAGACATATTTGCAATGCATACGCTGGTGTTGGAAACGACCCCCGGGTCCGGTTCCTACATACTCGGATTCCGAGCGGTATGGAAGCGTCAGGTTTGAAATCGTCAAAGTTGAAATAATTTGTAATGCATAAAATGCGACACAAAAAGCGACTCTGTTGCAGAGGACCCACGGGAGGCAGATTATAGTCCTGGTAAGGGTCAAAAGTTGGACTGCTAACTAGCATGACAGAAGGCAGCTCTTTTGCCCTAAACCGCATGACAGACTCGCTTCCAGGACCGGGAAAATTTGTCATGCACCGACTACAAACTGTAGGTCTAACTGGTATCCGTTTTATGCATGACAAACTATTTCAACTTTGACGATTTCAAACCTGACACATCCATAAGCGGACCCAGTCTCGCACCTGGAGGAAATCCGGAAGCAGATCGCAAAATTGTGGAAAATTTTCAGATATGCACCGCAAAAGATAGGGAAAGACAGTATAGCTCTACAGCTTTCTGAGCATTCTACTTGGTTGCCACGGGGATAAAGAAGATCTGGTGGAGTAAGGGTCAAGATATGCAATTCGGCCTGGTGAAAAATACAAATTGATATTGAAGAGTAAGGAGTGTGATGCACTTCGCTTCCACTCGCTGCTCCAATTGTGCCCTAGTACCGCTGTCGTGCAGGATTTTGGATACATGACGTTTTACTTCTTTTGCTTATGCTTTTGCCGTGGATATCACCCAGAATCCGGTTTTTGGGGTTGATTTCACGATCAGTAAGCCCGAGGATGACGAAGAAAACGAGGACGGCGGTCCTGCCGCCGCGAACAAACCGCCGGTGCCCGTGCCGCAGAAGGAGGACGACATTGAGCTGTTAGACAACGACGACGTCGTGGAGCCGTCGATGCTGTACCATGCGGACGGCGAGAAGGATTTTATCACCCAGGAGCCCGTGTTCAACGCGGAGATTGGGCTGGCGATGGAACGACTAAAGGAGGGAGTCACGCTGGAAAAGCTCTGGAGTGTGGTGTAGGGAACACGAACCTTGGAATAAAATACATAGTAGCACATCGACAATGCGTAGTACGTGTATTCTTTGCAGGCTATCATCTGGAGGTAGTTCATCTCCTGTACAGAAGATGAGCGCCAGGTGGAGTCACAAGTGCTGGGCGAGCAACCCCATTAAGACTCAATCGCTCCTCGTACTACGTAGTTTTTTTTTCAATAAAGTAGAAGTTGATCAGCTTGAGGAAGATAGAACTAGAATTCCACCTTCGGGACCTACGTACTTTAGCCGGCTCAACGTTCCCGTCTAAATGCATAGGAGGTTTGGCGCTGTTTGACTGCGGCGCATCATCGAAAATAGGGCGGGTTTTATTGCGGAGGGGTAAAAATCAAAACACTAGCATGTACGTTCTCTACTACTACTGGTCCTCCGGCGCAGCACTATTGAGCAACGAAAGCCACGCTATTGAGTTTGAGCTGTGCGAGGAGTGTGCTGAGAGCAGCGAGTAGGTACCACTGCGATACTTGGAATTATTGTAAGTATCTCGGAAACGGAAAGAGAACGGTAATACTTAAAGAGTGGAAAAAAATTTCACAAGAACGAAACCAATTTGAAGAGCAACCGGAGATTTTTCGGAAACATGGAGGGCTATACAGCTGGGACGGATCCGAACCCGCCTGGTCGCGGCGGGACAACTTCTGCGACCTCTGCCGCCCGCGGCAGCGGCTTGGCGGACAAGAAGAAGGCTCTGGGGAAAGTCGGGCAGAGCGCTCTCAAAGTTGGAGCTGCGTTGGGGAAGGAGGCCATGAAAGTTGCGGCCCAACAAATGAAGACCACGACTACAAATGACAAGAAGGCGATGAATGGTCCGCCTGGTAGTAGACACGCGGACGGTTCCGACAACACAGAACAACAAACCGCAAACAAGGAGGGAGCGACAGATGATTCTTCCCGCGAGCCGAATCCGAATTCTGCTGCTGCTCCGGCAGCACCTACTTCCGCTGTTGTGGTGCCCCAGCCAGGTTTTGCTTCAGGAAATTTACCACGAGCAGGTGAAACTGACCCGGCGCAGCTGGTGCAACAGCAAGATGTTATAGGACCAGTAGCTCTCACGCCGACCCCCCCGGCGGCGCAAGTAGAACGACCCTGCGAAGATCACCAAGTCTCTGTTCCTGCTGCTGTGTCAAAAACTACAGGTGAAGTAGACACGATGATGAACAACTCCTCCTCTAAAGCCGCACCAAACGCAAACACGATGATGTCCTCATCCCTGCCGGCTCCCACCGCGAAAAACCTGGGGAAGGCCGTCGGCCTCGTCGCCGGTGGCGCGTACGGTGCGCAGCAAGTGGTCAGCAGCGCGGCCGCCACCGCAAAGGACGTCGCGCTGGTTGCAGGCGTGGAGGTGGGGAAGAAGGCATACAGCAATCTGAACGAGAAAAACCAGCAGCGGGTGGACACTATGCATTGCAAAAGTATCGTTGTAGTAGAAATCGCACCAGAATTTTACCAGAAACAAAAATGCAGTTTGTCATGCTGGACAAGGTAGAAAGTTAGACTTGCCATGCATGCCAGGCGATGGGTTACCCGGTCGGCAGAGCCGATCCACACGAACGAACGATGCCAGCCATTATTACGAGTGCGATACAACTTTTGCATAGGATAGACACCGCGGCCGCGAAGGGGAAGTCGCTCGGCCAGTCCGCGGCGTCTGCCGCGTTGGATGCGGGCCTGGGCGCGTACAGCGGTTTCAAGATGTCCAAGGAACAGGTGTCGCTGCTGCAGTCCATGTCGGCGGACCAGCTGTACAGTTTCCTTCCCGCGGGCGAACGCGACCTGCTGCTGCACGCGAAGAAAACCTTGAAGGACAAAAAGGCGGGAATCGTGGAAGATCTGAAAGTTTCCTGTGCAAAAGTATCGTACTCGTATAAATGCAAGTCTGCATTAGAGTGAGGTAACAAACTAAATCTGGAACTTCGCGGTTGAGTTCTTATCCGGCCGCCGGCCGGATGAGAACTCAACCACATCACCGGCGGAATCCGGCTGGCCGGCCCGGTCCTCTTCCCCCGTCCCCAACCGGTCGATCCACTGGCCGCGTTGTTAGTTTCACTAGGCCAAAAGCCCCAGCTTTGTAATGCAGAGGCAGCGCCCTGCAAAGGCAGCGGAAAGCGCCGAAACCCCAAAAGCAGGCGCGTGCGCTTTCTGTTCTTTGTCTGTGCGGCTATTTTCTTTTTCGCTTCTATTACTATTTCGCGCGGTTTGTGCTTTCTATTTTTCCTACTTATTTCTATTCGTGCTTCTGAGTTTGCACTTCCAGAAGTTAGACTCCATGCAAGCGGAGCGACTGCGCTTTACTTCAGCGGTACTGCTACTAGTTAATAGCAGGCATCAGCTTCCTGCTACTTCGTTTTTTGTTCTGGCTCTCGCAGCTTCGGGGCGCAGTCACAGCCCCCTGCGTTTTTAGCCAGTGCACCACGATAGTGGCACTCGCGCGCCCTAGGTTATTGGCGTAGACTGCCCGCTTCTGTCTCTGTCCAAATGCGGGGCCCTGTGGCAACAAGCAGGGGAGACAGACAACAGCACGCTGCTGCCGTCGGGGGTGGTCGAGTCTCAGCGGGCTCTAGCGATGAATCCTTGGCAGCGAGCGGACATAAAAGCGCTGAAAGCGGGGAAACGCGGAAAGCGGGGAACCATGCCTCCGCTTTCGGCGGTTGCCCGCTCGGGTTCCCCGCTTTCACCGGTTGTCCGCTCGCTGCCAGCGGTTTTCCGCCTTCGGCGGTTGGCCGCTTTCAGCGGCCGCCCGCTTTCAGTTATTGCCCGCTGTCAGCGGTGGCCCGCTTTCAGCGGCTGCGCGGTTTCAGCGGCCGCCCGCTGCCACCGGTCCGTCGGCGGTTTTCAGCGGTTCTCCGCTTCCAGCGGTTCCTTCGCTTTCAGCGGTTCCCCGCTTCCAGCGGCTCCCCACTTCCGGCGGCTTCCCGCTTTAAGCGGTTTTCCGCTCGCTGCCAGCGGTCTATCGGTGGAGCCAGCTGAGCATCGACCAACCCCGACGGAAGTAGGGGCCACAAACCTAGAAGCGTAAATAAAAAATAGAATTGCGAGTGCACTTCTTCAGGTGAGCGGGAAAAATCCTCCCAAATAAAAAATAGAAAACGCAAACTGCGTGCAATAGGAGCGGAAATGGCAGCACAGATCAAAGCTAATAGATGAAAGCGCAGGCATCTGCTTTGTGGGTTTCGGCACTTTCCGCTGTCCTTGCATGACAAGGGTGGGGCTTTTTGCATAGCGAAGCAACGCGGCTCGGGGACGGGTGAGGGGGAAGAGTGGGTCCACCGGTGGAGGAGGGCGGAAGAGGATCGGGCAGGCGCAGGCCGCCCGGCCGGATACGGCCGGCGATGTGGTTGAGTTCTCATCCGGCCACCGGCCGGATGAGAACTCAACCGCGAAGTTCCAGATTTAGTTTGTTACCTCACTCTTACAAATTCTTTTTTTTAGGTAAATCCGCATTACAAATTTTATTTCTCATGCTGAGGGAATTTGTCATGCATTTATACGAGTGCGATACTTTTGCAGTTCATAGAAAGCGACCGCGTTGGATATGAGTGACAACGTGTTGGAGAAACTGCTGAACAAAATCCGGGACCGCTTTGCCAACACGCTGGTCGACGACCCCGCCATGTGCGAATGCGTGAAGAGGAAGCTCGTGTACGGGTTCTACGGGCTCTATGGATGTGTCAGAGTTGAAATCGACAAAGTTGAAATAATTTGTCATGCATAAGATGGATGCCAGTTGGAACCCATTTTCCAAGTGGCGCATGACAAATTTCGGCGGTCTGTAAATCCAGTTTGTCATGCTGTTTAGGCAAAGAAGAGTGATTTTCTCATGCTACTTTAGCAGCTCGAGCTGTAACCCCAAACAGGCTTACAATCGGCCTCACTTGCCTGCTCTGCAACACACGTACCTCGGGGCATGCATTTTATGCATTGCAAATTATTTCAACTTTGACGATTTCAAACCTGACACTTCCATAGGCTTTGGGAGGACGTGAAAGAGGAGGCAAAACTCGCCATCAAAACGAGCGTGTTGAAAACGGAAAAGTCCAACATCGGAGACGACGTGGACCTCGTCTGCTGCAGCTGTACCGACTTCTGGGCTCGTTCGAGGCCGTTCTCCTGGTTCCGCGCCTTCGTTTTGTTCCACTACCTGCCGTACGACAAGAGCATGTTCGGGAAATTCCGGGACCCGGTCTTCGTGCTTTTCTTCCTCCTCACGCTGCTGCCGGTCTTCGCCGTCCGGGGGTTCTTCTTCGCGGTGGTTTTATTTTTTGTTTGCTGCGGGACCCCGAGAGGTCAAAGGCGGCCGGACGAGTACATTCTGGTGCAGTACATTTTGGGTTTCAAGGGAATGCAGTTCGTCACGGGGGGCGTGCTCATGGCGCTCTACGGCTCCATGGAGTACTACTCGTGCGTGCAAACCAGAAACTGCGAAGCCAGCGGCCCGGGGAAGAACATTACGGACGGCCTGGCCCTGTCGCTGCTCGAGTTTTTCTTCAACATTTTCCTGACCTGGACGGCCTTTTTGTCTCTGCCCTTCTCCGAGAAGCATGGCGGGTCGAGTTTCCAGTCGCAGCGGGCCAACGCTGCTGCGGACCGGAGGGACGCGGAGGCGGAAGAGGTCGTGCAGTGCTGTTTTAACTTGGAGAGTTTTCTTCCCTGTTGTCGCATCACGTACAATACAAAGCGGGGCGGCCGCATTCTTCCGCTGCTGGTGTACGACATGTACTGTTTTCTATTCGGATATGGGATTCTCAAACGAGACATTGTTCTCAACTGTTACATGATTTGTCATGCGAAATCAACGGTCGTGCTTCACATGATGACGATCAAGCTTCTTCGCGTAACAAAAAGTCTTTGACGCGCTAAGTACTTAGCATTAGCATTTAGAATCCGTCGTGCCAAATCTGTAACGCAAGACGCTTAAGGTCCCCCCTCCCCACCCCTCTCACGACTTTTGCTCATAAAAATTCTTGCATCTTCACAAGTTCATGTATACAGTGTGAAAGTGTAACGTTTGCGAACGCCATATCGGAGTCCTTTTCGTCGTTCTCTTGGCCGCAAACCGGGGCGGCGACACCTCGCTGTTTGACACCTCGGAGCTGGGCGCTGAGGTGTTCTGGGGAAAAGTGGTCTACTCGTTGCTGTCTTTTCCGTTTATCGCGTTCACGCTGCCGGGCTTGAGTCGCTTGTTGACGCACTCGATTCCCACGGGCTACACGAAGTCCGGCTACGTAAAGCCGTTTGACCTTACGGCACAAGTGGTTGTTGGTGCAGATGCGAATACTTCTTCTACGAACGGCAAGGAAGGGCAGTTCTTTGCGAAGAACAACAACATCAAGGGGTTAGATGATGGCACGCCGATAGAGGATGTCGTGGATGTCGTGTGATACAACAGAGAAGACGACAGACAAGAACAACCTATGATTATTACCCCCGCAGTCCCACGCAGGTTGCATTGGGGGATTCCCCCACCGGTATCTACTCCGCGGAGAGCATAGAAACTGACAGCAAAGTATGAGTATCCACTAGCTACTTGAAAAAACTGAAATAGTAGTCCTAGTCGACAAGGAATAAAATAAAGAAGCAGAAAGTGAGATCTCCAGAAGAGAAATAATGGGTAACTTGAAACTGAGATCGTCCACGTTTTGACATGCTAGGTGGACCTGTACAGCGAGATGATAATGAGCGAGGGATCATTTCTTTCTGATGTTGAACACAGACTCTAAAACACGAACACCAAGAGCGAGATCAAGGAAGAAATCTTATCGCGCATCCGGATCATGAAGCAGAAGACAACCGAGACCATTCTTACCTGAGAAAAATGTGGAGAAGCCCATTTTTTTACCTGATGCGTGAGGCATGAAAGCGAGCTGGGAAGCCTAAAAATTGGCATTGCTCTCCGCGAAGACGATCATGATTAGGATGTGCCATCTTGCGAATTGCGAACGAGCTCTAGTACTACTGGTATAATTTAGGAGAAGATCTCGTAGTAGAGATGTTCTTGACCACTTGGCATCAAACACAAAGAAAAGGATCAGGATGTTTATACGATCATGCGAGCAACAAGTTCATCATCATCTCACAGCTTCAGGGCTTGATGGAGTGCCAATTCGTGCTGGACCTTAGGATATGTGGAAGTCGCTAGTACGAGCAGCGACTTCTAAAAGAACTAGATCGAAGCTATTTTTCGGTTCGTTCGCCACGGGTAGCTTGCTAGCCTTTATTACGTTTTTATTTGCCCGAGAAGTTTAAACAGCCTTGAGCTCGATGTAATAATGTCTACTTCATCATTAACACCGAAAAAGAAAAGTTGGGCGACCGGAACAAGAGGAGCTTCAGCATTGCGAGCACTCGGTCATCTGCGTCGTGCCTTCGTCCTGAGCGACCTGGAATAAAGACCTGATATTGAGCAGTATCCTCGTCATGTGAAGAGGTCCACGTGGTTGATTTACCAGGAACGTGGCCGCTACAAGACTTCCGAAAAATGTCGGCACCCAGCCCCGCTAAAAATGTGTACAACGATCAGCCGGACAGGGACAACTCAGCTTGGGCCGACCTGGCTATGCTGGGAGGCGGGGGCACTAGTAGTAGATCTGGCGAAAATGCTAAGTCCCAGCCTCCATCTGGAAAGAAGGGTGGCGGCCGAGGGGGCAAGGGAATATTTGGAAAGAAGAACAAGGGCGGAAAGAACGGCAACGGTGGCGGGAAGCAGGCGAGGACAGCAAAAGGCGATAGTGCAAGACCAAGTAGTGGCACCGTCAACCACCCACAGAACGCGCACGCGCACCACCAGCTCGAGCAGGGGACGTCGACGTCGAGGACGAGCAACAAGGGAAACAAAAAAGGCCAGATTGGGGCGAAAAAGGTGGCTGAGAAAAATAAGTCAAAACCACCATCATCACCAACAGGCGAAGATCCGTTTCCTGACGGTCGCGCGCCAAGCCGAAACGCCAAACGGAAAAATGGAGAACAAGGTGTACCAGCTGCATCTGCATCGACAGGAGTATTAAAGCAAAACCACAAGAGCTACTCCACCTACATCAAGGCACCAGCAGCCTCCGCCGAGGATCCTCTTCCCGGAGAAGAGGAGGATCATGTGGCCAGCCACTACGACCGCGCGGCGGCAAGGTACGGCAAGCAGCGAAAAAACATGCGGGAGCCGGAGACGGGGCACTTCCGCATGAACAACTGGACAAAGACCTGCTTGTGCTTGTTCGCCATGGAGTTCGCCTTGCTAGAAGAAGAAGAAGACGTGGTGGACGACGAGGAGGACGCTCAGGATATAATCCAACGTCTTGCTGGCACTGAAAACAAGAACTTGTCTCCTCCCGACAGCAAGCGACGCAAGAAAGAAAGCTTCTTGGCGGACGGACAGCAGGGGCATAAACATCATTATGATGACTGTTATAACCAGCAGCCAGTGCCAGACCACACGACTCAACAGCGCACAGCGAGAACAAGAACGATCCGCATCCTCGACCTTGCCTGCGGGCGCGGCGGAGATCTGTTCAAGTGGCACAACACCGCAAAGTACTTCCTTGGTGCTTTAGGATGGAATGCAAAATGCATCCAGTTCGAGTACGTGGGCGTCGACCTATCTGCGCATTCTATCGCTCTTGGGCGACAGAAGTGGGCAGAGCAGGCGAAACCGCTGGAGAATTTCTCCGTCGAGTTTCACCAATTTGACTTCACAAAACAATCCGCCGCGGATCTGCTTGCGCAGTGTACTTCTAGAAGTAACTATGGAAGCAGTTCGAGTACCACGATCTGTGGCCAAACGCAGCCAAATTCTACTAGATCTTCTGCTTCAATCCACAATCGGACGTCGGCCAGCACCAGCCGCTCCGACTCCCGCTTATTTGACATTATCTCCTGTCAGTTTGCGCTGCACTACGCGTTTGAGTCGGAGGCCACCATTGCAAACTTCGGCAGACTGGTTCAGGAGTGCTCGAAGAAAACTTCCGTCTTCGTTGGGACAACCATTGACGAGCGGTGGTTGGTTGAGGAAGCCCGGAAAAAATTCGGCGAATACTCACTGGCCGAGCTGGAGGCACAGTGCAAAGGTACAACTACTTCCGGATCTTTTCCTTCCGAGGAGAAGGTCGCTCCACCAGCACACGCACACGAGCAAAGCAACGTGCAGGAAATATCAACTGCGCACCGAGATGAAGAAGTAGAAGACGGTCATGTTGTACGTGTCCTTGACGAAGCAGCACAGGAAGCACCCATGCTCGGCATTGATGGAAGTGAGGAGGATCCGTTGGACTTTCTAGCGGATCACGTTAATATTGGCGAGACTTACCCGACGAGCACAAGGCCAAACTTTCCCGGAGCGTCCTCCGCATCCCCTCCCAACCCCCAGAATCCCACCACGACATCGTCCACCGGAGCCCCCTTGGTCCTGTTCGAAAACAAGATCGCCCGGCTAGAGGTGCCTGCTGAGCCGAAGCTGCTGCGGAAATGGTGGGAGTACACGACCAGTGCGGATGCAGAACACAAGGTACCGGCCGGCTTGGGTTACGACTTTTTCCTCGAGGGTGCGATCGACAACTGCCTGGAATACCTCGTCGACTTTCGCCTGCTGGAAAAGCACCTCCTGAGCAGCAGCACCCGCGGAAAGATGATAATCGAAACTGCAGATACAGAGAATCTGTACGGCTCGGAATCTTTGAGCGAGATGAGCTACAGGACAAGTGGTGGATCGAAGAGGACAGCAGCATATCCTGGTGCACAACTTCATCCCTTCCGCAATACAATGCAGCCCTGTAGGAGCTCCTCTTTGTTCTTCGCACCGGAGCCGCCATTTTTCACGAGGGTCAACCTCTGGGATTTGAAAGACCAAATCCTGTCTGGTGGTCGTGGTACAAGAACGCGCGGACGAGGACCGACGGCAGCAGCTCCCTTCTGCAAGTTCGACAGTCGGGGCGATATCCGGTTTCCCTGCTTGCAGTACTTGAAGCACGCGTGTGACATGAAAACCTGGTGGCAAAGCAGGAGGCGGGAAAGAACGACGGCAACTTTTTTAACATCGTCGCAAGATAAAGTAGAAACGAACGAAGCCGAATTACAACCTCCAAGAACTACGCGCCGCCAGCCTCTGTTTAAGCACCGCACGAGACACGCGGCCACGCAGTTTTTCCACCTAGTCGATGCGGAAACAGATGAGCCTGTGTTTGATGACTTTCCAAAGGAGTGCGAGGAAGTGTCTAGGATGTACTGCGCCGTCATACGAGTGCAAACGGGATAAAACAAAGCAAGCTCTGGGAAGAGCAATAAAAGATGAACAGCAGCACATCTATATCACATATAGGAGCTGCAATTCAATCTTTAGTGCTAAATGCGACCGAGTATTGTATAGTGGTAGAGATAGTTGTCATAGTGAAGTTAGTCTGAGTAGGTACTCGTACAGCGAGACGACCAACCATATGGCCGCCATAGGATATCGATAAGAAACACACACAAGATCAGCCTATTACTGCCCTTACCGCGACAAGTAGAAATAAGAAGATATAAGGGGTGGCCTCCTCGTGGTGCCTAGGCCTACCGACCCCAAGGACCCCGCACCATTTTGAATCATGCGACGACACAGTAAAAGTATCAGCATCATGGTGGACAGAAAACAAGAAAATAAGCGACCACGAAGTCAAATATGTAATGTAGAAATGCGGCGTCCTCTTTCCGCCTGCACTCGCCGCAGCCAAATGAAGCAGACAGCCATACGTTGTACAACCAGTAAATTGATGTGGAACTCTGATGTTCTTTCTCGTCGCGCGTTTCTTCATGCATCGTGTCATGGGACTTCGATTTGTTCTTCTTCTTTGTCTCTGGTGTCGGAAAATAACGAAAGGCAATCTTGATCGTACTTACTTGTACACTTCATTTTTCCATCGTCACCGGACGGTGCGACAAGGTAATCAAGTTAATAAGTTCATCAAGATCGTGCGCTTCTGACAAGAAACAAAGAAGCGCAGAAGCAAGACACGAAGATCGTCACGGGAAGACAGATGAGTGAACGACCCGTGTGAAGATGATGATGATGAAGGTGAGCGTCAACTTGACCACGAAGATGGATCCGTTAGTTCTTGTCCTGCGCTCGTTGCTTTTGCGACGTGCTGCTCTAGTGCTATTTGTGGTGTCGTAATTCGATTTACGTTTCCCAACTCACAGCCACTTCATCCACAGCGACGCCGTAAGTATTTGTTTGAATATTTTTATTCCATTGATCTTGATGTCGTGAATCTCTGTGTTGCGATTCGGTTTTCATAGTTTGGATTTACGAAATAAAGTTTTATTTTGAGTAAACCGATTCATTGAGAAGTGGTAGCTGTTCCGCTGGTGGTTGCGATCGACACCGAGCAGCACTTCGGCGCCCAGTACTTCAATGACACATTGCACTTAAGCGTAAGCTGCAAACCCTAGCACAGAAACTATGTCCGAGGGCGTGGGGTTTTCCTCCTGCCTGTATTGCGGGTCCGACAACATCCGCGTCGACTACACCGAGGGGCTGGTGGTCTGCCGGTCCTGCGGTCTCGTTCTTCAGAACAAGATCGTCACCGACGCAGCGGAGTGGCGGTCGTTCAAGGACGAGCCGGAAAAGAACCAGCGCGCGGCCAAGGTGAAAATGAATCCCTACCTGTCGCACGGGTCCCAGATCCAGACGCAGATGATGGGTAGCATGGGGTCCGCCGTGGGCAAGGCACTGTACGCCGCGAGCCAAAACGCGTCCACCCTGATGGACCAGCAGGACCAGGCGCTCGGCAAGATTTTTAAGCACTTGCGGAAGTTCCTCGTGAACACGCTGAAACGGGACGAAAGGAGCCTGGACGAGTGCATGCGCATTGTCCACAGTCTCTACACCGGGGCCGAGGAGGGCGTGAGCGGCAACAACTTGGGTGCAGGGGTCGGGATCAGTACTACTTCTGGAGCGGGTGGAGGCTCGAGCTCCAGCACGTCGATGTTCTTGAATCAGCCAGGAAACCAGCCGCCAAAAACGATTTTCCGCACGCGAGGCTTCACGGATGCGGATCTGATTTTCATCCTGTGTGCCGCACAAGCGCGGTTGCAGGAGCCGGTGGGAATCAAGCAGATCGTCAATTTTCTGCACGAGCGAAATTTGACCTTCGGTGTCGAGCAGAAGGACATTGAGGCCGCGCACAAGAAGTTCGAGAAGGCGGCGCCGGAGTTGCTACGGGAAATCGCGGCGGGAACAAGTGCAGCTGGAAGTCAACTTCTGATCGGAAATATGAAAACCAACGAAGACCCGCGGGAGTTGATTGCCAAATATGTCCGCGCAACCACTGGCGGAGCGAGCAGTACGTCCCTGCAGGACGAGGCGGAGTTGGCTTTTCGGGCGCTGCAAAGCTTTTTGCAGAATCAAAAGCAACGGAGCCACGGGAAGCAAACAGTCACTGACCACTTACACCAGTACCGCTTCTCCGTCCCCGCTTTAGCCGCAGTCGCCCAGAACGATGCTGCCGGCTGTGCGGCGAGCGTATTCCTGGTCGCGGTGTTAGCGAGGGTGGTGCAATTGAAAACGAAAACATCAGGAGCCGTTTCTTCGTCTGCTGCTCAACATCTTCTTTATCAGCAGGACAGTACTGGAGGCATTTTTCCCAACAGTAAGAGACGCAAACTCGACGAGCCGGGCGCGTTTGAACAACTGCAACATTTGTTCCCAGATATTGACATGGAGCAGCAACCCGCGATACACACCGCGTTGCGGATCTATTTGACGCCCTGCGAGGAGAATTTGCAACAGTTTAAGCCGAAGGGGCGGCCCCTACTGTGCCACGCCCTGAGCACGGGGTTTCAGCAGCAGAGCGTGCAGAACTTTGCGGCGGAAGAGGGGGATAACTTGCGGAAAATCTTGAAACGTTTGTTTCCCGTGGAGGAGTGGAGGATCGGGCTCAGGGACGATCAACAACCAGGAGGAGAAATTTCCGCGCCCAGAAGGGAGACCACAACAGGCGGAACTGGAAGAGGACCGGGCGGGCCGCAGCCTATGCAGGTTGGATGAAGCTGGTACAACTCACGAAATAAAGTTTCAAAAGCAAATATAACTGTGCCGAATCGTCAAAGCATAAGAGCACGATTTACGTCGCACAGTGACTTTCCCCGTAAGTAGTTTCGCACTCCTATCAATCACATACATATCCTTGTTTGTGATTGTGCTGCTTTTTGATGGTTGCCAGCAGATATAAACCACAATCTGGCGTCCTCCATTGTGTCTGTGTGTCGCTGCTGTTGCAATCATCTATGTGTCCTCGCGTGTGTTCATCAGTGGTGTCTTTATTCAAAGCAAGTGGTTTTTAGTGTAGAGTAGTTCTACTTTTGATCTACAACCTCGACACAGTTCTCAGACGCAGAGCAAAGCAAGGGCGACCTCAGCAAAAACAGTGATACAGGATTTTTGAAGATCTTCCCGGTCCTCGCTGCACAGCCCAACATCGTGATATACTACAACTAGGAAACTACATCAGCAAATGGTGATCAAACCAAAAAAAAAATGCTTCATTCGTGCCGTTTTGGTGCAGGTATTCTTTATTCGCCGATAGTACTACTACTAGCAGCTTCGAGCTCGAGGACGTGGTTTTGTGGTCCTGGTCGCTGGATGTTGAACAAAACCGACAATTGTGATTTCCCTTTTTTAACTTGAACCTTTCTCAGACTCACTCCACTTGTCGATTATCGTGGTCCCCGATTGATACGGAAGATCCGATAGTACTTTCTAATTATGTGGTGATTCTGATTCATCTTGAACTTGAAGTACATGTACTACACCGACAACCCCGTCGTGGTCTTTATGTTGAATTATACAAATGTAATGCCACTCCGTTGCCTTAGCCTTTCCCCGTTCAAAACTTACTTTTCCCCGATACTATGTAGAAGTAGAACTATGGGCACAAGAACTACCCGCAGCCCAATGAATAGTGAATCGCAGCACCGCTGCTCATGTAATTCAGATTCAGTGTTGTATTAAAGTAAAAAGTCGAAGATAGAATGAACGCCGACCTGGAGCTCTGCCAGGAGCTGCAGGGCCACGAGAAGGCCGTGCGGTGTATCTGTGTGCTGAAGAACGGTTTCATTGCGACTGGCGGCGTCGACGCGCTGGTGTGCTTGTTCAAGCCTGTGCTAGGGGAAGATGGAAAAAGTGTCAAGCACTTCGACCTGGACAAGAGGTAGGAGAATCGAATTTATTGATGACAAAAACCGCGCATTCTTGTTGACACCGAGAAAATTTCTTTTATCATACTAAAATCCAACGAGCTGAATGGTTGCCGGCTTCACTTCTGGCAGCAGCATGCTACTGGCAGGTAAGTACTTACTAGTACTAGAAGGTTCAAAAATATGTACTACTCAGGCTCCACCACCATTCCGACTTCGTGTACGCCATATGCGACTCGGCCGACATTAAGGACAAGTATTTCTACACGGGCGGCAAGGAAAAAACCATCTTCAAGATCGACCTCGACTCTGGTATAACGCGCTCAGCTGTTACAATCTCAAACGTTACAATAGAATATGGCAATCTGTCATGCAAGAGTGCATGACCTAGCCTACTCCCACAGGATTGCGCATGACAAGTTCTGGCGGCCCAATCCGCACTATAATCTGGCGAAATTTGTATTGCAAAAGGTGGAACGCTGTGCGAGTCTGTCATGCTCATCATGCGACACAAATTCCAGATTCTATTGTAACGTTTGAGATTGTAACACCTGAGCAGGTTATATCTGGCACCCGCATGCTGACGTTCCAGGGCCACGAAGGCGCTATCAAAAAGAAAAATACCCCCTCCCCATATCAAAACGAAATTTCTGATGCTGGATTTGAGTACACAAATCAGCTTTGTATTGCAGGAAAGCACTGCGGTCAGATCCCCAGGCTAGGTAGGGGCGCATGCGTCTAGTTGTTCAGCATGGCAAGCGGCTCGCCTTTAGGCCCAACAGCATGACAAATCGCTTCCATAATGGGGCGGAAGCTTCTGCCCTTGTCTTCTTGCAAAACAACTGTGATTTGCGACCTCAAATCAGCAACAGGGCTACGTGCGACCCCTCCGACGCTGCGTGTGGAAGGAGGAAGTTCGGCGTGTTGGGGGTGAGGGACCCCCAACGAGGCCTACGGATATCAGGTGGAATTAAGGCTCAAATCAGCAACACAAATTTTCGGAAACATGCCTTTTCAATATGGGGAGGGGGGATTTTTCCTCTCAATAGGCGCGGTGTGCAGTTTAGTCGAGCAGCAAGCGCACCTGTATTCCGGCTCCTGGGACGGGACGTGTCGCGTGTGGGACATTTTGACGGGCGGCATGGTCCGGAAAATCGACGCCGGGACACACGCAGTTACGCTCTGCTTGCTACCTACCGGGGAGATCGCGACAGGTGATGTGGTTCTTAGTTGTCTACTACCTGAAACTACATCTTTGAACGAGCAGGGTCTTTGACGCTTAAACTCTGAATTGAAAATTGGGTGGTCCCGCCCAAAAAAGTTGCGCACCACTACGCGATTTACACGCCTTGTTACCACATAATACAGCTTCAGTACGTGATCTTTTTAGTATGATCGTTGTTGATCATCAAAGTGAATTTACTACATATATATTCAGGTTCCCAGGACGCGAAGATAAAGATATTCCAAAATGGCGCGGACCAGCCCAAGACCACGCTGGAGGGGCACACGGACATCGTGCGCAGAATATTGTTCAACACCGACTCCACCTCCCTGGTCTCCTGCAGCAACGATTCCCAGATAAAGTTTTGGACGTTGGATGGGCTGGAGATGGCCCAGTTGAGCGGGCACGAGAGCTTCATTTTCGACCTCGCGCTTTCGGAAAATACCGCGACAACGGAGCGGAACAAGTTACTCTACAGCGGCAGTGACGACAGGCTGCTAAAGGTGTGGAATTTGGACAACTCTCAGTGCCTGCAGTCCATCCTGCACTCCAACACGATCTGGGGCGTGTCCACGCTCCCGAACGGCGATGTGGTCACCGCCTGCGCGGACGGCATCGTCCGGATATGGACCACGGACCCGGTGCGATTCGCATCGGACGACTTGAGGTCGAGGCAAAATAGCGACGCGGTGTCGGCCGCCGCGGAAGCAAGTAAGCAGGGCGCCGGGGTACCGCTGGACGGGGTGCAGGATGTGTCGGAAATGGGCAGTGTGAGAGGGAAGAAAAACGTACTAACTTTTTTGGCATGATTGGTAGATTCCAAATGAAGGAAAATGTAAATGCCGACGATAAGAACTCCAGTATACAGAAGCGGCGATACTTTTTTCAAAACCACTACAAGTACTTACTACTTACTACATCAGGGCGAGATCAAGATGTTTAAGACCGGGCGGACCATCCACGCGTACAGCTGGAACGGTGTTCAGTGGGACTTAATCGGCGAGGTCACCGGAAAGCCCAAAACGGAGTACGAAGGCGACCAATTCTTCCCCAAGCAAGGCTACGACTACGTCTTTGACGTTGAGGTGGGCGAGGGCGGGAAAACTGCCAAACTTCCCTACAATGAGGGTGATAACCAGTTAGTCACCGCCGAGAAGTTTTGCGCCAGGGAGAACATTCACAAGTCCATGATAGAACAGATCACCGCCTTCTTGCGTCAACAAACCGGCACAAACAGTTCCGCCCCAACCCTTGGAGGCGCTGCGGGTGCGAGCGCGGCCGGAGGCTCAAATAGTAGGAGTCAACCAAGCAGTAGACCCGCAGCACCTACGTCGGCACCGACCCCGTCGGCAAGTAGTTCGGGAAAGCCGAAAATGAAGCACTTTCCCGTGGACCAGCCGCTTTTCTTTGACCAGGGGAAGTACTACTGAATTGTTCTACTAGCTAGGCTGATGCATCCTATTTCAACTTTGTTTTGTACGAAGAGCATGCGCGAGAAGTATACTTACCCTTCTCCTCCAAAAATGTAAAAATGTTTTTGTCAACTCCTTCTCCGTCATGTACTTTCACTTTGGTCAAATTACGCACATAATTTTTACCCTTCACACGACCACAGGTTAGACGCCGCCAAGGGCAAGATCCTCGAGTTTAACGGCGAGTTCGCAGAAGACGACACGGAAAAGCGCATGGACTCGATCGAGCTCGACCACTTCAACGAGGGCATGGGAAAAGTGCAGAACAAGTCCAAGTCCTTTCGCCCCGTGGAACGGGATTTAATCTGGAAGAAGTGCGGCAGCTGGCCCGAGGAGAAACTCTTTCCGGTCGTGGACGTTTGGCGCCTGTATATGAATTGCAAAAGCATCGTACTAGTATAGAAATTGCATTACAAATTAGCCCAGCATGAGAAATAAAATTTGTCATGCGGATCGGCCTTGAGAAAAAAATTTGTAATGCATGACTGCAATTACTACGAGTGCGATACTTTTGTACAGGATACTGTACCTCCTCCACCCGGACTCAGCCGACATCTTCAAGGGCACCGACCGCGGCTACAGCTACATCGCATTCATTCTGAAAACGCTGAAAACGAACTTGAAATCCCCTCTGGGCATCAGCTGCGCGCGGTGGCTGGCGAACGTGTTTGCGAGTTTCACGGCAAGGGCGGTGCTGTTCGACAAACGAGGGTATTTGCTGGAAGCGATTGGGGAGCTGATAGCGAGTTCCTCATATCCAACGCAAAAGTGAATTTAGAAATATCGGACTCGTACATAGTACAACCTCGACTTGCAGTCTGGCATGAGGACAATAAAACTTGAGTTGCCGACGTCTTCAACTGCATCTGCATGGCAGGAGAGTCCACATCATCATCTCTTCCTTATATTATAGAAAAGTTTCTCGTCAACATTTAATTTCTTGTAGCGAATTCGTGCGACTTGATACTACTTTTGCGATGCATATCTCAGGAGACAAAGTCGATTGGCATAAGTTAGTCCGCGTGAGCCTCGCGACGACCCTGATGAACCTGACGATGGTGTTTGCGGACCGAAAAGAGCTAAAGGGAAGGTCAGAAATGCTGGATTTGCTGAAACTATATGCGGGCAAAGTTCTGCAAAACGGAACGGTGGCGGAGGACTTCGAAGCGCTATATAGGGTATCGTACACTATGCGCACCATAGTGATACCTCCACTTGTTTTTTTATCTGTAGTAAGATGTTGTTGTCCGTCGTTGTACTCCTGCTGTTGCATGTGAAAAAGATGCCAAGCTGCACAGCATTCTTCTCGTCCTCACCTACAGGTTCTGGTCGGGATGGGAAACGTGCTCTACGACTCCAGTGTCTCGCTGAAATACGATTTCCAAACTAAACTCGCCGCAAGCCTGCAGGAAATCAGTGGCAAAGTGACAGAGCCCAGGATAAAGGAGATCTGCGCGGAACTGCTGCAGGTCGGGCCCAGCGTACAGGGGGACGATAACGGAAAAATCCAGATCTAGTGATCCGGTGGGCGTCGACCACGACTCGGCGAATGAACACGATTTTTTCAAATTCCTATAGTGTCAAGGAGTCGTGGTCTAACGATATCGATAGACTTTCTGCTTTTTTAAGCTCTCAAGCATAGTTTTTAGTTTTTTACACAAGGTAAAATACAGCGAAAAATCTTCGAGCATAGTTTTTAAATTCGATAGCTTCAAAGCCGACGCAACTTTCTGCAGTCGAGCTCCAACAGAGACAATAGATAAAAACAGCTTTTGACGATATTGTGGAGCAGGAGCTCAACTTCGAGCATCCATAGTTTCCACTTCGCTACACAAGTAGACAAGAGACAGCGTCCATATCGTGCCCGGGGGGCGCAGCAGTCCGACCATGGTTGAGTACAACTTGCGCCTTTACCCTGTCAAGCGAGTGGTTCGTGAAGATGCCGATGTACAGCTTTCTCTTCAAAGAAGGTAATAAGAGGTCTGCAGGATCAATCTCCATCTTCTTCTTTTCAGCGCGAGCTTCGCCATCTTCGTCCTCTTCAGCAGCGATGTCGTTTCAGTCAAAAGCAGTAAATGATAGAATCCCGCCGATCCAGGCACTAATAAGATTACAAGTTCGCAAAAGGACACTCTGAGGCGACAGCGCCTACCAGAATACTCACTTACATTTATTGGCGCAAAGCGAGAGCGACAACAACAGTACCCCTGTGGCGAATAATTGAACTCACCAAAGTGTGCACACAAGTACGACCAGCTACGAAAAAAGAAAAACTAAAAGAAATAGGACTAGAGAGAAAGCCGTATTACGTAGTATTGTTACTGCATTGGTTGGCTCTCAATTACCGGCGTTCTCCTACGACCTCACTTTCGTCCCGGAACTCAGGTGTTGTTATGTTATCCTGGTCAAGAACGAAAAGGAAAAGCAGGGGTACAACCAGCTTGCTACAAATGTCCGGAGGTGGTGGGCATTGATACGACACAGACACCGATTGAGTGATGCGATTTTAATAAACCATTGTCCGTGCGGTTTTTAGCATGCAGACTAGTGCACGTAAAAACTTTCTTGTGGCTCTGCGTCCTTACTCGAAAAAATGTTTGATTGGTTATCAAGTACGATTTTGCGAGTATTTTGCTCCTTGCCAAGTCGATCATCGTCCGAGAGAAAGTAGAGCAGGGGCTCTTGGTGTTGTGGTTAGGCCCTTCCAGACAAGAATATGATTCTTGAGAAACGACCACAGACTCGCCCTCTTCCAAACAAAAATCCAATCCAAAATGGCCACCGTAGAAGACCCTTTTCTTGCTCAAATCTTTGAATCCCACGGCCACGATCCGGAGGCCTACGGGCTCGGGCCGGCTCCAGCGATCTTTTGCGACGACAGGGACGAGGATCTTCCGGATGAACATGGAGCAGCTGATGATCATCAATTACAGTACGCTGATGACCACGACACTGCGGTCGAGGAAATCATCGTGGACAGCTTGGATGACGGGAACATCGTGCGGTTACAAGCCCAAAACGCCAGTTACGCCCTTCACGATGGAGGCGCTGCTACAACTTCACAAGAGCTGCAGAAGAACGCTAACTCCTATCAGCTTATCGCGCGCCGCAGGCCTGTGGCGGCACCAGGACAACATGGGGATCGGAGTGCCGCAAGAGCGTGGGGGGATGAACAAGTTAGAGTTACTGGTAACCACAAAGCGACTTCGTCCCGATCGCGCTCGCCATCAGCAGGGCAACTGTCTTATGTGCGCGAGGACCCACTGATCAGGCGCTGGCGGTCGCTCTCCGATGGCGACCGACTGCAGCTCGCTGCGGCTTCGCGGCCCAGCAGCGTTGTAAATAAAACTGCAGGCGGCTATACTTCTAAGAATGGCGCGAAGAAGTACAATCTCACCGCAAATGACCCGCAGCCATTTGCAGATGAGCAGACGGGCCACACGTCGAAGCACGACGTGCTTCTGCACGAAGCGGCGCGCAGGTGGAGCAGCACGCTGCGATCAAGCGGCTTGTTGTTTTCAACAACAAGGCACAAAATGAATCATGATACTACTTCGACGCCCGGCTCTTCCCGCAGCCGGCGGATGCCCACCCGAGCTGCCTTTTCCACGCCCGGTGGAACCCCGAGCAGAAGCCGGATCGCGCAGCGCTACGACTATCTCGGCCGCCCGAGGACGACTTCTGGGAGGCCCGTGCTCGCATCTCCGAGAAGTAGGATAAGGAACAAGAAAGGTTCTTCTTCTTCTTCTTCCCTCTACAACCTCTTCTATTATCCTGATGAGGACCGGGACGAGATTTTGCGAGCGAGAGGCTCCTCCAAAAAACAGCAGAGCGTCGCGCATGTGCTGGACGCGCTGAACGAACACCAGCACACGCTGCCCCACCACGTACTGAATCAACGGAAGTCCATTTCCGCTCTGAAAGTAGGGGGCTCGACGTCGGCGTCCAATCGTGAGGGAGGAGCAGGGGTACCAGTTGCTGAGACCACGAGTACTTCGGGTCATCGCTATGATTCCGCAAGCAAGTCTCCTGGAAGTCGAAGTGGAACCACATCGGGGCCGCAGTCTTGGCGCCCGAGCGAACTGCTGCGGAAGTTGAGCAAAGAGAAAGACGAAGAACAGGCGAGTAGAGCCGACGGAGCGATAAAGCCGAACAACTCCAAGGAAAGTGTGCAGACGGTCATTTCGCCTAACACTGCAGCGGCAATGTTCGCCGATTCATCCCAACAACTACAAGCACCTGCTGGCAGGACGACGCCCGGCGAAACTAGTACGAGTCGTCAGGAGGTGGGGCAACAAGCCCAGGAGCCGCGTTCCGGCTCCACCGTGCAGTTTCAAGTACGAGCGAGCTCAATACCGGCAGCGCAAAGCAATGCGAGTGCCGCCGCGAGCGCGAGCCGGCGCAACAATGCGGTCAGAAGTACGACATCGTCGAGCGACCGGTCCATCATTCCCAAGTTGCAGTTCAGCCGCATGAATCAACCTGCGGCGATGGAGCAAGATACTGGTGTAAGGGTCACCCGCACCACATCGTCTTTTACGTCGACAGCTGGTAGCGACGGTAGGGATAGCAGAACCACCAAAATGCCTGTGGGCGGGGGCAGGGCGGAGACGGGGACATTTGCAGGTGGAGCAGCGCGAGCAGGACCCGGCGTCGATGCTGGCCCATTATCCGCCCGAGCAGGGGTGAGCAAAAGACAGCAGCAACCGCGAAAGCCTGGCGTGCCGCGTATGAACTCCGAGCGGAGCGACTTGCGAGGAAAGATCTCCACGATCTCGAAGAACATTGCGGAGTTGGCAAAAAAGTATGAATTTGTAATAAGTATAGCCGCTTTCATCTGCTGCGTTAGCGTTGGGTATATAAATATGCGCTTGCTGCTCCTGCTGCGTTGGTTCGGTCGTGCGCAAAATTGGCGCACTCAGAGATGCGAGCAAAACTTTCGACATTAACCAGTTGAATAATGTCAACATAAGGTCCAAAATAAAAATGTGGTCAAAACAAATGCTTAATTTCATCAGGGCCGAAGAGCAGCACGACGCGCCCGCCGATAAAGCCGTTGTCCGGGAAAAGCTGACCACGCCCAGATCACTAGCCAAGCAGAACAGCGACCGGCTGAAGCGGAGCAGTGCGCAGCAGAGCTCCGACCTGCCTGGAGCGAAGGGGACGCTGAAGTCCTCGAGATTACGCGAGACAGTAGGCGAGGACGATGGGGATGAAGATGAAGACCTTCTTCTACCTGATGGAACAAGCGAGGCGCCGGCACAGGTGAAGGGCTATCACACAGGAAAGTACTTACTGACATCACCCATTGTAGCAGAAAAAGCATAGACAGTTCGTTGATTGTGCAGCATTTTTTTTCAAGTTTGTAGAGTCACTAAAAAAAAGTAAAAGATTGTTCGCTAAATAAAGGCATCATAGATCATTGCCAAGTTCATCTTTTTGTTTCTCTGGTAATACGGGCGTCGTCGTCGTGCTTTTCCGTATGATAAGGGGCTCAAGTTGCACTTGCAGCGGCTGAACCGGGATCTAGATGAAGAACGCGATCAGCGCATCGTGCTGGAAGCGGAGGTGGAGAACATGCGCAAGCAAACTATCCAGCTGCAAAAGTACAAGCAGTCCTTTGAGATCATGAAGCGGGAGCGGGACGAGCTGAAGATCCGTTTGGGCGGGGGGTACGACAAATTGCAGGAAAAGTACGAAAAACTGAAGAAACGCCACTTAAAGTACAGCGACATCATTCTCTCTCTGCACGACCGCGCGGGCAGGGTGTGTGACATGGTGGCCCAGAAAATGCTGCAAGACCAGCAGGACCAAGATATCTTTGATGTTCTGGCTCCGGGGGGCATCAAAAACGATACAGAGTTTATTTTGCCGTCTTCACAACAGGAGCACACTATGCAGACGTCGGCGGTGGTCGTGGCCGATCGGCTCTACGTATCAAATGTAAAAATGTCTGGGTCTTGAACAATGCAACTTGTGATGCTGCGTCTGCATTATCCAAAAATCTGTATTGCATGAACAGCAAAAGAGGTCTGGTTTTGGCCACGGCGAGAGGGCATTTCTCATGCGGTATCGGCATCAGAAAGCCCTCGCAAGGTCTGTGATGCTAGGGCATGCATCGCAGACATCAGGAGTCATGCAAAATGTGCATGACAAACCTTGCACGCTTCCAGACCCAGACACTTTTGCATTTGATACTACGCCGAAATGCAGAAAGACCAAGCAGCGGACCAGGCCGCTGTGGCCGGCGAGGCCAGCACAACATCAGGAGCAGCTCCACCGCTGTTGCAGCTTCCTCTCCCCACTGCAGCGGACATTGCGCAGCAGGCAATCGCGACCGCGCGGTTCGAAAGGAGTCTTTCGCCGGACAAGAAGAAACCTTTGGCTTTGCTCGGTTCATCCACATCCCCACAAGATGTTTCTTCTCCTGGAGCCAAAGCTATAACGGACGAGAAGGAACTGCGGCAGCTAGAGAAGATCATCAGCGACGCCAAATCGACCGCAGTGACAGGCTTGGAAGAGAAAAGATTGTTCGAAGAGAAGGAATACGAAGAAAACAAGCTGCATACGGATATCAAGGATGCGGGGGAAACTTACGTCAATGTCGCGGACGAGCTGCGCGGCATGATTTCCGAGGAGAAGGCGGAAATCGAGCAACACCTCGCGCAGGCGCGCAACGAGCGTTCCAACTATTTATCCAGGGGTAGTAGAACAAGTGCTGCGCAGCGTGGTCCTGGAAGTAGTAAAAATGCCAGTGTTCATCTTGGTGTTCCAGCTGTGAAAGCAAGCCGGCTCGCTGCGCCGAAGGTCGTAGCCGGTGCTGTTGCAGCTCAAATGAATCAGCAAGAAGCTGGTCCTGGTTCGCCTGTACAGCATCACATGGTGACAACCGACCTCGCCCCCCATTTGAGTGAATCAAACCGCCCAAGCGCGATGCAGAGGCGTAGAGCGGAGCAGCTGGCTTCACCTTTGCGGGCAGGAGATTCGGTGCGGACCGCCGTGTCCTCTTCGGCCGGAGGTCCGAGCGCGAGAGGGGGCAGTTCCAGCTCGCGAACTGGGGCGAATATGAAACGCGTGGGAGTTGTAGCACAAGGAGCTGTACAGCCCTTGCCTCGGAAGCCAGCGGTGCCCACTCAGCAACCCGGAACCAGGACCTCCAAAGCCAAAGCCGGTTCCTCATCCGCGTCAACATCGCCGTCGGTGACGATAGCTCAGCCAAAGTCTCGAATTTTAAACCCTGCGTCCAGCAGTCCGAGTGCGAGTCCTACGACGATGGTGATATTGAAGGGCAAAAATAATGTGCAGCAGGATCAGATTCAGAACAGAAACCACGACGTGGTCAAGAACATCTTTGCGGACGAAGAGACAGTATACCAAGAAACCTCACGACCACCTGAAGACGCCCGGCCAGCGCGGAAAAGATTCTTCTCGCAGGATGAGCCGTTTGCAGAAGAAGCTGTTCTATTTTCTGGGACGGGTCGAGGGTACAATTATTATCCCGAGGTGGAGCAGGAGAGAAGTGGCAGTAGCACCACAGGTCGTACAGCGACGAGCACAAGCGCAAATGGTATGATGATCAAGAAAATCACAGCATTCGGACGCAGCATTAAAAAGATGGCGCAGAAAAATGAAGCATCTTCATCGGATAGTGACTAGAATGAAGAGCACGGTAGGACAAGATCATGATAATTCGGCATCGGCTCTCACGCTTAGCGAGGGGCAGAAATGATACTGCAATCAGTTTCTAATACAACCCGGCATAAAATTGGTCGCGTTTCGTTCACGGCGTAACGAAGATTTGATCCGAACCGAATTCTTTCTGCAAAAATGTTCTTCCGAGAACCAGAGAACCAAGATCCGCCGCACACGAGTAAGATCAGAAATTTCTAAGTATCTGCTCCGCGTCTCGTCAACAGGACTAGGAGCGTTTAGAGGTGCTGAGTTCGAGCATGATTTTCAAATCCTACCACTCAACGAGATCGACATCAATCAGGATCACACACAGATTCAAAGCTAAGCGATCTTCCAGTAGAGTAGTTCTAGAAGTCGATTAAGCGGTCGCTCCTTGAGTAGTTTGTTTATAATTCGGGCGCTGCCAAAGAGTTCTTGAAAGCGCTTTGTTGCACTTGAAAGTGTAACCTCTTGGAGGAGGAAGCTCTCCAGGAACGAAAGCGGTGAACGTGAAAACATGAAATTTCTTTTCCACAGCGACATGTAAAAGTGATAGATAGAAGCAATAAAGTGCACAAGCCTATATATTTCGTGGCATTTTGGAGCTTCAAAGGCTGATTTTCTCTCGTCCCCCGTCGATGCAGAACATCAACATTCAGAGTCTGGTGGTTCTCACTTGTAGTTACTAGCGACATATCGTTCCTTGAATCTTCCTACTCTCAATCATGAAGCGAAAGAGGTTGGGAAAGGTGAAGACCAACAAGGTCTCACTCAAGGATATCCAGGAAAAGCGACAAAAACAGGCGGAAAAGGTACTTACACTTAGTAGATAGAAATTTTGTTGCTGATATGTTTACTTACACAAAGAGCATGATCGCCATTGTCGTGCAAGGAAGAGAAACTGAATTCATCCGTCAAACTTTCATTCTGACATGAAGAAGGATATATAATAAAATAGGTTTTGAAAGACAACAAAATTTTTAATTCGCGCTACACCCACAGGAGCTCAAGAAGACGGCAAAGCAGATCGAGGAAGCGAGAGCGGAGTGCGCAGTCCAAAAGCGACGGAAGCAGAACGCCCCGGCGCCAATAGCGAAGAGGAAAAATCTTGGGTACGATTCCGTGTCAGCGGGCGCGCGCGTGGAGTTTGAGAAGAACAAGCGCGAAAGAAAACTGCAAAGGAAATTGGAACGGAAAAAGAAAAAGGAAAATGTTCAGACGGGCGGGGCGGTTGAAGATGATGAACAGAAGACCGAGAAAACGAAACAAACAGAAAAAAAGCGAAAGCGTCAAGAACAATTTGACACGGAACGCGAAACTTTTGGTGACGTTGACGATCTGCTTGAAAACTATAGTAGTAGTGGCACCACATCTTCGGCATTTGCGTCGCTTCTGAAAGATGTGATTCAATGATGAATACGCAATAAGTAAGTTTGGTGCAGCATTGAAATTGACCTGTGGAACGAAGCAACCTATGAATGACCCATCAAGCACGTCTTCAGGTGCGGATAATTTTACTCTGCACCATAATATTGATGCGCATTGACAGCGTTGTTCTGACTTTCGGGAACGCACAGCCACCACGCGAACAATGTCGCGAGTTGTTCAATTCCGCGGCTCTGTTGAAGGTGTTGGATCTCATGTTTGCCCACTTGTCCAGGTATTCCGGTGGGTCCTGCTGTGCAGCGATCAAGTCGGTTTAAGGAGTTGAAAATGTAAATGTCTGATTTTGAATCAAAAAAGGAAATAAGATAATACTTACGAGATCATAGAGTTATGAGTTCTTTCTAAAATTTTCCCGCTCTGACACATTAGATTTACATTTCTGCAGCGGCAGAAGAGTTTTTTGTTTTCTTGTGGCTCTGCATTGTTTTCTTGTGGCCACACCCCCAGCTACCAATGTTGAACCTGGCAGGAGGAAGGTGCTTGCTCACCCTTTTTGTGAACTGGGCGTTTTCGGTAATAGCTGCTGTCGCTTCTGGCCTTCGCCCAGACGCATCGTCGCCACACGAAGTAGCGTCCGCCTCTATGAATCATGCGAGTGGTCGCGGTCGGCTGCGTCGCGTGCGCGTCCGCTCGCTGCCACCGGTCCTGCACCTAGACCTCCGACACATCCAGCACTACGCCGCGACACGCAGCCGCTCGAAATCCCGAACGCCGAGACTAGATCTGCGGAAACGCAGCATGTTGGGCTCGTTGCCGATGCACTCGGTGTGGGACTATGGGGATGATAACTTTGAAAGATCCCACCTGCCCGGCAACCGGGCGGAGCGACCGTCGTCTGCGAGTGCGAATTACTTGGGACGAGCCGGAACCGGCTTACCTGCAACATTGGCCTTGCTGCCGAAAAGCCGCACACCTTCTCCGCCTGCGCGTCCTTGTCCAGATGCTAAAGCGATACCAATTACTAGTCCAGCTAGAAACGGAGTAAAAACAGAACCACCAGCTTCGTCTTGTGGAGCGTTCACCTCATTGTCAGTGCCTCCTGCTTCATCGTCAACCGTTCAAGCGAAGATCGCCACGTCTTTCTTCGCAGCAGGACCTGACCACAGCGCTACGGGACGAGTGGAGCCATACCAACCTACTTGTCGACATCAAGGGGAAGGGTGTGTAATGTCGCCTTTCAGTTTTGCTTTTGGTTCTGCTCCCCCCGGCAGGCGCAGGTGTGCGAATGTCGGATCAGATAGCGAAGCGACTCCGAGCACATCCAGTTCCCGCAGTGCGCCGATCATGATGCGAGGGTCATGTAATCCGGCTGACACTTTGAAGATGATCGCGAAGCAAGAGCATGTTTTCTATTCCCCCGATGCTAAGATGATCGCGAAGCATGAGCACGTTTCACTCTCTTCCCCCGATGCTAAGATGACTATGACACCACGCGAACTTCCTGCACCTGCTCCGGGGCCCCCGCGGCACGACAAGGATGTGGCTTTCGCAGGAGATGGACAGGCGCCGCCCTACTTCCAACTTGGCGGGGCGATAGAGCGTCGGAGGTCTCCGCCTTCTTCATCCGCCTTCTTCATCCTTTCTACATTCGCGAGCCAACCTGAGGCACCTATCGGAGCGCCGTGTCTAGTAGCAGTGCCGAAGGACTCGCATCCTCCCTCGACGGGGGATGGAGGTTCTGTTGAGCAAGCTGCCGCTGCTGCTGAAGCTCGTGATAACGTAGGTCGAGGCCATCATGCAGCCCCAACAACTGCAACTAGTGACATGTTGCAGCATGATCAACAGGATGACATCGACGTGGACATGATAAGTGCCCGGCTCGCTGCGGAGCTCACGATACGCGATGAGGTTTTAGCCGTTGGCGGCTCGAAGGAGGACAGAGGCGTTTCAAATAAAGCCAAGCGGGGTCCTTGTCGTAGAAAATGAGAAATTTTGCAAGCATGATATGCATATCTAAGGATGGGCGCTGCCTTACATTTTCCCCGCCATCACAGCGACGCGCTTGATATACTGCACAATGCGTAACAACTGGCGAACTTGAAATTTTGTTTTGAACGACGACGAGCAGAAGAATCAAAATGTATAGAAACCGAAGGAGCGCGATAATTTTGTCGTGTACAAGTATCGCCACTTCAAAAGATGAAAACATAAAGACACGCGCGAGAAGATTTACGACTACATGTATCATGGTTGAGACATTTAAATTTACCATGTCAGCCATAGTACCTAGCACTAAAGCTATATAATCTATTCTAAAAATTATCGTATACCACTGCTGACTTGATAAATTGAAACTTCTACTTTAGGTTCAGCGGTAGGTGTTGATAGCTGGATGCTGTCACTGACGATAAACGCGACCTCAAGTATAAAAGACACAAAGACGAATATATGATTTTGATCATCTCTTTTCAACCCGTTCCTAACTTCTGGGTAAGTAACATCACATTTGTTCTGACCGCAGAATGTCCCCAGTTGTAACATAGGTACGGAAAAGTCATTTTCCGTATTCTGGCTCGGTTTTTTCTGGTAGAAGACTCAAAAGTGCGCCATCAGACGAGCACAGCAGGCGCAATCGAAGTGTCATCGGCTGGTAATTCAATCATCTTGATCGGTAATGAGGCCCAGACAGGAGACAATAAATTGTCCTATGTGCTGTAGTGAGGTTAGAGAGGATCTTTTCGCATGTCTGTCGTTTTTGATCAAGTTTTATCAAGTGAAGCCTTCTCGCTCTTCTTCCCTATCCAGGACCGACGCACCGAGCTGAAATTGAGCCAATACGCGGCACCTGTATGATGTGTCACCAATATTATTATTAACTATCTATAGAATATCAGAAGTTCCTGTGCCTGATACATAGGTTCTACAATTTTGTGTCAGAAGCTGGGGGTTATATCTCGACCGAGTTCGCCCTCGCTGACCTCTGTCAGTCTAGTAGTGCATGTGGTGTCTCTGTCTCTCGGCTTTTGATGTTGTTGATAGTGTTTATATGTTTTAGATCTACTGTGGTATATGTACGTTTCATTGATTCTTTACGATGTCGTGTTTCATGTTGTTAGATTTAGCAGCAAGTTTTGAGGAACACGAGCAAGAACAAGATTGAAAACTTGTGCATGTGCTGGCGCCGTTCGTAGGTTTAGCGAACCCCGCACAAAAATGAACTGCGCCCGCTGACCTCGGAGTTTTTCTAGTTTGGCAGATGAAGGCTGGGAGCTTTCACCCAAGTCGATTCGCCACGGACCGCCCGCATCCGTCTGCGTCTCGGCCCGAAATCGGTACGCAAAAGCCGTAAGGAAAGGGGGGCTCTGCTCCGTCCCGGAGAGAAAAATAGACCTATAGCACAGCTGGATAGAAGCCAAACTCGAGTGCGTCGATGGATATATGTTCTTGCTCTTGGAGTTGGACTATGTTAGTTTTAGTACTGGTAATGCTTTCGTGTTTGTGTACTTGTTTCCGTTTTGTAGATAGATGAAAGACGATATAGTTGTTCGAAGATTTTTGCCTGCGAAAAATGTCTCTTCATTCATTTTCTGTGGTGCCTGTGAAGTACAACAATTTTGATTCACAGCCCCAATGTTGACATCGAGAACAAGTCGATTTCAACATTTTTTCAAGAATTCCGGCAAATGAAGATTTGTCGAGCGCCGCACTTGTGCTGCTGCGGTGAAACTGAAAGCTGTTGCGGATGAATCTGAATGAATGTCATTCCCATTCGAGCGTCGAAATAAACGAGTCGAGGATCTGAAAAAATGTGTCGAATAAAACGAGGATCGGAAAAAATGCGCCGAATGAAATGAGGATCTGAAATTTCAAATCGTCACAAGCTCGGTTTTGTGTGGTAAACCTATTTCAAAAACTGCCTCGATCCTCCGTCTAACGATGAAGTTCTGTTCAAGTTCATATATTTGTCATGTCACATAAAACCTTGCAGCAGTTAGTTTCGCTTGGATCCTAGTCATGACGGACAACGACCGCAGCCACTTCTCGTTGCACAATAAAGAGAAACAAGAACGTGTGACTACGTCCTTTTGTCGATGTTGTTCCCGCCTCACCGATCCGGAACCAAAAAATTGAGATCATTGCGAAAAAACAACGTGGATCTTTTCGAAAGATTGTAGTTGAGCTCCTCTCGTTTCCTGATGATGGATCTTGGTCTTGATCTTTACGATGAGGTATGTTGCCAAAAAGATTTTCTTCCGCCAAGGTGATCAGGAGCAAGTTCATCAAGTTGATGTGAAACGATACTCCAGGAGGTAGAAATACTACGTGCAGCCACGTTATCCTTTCTTTTCCCTTTATTCACATGAACAGGAAGCCAAGGCTAGTAGGCTCGACATAGGCAAAAATTGTTTCATTCGAGATGGCGCTGTCTTCAGTTCCAATCAAGTGCATTAACACGTCTTTCTTTACCTCTGCGTTCTTTACTGATGCATGAATCGGTTGTAGCCTAGAAGTGTAGCAGCTCCGGCTTTTCACGAAAACTTCCTACTCGCGACCCGGGTAGTTTGACTTAGCTTATCGCTTTACCAAAATAAAACTACACATCAGCTTAGTCTTTCTTTGCTCACAGAAGAAATGGAATTCGTTCGGCTGCAGCAACTGTACCGGCCCGGTGCCAAGGCACTGCACGCCTCCTCCGAAACGGGCAGCGAATTTGCGAACTATCGAAAACGAGTGGAAAACAAGGAAGACAGCGAGGTGACCGGCCTGGCCTACAATGCGGAGAAGGGACAGTTCGCCGTTGCGCACTCAACCAAGATCTCCTTTTGGAGTTTGCGGACGAAAGAGCAAGTGCTGCAGATCAACAAGTTCAAGGACTTCACAACCTGCATGCACGCGAGGGACGACGGGAAACTGCTCGTCGCAGGCGAGGCAGGAGGCTCGCTCGCAGTGATAGAATGGAGCGAGGGAAGGTACAGATTTTCATAAATACGTCAATTCTTCTATAGCTTTTGACGATTCAGTTTGTTATTGTTGGAGATGTGGATGTAATTGCTCGTCCAACTTTTTGGTCTAATTGTTCCGGTCATGATCGTTTGGTTTTTGCATGTGACAACTCCATACCTCCGCCTAACAGCGTCCTTCGTCGTCTCCGGGGCCACACGAATACCCCAACGTGTTGCGGCTTTTCCACTAACAAAACCCAAATTTTGTCTGGCGGGAAGGACAGAACCTTGCGCCTTTACGACATCACTTCCTCCACCGGAACCGGGTCCATCATGACGTGGAACCACGCGCACGCCGATTTCGTGCAGGCGCTCTGCCCCAGCCCCGACCAGAGTAACATTTGGCTCACGGGCGGTGCGGAGGGAATTTGCAAAATCTGGGACAGCCGGGTGTCCAATTCTAATGCGCGAACAGCTAGTACTTCCGGACAATCGAGTTCAACATCAGCAGGAGGAAACAATAACGGGTGTGTGGGCAGTTACAGCTACGGGAATAGCGAGGCTGGAACTACGTCTTTGGATCCGGTGAGCTGCGTCCAGTTCTACCCCGGCAGCACCATGTTTGTCGCCTCAGCGGGGACCAACATGCGGGTTTTCGACGTAAGGATGAGCTCGGACACAGGTAGAAATTACGGCAATCAATTGTCTTTTGGGTCTGAAAACTACAAACCGCTTGAAGAATGTGAACCAGCCTTGTAAGCTTGATAACAAGAACTGTGGTCGCAACCACAAGGTGAAATAAATGCGATTGGGATCATCATGTTGATGTCAAATGAGTCTTTTGCTGAAATAAAGAACGCTATCAAACGATCGTCCTATGAACAACTTCCACATCAGCCGTCGTCGCAACTTTCGGCGGTCAGCACCACACGAAAGATTTGAGTCATGTGGACGTCAGCCCCTCCGGCCGCTACCTCCTTTCCTCCTCCCTCGACGGCACCAACCGGGTGTGGGACAGCGCGGACTACACACCGCTCTTCACCTACAACAACGACACCACAGCGGTCCGACTCGGAAAATTCTTCACCGACGACCTGATCGCGACCGCGCAGCAGAACGGAAGCTGGTGCGTCCGGAAAAAGAATTTAAACAACAACGGCAAGCAGGGGGATCAGAAGCGGAAGATCATCAAAAACAAAGCCCCCGGAAGGGGGTTGCCGTTAACCGCCAGGTACTACAAGCGCGGCGCGGAGCAACCAGTCCCGGACATCGAGAAGGACGGATCGGTGACCGAAGTGATTCAGTTGAAAAAGCAAAAGCTGAACCAGGTGGAAAGCGCATTGAAGAACTTCCAGTACAGAAAAGCCCTGGAGATTGCGATCGTGAAGAACACAAATTTGAGCTACGCCTTGTCCTTTTTGGACGAACTGGAGTCCCGATCAGCGCTGCACCAAGCGGTCCAAAACCTCCCGGAGACGGTGTGCTTGCAGGTTTTGTATCATTTGAAGCAACTTCCCCACACCAGAGTCAAGATGGGGAATCTGCTAGACAAATCACCCAGCTCTGGTCGTTTGGCATGACAAGTTTCTCCTCGTGCTGTAATCCTGTTTAGGTACTTAGTTCAGCAGCATCACAGATCCAGTATATCATGCGGATTGTAGCATCACAAATTCCAAAGGACGACTAGAAAATGCCTCTCATGGCGCTCCACATGACAAACTTTTTTGGCATGCAGATTTGCATGACAACTCTGGTGTGGGTACGTTTTTACTCAGGATATTTTGCAGTGGGTCCTCCGGGTCATCGACGTGCAAGAGGCCGTGACCTTCCGGCGATTGATAGTGAGCCTATTTCACGCGGTGGTAGACGCGAACGGCGCCGTTGTGGCGGAAAACGAAAGGATAATGCAGGTTATCAACCTTCTCCGCGACAAAGTTGGCCGGGAATTGTCTCTCCAGGAAAAGACCTTGCGACCATTACTGGGAATGCTGGACACAGTTCTGTCCGCATAGCGTGGTTGTGATGACGCTTATCTTGCGGACTGTCTGCTGTCAACATTCGCAGCTTCGTGCAAAACTATTTCACATTATTCACGATTTTTTCCCAATCGAACTTTTTTTCTGTGCGCTGCTGAAGACTACTTACGTCCATCGTGGTGAGCTACCCGAGGCTGAGATAGAGAGAGGAAAACATCAGAATAAGATCATCGCTCTGCGCCGTGACGTCGACTGGCCCCCGCGGCTGTCGAACCTTTCGCATTTTGTCGCCAGCAAACCTTTCGCAGAGTGTTCTTTTGCTGCTTCAAAACCGCGTTTCATTATTTTGTCGTTCAGCAAATCGCGAACAAAATTGCCGTCAGTGGCTGATCGAACGTCAAGATCAACCTCTTTTCCTTAAACTCGACTTCGTTCTTGCTGGAGGACTTCGTCTTTGCTGCTGGGCGTGTCCGACGTGGCGTTCCAAATAACGCCAGGCCCCAAAAGAAGTTCAGAAACAGAGACAAGAAAGACCGCAGTTCATGAGAAACCGACTACGCACTGCGTACCGATCCATTTTTGCGATGTCGATTCATAAGTTTCGCGCTAGAATTGTCGCGCGAGCTGATTTATTTCTGATAATTCGATTTACTGAAATGAAAAACTAGCGCTGATGAAACTGTGCGGATTTGATATGTTTTTTAGTAGAAGCGAAGCTGCAATAGCGATTCCAGAGTAGCAACCTTTTATTCCAATATCGAATCTGTCAACAGGGCTCCTTTCATTTCATCACAGAATCGTGCTTCTGTTTCTGAGGTTTTGTCAGAATACCTGGCTACGGTTTATTCATACAGCGACGGCCTTCTACAGCTAGATCCCATTCGCTTTTTTCCTCAGAAATTCAAAGTTAACTGGCTGAAATTTTTACCTAGAAGTTTATCATTATCGAGTGAATAAAAGTAAAAGAACATCCCATGGCGACACCGACACGCGAAGACCAGCAGCGACCCGAGTTTTCACTGAAGAAGAAGTCGATCCACCACCGACGAGCGAGGGACAACCACGAATACCAGTTCCAACTCTGAGTAGAGGTTCTTGTTCTTCCCAGAAAGACCCATCATGTTCGGCGGTGGGCAACCGCAGGTAGACGCCGGCAACCCGAATGGCGACATCGAAGTGCCAAACCCACCCGAAGACGGGATTTCGTGTCTGTCCTGGTCCTGTCAAAATGCACTCGCTGTGGGGAGCTGGGATAGATCAGTACTTCTACAATCATACTGTTTGAAAGGCTTAGGCGACTGGTCTGGCAAATGTTGCTTTTTATGGAAAAAACCTCTTAGACTTACTTAGAAAGTGATGGTCATAGATAGCATAGTGGTCACAGATACATGCGCATGCCGATGCCTGCATTTCTTACCTAGTCTTCCATGATAGTACCCGAATATAAATATTGTCAACCTCCCCAAAAATCATGATCGTTCAGATCCGCGTGTGGAGCGTGACCATGCAGCAGGGTGGCATTGGTGCCACCGCGGCCCAGCTCCAAGTGCAGGCGAACCCGGTGTTGCAATACCAGCACGACGGACCGGTTTTGTGCTGTGGGTTCTCGAAAGACGGGACAATACTCTTCTCCGGCGGGTGCGACAACAAAATTAAGATGCGAAATCTGCAGAACAACCAAGAGCAGATCATCGGGCAACACAACGCGCCGGTCAAGGAGGTCTTCTGGTGCGACGAGCTGAAAATGCTCATATCAGGCTCCTGGGACAGAACGATCAAGTTCTGGACAGGTATCAGCTTTGATAATTTGGCTTTCACTTATTTGTATTTCATTTTTTTGCGAAGAAAGTGCCAAATTGGTGGAGTTATCTAAGTATATTGTCAGACATCACATCCACATCAGCATACATGGAAATGGTAATGGGTTCAATTTCCAAGAACACTCCCACAGGTCAGAGCACGCAGCCAGCAGCGTCACTTGACCTTCCCGAGCGGGTCTACAGCATGGACCTGCAATTTCCGTTGCTTGTGGTCGGCACCGCGGAGCGAAAGCTCCTATGCTACGACCTCAACAACATCAAGAACAGCACGCAACCCGCAAAAGCCGGTGAGACCGCGTTGAAGATGCAGACACGATGCGTCGCCGCGTTCCCGGACAAGACAGGGTATGCCGTTGGAAGCATAGAAGGGAGGTGCTCGATCGCCTACGTCCAGCAGACAGACAAAAACTTCGCGTTCAAGTGCCACAGGTATAAAGCGTGAAACTGAAGAATTCCTCCTTTTTGTTGCAAAAATTTTCATGGTCGTTTCTGGTTGCAGAATGAGTCTGTAAAGTAAGCATCTTGGGTTTTGCCTTCGGATTCTGCTTCCCAACCACTAGCATAAACATTAACTTTAACATTTGTTAAACAGGAACAACGATGAGATATACGCCGTGAACAGCATCGCCTTTCACCCATCATATGGGACCTTCTCAACAGCAGGCAGCGATGGTATCGAGATTTTTTTCGAATGCATGACTCTGCTGTTCCTGGATGGCGACGCCATGAATTTGAATTGTGATTTTGATTCGTGCATTTTTGACTAGATTTTGAACCTTTTTTTTTCCTGAGTGCTTGTGACCTCATCGCGACACCGAATTCAAACACCCTATCCATGTCAGGCGTCTTCACTTTCTGGGACAAGGACAACCGGCAGCGCCTAAAACAGTTCAACGCCGTCGGCGCGCCCATTACCGCGACCGCGTTCAACCCCACCGGGCAGCTGTTCGCCTACGCTTGCAGCTACGACTGGAGCAAGGGCCACGAGCACAACTTCACGAACATACCCCGGAAAATCTTCCTGCACCGGGTGGAAGAAGCGGAGGTGAAACCCAAAAACGCCGGGCAGGGGAACAGACCGGGGTTGAGGAGATAGTGGCTGGCGATTCATTTCGTAAGCTCGTCAACATGATGCCAACGCCAACAAGAACTATAGCTCAATGTCGAGTAGAAACTCGACACTGTCACTGACGAGATGGCGACCCAACAAAAAGAATCGCTTGCGCTCACCTCCTCATTGAAATCTTTTTAGCGCGAATTTTACAAAATAACGAAACGACGGTTGCCACACCTACGTCGAACGACTATGCGTACATATCGTTCATCTGTTTTCGCGTTGGCATGAAAGATTCCAAGTGTTCTTTTGCTATGTGGTACCGATAAAGTTGAAAATGATCGCTTCGGCGCCGGCGACATTGACCTGGTGCTGAATGTGCGAACCGAAGGGCCGTTTCCGAAATTGTCACTTCTACGTACGAGAAGAGTATGAAAGTGGAGACTTCTTGATGACGAGAGGACGATGACGAAGCGATAACTCAGCGGCACAAAGAACGAGCCCGAGTGGCACGAAAACGAAACGAGGTGAACCATGGGCATGAAATGCGACACAGCACAAGAGCGTACAAGAAGACTTTTTGTTGCGAGAGAGAGTGAATGTGATTGAGTGTACGAATATTCCCAAACCCAAACTCGCCAATAGCAGGAGAAAAGGGGAGTTATCTCTTCACTCGTTGTGTTTTTGTTTTGGACAAATGGGCGCGCCCGAAGCGCACCCGCAAACTAAGCTGCGCCCACCCTGTTGCTTTCTGTAGCATACGCAGGGCCAGGTGGCGCGTCCCGGTGGGCTTCGGCTTCTGTACCAACAGCGTCGCCGTGTGTGGGTCAGCGTTCCTGCTCCTGGCCGAGCCGTTCGCATTTGAGGCACTCCCGGCGGATGGCAAGAGGGCGGTCGGGAATCTCCTCGGGCAGCAGGCTGGCCGGTGGCAGCAGCCTCGCAGCAAGAGTCGTCTGCAACAGGTGAAGCAGGCCGGCGACCCTCCAAGAAGAGCGCGGGCGCCCTCGCGGGAATGTAGGACAGGCACGGAAGGGAAAGGCAATTGCCGACCCGGCGCGTTTTTGTTTTTATTTTGACGCCCTCCCGCATGGCCCTGATTGCCAGCGCGGGCGTCGTTCCGGCTGGGGGGCCTCCGCCTGTCCCTGGGTGGTGAGGGGGGCGGGGCGCCCCCCGAGCGGACCGCTGGGGCGGCGGCCCGGCCGCATGCTCCCGCTTCCGGCCTGGAGGGCCAGGCCCGGCGGCCCGGTAGCGTTGCGGCCGTTCTTTCTTGGCGCCTGCGCGCCGCATAGTATTATATAGAGTAGACTGGACCGGCAGCCGGGGAACCAATAAACTCCCGTCGGCTTTTCCTCGCCGCGGGGGGGCTTGCCGTCGTGGGCCTGCGGCCGGGCTGCCCATCCCCTCGTCGGCCTGTTTGTTCCCGAGGCACGCAACCATTCGTCCAGGGGCACCGGCGGGCGCGCGTTTGTGGTGTTGGTCCCACCGCGTGCCGCCCAAGGAAAACGCAGCTTTTGGCCGCCCGGGTCATGGTGCCGGTTGATCGTGTCAAGGAAGCGGTGCCGCGACCGGTATTGTGGAGTACCAGGCGCTTATGGGTTCATTTTTATTTGTTCAGAAAGAAGGCAATGAGTGACCTGGCGGGAGGTGTTCCACATCACGTTCACGACGACCACGATCTCTAGAATTTCCATTTGTGATTCACTTTGACCACGAATGAAGCAAAGAAGAAACGGGCCAGCCATTGTGTCCAGCAAGAACGACAACGAGAAAGCGTTAGCGTTCTCTTGTGAGATCCGGTCTGTTAGTGCTCATGAAGCAGACAGCGTTTTCCTGGAAGGGCAGCTCGATGGCCACGTGATTTATTTGTTCTCCGGTTTGTAAACCGGCGCATCGTTGTTGTTCTTCTGTTTCGTCATGTGTGCGTTTCGAGGATATTTGCTGTTAATTTGTGGCGTTGACAAAGACAAAGTTGTGCAGACTCTGCTGCTGCTAAGGTGGACGAAAAAGGATTCATCAAAGTCGCCCTGGCACTACAGGGTCCTTTGCACGGTAAGGACACTGTAGTGCTGGCTCTCACGAATGAGCGAGAGTGAAAATTTGTAAACGGCCGTACGTAATGGTAATATGGCACATATAAATAGACGTTTCCGTTTGATGGATGAAGATTTAGAAGACATTTACTTACATTTTCTACGTCAGTGAATGTAGTTGTAGCTACGCTTGTCTTCTAATTTCAAAGCATATTAACCATAAGGCTAGAGGACACAATGCTAAAGCGATGGTATGGCTAGGTAGTCGTGTTGGAATATAGAACAGTCAGACGAAAGATGTTGGCAACAAGATTTGGTTTTTTCTTGTCTCAGCAATAGCGTCAGTACATTGTTCTTGTCATTGTCCTTCTCTCACAGAGACATTACGATTATAATCTGTATCCTGTGGTGCTGGTGGAAGTAGTGGTGGAAGACGTACATACTGGAACCTTGACTTTCAACTTGTTTTTGTCCTACAGCTGTCCCTATCTCTAAACGTAAACCAGCCTAATACCTCTCTACACTCCTTTCACACTAAGTACCTATTAGTACATAAAAGAAGCCAGCGAGAGAACAAGCGGCCCTGACAACTCAGGTGCAATTGTAGAAGTGTAGCTGCGCAGGTCAAAAAACTCATCCTGCGACTTTGTTTTCGCGCGCTAGCACACGGAGGAGTCGCGCACAACCTTCGTCCTGGGCCAAAATGTGACGCGCTTTCTGAACCTGCATATCTCTAAAAATCTAACGACCACGCAAGTGCCCGGACGTGCGCCCCATTTTTACCACAGTCAAGCTGTTCTGGCGATCTTCTGCAACCGCGGCGCTTAGACCTCCACGCTATCACGACCAGTAGAAACAGGTTGAGTCGACGACGCGAAAAATACTTCAATTTGTGATACCGATACGGTCATCGTAAATACCTCGCCCCGCACACATTTACTCGGAGAGCCATTTTTTGTGTGTCAGATATTTGAAGACGCCGCTAAAGAGAAATCTGTCGAAGCAACTTTGCAGCGGGGTTCTATCGGGAGCAGGTACTGTGGCTGCTTTTTGAAACTTAAGATGACGTGTAGTCAAAACCATGACAGGATGATGACACGAGGCCGAGACGCAGACGTTTGGCTTTGGAACTGGAAGCTCTTGCGCACAGCTAGCAAATTATTCTCATTCCGATGAAATAGAAATCGACACTGATACTGAACTCATGAGCTCGCCGAAGACGCTGAAGCAATCGAATCTTCGATCATTATCGATGGTCTACTAAACTGGAAACCTAGGTGTCGTCCTTCTCTGCCCGTCATGCAGCCGTTTGTTCCATCCGAAAAGGATGTGGCACCGCTCGTGAGCGGTTTGGAAATGCCAACGGGAGACAAATCAAAAGCCACGGAAATGGCCGCCGCAAACGCAGCTGCAGCGGCTGCTGCTACTTCTACTGCGGTGGATGTTGGACAGTCTTCCTCGTCTGGAAGTTGTACCAATATTAAAACCTCCATCGCGGCCACTGGCGCCGCGACCTCTTCCGGCGCAACTACAGGGAAGCAGCAGCAGGAACAAGGACAAGGAGCACAAGAACCAGGAAATAAGAACAAAGGAGATCAGAAGGACTCGTCTATGCATTGCAAAAGTATCGTACTCGTATAAGTGCATGACAAATTTCCTCAGCATGAGAAAGAAAATTTGTAATGCGGATTTACCTTGACAGCAAGATTTGTAATGCATGAATGCGATTAGTACGAGTACGATACTTTTGCACAGCATATCGTCGGAGCAAGAGGGCATTCCGGTGGTGAACATCATGCAGCCCGGGGTGGTGGTGCCGGTCTTTATCAACTGTAAAAATGTCTGGGTCTGGAAACTTGTGATGCTGGTTCAGAACGACGAGGACGCCTCAATTGACTGGCAAGCATGACAAATTTTGGAGGTGCTACAGTCTTGGCTTTTCTGCATGACAAAGTGAGCTTCCGCATGAGAGAAAAATAGGGCTTTTGGGTAATCTGCATGACAGACTTGAGAGTGATGTCAGACAAGCATGACAAACTTCCATTCTTCCAGACCCAGACATATTTGCTTTTGATAGTCTTTGTCCCCCTGCAAAATCTGTCGTACGACAGCAAAGGGAACGCTCTGGTCGACCCACAATACGTGTCCAACATGCTGCTCAACCAGCCGCTAACCAGTGCGCGGAGCAGTATTCAATGACATTCAATTGAAATGTTTGTACGACAAAAAAAAGTAACTCAAAATCCTATAGTATCAATAGATACGTAGAAGAAAATCTTGATGTGATCATTCAGATGGTTGTAAAACCACGAGGTAGTTGTCTTCTTGCTACTAACTGCTAGTAGTCCTCCTGATCATTTTCCTCGCCCTGTTAGGCTTAGGGCTTGTTCAAAAGATAGCAACACACGACGACCGTCCGACGACATCGAACCCAACTGCACTTACAGCCCCGACCTACGCTCCCGCGACGGTTCCAGCGAATTCCCTGGCCGCGCAGCAGTTCCCGATCCTTGGCACGTCGCAGTCACAAAAAACGTTGAAAGCCGCACGCAGCCGTTCCACCTCCACGAACCTGCAGCCGAAGAGCGCCCGCAACAGCGCAATCATGGTGCGTACTGCGTCTGGAATGTCGAACACTTCCGCGGCGAAGAAGCAGCAGCCGCAGGTTGTGAAGCAGAATGCTGGTGCGACGTCGACAAGCGTGACTGCTTCTACTACGACCGGTTGTAGTACAACTGCAGCAGCGGCGCAGCACCAGAATCTTCAGCAACAGCAGATAAAAACGACAATCGCAAACAAACCCCCGCGCCCGAGCCCCATCTCCCAATTGTCTGCGGCCACCACCCCTCCGCCGCGACGGGAGGTGCCCCGGCCCTCGCCTCCCACGGCGAGTACGACCAGTACGGTCGGGCAGTCGCCGCAAAATTCCGGCGGACTAGGACTACTTGCGGGGGGAAACGGCAGTGCAACAGCTACTCGTGTGCAGGTTCCGGAGTGTCCGACCATGCGAGATATGCTGTACAAGACCTCTCCCGCTGCGCAGGAGCTGATGCTTGGTGACCACGACGAGCTACTCTCGTCCCGGGCTTCCGCAGCCGGTCGCATGCAAGACGAGCCGGAACCCAGGCGCTGCTCGGGAGCATCGATATTGGATGAGGTGGACAAGGAGGTAACTATACCCATCACATTCTGATGTATGTCGTGCTTTTTTACCTTGTCCTTGCAGTAGGTGCAATTGAATCGATGCTCTTGCTCTCCACGAAGAACCTGTGCTTTTTCGTGGCACAGCAACATGTAATGTCAGAAGTACTTCTCACTGTGCATTCCTATCGTATCCGTCAGGTGCGAGCCTACCAAGCGGAAGTGGTCGGGGGGCCGCAGCAGGCGTCTACTTCTGGCCAGCAATCGGGAGGAGTCCGAACAAGTACAACTCGGAACAACGCAAATCCAAACGCACCTGGTTCTACTCGTCTGACCAAACCGCGGAAAAAGCAGGCGTCCTCCAGCATGAGTGGTACAACAACGACCACATCGACCGGAGCAACGCCCGCCGCCGCCGCCCCGCAACACTACTTGTTCGCGAACCCGCTGGCGGCGCAACAGGGGCAGTGGTAAATAAACTCCAGGATTTATATCGAGTACTTCTTGGAACACAACCCAATTCTGGTCATACTGATGTAACGCCCAATTCTATAACGCTCAAATTAGAGCCATGTGCTGTTTGATGGTGCGCCTGACCTGCCTGCTCGGCGAATGCTTTTGAGTATGTTCTACATGTAGTACTTAGTTCGATTTTATCCATTAGTTGCGTATTAATTCTTGCGTGGGCGTGATGTTGGTGACACAACGTTCTCTCAGGTACTCCACAAGCTCCGCTTCTACGCCATCCGCTGTGCCGAGTGGCAGCTCCGGAATGATGTATCAACCCATGTACGCTCCGCAGCAGTACAACCCCATGGGCGGCGGCTACCAAGGTTACACCCAGGTACGAGAAAGTGATGGCATTTTTTTCTTGATGAATGATTTCAATTTCAAAGGACAACTACGTTGCCGTGCCCTTGCCATGCATCATGTTTACGGACGAAGCGGAAGCTGTAACTACATTTCAACCACTTCAGTTGTTGACAGGTCAGATTTATTCGCATGATTCCCACCACAAATAAGACACTTGATTTTGAACTTGATGATGATGAAACAACGCAGATGGGCGCCCCAAGTACCCCAACGCCGAATGGACTGGACTACAGCAGCTTCGCCGCCGGATTTTTGAAGGGCCGACGCGTCGGCAAAGGCAAGGGCAAACGGTTCGCGCTGCAGGGGCTACGCGGGGGCGGAAAGGGGCTAAATCCAGGGCAAGAACAAGACCACGACCTGTCGATTGCTACTTCATCGCCGGCAAATGTTGCACGAGAAGCCGCTGCCGCGAACTCGGAGCTGCAGGAGCCAGGGAGTTCTCCTGTCATGGACGACCAGCTGGATGTCGACCGAGCAGCGCTCCACCCTAGCACCACCCGAATCACCAACGGGTCCGTACGGACGACAAGCACGCGTGGCCCAAGGCAGAACAACGCTGCTGACCACACGACGAGCGGCCACTGGGCAGCACCTCGGACGCCTGCAAGGTCAGCCAAGCCCTTCCCGTACACGTCCAGCCGGCCCCCAATTGGGAGTCGTGGCAGATCGGACCGCCGGGCGAAGTACTTGCTCGTTGGTTCTCAGTTCCTCGATGTCGCATCAACAAGATTCCTTGAGCAAAAAAAAGCTTCAGTGCGAGAAGTTCTCAAAGTCAAATCGAAAGCAATGTAGTTTATCTTTATTGTTGTAAATTTTCACTGTACAACAACAGCTACGACTATCGTGGGTGGTATCACTTTGGAGGTTCGAACCCCGGCATTCCGCAGTCTTCGGGCGCCAACGCCTCTGGTGGCTACAACAGCCAGCCGACCGTCCGGAAACGTACTTGCAAAAGTTTCATTCTGGTGGATGTCGATGTTGTAATTTGTGAGCTGTTCTTTTGTCTGGTCCGGTCGCCGAGCAATGGAGTCGATGGTGCACGAGCAGCACTTTATTCAGCAGAAATACTTGCGCGTTTTTGTTTTTTTTTGTGTAATCGCATGACACACGAAGACAAATTAATCACCACAGCCCAACAGCGCGCTCCAAAGGAAGGCGAGGAAGTGGTGCAGCGACGGGAAGAACTATGACAATGCACAGCTCACCCTCGCACTCAACCTCATTCATCATGCAAAATACCAAATCCATATGCACCCGTATTCTTGTCTTTGGCACTTCTTGCATGACAGGCTTCGGAAGCCGAAACAGAACTAGAATCGGTCGTGAATTTGTAATGCAAAAGCTGCGTTTACTTATGCGGCATAAGTAAACGCAGCTTTTGCATTACAAATTAGGGCATAAGTTATGCCAGCACTTGTGTTGCTGCTTATGCCCTTCAGATGAGGGGGAGAGGGAGTTGTGCACTCTCATAAGAAGAGGTGGAGAAACTCAAAGGCTTCCGTCCCTACCGCGAGTTTGTCGAGGTCAAGACGCAGGCCGAAGCACGGGTATATTTGCTACGTGATGGTGCGCATCTTTCACATGGGGAAGCACGCTAAATGTTTTTGTTCTGTCACGTGCACAAATCATTAAAACACTAGTAATGCACTTGTTTATGTTTTCTAATACCTGTACCAGATTGCTTTATCTTTTGAAAACGACCTTTTATCCTCGCAGGGCCTTTCCGTGACCTCTGTGGACATTACGAAGACCGCTTGCCCCGATCCGAGCGCCACGATGCCTCGCCGGAAGTGGAAATTTCTCTGTGAGGTCTGGCGCCGCGCGTTGCGGGATTGGACGAAGGAAGTGGTGGCTTTACACCCACAATTAAGCCAGTTCGTGCAGCAAGAAGATGACAGTCCGCTGGATAATGACGGAGAGGACGAGCACGGCAATGTAACCAGCACGAGCTGCGACGTGATGCAGCAGCTTCTTGCGTCGACAGGAGCATCAATTTCAAATAACCAGTGCGCAGTGTCGACCCCGACGCGCAACAGTTCTGGGCAAAACCAAAACCAAAGCAACCGCATCGGTAGCTCTTCTCGTTCCTACACCTCGCGCTACAGCAATCGCCGGTCCTGGTCCCGGAACACATGCTCGCCCGTGGTGGAGGAGAACAGTGCGGACGATTTTGAAGACGATGACACCAGTGGAAAAACGCCGCAGCAGGGAGCCGGGGACGTCTCCACATCGAACACCAGCACTGCTGCGTCGCCTTGCTAAACTACAGAGCTTGATGTTGATCATACAGCAGTGTCGACATGTCGGACAAGATGAACACCAGTGCCTACACTTAATGATGAAGATCAAGACCGGAGACTGCGACTGCGTGAAGACTCAACTACCGACGGGCCTGAACACTGCACCACGAAACAGTTTTGTCGCCCTCAGACCGATGAACAATATTACTTCTTCATCAGACCAAGAGGAATACCTTGCTTTTTGTTGCGCAGCACCAAATTGCTGAATACCACTTTCTTTGCGGACCGTGCCTCTCTGTACTGCAACTTTGTTTCGATTCCTTTCAGCAGCAGCGACACGATTGCATCAGCATCATCCGTTGCATCTTCTTGTTTCTTTGCCTTTCCGCCGCCTTCACTTCTACGTGTAAATTGGTTTTGGCCGTAAATAAAGGAACACCGTGCTACCACGATCGCGACTGCTCGACCACTACGGATTCCCACGTTACGTGACGAGAGACCAGCGCACTATCAATCCCGTCAAGTACGACGCTGTGGCTTTACCGAACAAATGGAGTTTTCTGTCACATTAAAGTGGCCCGTAGCTACCTATGTATGTAAAACCGTTTACCGATATCGTTATCCAGGTTTCTGGAAGAACCCGCCTCCTGCCGCACTTCTTCATCGCGCTCGTGCAAATAGCCGTCTGCTTCTTACTCGTCCTGCTCGTGGATCTTCTTTGAAATTTACTTTTTTGCATTTTTTTACATGTATGAACTGAATGATTGCAGTAGGAGGTGCATTCTGCCATACCGATTCCAATACCAGTGCCTGTACTCAATGGCCGGGCACCGGTGTGAAGACCATCGGTTTGGTGTATGAATTCGCATTCCTTTATTAATATTTTTTTTTTCGACCATTGCAATCGCAATCGCCACTCACGCACCACTTGAGAAGTTTGAACGTGCAGTGAGAAAAATTTGGTCACAACTTTGCTGTAATTCGACACTGAAATTCTAAACTGCCCTTGCATGATGATGACAAGCAAAAACAGGATATAGCAAATTAGCGATTATGAGTTTGTCGAGAAGATAACTAAACTTGTACGAAGACATCAAAGGAAACAGAAAACCTGACTACAACACACGTCAAATACAAATTGTTACCAAAAGTCGATGAAAAGAAGCGCTGCCAGAAGAACGGAAAGCAGTGCAGCGGGGTGCGCTAAATGGGCACACGTTGTATTGAATTCTCGTCACTTTATTTTGGCACACGACTTCTACTACTTTTCATCCGCCACTATTTTGACAATGTTGATCTCTGAATGTAGTCGTTTTTGTTTAAAGTCGTCAAAGAAAAAATCGGGTAAAGCATGTCACTGCGCCGCGACGAGTTAGAGTTTTCGACGAGAAATCTTTCAACATTTACTTCCTGCTCCCGGCTGAAAATACCTCTACTCCAAACTCTGTCCGCTATTTTTTCCCTTATAGTGAGTAGAGCCTAATAGTTTGCTGCTCAATAGGTTTGCACCGGACGACGTTTTTGAAATTTGTTCTTGTAGTTGTGCTGTATTGTCGATTCGCTGCGATAGTATGGCTGACCTTCTACTTCTCCCATGATCGAAATTTTCGTGCCGCCCCACCGCTCACTTGAATTGAATTCTTTGACGCTGCTGCATTTATTATTTTTCATGACGCATAATGATGTTTTACTTTTAGAAAGCAAGCACCAAGCTGCTTGGTGCTTGCTTGGTCCAAGCATCCCATGGTGACATCGAGATCGAATGACGCTGATCGATGCATCATTGCTACGACCAACGGTCGAACAACGCATTTATACCTACGCATGATGAGATTGAGAAGGAAGAGAATTTGATAAACTAGAAATCCAATCGCGAAAAATACAAGCGAAGAGGGAGGCCTTGGGTCTTTTTTTGTTCACACACCACACCTCCTGGTACGAGGAGTGCTGTTGTAAGTATTGTGAGTCGAGGACATGTGAGGTTGACGTGTGACGAGAGTGTTGTTCCCTTACCTTGAACTGGTCGCTGACTTTTGAAGATACGCGTTCGAGTTCGAATTGTTGCTTGTGGTTGTGACTGGGACTGAAAGTAATAGAAAATGATTAGATTTTAAAGTAGCTGCACTGGCACATAATTGCAGTAATAGAGCAGCAGCAGCGGGTCTTCGTCTTCATCCGTTTTTGAAAGAAAAAAACGCGACCAGCAGGATGAAGCTAACAACGTCCGTTGCCGCAGAGCAAAAGCAAGACTTCCAGCGAGCCACTGATTTTTTTACTTTGCAGCGAGTGAAAATGAAAGTATGTGATCACGAATCAGGTTGTTGTTCGACATCATGAGCATGTTGTTCTTCTCGTTCGATTGAATTTGAATTTCCTCTAATTACAACAATCAACCTAGGGTTTTGTTCGTGTTTCATGAATAAGATCAAATCTTTGTTTCCCTCCTCCATAGCCAACACTATGGAGGGCCAGAACATAACGGATGAGGAGCTGGACAAGCATATCACGACCCTGCTTGAGGTCCGCAATACCAAGAGCAAGTACCAGGCGCGGCAGAACATTGCGAGCGTGATTCTGACGGAATCCGAGATCAAGAAGCTGCTGTATGGCGTTCTCAAACGTTACATCCTCAACTGTTACATGGATTTTTATCGATGCAAGAACGGCAAAACTAAAAGCCAAAGGGGCGGCCTTGCGCGTATTGCATGACAGATTCGGCGCAGATTCTAAGCCTGTTTGGCTCTTCGAGAATTTGTCATGCGAAGCAGCGTGATCGTGTCAATTCTGATTGTAATTTTGCATGCGACCCGGTGGCCTGACCATCTGCGGAAAGGTGCCCTATGGGTTGCGTTTGTGGTTTCGGTCGGTTTGGCATGACAAATTCATGTAACAGTTGAGATTGTAACGCTTGAGAATCCCATATGCTGAACGCCACGCGGTTGGTGCTCCTCGCCCAGCCCGTTTTCCTGGAGTTGGAGGCGCCACTGAACATTCTGGGCGACATATGGGAGTGTCAGGATTGAAATCGACAAAGTTGAAAGAACTTGCAATGCAGGAAGCCCAATTTTCAAGTGGTGCATGACAAATTTCCGCACCCTCTAAATCCAGCTTGTCATGCTGTTTAGGGACAGAAGGCGACTTTTGTCATGCTACTTCAGCAGCTCTATCGTATCGCAGACGCAGACCCCAAACAGGCTGACAGTCGGCCTCACTTGCCATCCCTGCAAGAGAGGCGCTTCATGCCTTGCAATTTATGCATGAGAAATTATTTCAACTTTGTCGATTTCAATCCTGACGCTCCCATACGACATTCACGGGCAGTACTTCGACCTGCTCCGCTTCTTCGACACCGGAGGATATCTACCTTCTGCAAAAGTATCATATTCGTATTGTAGTCATGCATTACAAATCTTTTTCGCCCAGTGCAGTTAGATGATGATAAGGTAAATCAGCATTACAAATTTTATTTCTCATGCTGAGGAAATTTGTAATGCACGCTGTATACGAGTGCGATACTTTTGCAGTGCATAATATCCACCGGAGTGCAACTACCTCTGCCTCGGAGACTACGTCGACCGTGGGAGGCAGTCGATTGAAGTGATGCTGCTCCTGATGTGCTACAAGTTGAAGTACAGCGAGAATTTCTTTACGCTCCGTGGAAACCACGAGTGCGCGGGGATTACCAGGATCTACGGGTTCTACGACGACTGCAAGCGATACGCTGGGGGAATTTTTTACCGGACAAGTACTTACAAGCATCTACACATCATGATGATGAACATGTTACTCACTGCATCATGAACGTGATAAGATACTCTTTTGATATCATCGTCTATACTTTATTCCCAGTTGTTTGCAATTTACTCGCCAGAATGATTTGATACGATGGTTGGTTGTGTGTACGGTAAAAGAATTCGTTCCCCTCGTCCATAAGCGGCGCTACAACGTGAAGCTGTGGAAACATTTTTGCGACATGTTCAACTGTTTACCGATGGCGGCGGTGATAGACGAGAAGATTCTCTGCATTCACGGAGGACTTTTATCCAAGAAAAAAACCGTGTTAGTGTAACTTTCTTTGGCTGACGGCATCACAAATTTGCTCTACATGACAGAGAAACCTTGTCATGCGTTGCTTGTAAGGGAAAATACACATGAAGAGAGGAGATCATGGCTGTCTGGCATGACAGGTGTAACTCTGTTGCCTGTTCTGCATTACAGAGTTACACTTACACAGTTTTTTTCTTGCATAACTTTCTCCCCACATCCACTCTTTGGACGACTTGAAGAACTTTGTCCGACCCACGGACGTCCCGGACCAGGGCGTGCTGTGCGACCTGCTGTGGGCGGATCCGGACACGACTATTTCCGGCTTCGCCGAAAACGACCGAGGGGTTAGTTACATTTTTGGACCGGACGTGGTGCAGGCCTTTGTCCGGAAGCACGAATTGGATTTGATTTGCCGTGCACACCAAGTGGTTGAGGATGGTTACGAGTTTTTTGCGAAACGGCAACTGATATCAAATGTAAAAATGTCTGGGTCTGGAAGAATGCAAGTTTGTTATGCTTGTCTGGCATGACTCATAAATCTGTGATGCAGGAGCACGAAAAGGGCCTCTTGTCTGTTATGCAGAAACGCAATTTGCCATGCGGAAAATGAAACACAAGAGCAGCTCAAAAACTTGTCATGCTTGGCTTCGTATTGCAGTGCGCCCAGGAGTCACATTTTAGCATCACAAATTTCCAGACCCAGACATTTTTACATTTGATAACTGATCACGCTGTTTTCCGCACCGAATTACTGCGACGAATTCGACTATGGAAGCGTCAGGTTTGAAATCGTCAAAGTTGAAATAGTTTGTCATGCATAAAGTGCAGCCCTCAGAGTGCCTGTCTTTCAGAGTAGGCAAGTGAGGCAGATTGTAAGCCTGTTGAGGGGTAGAAACTGAGCTGCTAAAGTAGCATGACAGCAGGCGTCTTCCTTACCCAAACAGCATGACAAACTGGATGTCGGCTCTACCCAAATTTGTCATGCGCCGCTCGGAAACTGGGCCGCAACTTTCATCCATTTTTATGCATGGCAAATCTTTCAACTTTGACGATTTCAATCCTGACAGATCCATATCGACAACGCGGCAGCCATGATGAAGGTTGACGAGACGCTGATGTGTTCCTTCAAAGTGCTCAAGCCGATGCCCAAGCACGCAATCAAGGCCGCCGAAAAAGCGGATGCAAAAAACAGCGTTTGCCGTCCGGCGAACTAGTATTGATAAATTCATTTATAAGAGGGGTTTCATTCTATTTACAAAGACGACGTACTAGGGGTTGGTGCTGTTGAGCAGCAAAAAAAAATATACAATAAAGTAGCGGGTTTGAGTGATTTGTAAAATTCTTGAAAACGATTACGACACACGATAACGAGCAGGTTACCAAATAAATTCTTGCGATGAATTGCGATGAAGTTCACGGCGCCGATGGTTAGAAACTTGATACCCTTACAACGCACGAACTCTGTATATGGAGAAAGCGCATTATGACAGACGCAGACGAAATCAAAAACAAAATGTACAAAAAAGTGGTTTCGAACTTCTTGAGACTTGATGCCAGGCTTATTTTGCTTCAGGTTCAAAGTGTCAATATGAATATCCATTCCCTCCGAAAGTATTCCAGACGTACTCTATTGAAAATAATTACAGAGCCATTTAACTTTTGGGTTTTGGTTTCCCCCCTCAAAGACAATCACAAGTGCGAGTGCTGAAATTAATAACACTGAACGCACAACCAGCGGCGACAAACTGCTAGTGGCTCAATAGAAAAAAATTAGAAAACTAGTAAGAGAGAGGCGCAGGAGCCAGAACCATGAATACTTGTATTAGTAGGTCCTCGTCTTGGTCCCTTGCAAAATTATTGCCTCAAGGTAATAAAGCTGATATCAACAGAACACGCGTAAAGAGCGACGACGCGGCGACGGTATCCATGACTATGAAAAACTATGATACGCGAAAAAAGCGCGAGGCAGTGGTTACTACAGACGCGATTTGGTCGTCCTCCAAAACGGACGAGCCCGCGAAAAGCAGTGCGTCTTTCTGGGGTTCCGCAGCAAAATTCGGATCACTTTCTATTTTATTTTTTTTGATTTCCACTTTTCATTTTCCTTACGCTTCGTTTCCGCTTCCCATTGCATAGATCCGTAAGTTCTTGAAGTAAAAAAGAGTAACTTGTTTTTGCCGCGTGCGCATGAAGCCAAGAAAGGCAATGTAGTCTTGGAGCAGTAGATCGTGCTGGTTATCACAACTCAGATTGTTGCAGCTAAATGAAAAATGACCACAGAGATGATCTTATGTGAGCCAGTTCTTGCAACAAACACCACGATTATAGCTGGGAATCATTGACAAGGACGTCCCGATCTGCCGCAACGGCAAGATAGATTCTGTGTCTTGCTTGAAATTTCGAGTTGTGTATCGTATCTTCTCCATACTTTCTTACTACTTTTTCATTTCTGCTTATCCCGAAAACAAAAGAAGATGAAGATGAGGTGGAACCACACGAAAACGCTCGCGTACCTGACCGCTGCGTTCTTCCCCGGGGGCCTTGTGGAGGGTCGCACAGTCCATCGCCGCCTCTCGCGCTTCCTGGGAACTAGACCCGCGAACGCGATGATTGATCCATTTTTGGAGCCGGACGTGTCTGTCATGATTCGGTGTCCGCAGTGGCGCGCGGCCCTCCCGAATTTCTCCTATCCGACGCCGCTGACCTCCCGAGACGCGCACGCCTTGGCCGGGAAGTTTCTGCATGCCGCACCGGCGCAGACGATTCCCTATTCTTGTACTCCTGGTGATGCCATCTTCAAGCACGACCGAGCAAAGCTGCACACATTTCGATCTAATACGAGCACAACCAATCCTGATGTTGCCGGCCCGGGGACTTCAGTCACTGATCAATTTCAATTTGAGCGCGAAGGCGGCCCGCTTCGATTCAGGATGATGCTGCCCAGCACATCTAGAACCAAGGACTCATCTTCTACTTCAACCTCTACCACAGATGTAGATGTTGACGTCGACCAGGGGGCGGGCCCTCCTGAACAAGATAGATTCTTGCAAAGTCAACGAACAGGAACAGAACCTTACAAGACCGCACGAGACGAGGACGTTGCAACACCTACGACAAGCACAAGTAGTGCGAGTGCCACGACACCGTATCACAGCTACACCGACTGTCCGCCGGAATGCGATCCGTACGTCGAAGATCATGTTGATAACGATAAATCCGCCAGATCTTCTTCCCTGCTGCGTCACTGCATTAGCTCTTCGTTTGATTTGCGACGTTACCCGAGGACGGACTTTCGGGACATCATTAGCGAGCAAAGACGAGAGCGCTGGCCGCTGCGGCGCATGATCGTGGTCTCCGAGTCCACCGCCGATGGAGGTGATAGTAGTTATTCTTTCCCGAAAACCCCCATGTCAGAAGCCGCGCCCCGATCGCCGACGGCAGACGCCGCGGAAAAAGGCCCCGCGAATTATGGACCACATGTTGAAAGGCGGTCGTCGTGTACTAGAAGGGATCAAATTTGTTCTGCAAAGAACAGTTTTCTGAAACCTCCGACTTATTTCGGCCGCGGCCTCCTGTCCAACTTCCTTGGCAACATGCGCTTTCCGTCCTGGGCGGGCTCTTCTCGCGCGGTGTCCTCATCTGCGTCTATAGATGATGCTGCCACATCATCGTCTGTGGAAAGCGCAGCTGCTTCGTCCGGCAAGCATTCCAGCCTGCGCAGTAGTACAAAAAAGTCCGGCCGCAGCTTCGTGAATTTTGACGCGTTGCTAACCTTCCTGCGAGAGTACCTACTGGTAGGAAATTCTCATCAATACAGTTACAGTGTCAACAACAGTGGGTCATCTTCGCAAGAACAAAAAGCTGCTGCTTCTGCACCTGCTGCACCATCTGGCTCAGCGGGACCACCGCCACCTCAAGTCGAGGACACAAAAACTAAGAGCGTCGATATCCGGAAACTTTTTGACCACCGTGTCAACGCCGCATTGTCCGCAGCTCCGGTTTTGGAAGAAGCGCCAGATCATATGAGCTGCAACCCGGCTTCCCTGTACGACCATCCGGTTGAAATCAATCGCCTACAGCCGAAAACCCACAGCAAGTGCCGCTACCGCTGTTCCAGTGCCGCGGGGCTGTTGACGCGAGAACAGGCACTGTGGCTGATTGGGGCGATCCGAGACTTGGATGTGGAGGACGAGGTTTTGACTGTCAATTGGCTGGAGTTTGACGCGGCACTGCCAGGCTGGCTCGAGGAACAGCTTACGGCTTGGACGGTAGTTAGAAATCCCGGCCGCGGATATTGTGCGGATATTATGACTCAAATGGAAAACGTGCGACAGTTTTTCTCTCGTCGCGGTCGATCTCTCTTGCCGACCCCCAGCCCCTCGCCCAAGGCCAGGGGTGCGCCGGGGATGGGCTAGGGGAGGGTCGGCCAGGGGCGGGGGGGTGGGGACCCCGTTCCGACCCCTGATCGCGGCCGACCCCGGCAAACGCCTGGCCTGGCCCCATGCATGTTGGCCGATTGCTCGTGGGTGGTCGGCCCATTTTTTCGTTGCAGCCTTGGGAATCACGCCTCCGCCTTGGCCTTGCGAGTCTGTCTGGCATGGAGGCCAGGTGCCGGGGACAGACTCCCAAGACTGCGGAGTTGGTGGTACTCACCTGTAGCAGTGGCCAGGAGCCTTCAGCCCTGGAAGGTTCGTTGGACAGGACTTCCTGGCCAAGCCTCCGTCTTGGGAGTCCTTCGTCAAGGAGGCAAAAAAGTGTTCGCGGACTGGCCAAAAAAAAGGCCCCGCGGATTTGTTGGACAGGCACGATTTGTGGCGCCCGTTTCCTGACCCAAAAAATCCACCATAGCGTGCGGGCGCGGATTTTTTGGTACAAATCCGCGACAAATCCGCGGACCCGCTTTTCGACAAATCCGCGGACCCCCTTTCGACAAATCCGCGGACCCCCTCCGCCGAGTCCGCGAATCGAGTACCCGATCGGGATTGGCGCCTTGCCAAGTGCCCTCGGGGGGCTTTAGCAGGCTGCTATGGCCCATCCGCGGCGATCATCAAAGGCGCGTCCGCTTTGGGAGCTGGCGGGCCTCCTTGCCCTGGAACCTCCGGGGGGGCCTTCCAGGCTGCTATGGCCCCGGTCGGGGAAGGGCTTGGGGAGGGACTGGGGGAGGGGCCGCAGGGGTGGGCCAGGGGTCGGTGGGGCAGGGGAGGGCGAGCCAGGGGAGGGTGGGCCCGGGGTCGGTGGGGCAGGGGTGGGCCAGAGGAGGGCCAGGGGAGGGTGGGCGGCCAGGGTTGGGCCAGGGGCCGGTGGGGCAACCAGGGGTGGGCCAGCCAGGGGCGGGCCAGCCAGGGGCGGGCCAGCCAGGGGCGGGCCACCCGGGGCGGGCCACCAGGGACCCAAATCCGCACAATATCCGCGCGCTGTTGTTCTAACAGGTGTCCAAGCTCTAAGGAACAGCGGGCGAGAACGCGCAGAATGTGCAGCGGCATGTCCGTGCAGGTACCGTACGCGTACGTCGAGGACGATAACGAGTTTAATATTAATACGTCCTCCGCTGCAAGTGGGAGCTTCGGCACGAAGCACGAGGATCCGGAGAAATTCTGGGGACCAGAATCAAACACAGAGTGGAACGCTTTTGAAGGGGTGTGAGGCGACAACTACGAAGGATCGTAGGTATTTTCCGAAAAAAAATACAAGAGCGTGTCGGAGGAGGGAGTTGTGCCGAGCCCCGCTCGGTGAACTAATCATCATCAAGAACCTGATAAAGGTAGTACGAGACAAACGACTTTCACCTTTAGCGTTTTTCTTTTTCGCAATGAATCAAAATTATGTACTCTGTCTTTCCAGCATGTAGCTACATTAACCAATTTGAAATTACTTTTTGCAATCCAGAGAATACAGTTTTTTTTACAGCAGATTGAGCTTTGCTTACGTGGTTATGAAGAAATCGATATCATCTTTCTGCAACACTCTGTCAAAGTTTAACAACGAGCACGACAAAGCACAACCCAACGTTCCTTTCATGAAATTAATTCGCAATAAAACTTGAATTCTCAATTCTTGTTTCGTCGCGAATGAAAACCAAAATGCACAAACTCACACTGTATACGTCAAAAATGGATTTTGATCTTTTGGGAATGAACAAAAAAATAATAAAACCTTCGAAAGCAGTCGCCGGTCTCTGCATGCGCAGGAGAAGAATACGAACACCAGAGAAAGTTTTCTCCTGCCCCCGATCAAATTCAACCGAACAATACTAGTCCGAAAATGATCACGATCGCAGTTTTCAGATCACGAAACATAAACGAAGCACACTCACGATCCATGATGAAAGTGGTTGCTTCATGAACAAAGAAGTAGTCCGGTCACCGTCCCAGTCGCTGTAGTTTCGCTTCGATCACTTTTTGATCCGAGTGTAGTTGGAAGGTTCTTCATTCAATGACAATGCGACAGAAATTGAAATTATAAATGAAAATCTAGAGGTTCTTTATCTTTTTATATTAAGCACTTACACTTTTGGAGGTGGGGGACTTGGTCTGCGATAAAAGGACGAAGAGGAATGAAAGAGCATACCATGATGTCGCAGACAAACTTGAAGTATGAAGTTGTCGAAATTCGTAAGCGTATCCAGTGATTTCGAGATCGCAAGGAAATTCAATATGTCGGATGGATAAAGGTTGCTTTTAGCGTCGCTGGCTGCGGCTCGCCTAGAAGTTCTTGATGCGTACATTCTTCCTTATCCTTGGCCCCCGTATTGATTGAAAGTTCCGTGATATTAACCATCTCTCACATCACAAAAAGGATGGGCAAAACCACGAAGGACCGCCGCGATATCTACTATCGCATGGCGAAAGAGCAGGGTCTGCGGGCAAGGTCGGCGTTCAAGCTTCTTCAAGTCAACGAGACCTGTAACTTGTTTGAGACGAACTCGAGGTCGTCCGAGGAGTGCGGGAAGCCTCATGCTCCTGATGCAGCAGAAGTCCGGCATGTTGATATTTGGAACTCCGACGTTGAAAATAATATACGACCTAAGCGGCACCGCGTGGTGATCGACCTTTGTGCCGCTCCCGGGAGCTGGACCCAGGTCTTGGCCAAGTATTTTGATCAAGTCATTGCTGTCGATTTACAGGCGATGAATCTGGATACGGCGGAGCTTCGGCAGAAGGTCACTTACCTCTACGGGGACATTACCAGGACGGACTTTCTCTGTGAACAAATTTCTGAGGCAATTGCGACATTCCAGAATGGAAGAGCAGGAGCAGCTAGTGCTGCGAGTGCAGAAATAAAACCGACGGGCCCGTGCTCCGGCAGTATCGTAGCACCAATGGACATTGACAACGGACGAAAAAACGAGGAAGTGAACAAAAAGAGGCGGATAGAAGAAAACGAACAAGCAATGTACCGGACAGCTGAACACCGCGACGGAAGCGAAACCACCACCAACAGTGAAGAAGATGCCAAAAATCTCCTCCACGTCGGCAAGGCCGACCTGTTGGTTATGGACGGCGCGCCAGATGTCACTTTGATCCACGACTTTGACGAGTATGTGCAACACCTTCTCATCAAAGCCTCCCTGAACGTCGCAATCAAAACCCTGAAACCCGGCGCCAACTTCATCGCCAAGCTTTTCCGGGGGCCGGAAAACGAGAACGCGGTGGTGCGGTTGATGAAACGGCATTTCGCCGAAGTGGTGATTTGCAAACCGAGGGCCAGTCGTGCAAGTTCCCCGGAGTGCTTTATCGTGGGGAAGGGATTTTTTCAAAAGATTGTGCAGGAGGAGAAGGACATGGCAATCGGAAGGGCAGAAATATTCACAGGAGCTGCGACCGGTGCTAATGAGGCTGAGCATGGTGCGAGTAGTAGCATCTTGCTAATGGACGATGAGGAAGCGTATCCGTATGTGTCGTGTGTGAGGACAAGACTACCAACTCTCGGGCGTGAGGACCGCATGAATCAGAATGACGAAGAGCAGCCACTCCCCGAGCCGGTCGACGTTATTTCTCTTGACCAAGAACAGGTGCCGGAGCAGCACATTTTGGTAGAAGATCAAATTGCCTTTGCCACCGCCCCTAGCCGACGTAGCTTCGATGCAGTATCACAAGTACAACGAGCGTCACCAACAGCACCAAGGGATGTAACATCACCGGAAGTAGATGTGCCGTTGCAGAACATCATCAAACGCGAAGGTGATCGTAGCGATGAGGACGCTTTTTGTTCTCTTCCTCGCCTCGCAGCAATGGCCAGCACTGGCACAACAACTCGTGCGGCGCCAGCACGACCAGCCCGCTTCTTGCAATGCGGTGCAAGAAATGCGCCTGACAGCGATAGGAACTACGAACTTGCGGCGGACCACGTCTTCACGGAACCCGTGCAGAGGCCGATCAAACCCTTCTACGAAGACGCGCTCTCGAGGAAGCGGGGAGGGAAGAAATAGATGAAAAGGAAAAGCCCTTGCAAGGCGTCTGTTGACACACTTCTTTCACTGGTTTCGCTTGACCTCGAACTCTTACGTGTTTCTCGAGCAAGCACATACACATAGCGACACAATCTCACGACAACATTTTTTGCATCACATTCCAAGCAAAGTTCAACATTCAAATCGAAGCATCAAGCGCCTTGGACGTCGTGCCTCCGGTCGTCTCCATTTTCTTGACGCTCAGCTACATTTTGATCGTTAGTGTTCGCTGTATTTGTGTACCAAGGAGAGGCCTGACCAACATACCGTACCTATTCGTCTCAAGGTTCGTTCTTGCAACGACGGCAGGAACGGCGTAGTCTTCAACTTCTTTTATCGCTTCAGAAGATCTACTGCAGGAAGCTTCGATTTCGCCTTCCAAGTCCTTGTGAGCATTCAGCGCAAAGCGTTTCGTAAGCAGAAAATGGATTGGCTCGTTTCAACTCTCGGCGGCTCGGGGAACCCACAAAATCGCCAGGGGGGCGTTGCCGACACTCCTGCAGTTCTTCATCTTGACCGCACGGCGATCTCAATCCAAGGAGGCAGCACGCCGAGCCAGCAAGATCATCATGGTGGAAATGCATCGTATGTTTCCTCTCGCCAGTACCGTCTGCCCTTCGAGCGCTACCCGCAAATCGCCTCGGAGTTGGAGGAGGCACTGGTCTCCGAGGCGGCGAAGCAGCCGCACCACGACCTGGCTGCGGCGCAGAATCTGCTCAGGAAGTGGATTGCGTCCTTGGTCCGACCGGCGGAGGACCTGGCGGCCAGCGCGGTAAGCCACCAATTGCTTGGCATCGTTTCGAAGAAGAACAATCAGATTGATGATGCGGGATCATCTCCATCTGGATCGGCTTCCAGCTATCGCGCATTGCAGCTTCACCTCGCCCAGCAACTGATCGATCAGCCCGCCTTTGCGATCCATGACAAACTGCAACCCAAGAAGATTTTCAGCTTTCGGCAGATTCTGCTACGGACGCAGGCGATAGAGTTTTTATTCTCCCACATTGCTGGCCTAGACGCGGAAAGGACCGCTGTCGCTGGGGCCGCGTCAGGAAGTGGAGCAGGAGCTTTAAGTGGTGCGGGAACGGCGAGGCTGTCCCCACCACCGCCACCGGGACCGAACGGGATGTCCACGACAAGTGGAATCACGGTGAAGAAACTGTCCGCTACTCCAGCTTCATCAACATCCAGTTCTGTTTTCGCACCCGCGGCGCGTGCGGTGCAGTTGAAAGCGCCACCGAAACCGCCGCTCGGAGACATGGTCTCTCCGACTGCGGACGTTGCCAGTTTTTCTTCCACCGGAGCAGCTGTGATCACAAGCACGGACGCAACGGACGGCGGTTTTTTCGTGCCCACGCCGACGCGGCGGTCACCGACAGACGAACAAAAGGCGGAGGTGCCGACGAGAAGTGCAGACGCCGGACCAGTGGAGGTGGGACCAGCTGGTGAAAAAATTCATGCGACTGCCACGGCACAGGCACAGCAAATGCAAAAGCAAACCGGAAACCCCTCAGCCTGGTCGCCTGGAAGGGATCGACGAAGTGATATCTTTGGAGATAGCGCAAATTCCAGTAACCCATTCGGGGACAGCGTTTTGTCGTCCACAAGCGCCGCCGGGTCATCCTCAACCGGTAGTAGAGACAGGCGACGGACGTACAGCGAAGAAGATGATCTTCACTCCTCTGGAAACATCAAGAACCACCCTCGAAGCGCGGAGACGTTGAAAGAAGGAGTCCCCGCGAGACCGTCCAGCTCTTCGCCTTTTGAAGACGACACGACAGAAAGCACCACGACGGCAGCTTCGAGTATGACGGTTGCAGCTCCTGATCGTGAGAAAGAAGCTGTTAACCTCGAAGCGCAGCTACTGGTCCAGGAGGACCATTTTCCGGCAGTTCTGGAGCAGAAAAGCAGCAACTACCCGCCCGAATTTCTCCAGACGTGCCTGGAGTTTTTCGAATTGACGCTCCGGACGAACAGACTGAACGGCGTTCTGCTAGAGGCTTTGCAGCAAACCAAGCAGGCAGTGCAGGTTCTTTCCTGGCTGAAGGACTCGGAGCAAGACCATTTAGGCGTGATCGACTTTTCAGCGGCTTTTGCGGTGGAGCTGCAAGGTGGAAATAAGGGTGCGGCTGGTGGGGCCCCCGCTGGTGGCACCGGCCAAACCTGCACCTTGCTGCGTCAGCGCGATGCACCGCTGGTCGAGAAGGAAATCAAAACCTTAGAGATGCGACTGAGCGAAATTTGCAGCTCAGTGGGATCGAACGTGAATCAGGACGGCAGTCCGCAAAAACTGTTGTCTTCTTCCGCTGTCGCGGGCGGAAGTAGGGGCAGGAGCTACAGTGGAGATCAGTACAACAGTGAAAATCTCCCAAACGCGTCGTCGAGGTACTATCACCAAAAAGGAGGCTCAAGCTCCTCGACCAACCCTGCTGCAATCACGAATGGATCATCCGGAAATTATTCCGGAGGTGGTGGCTCCACCAGCAGTAACGTTAAGAGCAACGGGTCTTCTACAGCAGGATCATCATCTTCGCAATTTCCCGAGCTCTCCGGCCCGGGGTCGGTGCAGATTCAGAACCTTCCGCAATACATGAACCTCGTTTCTGGGGACGACCAGAGCCCAGGTTTGTTCTCGCGCACGAGGAGCAGCGGGATCTTTTTCTCTTCCACTCTGCTCAACGCGGACGATCGGTCGAAAAACAGCGTGATTCATAGGGAGTATGGGGTAGAAGATACGACGTTCGCGTTGCTGGTGCGGGACTTGGTCCTGCCCCTGCTCGAGCAGACCGTGACTGATCAGAAGGATTTACGAAACGCGGAGCGGGCGCAAACCGTGTCCAGAAAGCTGTTGCTGCAAAGGAGACTGCACGAAGACAACTGGGTGACGAAACTCGCTGCGTGCGCGAGGTCCGTGGAGCAGTTGTATGAACTGTAAAAGTACCGTACTCGTATAAATGCATTACAAATTTCCGTAGCATGAGGAATAAAATTTGTAATGCTGATTTGCCTCGGGAACAAGATTTGCCTCGTGTACGCCGCGTCGAAAGGCTCCCTTCCGTACGGAGCGCCCCGAACCCGTTTTAGCGCACCTCTGTGATGGCCTTACTGTTGCAAGAAGTTAGATCAGTTTGTAGAGCCCAATCTGTTTATGCTAGCAGAGGGCTAGTGCGCTGTAGACCCCCAGGACCAGGTAGACTCAGTCCCGACCGAAGTGGTAGGCGCTTAGGGTGAACTATGTATGTAGCGCTTAGGGCCCTTCCGTTCGGCCAATTTGTATGTCCCGCAACGGGGTTCGCCTATGTCGGTCCTTTGTATGTGAGGCGATGGGTTACCCGGTCGGCAGAGCCGATCCACAACGAGCGAACATTTGCATTTATACGAGTGCGATACTTTTGCACAGGACAAGTTGCTGTTGCTGTTGACGATGGTCCTGAAACTCCAAGCGCGAACGGAAAACGTTCGGAAAAAAGGGAAGGCTGCGGTGGTGGAAAGCTCGAGCATGGTGGAATCCCTGACCAAGAACATGGCGGAGACAGACGCCATCGTGAAGAAATTGAGCCTCAGCCAGGCGGATTTGGAGCGACGGAGAAAAGAGGTACTAAGTGGGAGGAGATGATAAGGCTGTGTCTATCCAAAAATGTGTACCTAGATTGATATAGCCGTTCTGTATCATGCTCCTGATGTAGATGTCACTCATGATGAAGATCCAGCACATAAAAATGCGATGAATCCCACTTTTCTTTATTGTACAAACAAAATCCAGGTCGTCAACGACATTCATGACCAGGGCACGGCCGCGATAGCGAAGCTGGACGAGCTGCGCACGCAGCGAATACAACTCGACTCCGAAAAAAAGCAACTTCTACAGCGTTTAGAGGAGATCGACTTGAAGCTGGCTTTCCTCGACACGGAAGAAAAGTCCCTCGCCCTCCAGGTTTCCAAGCAGTCCGGCCAGGAGAACTACATTGCGCAATCTTTCACGCAGCAAATCGACGAGGCGATGGAGAAGCTGATCGCGAAAACCGATCAGAAGATGGTGCAGTGCAACCTACTCGCCTTGGTCCACCAGGCGAAAGACCACTTTTCGCACGTGCACGGGAGTGATTTGGAGGGGTTGAAGAACCGGATCGCAGTGAAAAGGCGGCAGTTATACAGGCAGTTAGTGCAGTTTCTCGACTTCACCACGAAAGAACTGTTCCCCGCAGCGGCGCAAATTTCGCAAGCGCGGGGCGGGGAAGAGCTGCTTGGTCTGTCAGCGAACAAGACAGTCAGTCAGAAATTCGTTGCCGCAACCGTCGATAAGGTGTTTGCGCAGGTCACCGCAGTTCTAGGGCAGGTTGGGCTCGCGGAAAAAGTCGCCGTGACCACGGGCGCAGTACAACTAGAGGGCATAAATTTGACTTCTCGTCACCAGGCCGGTTCTACTCCGAAGGAAGTGAATCTGCAGCCGGATCATGTTGATTACGAGGTAGACAAGGACATCAACAAAGCCGCTTCAATACTTGTACCGCCATACTGAGTGGAAAATTTCACAAATACAAATATCTGCAAAAATTGGTCCTTAGAGGCTTCAGGGCTGCTGGGAGGGGGTCCAGGGTCTGCGAAACGCAACGCCGGTGAGTCGAACAGCAGCACAGCAACAGCGCGCGGCGTTCTTCTGTCCGGCAAGGTCCGGAGGGTTTGGCGTCGCTGGAAGCCATACCGGACGACCACGAGCATGCATATACTTCAACAACAAAATCAGAAGGCTGCTGCCTTTCCTTTTCGTCGAGTCCGCCGATGCGGTTTGTCGTTTAGCTCGTGATTGGAGCAAAAAAACGCTATTCCCACTCGGAAACTTTTCACAAATGAACAGACCCGACCCCTCCGGAGACCCCAAGATCTGGGGCCCTTCGGAACAGCCAAATTCCCAATTCCCGCTTGGAAACTTTCCACAAATGAAAAGGCAGGGGGGTCCGGCGACCCCTGCCGGAGAAGTCGCCCGCGAGCATTTTTCTGCGTCATTTTGATGCGATTTTCGCCTTTCGGCGATTCGCCGCGGCCTATTACTGCCTCCGCATGCGCCGCATGGCGCCGGAATTCCGGGCACCCTGGCGCGGCCCCAAGAGCCCTAGTGCCGCCCTGCTAGGCGGCCCGCGCTGGTGCGACTTTGGTCGGGTTAAATGGCGACCGCCTGAGATGAATGCTCTGGCGCCCCTCCCAAGGATGCCCGACAGGGCCTGAATTGCTGAAAAGCATAACACTGAGCGCCTGCTTCTCTGCAGTTTTGTCCTTTAAGCATCAATTTTTGCAGATATTTGTATTTGTGAAATTTTCCCCTTAGTACGCCACCAGCCAGGACTACACCCACAGGCACCGGCGGTACGAAAGCGAACGCCATTTTGGCTTGGAACGATGACGACAGCTCGGCGTCTGAACCCGCATCACCCGCGGAACAAATAGTACAACATCATGCACGCCAAGACAACTCGAGCTCGAACTCCTGTAGCACGCCAGTACTGAGGGAAGATCCCGTAAGAAAATCCCTCCGTCACCACCTGTACCAGGATAGCGGGTTTCTGCAGGAGTTGTTCACCAAACTGCGGGAGAAAACGGACAATCACAAGTGCGCGGACTGCACCAGGATGGACAGTTCGGTGTCCTGGGCGAGCCTGACGCACGGCGTCTTTCTCTGCCTCAATTGCGCGGGCGTGCACCGGTCGCTGGGGGTGCACACCAGTTTCGTACGCTCGATCACGATGGACAAGTGGTCCTGGCAGGATTTGGCGAGGATGGTCTGCGCGGCGAAGCTGCAGGTTGCAACAGGACCAGGTCGTGCGTCGACCGGGAGCGCCGCTGCTTTTAGTACAACGATGTTGAGATCCGGCGGCCCCACGACTGAAGATGAAGATGAACAAAGCGTCGATGCGTTCTTGCAAGATGTGATTGCAGCGGCGTCTGAAAACTACACTGCGGACCAAGAAAACACTAAGGGTGCGAAAGCGTTGAAGCGGTTTGGAATCGCACTCAGTGCACTTTCTTCGTCGAATAAAGGGACGAATTCCTATCTGCAGTCGTCTTCGGCGGACGTTGGTACAACGGCGAGCGAAAATCTTCCAAACAAGCCTACTAGTAAAACCCTCGGGAAGAAATACACCTCGATCCGGGCAACTTTCCTTCGAAGGCTGTTGGACCTGTTACAGGCAGATTTTATCGACAAACACCACAGGGCACCTGCTGCACCAGGTGGGCAACACCAACACGCCACTGTTGATCACCACGCTTTGTCCACGGAGTTCTGGAAGGCCCAGGTGAGGGCAATCCCTGCGCCGGAGGATGCCGTTCAGGTGAAGCAGGAACTGTTGCGCGAGCTAGCGTGTCGTCCGGACCCTTTGGACCTCCAAGAAATCGCTTTGTCGATCCTGGATCAAGTGGCGGAGTCGGACCACGAGGGAGCAGAGCAGCTGTTGCTTGCGACGGAGAGGCTTGCAACGGAGAGCGCCAACCAAGAAACGGAGACCGGGTGGGAGGAGGTCTTGACGGCGCTGGCCGCGTTCAGAAGTGCAGCCGGGGGAGGTGCTGGCTGAGAGCTCTACAACTTGGGTTTTTCTGGCAGGAACGGCAGCTAGGGCTCTAGCGCTGGAGGCGTTTTTTCGTCTTCGCAACCTTCATCTACAGAGGCAGTCTTCGCAACCTTCATCTACAGGGACTCAATTCCGGTATGTTCAGACTGCGTTTTGCTTTTGTAATGTGAGACTGCTTCTGCTCTAGTACAAATTCACGGGAATGGACAGGGGGAGGGGTTTGGGAGAGGGGCCAAAACCGGGAAAAAGCGGAGGCCCGAGATGGGCCAGAAATCAAGGTAAACAGGTGCGATACAAATTCACGGGAATGGGGGGGGGTATCCTTGGGGCCACCCCCCTCAGGCAAGGGCCAGCAAAAACATCCCAACTTCAGCAAGGCCGTTTTTTGGCCGAAAACCGGGGCACTCAGGTCGCGTTACAAATCCACTGGAATGGCCAGAAATTTTTGGCCACCCCAAGCGGTAGCGCCCGAGCCAGATTCTGCTCGTGCTGGGCATGGCCTGGGGCTTTGGGAAATGGCGCCGGCCCCCTGGCCCGGAGCCCGGCGCCGCCTGGGGCCCGGCAGTGATGTTAAAACGAAGCGCGGGCGTTTTCAAATTGTAGACAGGCCCGGGGGCAGGCCTTCTACGTCGAGCGCCTCTTGATATGTTGCGCGCGGTTTTTTGGCGTTTACGATTCCGTCGCAAATCACCAAGGCCATGCGCATGCGTGTGGTTCTCACCTCTTTCAAAAATGAGGCATGGCAAAATTTTGAATTTTCCCCCTTTCCTGTGTTTTTCCCCTTGGTATAGGACTAAAGCGCTAGAGGCGTTTTTTCGTCTTCGCAACCTTCATCTACAGAGGCAGCTACATCCTGTTCCTGACCTGCCTGTTGGACTTGGAAAAAGATCAGAGAAGGATATAAATACTACGCAAATCAAATCAGTCAGGACGAGAAGAGCTGCACCTGATGTATTTATTGCCTGCGCAAAGAAAAGATCAATTTGTTCTGTTCATAGATATGGTGGATCACCGAGTGGATATGGAAACAGTGTCAGCGCATACAGATCATAAACCACGTGCATGTAGTAGTGTCCATGTAGCAGGAACGAGGCCAGACAGCCCAAGAAACCCTCGAGTTAGTAATGATCAAGCTCCAAAAGCAACCAGAGATTCTGGAAGATCAAAAAGTAAACAGAGAAGATCCATCGGTTATTCGGTTCCCGGCTTCCCCGGTCAATTGCGTCTATTTTTCCGTTCCAATGATCCCATTCGCACGATCCAAGCACAGGCAGAGTGAGTAAAACGGTTAGGCCAATCATGTAGAAGAAAGTATAGTAGAAACTTATGAAAACAGGTTGACATCTGACACTACATTCAAATGTAGCGATTACGCGTCCTTTTCCTTTAGCAAGACCAAAAATGAGCGCGCAAGATAGTCATGAAATAACTATCAACGGAGCAAGGCTGCATGACGCGATGGCTGCCGACAGCAAAAAAGATGAAGAAGGTCGGCAACCGCAACAAATACAGCCTCAATCGCAACCAAAAACGGAGATACAGCAAGGAGCTGCGACGTTATCCACCTCAGACGAACGCCACACTGACATATCAGAACGACCCCTCCAAGTACAACAAACACGAACAGACCAGGAAGATGAGCCGGCTAATACAGGTAAAAATGATCCAGCACCACCTTCTGCGACGAGCTCGAGCACGTGCACAGGAGCCGCTGCACCTAGTAAAAACAAGCGCCAAATCTGCGGTAAGTGTGACCGACCACAAACCGTGTGTCTCTGTCCCTGGTTGCCGGAGCAGAAACTGAAGATCCCTAGCTTCACGAAAATCATCGTCCTGCAGCATCCCCAGGAGCAGAAGCAGAAACACAAAACCGACTACTTCCTGTCCAAGTGTTTAGACCGGATCGAAATCGTGAAGGGGCGGCGCTGGAGTGATGAGCTGAAGCGGAAGTTGCGGGTGGACCCGGAAAAGACTTTGTTGCTTTTTCCGTCGAAAGAGGCACTCACGGTCAAAGAAGTTTTCGAAGATCAGGACGAATCGATTCGACGGGCGGAAAACGCCTCCAAAGGAACGAGCCCCGATGAAGTAATCCGCGCAGTCCGGAGAGCGAAAATGGGTTTGCGCAGCTCTTCGTGCGAAGACGAGACGGAGAACCCCGAAGTCACCCCGACCGCGGACATTTCGGAATTACCAGGACAGATTTTGTGGCTCTCACCACGGGACAAGAAGACCATGAAATTGAAAAGAAAGGAGAATAGAGAAGAAATAAAGGCGAAACATCAAGTCTTCGCGCATAATTTTCAACATGAAACTACGAGCAATAAGCAGATCCAAAGAGCAGGAGCTCCTGCAGCAGATGAGAAATTAACAACGACCCAACAACAAGCTAGAACTCCGGCGGCAAGCAGCACCGCCGCCTCCTCTCCGAACGAAACTGGTAGAAGTTCTCCCCGGATGTTGGACGGTGAAGATTCTGAGTCGTGGTACGAAAATTTATCTCCCCCGAATGATGTGAAGGGGAAGTACTACCGCTATTTAGTCGTTTTGGACGCCATATGCATTGCAAGAGCATCGTACTAGTATAAATTGCATGACAAATTTTCTCAGCAAGACAACTGGAATTTCTCATGCTGATTTGCCTTAAGAACGAGATTTGTATTGCATAACTGCAATTCCAATTACTACGAGTACGATACTTTTGCACTGCATACGCCACTTGGAAGTACGCAGAGGAGATGGAGTATGGATGTGTCAGGTTTGAAATCGTCAAAGTTGAAATAGTTTGTCATGCATAAAACGGATACCAGTTAGACCTACAGTTTGTAGTCGGCGCATGACAAATTTTCCCGGACCTGGAAGCGAGTCTGTCATGCGGTTTTGGGCAAAAGAGCTGCCTTCTGTCATGCTAGTTAGCAGTCCAACTTTTGACCCTTGCCAGGACTATAATCTGCCTCCCATGGGTCCTCTGCAATAGAGTCACTTTTTGTGTCGCATTTTACGCATTACAAATTGTTTCAACTTTGAGGATTTCAAACCTGACGCTTCCATATGGAGGTGAGCTTTCCCAAAAAAATCCTCCGCGTCACGCTGGCCTCGGACCGGGAGGGAATGACCGCCGTACCGCTTCCCGCGCCGGCCTTTCTGGTGCGAAAGCCAGAGATTTTGAAGATGAAGAAGCCTGGTTGTGCTGGTGGTGGTGCTGCACCAACAGCTGTCAATGTATTACAAGCGACTGCTTCGACTTCGTCGTCATCTTCCTCGACTGTTGGTACTAGTTGTACCACTAGCCATGACTTTAATTCGTCCCCTCCGCCGATCATTCTCGGGCACTCGACCGCGGAAGCGCTGGCGTTGTTCTTGGACAAGTGGAATGACGAGATTTCCAAGAGAATCCGGCAGCCGAGCTTTGTGAAGAGAGGGGAAACATCAAAAGTGACGGCGTATAACACAGTGATTCGGCCGTTGCGGCAATACGTGAAATTTCAACAGCAGTTCACGGGAGACAACGTGAAACACCGAACAGACCGCCCCGGGTACATCGAAGGCTTGTACGAAGTAGACCGCACTAGAAGCACCAAGCACTCCGTCCCGTTGGAGAACGAAAATAAAGAAACTAGAGGCAACGAGATCATGAACGACACGACAGCTGCTATGGCTAATGATGGTGGTGGTTTGTGTCACAATCGGCGTTCCCGCAGTCGCTCTCCGCGACGGCGGGCAACCGAGGCAAAGAACGACGGTGAGAAAAACGAACAAGAAGTAGCACCTACCGCGGACAAATTATTCCCGCAGTAGATGCAAGTTCTCGATCTCGCCGTGCCTGAGCTTGTTTCTAGAACTCATTCAGGGTGATGAACATGAAGCAAATCAAACGACACTTTTCTAACGCGGCCACACAAGGACGACCTTGTTTTGTAAAGCGACACGGATTGTTGACATTGACATTGATTCACGACATAAACCGTGTTGAGGACTTCCATGATAAGCTCGTGCTTGTTCGAGTGGTCGACAGAAATCTCAAACGCATTTGCACTGACGTTTCTGTCTGTTCGTGCGCGTTCGGCAGGGGGATCTGCGTCGTCGTCGAGTGTCTTCGTCGTCGTCGAGTAGTTTCTGAAATGAGTGAGATTGAGGCTGCCTTTGCTATCGTGTTGTGGTTGGAGGGCGGAGCGAAGATAAACCGATTGACAAGGTGGATGAAAGTGAGACCTTTCGCTTTTCCTTTTGTCTGAAAACGAAAAGACCTTTCTTGTTGCCGTTCTTGATACTAAAAAATCTTGCTCGCTGGTTTTCAGTACTAGCTTTTTTCAGTACTAAGCAACCTTGCGGTGTCGTACTTCTGAATTGACGACAAAAACCCTAGAGCTGCAACTTCTTTCTTCGAAAATGCATCGCACCAACCCGATCCAGATGAATGCCTTCTGGCAAAAGCGGGTGCAGAAGGAGAAAGAGTCCGCGGAAAAAGCGCTGTACAAACAGTCGAAGTCTCAGGCGAACTCCAAGAACACCACCATGACCAGCAATTTCGTCGCCGCGAACGTGGCTGCGGTGTCCAAACCCACCTACGCGCCGATTGACAAATCCAAGCGCGCCTGGCTCCCCGGCGGGCTGAACCACAGCACGCCCCCCGGACCGCCGGGACCAAAGGGAAACTCCATGCTCAAGGGCCAGCCGCTCCCGGCGGAGTGGTACGAGGAAAAGAGTACCAGGCAGAATACGAAAGAGACGGTGAATAGCACGAATAAACCGATGTACTTGCCACGAAATAACGCAAACAAACCGGTCCCCGCTGGTTCCAGTGCAGCTAGCAGTGTGGCGGTGCGTCCGGCCGGGAAGGAGACCCTCGGAGGTCCGCTGGGGCTGAAGGCGTCGGAATCGGTGGCCAGTAGTTCCTTCCGTTCGAGGAAGAGCAGTTCTTCGCGTTTCAGGGCGAAGGAAGGTGGAAAAAGTACCGCACCTGCGTTGACGCAAGATCAGTTGTTGCGGTCCATCGCAAACATCGACAAAAACGCCGCTCCCGCCGCGAAGAGCAACGGGGCGCGCAGCGGAAGGGCGAGCAGTTCCCGATGGCGGGGAAGCTTTAATCCGGAGTAGTGTTTTTTTTCGATTCTTTTTGTTCAATGAGGATGATGTAGTAGTAGTTCATCTTCATATTGCCATTGTTATAAAAATGGTCATGGTCTTCATGATGATGCTCATGCTGGTGATGCATCAGTATGTTCAAGTACAACAACTATGCACGACGACCTTACGTCTCATTATTTGCATTTTCTTTGTTAAAAATCTGACTCGAAAAGAAAAACCTCAAAATCAAATTCTACATCTACCGACAGGTCCGGAGCGGCGAGTGAGATGGCGGGCAGCGCGGGCGAGGCACAGTTTCAGGAAGAAATTCGCTCCGTGGTCGAGCAGGAGGTGACCAAGCTGCTGGCCCCGTTGGAAAAGCAACTGCAGGAAGAGCGCGAGCGGCGGGAAAAAGCGGAGGCATTGGTACAGCAGTTGAAGACGAAGGGAGGAAAGTGAGAAATGTAAAATGTTGACGAACAACGTTGAACCATTACAACTAGAGGATGGCAGAGGCTTTTCATCAATGCACGAAACAAACCAAAAAAATTACAGAAAATGAATGCGATATATTTATATTTATATTGATAAATCTAAAGTATCTACTTGATTAGTCTAGCGTACGCACAGAACGAAATGCAGTAGCAGTTATGTTGTAGGATCGTGCAAGACGCCACCAAGACCAAGAGCTAATACCAGATGGAACGCAAACACTTTTTCGAAATCGGATCAGAGAGACGGGCTAGTCGATGCCGAACCTTCTTAAATGAACTCTGTAGATTTGCCAAGAAGATCGAAGCTAGTACAAGCTCGATGCCTAAACCGTACTTTGCTTCGAACGGAGGCCGAATACGGTGAAAGCGCATGATTGCCTCCAGAAGATGGGGCTGCTTGGACGACGACGATGCGCTGAAAAAGCTCGTATATGCAAGACTAAAACCAGAGCGATGTGTCGTGGTCGCACAGCCTGAGGATGTGGTTGCCTGAGAGGGATGATATGTGATAGATAAGTTGAGAGTGAGTTGATGTTTTGCAAACGAGGGACGTTTTTGGCTTAGAGTGAGATGAGTTGTGTTTGTAAGTGTTGTGCTTGTCGTCGTCGTGTGCTCGCTTGATTGTGCGTTTTGTGGAAATAAACTGTACCAAAACGTCGATTCTGAATGATGGTTTTGTCGATCGATGAACCTGAGAGAAGATTCTTTTTGCGTGGCGTGTCTAATGTCTCTGACTGTCACCAATCCTGGTGTTTCTCGTCCTTGTGCCACCAGTCGTATCGTCCTAGTATGTGAAGCTGAAGTTGCATGCTGTTGCAGGAAGACGAGGACAGAGAAGTAAGCTTGAATACCGATCAGTACACCCTCTCCTCGTGCTCGTCCCTGCCGAAATAATCTGAAGATGGCCGCTCCCGCTTCAGATCACGAGGCGATGAATCTGCTTGAGTGGAGCGGCTCCGGTTCGTCGGAACAAGGTGGCGCCGCCAACAGACCTGGTGCCACACCGGATGACGCTGGAAACACCACGAACCATCCGTCCAGCCTCGGCGCTACCATCTTTCCGGCGACTACAGCAGCCGCAGAAGAACTGACGGCCCAAATCGTGCCCCCTTCTGCAGTGCTGCCTGTGCCAATACCAGAAACAGGACCAGCAGCGGAAAACCACACAACTGACCAGCTACAACAAACGTTGATGCACACCACCGCTACTGTTGCGCCCACGTTGGACGCCTCGCAAGGCTCCGACAAAGAACTTCTCGGGGGCGTCTATGGGATCATTCAGGGCGGTTTGAACGTGTACGAAGAAAATCAAAAGCCAACAGCAGAGTCAAGGCCAGAGGGTGGACGACAACCGGAGCTGGAGCCTCGACAACTCTCTGCGCAGGAGGAGAAAATTGCAGGTCTTGATGTTCATCGTGCCCCGAGCGGGGAAGAAGAATCAGCCCCGGAGGCCTCCCTACCGCCGAGAAGAGATGATAACGATGACGATACCGAACAAGAGGTCGAACAAAACTCCGTAAACGTAAACCGCTACAACCCCAGTGCTACAACACCCGCCGCAACAAGTCCAGCCCCGCAACCGCCAGCGGCTTCGCCGTCAATCGGCATCGCGCGAAGTACTAAAGCTGCTGCTTCCACTGTTTCTGAAGCAGCAGGAGCCGCAGGCACTAACAGTTCTTCCTTTTCCTCGTATCCTGTTCCGCGCATGACCGGGCGGAACACCACACTGCCTGGCGAGGGATATAATAACACGTTTTTCGATCGCGACGCAACACTTCGCGCAGCCGAAGAAGAGGCTAGCAGACGCATGTCCGCACCTGCCGTGGCGCAGCACCAGCCGAGGCCGGAGGGACCGTCGGCGGTCCACCATATGACTACAGGAGTCCTCGGGGACCAGAACGATGTTGAGCCAGTGGCAAGTTCTTTCCCGTCGTCCTCCCGCGCTGGCCGCCCACAGTTCTACGAGCACACCCAGCCGGATAATCCACCCGTCCCAGAAGACGTGACGACAACCTCAAGCGCAAGTGCCAGTGCCACGGAACGAGTAGATGCGGCACAGCATGTTGATGGAGCATCGTCGTGGGTGCGGCCGAAGCAAGCTCCAGGTATTAATTCAGCTACGACAACTGCTGGTGGGACGAACATGCAGACAGCGACGGGACACGGACAGACCGCTGGGCGGGTTTTACAGGGTATCCTGCGAAGAGAGGAAGACGAAGTTCCGGAGGACCACGCGCAACAATCCGCGTACAGCAGCGATGAGTACGACGACGACGCCTTCATGACGCAAAAAATTACGCAGGCCCAAGTGGCGCAGCGGGTACTGGACGCCGGTATTGTTACGCAGAAGACGACACAGGCGGAAGCGCAAAAGCGTGTCGACCGAGGACGACAGAACAATCGAAACCTGCAAGCAGGAACAGCGGAGAGAAAAATCCTAACGAAGGAACAGGAGATGAGAGGGGCTACAAACAAACGGTCGACTGCCGGGGAGTCGCGATTTGAAGTTGGAAACGCCGTTTCAGGGGCGTCCCTCTCCTCGCCGAACCCTTCCACGACGGAGGCTACCTCTCCGAAAGTCACCTTCGAGTATAATGAGCTGGATCGCATAGAGTCGGCGGAAAGTTACCTGCAACGAGCACTGGCTTTTCCTAGGCGCAACAACAACCGCGCATCGCAGGTGTGGAAGAGTTCACTGGTGCTTTCAGCAGAGGACGAGAATTTTGTGAAGTGGAACCGCAGGACGGCGGCGGGACTGTATTCTTTTTCTTTTTGATAAACATCAACGATGAGGATCAGGATGATAATATTTTTGGTGTGATGATGTTGATGTGTGCTACATCAGTGTGTTGTATTGTTTGCTGTAGTACGTACTTACGTGTTTCATCATGATGCAGGCATCTGAATTTCAAATTCTCTGTTTTTTTATGAAATAATTCATTGACTCCACAACTTCATCTCTATCTTGTTAATGGTTATGGTCACTCGGTTGCACTTCTATCTTCAGGTACTACGCCTTCTTTGCCGTCTCCTTTGCTATTGTGGTTCTCACGACGCTGGATGCCCTATGGATGAATGACCAAGTCTTTCCGAAGCGGCTCGGTGTTTTCGAAGCCCTAAAACCGCCGGAATTTCTGCTCACGGTCCAAATCCTCGGACTTGACCGCGACTTCAAGAATTACCGCCTGGCCTACGAAAACGCCCGGGACGAAAGAGCGTATTTACAGCCACTGCCCGAGGACCAGAAAGTCGCGGTGCCCGGAGCTGCGATTACCGCTACGGCCTCGTCTGGTGCACCGCAGCAGCAGGGAGGACCAGTCCGACCCGGAGGTGCGGGTGGGCCAGGAACCACATCTCCAGCCGGTGTTCAGCATCAGTCAGAAACAAGCACTCTGCCAAAAACCACCGACCCAGTTCCTCTAGACACGCCTAGCGGCCCCGTGGTACCGCCGGACAAAAATCAAGAGTTTCTTGCCAGACAAGCAATGGAAGCAGCGGAGGATCAGGTGGACCGTTCGGGAAGAGGTTCTTCGGAAGCGATAGATTCGGAGAAAATTATCGTCCCACCGGAGGAGGAAAAACTACAGCCAGCAGGTGTGATGGCGGGAAGTGGTCCGACGTCGGCGACACCTCCTTCAGAGGAAAATGCAAACGTCCTTCCCGGGGAGGAGATAATAAAGCCCCCTACAGCTGCTCCCGACGCCAAGGCGCAAACCAAAACCGAGGGTGGTGTTCTTGGAGCAGCGGCAGCGCAGCCTGGAGCACCGCTAGCTTCTGGCGCACCTCCCACCGCAGCCAGCAGTTCACCGCTGCAATTACAACAAGGCGCAGGAGCAGCAAGTTCACAAATCTCGACACCTCAGTTGCCTTCCGTGTCAGCCTCCGCACTTCCAGCTCCGCCAGGTGCAGGGACACCGACACAGGCGAACCAAGTTGGACAGCCGTCATTCCGTCCTGTCGGAGCGGTGGAGCAACTTGCAGCAACGCCGGTGGTGGTGCAACCAGCAGCGCAACAGCAGCAACTTTTTTCACCTGCGACAGGAGCAGCTACTTTTCCTCCGCAGCAACCGCCATCATCTTCACAACTCGTACAACAACCCTCTCCATCTACTCCATTTGTAACAACGGCCGCTGCTCCTGGTGGCACAACGGTGATCGTACAGGCACCAGGCGCCAGCGCACCTAGTACTGCTCCGGCACAGCCGCAGCAGCAGCCTCTTCCTCAACAACCACAAGCCATTGCTCCTACTGCTCCACCCGCACAAGTAGCGTTGGGAGCGCCAACTGCTGGCATAGCGGCCTCAACGCCAACAACCGCTGCACCTACTCCACCAGGTACGACGGGAGCTGCGCCCCCACCCCCTGCAGGTACAGCGGTAGCAGGATCAATGCCGCCGAGAACAATTACATCCGCCATGCAATTCACGTCCGATGGCTTAGGTACTGTTCCGACCCCTTCTTTGCTTCCGCCGTCTTTCTTGCAGGAAGAGGCCGCTGGTACAACAACCTCTGCTCGCAAGTTGGACGGAGGAGCTGGAGCAAGTGGTTTCCCTAATGCTGCAGGTGCAGCGGTAATACCTACAGTACCGGGTGTAGCAAGTACTGCTGCAGTAACATCAGTTGCCAGCAATTACGAGAAGAACGAAGAAGGTCTTCACGAGGAGCCAGTAGTTGTTGACACCCGTCCCCCGGTGCGCGGTTGGGGCCTCCTCCGACGAGAGGGAGGCTGGGCCCCACGACGAAAAGACCGGCAAATAGCGCAGCAGGTCCTCGTTGGCAACGAAGCACTGGCGGACGCAACGGAGGAAGACGGTGATTCCGCGTTCACGCACGAAAAAACAGCTTTTTCCCCGCTGCGCCACATGCTTGTCAAACTCGACGAAATTGTGGTTCGCCCGGCAAAGAGAGTACTGTACTCCGTGAAAGAGTACCTGCTGCATTCCCCGAAGTACGCGCGACGCGAGCGAGGAGGGTCATCTGGTGGCGCGCAGTCGCCAGAAGCAACAAACGCACCAGTTGTAGCAGTAGCACCGAGCAGCAGCAGCAGTGATCGACGAGAGGGCGGGGCTGTTGTGGGTTCTTCGCAGCAAGAGCAGCCAGAAGATCAAGCTACTGAACAATTCCACGACCAGCAGGAGGGGACCAGTACTAGCCCTTTCAAAGCCGCCCTGATCAATGGTTACGACTTCCTCGCTGCAGCTCTCCTGCAGCTTTCGCAGCAGGAAAAGAGGTCCGAGCAACTGGCCTACTGGACGCAGCGCTTCGACAAGATCAGCTCCATTGAGCAGCGGTGTCTGATGAAACAGGGGACGGGAGAGGAAGCGGGAAAGGTCTTCGTTTCCGAAAACCACGGCTGTCTCGGCGGCCAGGCGGCTGGGGAAAACCTGCCCGCGGGGTCGGGGTCCGGCACCGCGGGTGGACAAACCGCGTCGTCCGTCGAACGGAACTGGAGCGCCTACGAGCCGGACTTGCTGCACATGTCGGTCCGGAGGATGGACGACCAGACATGGGGCCTGTACTTCGCAAGAGATTTAGTTGCCACCTGTGTCGCCGCCGAGGCCTATCCCAGTGCCTGCGCGACCAAGTGGCAAACGGTCGCTGGGGTTGCGGGGGACGTGAAACCGCCGATACTAGTGCCATCATCTCCAAGTAGTAGTGCTACGACAACGCACCAGCCGTACCAAATGAATCCTCAAGAAACAACATCAAGTAAGGTCCCTTTCATCGGGAGAAAGCTGACCGTCTATAGCGCAGCCCCGGCGGTGCAGTTCGTGCGGTTTCTCGGATTGTTTTGCCTGACCATTTTCGGGATCGTGCTCTTTCTCTTCCTGCTCTTTTTCGCCACCGGGTGCAAGTGCTGCTTCCCGCTGCAATTGTACCGAACTCCAATGAAGGTGTGGCTTATGAGTTGCAAAAGAAAAAGTATCGCACTCGTATAAATGCATTACAAATTCCCGCAGCATGAGGGATAAAATTTGCAATGCTGATTTCCCTTAAGAGAAAGATTTGTGATTCATGATTGCAATACGAGTGCGATACTTTTGCACAGGATATGGCTGCACGAAGGACAATTTGTCTTGTCCAATTGGATGCTGGTAGAAAGCCCTAGATTGATTGAGAATAGATCTTCTTGGTCATTTCTACGCGCAGTCGTATGGTCGTCTCGTTCTTACAAACTTTTCCACACACATCATGCGTGATAGTACACTTCCTGTTGATAGATACAACATGCGCCAAACGGTACAATGAATTGCAAATTCTTTTCCACACGACTCCAGATCTTCAACATCATCGCCATCGCTCCGACCTACGTTTCGCATAGCGCTACGATCCAGGGCGAACTCAACGACGAGATGTCGCCACGGACTTCCTCGGGCCGGATGCTGGGGGCCGTCTTTGTCATGTCGCTTCTGATCGGCGTGTCGATCGTGTTGCACGCTTTGTCGCACAAGTACCACTGGCACGCGGAAAACCGCATGAAAAATCTTGCGGAAGCGGCGGGGGCGCAGCTTCTGTGAGTAGAGTAACAGGAGGTAGAACTACACGGAGCGGGAAAGTTTTCTTTCCTCTTGTTTCACTTTCTTATTCTTTCTGTTTTTTCTTTTTCCCCCTTATCCCCTGAAATGTATGTATCTAATATTCTGGAAAATGAAAATAGCACTGTATTTGTATCAACAGAAGAAAGCGGGAGCGGCTCCCTACGCACTCTCCGTGACGATCATAATGCACTTACCGACTATCTTCAAAATGTACCAAAAGTAGCTGATGTAAAATGTAAACCCTTGTTTCTTCATGCTTTTATAGAAGTGCAATTCTGCGACTGCGTGTGCGTCAATAGTGTTAGTGCCACCTACCGTTTCTCTTCTACTTTTCGTTCTACTTCTCGAAAAACAGAACCAATGTTATCACCTTTGATTATCTTCCGAATGTCGAGTAAATGTTGTTGACGACGATGACGAAGCAGTGTTTATGCTTCCTTTCCAAGAACCTGCTCCAGAAGCAGAAGCAGCAGCAAGGCCGTGGAAAAAATGGAGCGCAACGAAAAAGCGTGACTGAAATTGAAGTCGATGACACAGGCGTAGTGGAACCGAAAGGGGTGCAAGACAGAAGAGCGACTGCTACGCTTTGCTAAGCAGGCTGCATCTTTCACCGCACTAGGTTCCCTGATTTGCCGGTTTATGAAGCAGCTCACGCAGCCCTTCATCCACTTCCACATCGTCACATCGGCTCTGTCGTTTTTCTTTTTTCGCAATACGCGTCCTCGACGCCGGCATCGTATGTCTCGAGCGCATTGTCATTCGAAAACTCCTGTAAGTCGATTGGTCGTTGTCGTGTCCACACTTTCTTTACGTCGCTCGTGTGTGCTATCGCTGGAAGGGCAAGTATCGAAAATTTTTGCGAGTGGAAGCCGGCTGGGTGGTTTTTTTCCAGGAATATCTTTTCCAGCAGTGTCTAAGTACTTACTCGTTGCAGTCGCAAGTGCAACGCGACAAAAATATGCGCACGTATACGTAAAGCAGGCTGAAATAAGTGGAACTCAAAGAACCCACCCGCCCCTTGAATGTCTTTGACTCTGATCATCAACATGCGGGGGTAAATACGCCTAAGGAGGAGAAGATGACGATAGTACTCTGGCGAGGACCGCTATCGCTTTGATGTGGTTTCGAACACTGTGCTCTTGTTGTCTACGGGGGCAGCAGTGAGCACGGACGAGCCTACTTCGCGTGGAGCTTGCGGCTCGCTTCTACTGCGAAACTACGAGGAGCCGGCAAGAACTGCAGAACAAGTCCGTGTGCTGCACTAGGACCACTCTAGGTGCTACCACTTGCACACGACCTCCACCTGCCCATCATGCGTTCGGTTCGCAACATGAAGTCGGACCTGGAAAGTCCGTCCAAGCGGGTGCAGGACGGGTATGAGCAGTGGATGATTGGAGTGGAGATGAAAGACCCCGTCATTGGTGCCAAAGTCGTAGAACTACCCGAAGTCGAGAAAGTTTTGCGAAGGCTCTTCCAGGTCGAAGTCAGGGATTTGTTGACGGTACTGCCTTTACCTTTGCCTTAGGTGTTTCAGTTTCAATGTTGCCCAGCATCGACAATGAATCGTGAGTCCCACCGTGATTCTGATTTCTTCGCATGATCCACATCAACTTTGAACAATATGAAGTAGGAGTTAGATGATCCCCCCCGGCCGATAATTCACAATCACATTTTCTATCAGGCCCAGAAGCGTGTGCAACAAGCAGAGAAGACGAAAATGGACCAGACCAAGCAGTACATGCAGGAAGTGCTCTACATGCGGGAGAAAACCCGAGATTTCGACCCGTGCATGACGGACGGCCTAGATACCCTGGAAAACGACGACGTCCGCATGTTCTTCGATGCGGGGCTGTCTCTGCCCCCCGGGGTGCGGCCGGTGCTGGAGTTGATTATTCAGGAGAAGGTCAACGACGTCGCGGATCGGTTGGAGAGAAAGTACAAAAACGGGGACGCGCCGGATCGGAAAAAAGTGATAGAAGCGGTGATGAATAACGAAAAAGAAGAGCGGGAGTCGAAAGTTACGATAGTCGAGCCAACCATTACCGTGGACAAAGAGCTGGAACGAAAATGCGCGGAAATGGAAAAAAGAGCAGAAAGCGCAGAAGCGAAATTGGCAGAGATGGAGTATTGTAGTTTTTTTCTCTGTCAATTGTTCCATGGATGTATGAGTGGACATGATGATGATGATGATGAATGTGATTATTTTCCTTTTCGTGAAGAAAAAAGATCAACGCCAATCTTCCAATGTGCAGATCCTTCTCATCGTCATCGTATTCTCTTCATTTCGCTCTGTCTTCAAACAATATATGTTGATTGAAGCAAAATCGAAAACAGGAAAGCCTTTGCCTCCGCAGAAACCCGTTTGAACCTGAAAGAGCAGGAAGTGCAGCAGCTGAGCAGCGAGCTCCGGGATACCCTGGACGTGATGCAGGCGGAGAAGGACGCCATCGCCAAACAGTACGAGGAGGAGCTGGAGGCGGGCGCGCGGGAGCGCGCCGCGTTGGAGGAATTGGTGCGGAATTTGCAGAACAGCAGTACGGGGCTCGAGTCCGCCAGGTTGACCGAATTGGAGGGCATTATCGAGGTGCTGGAGCGCGAGCTGAAGAAAGCACAGGCAGCGCAGGGAAAGGATGAGTCGTACTTTGTTATTCGGCTTGCTTTGCTGGAAAAGTTCCTTTCACATGATGACGTGGTTTCGTTTGACAGTGCCAATAAAGCATGAACGCAGCGAAGAACAAAATTCTCTATGGAGGTTTATCTTTGTCACTTGTGTGCGGGATTATACGCTTAGAATTCGATGGCACTGCGCCGATGAAAAACTATCGAGGTACAAACTCCGCGCGAAAGTAGAGGAACAGGGCAACACGATCCGCGCGTTGCGTGCAGAGGTCGAGTCTTTGACGACTCAACTAGCGGAATCGAAACTCGCAGAGGCGACGTTGCGACAGCAGCTAGAGCACGCAGACAGAACATTGGTAGCGACACAGAAGCAGTTGCTCAAGGCGGTGCAGGGAGCCGGGGACGGAGACGATGAGAATAACGGTATTGTTACGAAAGCTGTTGTAGCAAAAGGAAAAGCAATTTCGTGCAACCACTTTCAGGAGCATGTGCGATATAATATTGATTCCGAAAAATGCGCTATCTGTAGTGGTCCAAAAACATCTTCGCGATGAAATAAGCCATGACTCTTTTCCGAATCAGTCCCGGCTTTTGCCTCCACCATGGCTGAAGATCTGATGGCGAAGATCGCCGAAGACAGCATGCTGGTCCACGATCGACTGTACCTCGACGCCTACAAGCGCCGCGAGAAGCGGCGGCAGCAGTGGGAGCAGCGTGCGCCGGAGATCGAGCGGAAATGGATGGCGGCCCAGGCGGTGCTGCGCGAGGAGTGGCTGGGCGACTTGTTGTCGCAGAGAGGGTCGGGCGGCCAGGTCATGCTGGAACAGCTCAAAAAACAGGCGGCGGAAGCAATGATAGACGACGATCCGGTATCAAATGCAAATATGTCTGGGTCTGGAAGAGCCAAACTTGTGATGCTGCATTTGGATGCCAAAAAGATCTGCATTGCATGAGCAGCAAGAGGAGTTGTCAAATTTGGCTACGCGGAGAGCGAGAGGGCATTTGTCATGCAGGATGCGCATCGATAGGCGCTCAAAAAATCTGTGATGCTTTGGCATAAATCACAGACATCATGGATCATGGAAAATGTGCATGACAAATTTTTGCTCTTCCAGACCCAGACACTTTTACATTTGATATTCGGTCACCCGAGCGCTGGTGGTGATCGGCAGGTTTCTGTTTGGCGGCGGATCGTTTGCTCCGGGTGGAAGTGGCAACTCACCGGGCAAAAACAGAATACCCGGCGGGTTTGGGAGAAAATCTTCGGACAAACAGCACGCGACCAGACGGGTTCTGCTCAAAACGGCGTCCAGTCACGGATCATTACCCGCCGGGGGGATTCAGGGCGAAGGGTTCTGGCTGTACTAGAATGTTCTGGTCGTGCAGCTTCTCACGGAGACGCCTGTCTCGTCGCACGACCAGATGCCGGACAACTACGTACTCCAAAATTAAAACGATCTTTGAATTTATGTACAATACTAGCCCGCTTGTCTTTTTGGTCTTTGTGCTCCTGGTAAAACTTGATGGGTGCCCCCTTGTACGAACATTGGCAATTTCATCTGTACTCACAGTTCTTGTTACTGACCTAGATGAAATGTACAACTACAACCACATCAAGACCATCGACATGTACATATGTCGACTGTGCAACACGACCTACGACAAAAGGTAGCGTAAGTGCGCGCGATTCTGATTCCAACACTGTTTTACTGACGACCATCAAAAAACTAGAAGTACTATAAGAGTTTTGAAGCAAGTGCAAGACATCAAGATGCAAAATTTCTAGTTTCATACATCAGATCACTCGGAACATCGAGGTGACGAGGAACAAATTTTCTTCGTGGAAAACATAATGTAACAAACAACCCCAGATAGGTGCTCTTACAAGATACAGAATCTTTCCCGGTAAAGAACGAAGACACTGAGCCCTTTGGCTGTTGTAGTTGTTCAAAGGGCTGCTTATATTGGCGACGGTGCCATTATGCATTTGGATTTGTTCTTCCAGCGCCCTTCCACTGTACCAGCTCTCGTTCTTTTTGGAAAAACGTTATCAACACACGAATCGCAATCCAGGACCAGGTGGACGAAGGTCCTGCGTGTGTTGAATAGGCAATGTGAATTTCTTTAGTCGACACTTTTTTAACTTCGAGTCCTCGAGAATTTCTCTCAATTATCTTTTGTACCGAAGGAATACCGGGTTGTACCGGTGTAACCTACTTACATTGTTTGAAGGTTTGTTTCTGTGCTCTTGGAATCTGCTTATCACTTCCATGATTTAACACAAAAGGAAAAATGAATTAGAACGTCGTAGAAATTTTTGCAGAGAAATTACCATGCTGGTGTCGAGCCATTACTTTTTCCTCTATTCCACCCTTGTGGTGCTACTGGCCCCGTTTGCAGGTGGCGCGGCACTCTCAACCACTAGTGCGGCCGGAGCGCCGCAAGGCATCGCTGATCAGCATCAGCATCAGCAACAATCTTTTGTAGTTGCGACGGCATCGGGATCGGGTTTGGGAGAGCCACCACCTCGTGTACCCACTCCAACTTCTGCCGGAGGACCACCACCGCGAGCACCTAGTCCGTTGGTAGCAGCGGGAGTTGCAGCAAATGACGGCCAGAATTTGCAGCTTCAAACGCAGACAGCAAGCCCAGCAACAGGAACAGCTTTAGAGCAGTTTCGTCAATCGTCTACCTCCCCCCCGTTGAAGATAAGTACAGCCCGGCCTTCATCCGGAGGCGGATCTGCCAATGCTAGTAGCCAAAATAGCCGTATCGCACTCTATTTCAACCGTCATGGGGCTAAGAAGGGCAGTGGCGGTACTGCAGCATCGCTGGAACATGACAAAAATGGTGCTGATGGGCGAACCAGTCCGAATAGCCCGTCTAATACCTCCGGCTCGGGTTCTTCGTCGATTTTCAAGCATGTGGCTTTGCAAAGTCTGCTCGGCTTGGGGACGGGTTTGAAGAATGCGGTGCTGAGCAGCAAAGAGAAGCAAGAGCAGCAGCAGCACAGTGGTCGTACCGCTTCTAGTGCAGCTGCAGGCTCGCGTTCGAAAGATCAACATTGCAACCTTCCCCCAGCTGCACCTGGTGGAGGCTCAACTGCCACACCAGGTTCCTTAGCGGATGCAAAGGCACCTCCAGGAAGAACACGAACAGAGTGCTCTACTGCATTCGACCGCGAGATGAAAGACCCTCATCCTGCCACTGAGTCGGAATGTTCACTGTCTCAATGTCCGACGACAACTGCGGAGGCTGGCGCGGGGCGCGCTACTACAGTTAAAGGCGCTACTACTGCGGCCGCCCCTGGAGGAGCACGACCTCTCTCTGCGCGGGGCTCTTCTGCTCTCCCACCACTTCCTGTCGCCAACAAGACCAAACGAACGGGCACAACAAACACGACGGATTCCGTGGCGTCCTCAAGAGCCGGTGGTGGCGGATCAACACAAAGTCCTGGAGGTCCTGGAGGACAACAACCACACCTCCAGACGAATCCCGTCTACTCAAGCCAAGGGACGCCCACGACCGCGCGGACGCCGTCTGCCGGGATGAGTATGAGCTTCGCCTCCCGCACTGCGACGGCCAGCCCGGATGGCGAACGAGCTGCAGCTGCGCACGATCAAAACTACCTGCGCGACCGCGTGAAGCGCGATTTTTCGCAGGACGTGGACGATTTGGTGCAGCGACCCAACAGCTTCGGCAGCAATGCTGGAGATCGTGGTGGTGGCGGGAGTGCGCTAGTAACGGAAATAACTGGTGCGATGTCCAGTAGTAGAATCGACGAGGATCATCATTACTTCCAGGACGACCGACATGATGAAACTCAACAAGAATTTCCTGGCAGCGGCTTTCTACCCCTTCCGGCGGGAGATATCGTGATGCGAGCGACAAACTTCCCTGTTCCCGAGGAATGTGAGGTGGAAGCGGCCGAGGAGCAAGTGGAGCAGACTCCCCCCGAGCGTGGCGACGTGCGCCGGGCGTCTCGGACGAGCACGAGTAGCCAGCACGCACGATATACGGGCAGCAGCGGTGGCGGCCCCCGGCTTTCCAACATATCCAGCCAGAGCAGCAGACCGACCACCAACGATTCAGGGTCGAGGACGGAAAAAAAGTTGCAGCGCGAGAGGCTATATCAAATGTAAAAATGTCTGGGTCTGGAAGAGTGCGCGGTTTGTCATGCAGCTTTTCCATGACCCATGAGGTCTGGAATGCCGGAGCTAGCATGACAGATTCTGCGAGAACTTTCTAATGCCTATCCTGCATGAGAAACTCCCTCCCGACTTGGTCAAAATTGGGCGACTTTTGGTAATGCTGCAACACAGATTTTTGCATGCTGCAGATTTAGCATGACAAGTAGTTGTAATCTTCCAGACCCAGACATTTTTACATTTGATAGGCTAGACAGTGCGGACAGTTGTGGGGTAATGAACTTTGACGACGCAATTCGTTTTTCTGAAACATCAGAAACCACCAAAGAGATGAACAAAAACCACCAGGAACAAGAAACCATCACTGAAGGTCAACATCTTCAAGGTGAAGCCGCCGGTGTGTGCCTGACCCCGTCTCCTCGCCACACCATCGGTGGAAGTAGTTCCTCTTCGTCGGCGGGGAAACACAAGTTTGGCGACGCCGAGCGGATGTCCTCCGGCTCGGATATGACGCCAAACACGAGTGAAAATATTTCTCGGCGGTCGCGATGCAGAAGTGATGCGCCGAAGGCTTCGAAAGAAAGCAAAACAAGCATGGAGGCTCAGGTGGGCGGCAACTGTGCTCTTTTTGTGAGCAGCAGTACTATGGGACCTCCTCCTGCTTCTGTGCCGAGGACTTTGGGTCCGAAAGAGGACAACAAGTCTGGTTCTACTTCCAAGCACCGGAATAAAAACATCAAAGAGCAGCAGCCCAAGGACCAACGGGGCCGCGAGCGTGCGTCGACCGCTCGGTCTAGCGCCAGCGGCGTAACGGATACCGAACGCGCTCGCGAGGAGGCGGCGAACACTCTGCACACCAACGAGGAGCGGCTGTCGAAACACGATATCAATCAGTCGCGGCAAAGTTCGCACTCCCGGTGTTCGGAGCACCGCAGCCGCTCGCCCCTGTCCGTGACGAAATCCCGCACGAGCTCGCGTCTGAACTCCCAGTCCTTTGGTAGTTGCAGCTCCAGCGGGAGCGGCAGCCACCACGTATCGTTTCTCGCCGCGAATACATGTTCTTCGCAGATGGTGGTTGGATTGGCAGCCGGGGAAGCGGGAGGCATTCCAGGAGGAAATATCAGTTTCGACACTGATCCCTTTCAGCAACACTTTGGCCCGGGAGGCCAGCGGCGAAGCCCCAGGGAAACGATGAAGGGGCCGAGAGGCTGTGCACCGCAGCAAGAAAAAGATTTGCTCAGCCCCTCCTTTTCCCAGCAGGACCTCGTCAGCCGAGCGGACGCTTTGTTCTCCGAGCCGGGATCCCCTTCCTCGGGCTCCGGGGCCGTCGCAACTGGGGGCGGGAGCTGCAACCTTGTTGATCGGATCAAGTACAAGCCACCTGCTCTGGACGCGCAAAAGAAGGAGCAGCTGCAGACTTTGGCGCAGACGTTGTCGGGGTGCGTTGTCGACAAAGCAGCGCCGGTACAACCGGGAAGGAGCGGTTCAAAGAAATCTTCGGCCTCGTCTCTTGGGAGCGGGACCACGCCGTTTCCCGCGCCAAACATTCCGTCAATCTCGGAGTTGCCGGAACTCCACGTCGCGCAGGAACCGTTCGAGAGAGCGAAGCTCCCGGAGGTCAAGCTCGCCTCGTGCCCAGTGGTGATGGAGAACGAGAAGCACCAGGAAAGTTGTGCCGATAGTAGCAGCGCGGCTAGTTGTGGTCATTCTCATACTCGTGGTACTGAAATAGGCCCTCGTGGCCAGCAAAGTGGTCAAACGCAAAAGGACACTAGCCAATTCGCTCCGAATGTTGAAACGCAGACTGTACTCTCACGAGGTGACGGAAGAGGAAGTTGTAGTGAAACAAAAAACGTAGATGTGGTTCAGAACAACAATAACAAACCGACAGAGTCGGCATCTGCTTCGGGAGCCGCGTGTGTACGACGGGGAGATGAGGCATCCGCTTCCGTAGATCGCGGAGGGGTCGTAAAGTCAACTGTTACAACATCACCGTGCGAGGAGGTCGTCCGCACCGACAAAAAATTGCTTACGCATTCGCTTTTAAAAACCGCAGATGAACAGGGGAAGAAAATAAAGCAGCAGAATGCAACGATGAAACAGAAAGCAACTGGAAAGTCCACGACCCTCGGGAACAAAACAACAACAACAGGCAATGTTGATTACTCAGCGCACTCAGGAGGAGATCCTCACCCTCACGCAGCGGGGAGCAGCAGCTCAGGTTTAGCTGCCACATCCGCCAACACGACCGCCGCGTCGAGTAAACCTAAACGAATTGGCACATCCGCCCCACCTTCTTGTTCTGAGTCAGAACTACCGCGGCTACCGCCGACGAAGAAGACAGGAGTACTAGAAGTACCTAGCCATCAAACGCAAACGCAAGAAGGATCGTCGTGCGCTTCAGTGGTTCTCCTACATGAAGACAGCCTGAGGGTCAGGTCATCGTCATTCGAAAGCGAAGCTGGTATGAAGAAGGTCGCCTGCTTAGCTGATTTTCATCTCCTCGGCGAAGAGAACGTAGTACAAAGTCCCCCTGTCGCTGCGCATCCAAAAGGGGAAGGACGGCTGAAAAGTGCACCGGTGGGTAAAAGTAAAATGGTTGCGCAGTACAACGTGGAGCAGCACCATTTTGCAGGGGACCGTGATGACCAAAGCCAAACTGATCGCCAATGTCAAATGGACGACGAGCAGTGCAAGGACCAGCACAACCAAAACGTTGTGTCCGATTTACTTGTCGCAACAACTAGTAGGGTACCAGTGGGACGACGACCTTCTGCCACCGGCGAGACAACTACTGACACGATACCCCTATCTTGTGATCGTCTCGCAGAGACAGGAAGTGAGTACCAAGCGCCTGCTTCTAAGCTAGTCGCAGGCGGTAGGAGGACCGGCAGCATTCCGCCGTGTGACAAAGCCGCGGTTGACCATGACCTTGATCCGGTGCAAAAGGAGCTTGCGAAGCCTGATGTTGTGACGAGTGGTCCGTCTTTGCACGGAAGAGTGGAACACAGTTTGATAGAAACTGACGATGGAGGGCATGCCCTTTCTGAAGAGCGGAACTACAGAGGAGCACTTCCACATCGCCCACCCGGTGACCAGCAACGCAAAGAGACAGTCGGCAGTTCGACTTCCCAGAACTCGTATGGAGATGACACCAGCACTGCTAGTACAACGAAAAAGCACGACGAACTGAAACAAAGGCTCAGCCAGAAGAAACGCACCTCCTCCTCAGAGGACGCGAAACACGACCACACAACCGCGGCAGTAGAAGCAGCGCTTGTTCGCAAGAAGAATGCAAATGCTGCGGCGGGGAATACTAGAAATGAAAGGGAACGAGATGAGCAGGACAGGAAGGAGCTGAATCAAGATACGATCAACAAATTACAGAATCTAAACCTTTCCGCAGAAGAGCAAGCCGCGATGGAGACCTACTGCTTGTCGCAGCTGGACGTGTCGAATTTGGAAAAAATGTTCTCGCGACTTCTGGTTCATGATGCACAACAACTACCCGAGCAGACGGCCGGCGCAACGACCACTGCTGAAGCGCGCATCGAGCGAATCGCTTCCTGTTCATCCGGTGACGACAACAAATTCGCTGACGAGGAGGTCAACAGCCCGGCTGCATCGGCGTCCCAACATTCCGCTTCTGGATCCGCCCATAATCATTCCGGTCGACCAAGCCTGAGCAACAACATCGAAGTTACCGTGAAGAGTCGCGTTTCCGTGCGTCGGGTCTCCCACGAAAGAAAAAACCGGAGTCGCGGACGACACTGCACAGGAAGCAGCTCCTACACGTCTGACCGCGGATCCGTGTCCACCTCCCGCTCCAGGACTGCGGGTCGTGTCAGCGACGTGAGTGCAGCAAGTGGGGGGCAACAGGAGGATTACGAAGGAGACGAAAGGAGGAGCTTCCCAGAGGATCAGGATTACGACGACCCGATCATGACAAGAAATCGCAACAAGAGGACAAACAAAGCCGGCGCTATCGTGGCTGGTGCTTGCACAACTAGCAAAGGCATCAACACGACCAGGGACCACCAAGATGACCACGAGGACGAGACCAACTTGATATCAAAAGTCGGTCGAAGCGACGATGAAGATGCGTGGTCAGACGATACAGAGATTCTGCTCACGACGATTGAAAAGGAGGTGCAGTTCACCATCTGCACTGGAGGTCCTGGACCGTCTTCTCCCCCCAAACCCAGCGGCGTATTCGTCTCGGCGCCCGCGACCGCTTCTTGTGTATCCACCACTGGACAACAAGAACTCGGGGCAGTCGGCGACGACGACGAGAAAGCCGACACAAGCTTCTCTGATGTCAGCGGTTCTTTGAAGCAGAGCCAAGAGATCGCGTGCCGGCGCGACGGCAGCAACAACAGCGAGGGTAGGCGTCGACACAGTTCACCGGCTAGTCAGTTTCGCATGAGTGATCTACCTGAAGTTGACGGGGGACAGGTGGGAGAACAAGAAGACGCGCGAAACTTAGTACGCCAACATTCAGCGGGAAAATCCGGTGCATTTTTCGGAGATCAAGATCCAACTTCGCCACGGGCTGCCTACATTCTTGGAGGCCAAACAGCTGCAGCAGGAGCGGCCGCAACGGACACCCCGAAGCATCCGCCGGAAAAGAGTTCCCGGCTTGCGGACTTCAGGAAACAATTCCTGTCAAACGTGCAAACCACAGACATAAGAGGACACTCAAAATCATCGTCCGCCGGTTCTTCGTCCGCCTCCGGTAATTCTACACCACCTGCTTCCAACAACTGCGATGATCCTACGACCGCGAAAACAAGAGCAGCCATCATGCTTGGCGCGGCAGATCCCACCCGCACGCGCCGGTCTGTCTCGCTAAGTCCCCGGCAGTTGCGCCACATCAGGGATCGGTTTTCGCAACAGTTTCCAGCGATCGAGGAGGGTGCCGAGGGAGAAGCGGTAGCGCAGGAAATCTTACAGCACGGAGGTAGTAGTTTTGCGTCCTCCACCGGAGGTGGAGCTGCAGGAATTTCCGGCTCTACAGGGAGCAGTCCTAGCATACAAGAGGTTCTTGTGCTACCGCCGGAGCAAAGCCTGCACTTGCTGCCTGGGACTTGCAACTACACTGATAGTACCAGCAGTGAAGGAGATGACAAGAGGAAGCACGACAACAGAGATGGTAATGCAAGCGCGTCCTCCACCGACAAAATGATAATGAAAACAACGCACGAAGAACAGCAGGACCACAAGCTGCAAAGAAATAGCACAGCCAGTGGGCTGGTGCAAAAAGCCGCGCGTTCAGGGGGTGCAACTGGTGAAAAAGATCGGCCTGCGCTTGCGATCGACACCGGGCCGCATCCGCACGACCGGTTGTTGAGTCACGGCGGCCGCAGCACCGGAGATTCCGGAGCGACATCCAAGGCTGCAAACTTGACCGAGAGGGAGTCCCGCACCTCTTCGTCCTACTCCTCGGAGGGCGGTTCGTCGTCCATGCTGTCCCTCTCCCCAAGCAGGCGGCAGCGCTCCGCGGAGACAGAGCGCTCGCGGTTTGCGTCCGGCGGGAGCACTGGTTCGCCCAGCGGCGGTCTCGAGCAGGCGCCGCTGCCCGCAGATATCGACCGGATGTTCGGAGGGTCGTCTTCCCGTGGAGGTGCAGCGGGCGGGGGTGTGATCCCTATCGCCACCGGAATGCCGGTGTCCTCAGCACGGCAAAGGGCTCCATCTGCAATTCTGCGTGGAGCGGGCGGGGGACTGCTGGCCGGAGTTGCAGCCGTTACCGGTGCTGCTCGACGCGACCACGTGCAGCATGTGGGAGACGCGACAAGCCCCGCACCAATCGCAATCTCGAGCTCCAGTCCCGTTGTAGGGAGTCCACCAGGTGCAGCAGGAGCGGGGGGCAGTTCTCCTTCGCCAAGCTCATCAAGCAGGGGGGGTACAACAGCAGCGCCGATTTGTCAGGTGACCGGGGTCCCCGTGGTCCGCCGCAGGACCGGCTCGTCTCACAGCTCGCAGGGGCATGGTAGGCCGCCGCGCGGGTATGTGCGACAGGGCACTCCTGCAATGACGGACGTCGGAGACGAAGAGGACAGCCCGACAAGCCCGAACGGGATGGAAGTGCAGCTTTACGACTCTGGCGGATCGCCCGGATCTCCACCGCAGCTTGTTCCCGGTGCAGCAGTAGAGCAGCACGGAGGAGGAGGAGCGGCTGGTGCGTCAACATCGGCACAACAAGAACTTCTCCCTGGAACGGGTTCTTCCTCTTCTGCCGCGCCGGGATTTTTGACGAATGACCAAATGGTTGTAAGCAGCGGGCAGAACCACAACCAGCATTCGACCGGCAGGACACTTTCGTCGACGTCGTCGCAGAACTTCGACCTGCTAATGCAAATGCACCCGCAGCACGAGCACGGGGGACCTGTTGGCCCACATGGAGTCGGACATCATCAGCATCACTCGCACCATCCAAACCACCACTACAGTCGGTCGCCACTTGCTGGATCGACGCCGTCCTCAACGAGGTCCTCGCCGAATCATTCCCGCAGACCCTCCCGCCGCTACAAAAACCGCCAGGACATGCTGCTCGCGGCGCAGCGCAATTTGATGGCGGGAAGTAGTGGCTCTAGGGGCGGCAACAGGGCAGCAGCTCATGTTGTTGCGGCCCCGCACCACCAGCGAACGGATGCGACCGCGGTGCACCGGTCACACACAACCCCGGACCAGTTCATGCTCTCCTCCCTACGGGGACCCGGTAGCTCTGCAGATCAGGACAGCGAGTCGGGCGGTGGACGAGCATCTGGATCTGGACATCAACATAGGGCGGGCAACTTCTTCCCTCGCAGTCCGTCCAGCCTGTCAGAGCTTTCCGATGATCTGCAGTCCACGTCAGAAATCCTGCCGCCCTGGGTTGGTCCTGGGATCATCTCCCAACGGGATCGCCTTACCGCGGTTGAGTTTGCGAACCAGCGGCACATGCTGGAGGAGAGAATGCGCCGTAGTGGACAGTACTACAACGAGCCCCACCCGGCAGATTTGCAGGGCGCGGCGGCGCCGTATGTGTACCATGGTGAACAAGGGGACGAGCTGCTACAAAGAGGGTGTGAAGAAGAACATCTCCACGACGCTCTTCATCGCGGGCACCATGTTCATCATCACCCAAACTCGCACCTGATTCACCCCGAGGACTTACCCGACTATCTCGCCGGGAGAGCTGCAAGAGGTGGAGGCGGTGGACCACTTCACCTGGTCGACTCCGCGGAGAATACCAGCGCGTGGCACGCGGCTATTGCTTCTGCTCATTTAGCATCTCGGGGGCGAGGAACAGGTCCGCACGACCGGGGCGCGGGCGTGGTGGACTACATGGACGCGACAACGCCCGTCATGCCCTCAGAATCAGGGAATCGCGATGATAGTACCAGTACGGCACAATATGGTGGTCATGAGCGATCACAGCAGATCTACAACAACAGTAATACAACCGCGGCAGCCCCTCTCCCTTCGTCCTCTGTAATGACGCGACTGGCATCGTGGATGCGGGCGTCGCGCTTCTTCGGTTCGAGCGCGAGCCGAAGCGCCAGCTCTCGTGCGTCCTCAGCCAGGAGAGCGAGGGTTGGGCCCTCTTCGCACGGACAGTTAACAGATTACGATTCGGCTGTTTTGGATGCTATTGGCTTTTGAGATTGAGCATGATGAGGTCTTCTGCTCCTTATATACTGAACAACTTTATCTTTAACTATAACTTTTTTGCAGGTGGATTGTTACAAAAATGAATTCCGGATCGATGTCCGAATGCGCATTTATTCCTGCGGTATCCATTGGAATATTTACCGGAACGTCGATGGAACGTCGACGTCGATGTCATCGACAGATGTGCTTATTAGTTTCTCGTTGTCGCTCCTTTCAGCGATTTTGAAACAAGTTCTGCCAATTATGCCAACACGACGGCGGTCGTGCCTACATCATTAACATATTTGAACTGGACAAAATCTCGTAAACTGTTTTTTACTAGTACAGTCCGACGTTCGAATCTTCAAGTTATTATCTTTCTTGATACAGCACTTTCCATGCCTTGATGCGGTGGCCCTAGTTGTAAATGTTGCTAAAGCCGACCTGATCCCTTCTTTGAAGGTTGCAGATGTTGATTTACCGACACTGTATTTCGTGCGCGGATTCTAGTCGCGATGATGACCTTTTTCCATACCAATGCGTTACAGCCTTTTTTGGCAGCAGCAATAATGCTAAAAAAGAATGTCAATTATATTTCTGAACAAGCCTAACACATGAAAGCGTATTTTTTCCTGTTTATGATTATGAAATGCAATTCCTTTCGATCTTTTTCTGTGATTTTTTTGGCTAAGGCTGAACCAGAACCTCCTCAAGTCGTGGCATTTCAGTTTGGAACATTCAAGAGCATTAGCTTTTTGAGAAAGGAGGGGCGGTGCCTCCTGAGAATGTAAATAATACGATAATAAAAGTTTACGTCTAAAATTAAAACAAAAGAAACACAAGCGAAGGGGGGGTGAGAGTGAGAGAATCGCTTTCTCTGTCCTTTGCGAATTCCGCTTCGAGACAAAGAATACAGTACTTACTCAGAAATTGAAACTTCGAGGCGGACAGCACCGGGGAGGGCTGTGTTTCCTCGTTGGGTCTTTCAAGTGCCGAATTGATTCGACGCGAAAATGATATTTATTGCCATAAGCAACTAGAGAAATCTCCATCTGCTTCATGATGTGTCGCAATTGTGCTTATTTTCTGAGCCACGGTTATTTTATTTTGCTGACCTGTCTACATCCGTAAAACTCATGTCCGGCTATGACGACGGACCTCAGTTACATCAACTTGCTTGCAAAAAAGAGAAATTCAACGGAGAAGTGAAACATTTATACAAATGAGCAAAACGAAAAGCATCAGCCTAGCTAATGGCCTGACTAAGCAAGGGGTGTGAGACCAGACCCAGATTCAGATACGCATGGGACTACGGGAAGAGCGTCGTGTTACATTGCACTTTCGCTCACCCCCTGCTGTACTGTCTGTGGTCCATATTTTGTTCCTTCTCCTGGTCTTCACGTTGGTTTTCCTCAAGCTTTACCAGGCTGCTTCTGTAGTAGCAGCGTGCGAGCGACTTAGGCCAAAGTCAAAAAGCAAGCGCAGAAGCCTTTTTAAAAAAATTTTTTTTCCATTATCGCTTTTTTCTAGTTACACAACGTCCCTACCGCCGCTTTCGAGCGAGCATTTGTAAACTTGCTCTTTATGAGTATTTACAAAAAACTATCTGATCTGATCTGATGGTGATGGTGAGTCGAGTGGCTGTGTAAAAGGAGTCGCACACGCAGAGTACTTCACTAAGCGGCACGGTTCGTCATATGTTCCACAACTGCCTGAGCGATCACGCCGCACTGTGCTACTTTTTGTTTTTTGTTCGTTTTTACTCCGAAAGCGGGGGTCGTAGGGTCCGGGTTGCCGAACCCGTGGAGAACTTGCGAAAAACTCGGCTACGCGTGTTTCTTGTCTAGAATATTAGAGGCTGCCGGCGGTCTTTCAAATATGATGATGATCCCGATGATGCAGCACTCCGCGAAAGTGACGCGGGCTTTCGCGTTGAGACTTCCCGTTACGCCTGCGACTGCTAGCCGGCGCGCCGTTTTGCGCCGAGGGGCCTCTGTGTGTCCGCGCCGCGCGCCCCTCCTCATCTGTAGTTGCCCGCGCCAAGTCTTGTAGGCAGGCTGCCGGGGCCGTCCGCTTGCGCCTTTGGTTTCCTTGGCATTTCGTTGGCCACATGCGCGCGATCTGCGCACTTCCCAAAGAAGTTGCTGCAGCACCATCGTGTAACGTACGTTACACGATGGCGCTCTGCTTGTTTGCCTTATCGCTTGCCGGCCTAACCAGGGGAGAGAGCCCTGCTTTTGGCCTGTCCATGGCACCATCGTGAGTAAAGTTAGCCACGACGGAAATGTGTTTGGTTGTTTTCGCAGCTTCGGGCGCACTGTGCTACGCCTGGGAGTTAAGGCCGGGCGGGGTGGCTAACGGCTCCACAGGCGTGCCAGAGGCCCACCAGAGCAAGGCAGCTTCCAGCTGCGTGGCTCGGTTTGGGCGGTTGTAGATGAGGCGCCGCGGTTGCAGCCTGGCGCCCTATTACCCAAGAAAACCGGCCACGGCTCTCATGCGCCAGAACTTGCGCCCGAACAAACTTGATCCAGAACTTGTTCCAGAATTTGTTCCAGAACTTGTCTCAGAACTTGTCTCAGAACTTGTTCCAGAACTTGGCTCAGAACTTGTCTCAGAACTTGCCAGGAACTTGCCAGGAACTTGATTTTGTGCCCTTTTTTGGCCCACCTTTTTGTCCCGTACCACGACGGCACGGCCGTTTTTTCCCCTTCTTTTTTCCGGTTCCCGAAAACCAGCTTGGCAAGTTCCTGAACAAGTTCTGAGACAAGTTCTGAGACAAGTTCTGGGGCACACGAGTTCGGCGACAAGTTCTTAGCCAAGTTCTGCGCCAAGTTCTGAGGCTTGCAAGTTCCGGGAAGAGTTGGAGCGCTGGAGCAAGTCCCGCAGCAAGTTCTCGAACAAGCCCCAGGGCAATTCGCTACATAACATGTTCCCGCGCAAGCGCCCCCCCCCCAGCAAGCCCTTTGGGAAGTATATTCGGAGCAAGCGAGCCCCACCATGGGGGCCGCGGGCATGGTTCGAGCCCTGTTGCTGGCAGGAGTGCTATGTCGGATCGAGCGCGCCGATTTTTGCCGCTGCATGCCAGCGGCGTGCTCTTGGGGGCGGCGCGCTGCGAGGGCTCGGCCAGACAGCCCCGCAGCGAGCCTTGTCGGCCGGCCACATTGGCGCCCCGGCATTTTTTCGCGCGGATTGTGGGTACAGGGATGCGGTGTTCCGCGCTTTGGCATTGGAGCCGGTCTGGGTGTTCGGCGCAGCTCCTTTTCCCCCCCGGCAGGCAAGCGGCGTGGATGGACCGGGCCCTGGCGTCGAGTGGCCCCCCGGAGCGTTTTCTTTGTTGTCATTGCCTCGCGGGCCGCTGAAGCTCGTTGCTTTATTCCCCGTTTGCCCAGCAACTGAAGCTGCGTGCCACCGTGTAACGCGCGTTACACGATGGGGCTGGCCTGTCGCCTGAGAAGGCTAAGCAGGCAGGGCGTTCGAAACTCGCTCACTGGCCGCGCGGGGCCCTTCCTATCGATTTGCCCCTCCCGGAAACGGGCCGAACAAGTTCCACGCAAGATCTGCGCGAATTCGGCGCACCATGTATCTAGACCCATGCTTTCGGAGTAAGTTCGTTTTTTTTGTCTTGGGGCGACGTCTCCCATTCTTCACAGACTAGTTGGTTCGCTGGTTGTCCTCTGGGGCGTGTCCCATTGTCTAAGCCCAAGCTTCACGTCGAAAACAGTTCGTTGCAGCCCAACCATGTTGCCCTCGCAGAAAGACGGCGCTCTGCTCTCAGGAACCAGCACGTCAAATGAAGTACAGCCTCAGTCTCCTGTGGTCCGCGAAGAAGATCCCGTTCTTGCGCCTTCACCTTCCGCGCCATCAAAAGATCCGAATGACAAGCGCTCGACCAACCGGGTCCGCGCCTCCGACCGTAGTAGTCAACTGCATGCCACGAAACAAGGAGCTACGAACGCGGAACTCGATGCCAAGGCTGCGGCGTTTGCGAAGAAGCTGCGCGCCAGCGTCTCTTTCGTGAAAGCCGTGCAAATTGCGGAAGACGACAGTGGCACCGAAGATGACGAGAATGTCTTTGCCAATGCCAAAACCAGAAAAACACTCGTTGCGGGGACGAAAAGATTGATGAGTGATAAGAAGCGGCCGGCGGGTGGACGAGGCGGAGCTAGAAGTTCCTCAAGATCAAGTACCAAACCAGAAGCAGGCGAAGACGATCATGGTCATGGAAATAAAGATGCTAGCTCAATAGATGAAAATGAGAAGCTTGACGACCCGGAAGATGAGCAAGACGACGAGGATCCGCCACCCGTGGCCGTCCGCGGCTCCCGTCTGTCTGAAGCGGCGGATATCTACTGCGGCACGGGGTTTGAAGACGAACAGTTTCACGGTGAAGTCGAGGTGATGGTGCGCAAGACCAACATCGCCGAAGAGTATCGGAAAATGCTGGAACGCTACAACTACGCGGCGCCGGCAGATTTACCGCCGGTTGTTGGCAGGAAGAGCACTACTAGGGCAGAACCGCGAGCGTCGACCTCTTCAGCCTCGTCCAGCCGCGAGAGCCGGTTCTGGAAGGCAACGACCGTGAGTAGAAGTAGTAGACCGGACGAGCAATGCTTCGGCGAACAAGAAAACGAAAATGATGACGCAAACATGAGGAGCAGAATGACGACTGCTGTGATAGCGGGACATGAAGAGCAACTTCTAGACGTAGGGCATGCAGAAGCAGATCTGCAAGACGTCACGATCAACGTGCCCCCGCCAGGAGAGACTGATACAACGACCGCCGAAGCAGGAGACCGTGAGGACGAGAGTGAAAAAGGGAAGGCAAATAAAACCTCCTCACCTTCAGCTTCTTCAGCTCTCGGTGTAAAAAACAGCTGCGAACAAGATGTTGACCACAATTCGACGAGGAAGATGAACGGTGAGGAGACAGCAACAACAAACACAAGAACTCAAAGTCATGGCCGGGCTACGCAGACACCAAGCACGACGACTGCAGCGCGCAAGAGTAGACCATCATCAACATCGCTACGTGAAGATCATGGAAATAAAGACCACCACAACGCAGAGCAGCATCGTCAAAGGCAAATGCCGTTTCTTGTCCTCTTAAAATGGAAACTGCGGTTCTGGTGGCACTACGTGATTCTCACACCCGCTATCCAGGAAAAAACATCCATCCACATCCAAGAATTTGTCATGCAAAACATACACAAAATTCTGTGTTTGTCATGCAAAAAATGGATGTGGATGGGTTTTTTTCTGGGGATACCCGCGCGAACCCACGGCGAGGGCCACCCGCAGATGCTCGCCCGCGGCGTTCTCGCGGCTCTGCAGGGTCTCCTGTCCACGATCTTGTTTACCGTGCGCGTAGATCGCCCGCATTTCGTTCCGAAGTTGATTCTCCAGTTCTTGAACGCGTTTTCGTTGACCTACGCATGGCGCACCAACGACGTGAACCAGTTCCTGTTTCGCTCGGTGACCAATTTCTGTCTGGCCTGGACGAACTGGCACGCGTTTGCTTGCGGGAGGCGGTGGATCCACGCTGAGTTGCTCTCGGACGAACGACACGAGAAGAAGCTGGCAGACATGCAACACGCCGGGTACCCGGACACCCTGGACGATAGCTCGGTGGTATGGAAAACGCTTATTTCTATAAGTTTTTGAAGGTTCCAGCTCCACCTATACGCATAAAGAAGTGTGCCAGTGATGTGCATCACACTGTAGTGACGTGGTACTACAACTAGGTAGGAGGATGTAGTAGTAGTGGTAGAGACCAAAACACTTCCTTTATTTTTCGTCAAGAAACTCGCTTGCAATTATAACGACAATCTCCTCAGATTTGTTTCACGCCAGCCTTGGTCACCGATGCAAGCCAGAGCTTTCTAATCGCCTTCCGGGTTCTGCACTTTCTGCTATGCATTGCAAAAGTATAATCGCACTAGCATAAACAGCTCCAACACATGCAAATTTCCCAAACGTACAAAAATGTTCCAGTGTGGCATGCGAGTAGATCAGGGTCAGGCTCAGGCAGAAAGGTAAGTCTGTAAATGCATGACTGCATACACAAGCGAAATATGCCCCCGCCCCCGGAAATCAGCAATTCTGGGGTGCTTAGGAGGCACCCCATCTGGTGCTTAGGAAGCACCCCATCTGCCCCTTTGATACCGCGGGTGCCCGAACTTCGAGCCCTAGGGGCAAGAAGGTAGGCTCCTGGTCCCGGCCAGGCGGGCAAATAGCCTTGCTTGACTAGCGGAAACAAAATCTCCTGGCCCGTTCCATTTGTTACCTCTCGACCAAGGGCAAAAATATAACGCACGGCGCTGCGATGCACAAAAACGCAGTAAGCTGCGCGGCCTCAAGCTCATGGGATGATGGCCATCTGCTCAGGGAGCAAAGACGATCCATGCCGGCGATGAGCCAACTTCACACCCTGAGCGCCGTGGTATCGTAGGCATGCGAGCGCTCCACTTGTGACATTTTGCAGCACGCATGTGGGGTTTTTGCATGCAGGCGCCAAAAGGTGAGCGCTGCACTCGCCAGATGCGGCAAGTCCGCCGATCCGGGTGTCACATAAACGCCCGGTCTGCCGGGATCTGGCGCTGCAAAAGCTCGCGGCTTTTCTAAAAGGAATCCGCATGCTACAGGCCCGATTCGACAGCCGCAAAGTCGGCTCCTTTTGCGCCGCCGGATTCCGGCAGATCGGGTGGCTATGTAACACCCGGATCGCCCGCATTCGCCGATCCATAATTGGACTCGCCCGTCGAGCTTTTCCCAGGTTTCGTTTCTGTGCATGACCGCGCCAAAAGCTTGAAGCTTGCTCGAGAGCCAGCTTCGGACTAGGATTTAATTGCTTGCCGAAGACAGGCATAATAAGTATAAAGAAGAGCAGTAGAAGTGCTAGACTCGGAATCGCAACGCTCTAGCTAAGTAATAAAATACAGGCCCCATAGTCACCATGGTCCGATCGAGGTGGTTTGGGTGTGTGTCTATGGCGATGGAACCTTCGGCCTGGGGCAGTAGAGATGCCCCGCTCCTCTTTTTCATTGAGCGCAGGCTGACTCTTCAGCCACGCGTGAGATGTTGACTCTAATAAAGCGCGCGGCTCTAGTGCGACGCGCTTAAGCACCAGATGGGGTGCTTCCTAAGCACCAGATGGGGTGCCTCCTAAGCACCCCAGAATTGCTGATTTCCGGGGGCGGGGGCATATTTCGCTTGTGTATGNGCATACACAAGCGAAATATGCCCCCGCCCCCGGAAATCAGCAATTCTGGGGTGCTTAGGAGGCACCCCATCTGGTGCTTAGGAAGCACCCCATCTGCCCCTTTGATACCGCGGGTGCCCGAACTTCGAGCCCTAGGGGCAAGAAGGTAGGCTCCTGGTCCCGGCCAGGCGGGCAAATAGCCTTGCTTGACTAGCGGGAACAAAATCTCCTGGCCCGTTCCATTTGTTACCTCTCGACCAAGGGCAAAAATATAACGCACGGCGCTGCGATGCACAAAAACGCAGTAAGCTGCGCGGCCTCAAGCTCATGGGATGATGGCCATCTGCTCAGGGAGCAAAGACGATCCATGCCGGCGATGAGCCAACTTCACACCCTGAGCGCCGTGGTATCGTAGGCATGCGAGCGCTCCACTTGTGACATTTTGCAGCACGCATGTGGGGTTTTTGCATGCAGGCGCCAAAAGGTGAGCGCTGCACTCGCCAGATGCGGCAAGTCCGCCGATCCGGGTGTCACATAAACGCCCGGTCTGCCGGGATCTGGCGCTGCAAAAGCTCGCGGCTTTTCTAAAAGGAATCCGCATGCTACAGGCCCGATTCGACAGCCGCAAAGTCGGCTCCTTTTGCGCCGCCGGATTCCGGCAGATCGGGTGGCTATGTAACACCCGGATCGCCCGCATTCGCCGATCCATAATTGGACTCGCCCGTCGAGCTTTTCCCAGGTTTCGTTTCTGTGCATGACCGCGCCAAAAGCTTTAAGCTTGCTCGAGAGCCAGCTTCGTACTAGGATTTAATTTCTTGCCGAAGACAGGCATAATAAGTATAAAGAAGAGCAGTAGAAGTGCTAGACTCGGAATCGCAACGCTCTAGCTAAGTAATAAAATACAGGCCCCATAGTCACCATGGTCCGATCGAGGTGGTTTGGGTGTGTGTCTATGGCGATGGAACCTTCGGCCTGGGGCAGTAGAGATGCCCCGCTCCTCTTTTTCATTGAGCGCAGGCTGACTCTTCAGCCACGCGTGAGATGTTGACTCTAATAAAGCGCGCGGCTCTAGTGCGACGCGCTTAAGCACCAGATGGGGTGCTTCCTAAGCACCAGATGGGGTGCCTCCTAAGCACCCCAGAATTGCTGATTTCCGGGGGCGGGGGCATATTTCGCTTGTGTACTGCAATTAGAACTAGAGTACGACTTAGATACTTTTGCGCAGCATACCTGCAGGGGTTCATCAATTTCTGCCTCTGCATCAACCTCTTCCTCCACTGGCGGTCCCCCGCATAGTATCCCACAAAAAAAAGCTGTGTTGCTCGTCAGTGTATAGAACGAACCAGAAGAGGAATATTCATGAGTGTTCCAATTTATCTCTCCTTCTTCACGACCTCCACGTCAAATTTTAGTGAAGCGATGCGCGTAAGACACTTTTTTTTTTTGGATAGTTGCGGGGCGCGACTAGTGACGTTTACCACCATCGCAGATCCGAACAAAGGGAAGAGCGACAATGACGCAGATGATGTTGCGAATAAGGAAGGCGAAGGCGTTAAAACGGCGGAAAAAGTAACAGACGACGCGAACAAGATAAAAACGCCAACACATCATAGCAAAGAGGGGGAACATGGCAAGCAAGATGAAGAAGGACATGATGAACCTGATCCCGATGAGATTTACCGTCCCAGCGAAAAGGAAGCAAGCCAACATGACGTTGTCGAACCCACACCCACCGTTGTACCAGCGAAAATCTTGCTCGTTCGCGGTACGGTCTGGCTCCGCGGCCGGGCGATTCTCACCGGCTGTGCTATCGTGATCGATTTGCTCAAGGCGATTTTCAAGAATACGATCATTCCCGAGGGAAGCTACTTTGAGCGGTACGCGGTCGAGACGGTGATGCATTTCCTGCGTGGGTGTTTGCTCCGTCCGCTGCAGATTGCGAGTTTACTGACCCAGTTTTACTACCCGAGATAGCGACTGGATGAAGGTCCAAGGTTGTTGAAGGGATCAGGTTTCAATCTTCATCAACTCGCTTCCTTGAGATTTGTTTTGTCACAGTGCCAGTACGTAGGAGTAGTTATAGTTATAGTTTCAGTTTCGGTTTCTATCAAACATTTAAATTTGGTTCTTGAGTCTTCATGTACAGATCAACAATATGTACCAGGCTTCCAACAGCACAAAAATGAAGATGTTGAAGAGTTAGAGAAATGGGCAGCAGCCAGGATGAACAATCATATCCGTGCCTCTAGGTTTGCTCGTGGGTTTTGTGTGGCTGTGGTCTGCTCCTCCCCGTTCATTACTTGATGCAGCCCTCGTGTGTGATGTGCCGTGTGTCGTGGTTGTACCGAGTTGTGGTCGTTGGTTCTGAGTGCAAATCGTGCGACTCCTTGTTTAGCTGAGCGAGTAGTTTCACTGTGGCCCCTCGAAAGTGAAAGACGAGTGCAATCTATCTACTTCCTTCGCTCGTTGACAAGATTCCTGAGACGTTGATGTACTTCTAATCTGCTTCTGAGGCGTTGTGCGTCCGTTTCTTCTTGCGGCAAGTATGCGAAAAAAGAAAAAAGGAAACTTATTTCACAACTACAGTTTCAAACAGGTTGTAGCTTTTTCCTGAACAAAACAAAAACTGACCTTCGTACGCTACAAGATCTTCACATCCGCTTGTTCCCGACGATGTACTCCAAAATTGCGGAACAGTATGGGGCCGCCGCCGGCAGCCTGCAGAGGGAGCTGTCGGAGCTACAAGGGACGAACCAGCACAAGAACCTCCACCGCAACGTGCCCTTCTCTATCCTGTGCAAAAGTATCGTATTCGTAGTAATTGCATTTATGCATTGCAAACCTCTTTCCCAAGGTAAATCAGCATTACAAATTTAATTTGTAATGCTGGGCTAATTTGTAATGCAATTTATTTTTATACTAGTGCGATGCTTTTGCATTGCATATTCTCTCGCGACCAAGAGGACCGGCTGAGCAACCTACAGGAAAAGCTGGTGGCGATGCAGCCCAGGCGGTACCCGAGGAGGAAGGTATGAAAGTACACAACTCCTCCTCCCCCTCATTTGTCATGCAAAATACCCAATCCACCGTTTGTCTCTCGGCACTAGTTGCATGACAAGTTCTGGCAGCCCAAATAGCACTACACTCCAGCGCAAATTTGTCATGCAAAACCGGCACTCTTGCTGATGCTTGTACTGCCGTTCATGCAATACAAATGAGGGGGAGGGGGAGTTCGAGTTGTGCACTCTCATAGAAGGTACCGTGGCACCAGAAAGTTGGAACAGGTACAACGACTTCTTGCAGCGTGGTTGCACGACTTGGAAGAGGACCGCTCCTGCATAGAACTGCTTCTTCTTTTCGTATAGCAAAACACATATCATAGTTGCGTGAAGATGAAAAAGAAAAAAAAAAAGGTGACCTCGATGGCGTGTCGACCTCTTTTTCCGTAACCGACGTTGGTTCCGTTTGCGCTTCTGCGGTTTCTAACTGGGATGCCAGTGGCTGGGTTCCCGTGGCAAGTACAACCGTTTCTGGCACAACAGGCGGCGACTACCAACATCGTCCAGCGCTCGCCCCGTTGAAAACAGCACATCAACACTTGCTCAACAAGCTGGCAACTTCGTCATCCGGAGCAGCTTTGCACCAAACGACGAACGCCGCTGCGAACAAGTTGAACCGCCTCGCAATCGACGATAAGCTGCTCCCGGGGCCGTTGCTGCAAATGGACGTTAATAATCAAACAAGGAAACTGTCTACGCGGGCTGGCGGTGCTGGTGGACAAGCAAGTGCAAGTCCAGCTGCAGTTCTTTCCGGCGGTAGAATAAATGCTCCTGAACCAGGTACAGGTCCTCTGCATAGTGATCGACCAGCACTGCAGCAAATACCGCCAGCCGCACCACGATTCAACCACAACACGGGGAGCAAATCTTCAGACGTCGGGGCTGCAGCAAACACCAGGGACATCACCGACCAGGACGACCGCATTGTCGAGGAACTTATGGCCACCGCTTCGAACGTAAACGTTGGAGGTGGCACTGATGATAAACACACAGAACACGACTACTTTGACGGCCCGATCCGGCCCGCGGGCAGTCTGTGCGGGAGGGAGGACAAGGGGCGGAAGAAATTGGTCAGTCGCCGCGAGCAGAAAAAGCGGGAACAACAGCTGCATAATTCTTATGCTGGACCCGGTCGTGGATTCGACGCCCTCGAGGTCGTTGACAAGGAGAACTACCGTCCCTCTTCTGCTACCGCGCTCTTACGGAACAAGGCCGTAGCTCCTCCAGTCGAGAGGAAAGTTCCAGGGAGGAAAGGCCCTGGTGGTGCATCTGCGAGTGGAGCTCATGCCGGTCCGTCGTTTTTCAATGCAAACAAGAAGCAGGTCGGAGAATCGGAGCGCCAACACGACGAGCGGCTGAGCCAGATCCGCGGAAACACAAACTCCTCGACCAATTTCGGCGCAGCACAGCCGCAGCAGCGGGGCGAAAATAATAACAACAGCAATCCTGCTTACGACGCGTATGCACGGATGCAGCAGATGCAGCGTGACCACGACATTGCGCAGTACTTGCTTCTGCAGATGAACGGTAAAGGGTCAAGAACCGGCTCTCCAGCTGAAAACGAGGATGCTGGGACGCTGAACAATCAAAGCACGACCGCGGCGATTGCTCTAGTGCCACCCCCTCCCAGCGCACCGCTGAAGCCGAAGCGGTCGCTCGACCAGGAGTTGAAGCTGTGGGAGTCCCGAGTCCTGGAGGAAAAGCGGAAAAGAGTGGAAGCAGAAACGGAGTTAAAACGCATGCGACAACTGTGGTACGCGCAGGGCGGGGGAGAAATCGAAATTCCGTCGGATTCCGGGTAGAAAGGAGGATAGGTCACGGGGTAGATAGTACAGATAGCAAGTTATCATTGCTGTGCTGCCGGTGATAGAGATAGTACACATCCTGATGCAGCTCGACTGACAAGGAGCGGGTCATGTCATAACGTAGGTATGTGTTTCTTTGGGCGGTAGAGGTAATGGTCAACAACTGAAGATGAAAATGCACCACAACTACAAGACAGCAGTTGTGTCTTTCATTCAACACTCTACTTTTCAGTGACGGGCGTGATAGAAATTTGTTTTCCGCTGTCAACCAGAACGAGAGCCATTTTTTCAAAAGAATAAAGATGAGATTAATGCTGTAGAAGTATCTTAATCGAGCTACAGCTACAGGACGAGCGGGTCTTCACCACTTCGTGCCGAGCACCTAAGCAAATCTGATACCACCGACATTCTGGTGGCGGTGAGATCGCGTCTTTTCTCGCTCCTGGCTATCAACTGTAGTTGTTCTGTAGTACTAGAAGAGCATGGTCCTCCCTGCTTTTTGTCGGTCGACATCAAGATCATCAAGACGTTCCGAGTCAGAGTCAGTCGAGTCGCTTGACAGGCTGCGTATTTTTTGGTTACCGCAAAGATTGTGTTTGAAATAAAGCGTGACTTTTTTCGAAGTACGTAGCTAGATTCGGTTCATCCCATGAATTCTTCGACGTTGTCCCGATGTGTTTGATTTTGGAGCCTCTTCAAACTTCAAGTTCAACATACTTCTTGAGTTTCGTATTCACAAGAACTTTTTTTTTCTTTGTCCCGCCGTGTCTTCAACAACAAGATCTGTCCTGCTCTCCGGCGGAGTCAACACAGGCTCAACATTCACCCCTTGAGCAAGAAGAACACTCATTGTGCCATTCGTCGACGTCAGAACTCTTTTTGCGCTCTTCTTTGCTTTTCTTCTTCCTGAAAATGGTGCCGCGTTTTGATTTTGTTTGAAGATCCGAATGGATGCGATTCATTGTAACTCGGCTTCGGTCTTTGTTCGTATCATCATCGACCCACAGATGAAGTTGCGCAGCATTATTATTTAGTTGCTCGTAGTTCCCCTAAGCGTAACGGACCCGCCTTCACGCCCCCTATGATCTTCAGCACCGTCACCATGCCACAAGTAGAAACCTATTCTCGTACTAAAAGACCGCCCCCGCCCCCGCTCCGACGGCGACAAAATAAAAAAACCGGGCTGGCTGTTGCTACGACCGCAGCTGCGAGCACGATCGGAGTGCTTTACACAGCAAGCCTCGCCGCCTTCGCCAAGAACGAAACGCACACCAGCACCGGCGTGCCACTTTCCCTGTACAAAGTACAACCGCCGAACGCACGGACTTTCGAGTCCCTGGTCGACTGCTTCACGGATGAGGAGCACTCTTTGGCGGACAGCGAATTTTGCCTGGATCAGGTGTAGGCATTGCAAAAGTATCGTACTCCTCGTATAAAAAATGCATTACAAATTTCCCCAGCATGAGAGAGAAAATTTGTAATGCGGATTGACCTTAAGAAAAGGATTTGTAATGCATGTTTGCAATACGAATACGATGCTTTTGGACAGGATAAGGTGTACCAGACCGCGAAAGCGAGCCCGGGGATCGAGGACCTGATTATCGGGGTGAACGAGACCATGCTGACCTGCAAGGTCACTGGAAATGAGAAGGTGCAAAAACGGGGGTGCGAAGCGTTGACGACACTCGCCTTCGACGTGGTCTCTATGTCCTTAGGTTACATGATTCTCTGCACCTCGGACGACGACAATTTTGAGAAGAACAACGTAAACCTCTACGGCGAGGAGGTGAACTGCGGGTCGTTTCTGAACGTCGCGGCCAACCAGATCCGCGGGCGCATGGAGCGGTGCGAGGAGCGGTACTTTTTGACGCCGCTGAAGTTTTTCGTGGCAGAGCAAGTGGGCAATATCCAACAAAAAAACATTGTAGGTGTAACTTTTTTGGAGGAACAGCATTACAAATTTGTCTGGCATGACAGCAAAAACCTGTCATGCGCAGATAGTACGTGAAAACGCCTTTTAATAGACCCTACCATGCATGCTAAGCATGACAGACGCAATCATCTCGCATGTTGCGCATCACAAATTTACACTAACAACGTTTTTTTCTTGGATAGGCAAGTGGAGAAAAACCTTCCTCGAGCAGCTACTCGAGAAGCAGAAGCAGCGCGGGCAGATTTTGCCGTCCACCTTCTGGCGTCTGTCGATTGATGTGGTCAACGACATCTCGCAGTGGGTTCGCTGGAACGCGTGGCAGGCCAACCACTTTTTGTGGGTCCAGGACGTGATAGAGGCCAAGCAGGTGGTGCACACCGAGTGGGGGAACGAGAAGCGGTGGGAGAAACTGGGGGCGAACGACGCAAACAACACGTACCCTTTGCCAACGCCGAAACCCCGGTTTTTCTTCAGCTATCCTGATTGATAAAAACGTCCCCACCCCAGAGTTGTCACGCAGATTTGCAGTTACAGTTACCGAGAGCTTTGCAATGCGCGTCAGGATCGGTAGGTGGCTTTGTGATGTGGCAGCACTTGCTTTTGCTACACAACTGCACTACAATACAGAGAGGAACTTGATGTCATGCGTGACTCCCAGAATTTCTGGACTTGTTATGCGATATCCCCATCTTGATTTTCGGGTGGGGACGTTTTTGTCCAGAATATCAGCGAGAAGTTCGGTATGCGCTGGGAAATCGTGAATTCGCTTCTTTCCGAGTACGGGATAGAAGAGCTGCGGGTCGTCGAAGTGGGGGTGTTCGCCGGCCACTTTTCCAAGTTCCTGCTGGAAAAGTTCCCGAAACTGCAGCTGATCGGGTCTCCACAGAAAAAAACCCATCCCCATCCGAGTTGTCATGCGGAACATACATAAAAAAAGTGAAATCCGGTGTCTTGCAACATGCAGAAAATGGATGGGGATGGGTTTTTTTCTGTGGATATCGGGATCGATCCCTACATAGGAACCGACGAAACCTTCCCGGGGGATTACTCCCAGACTTTGGATTATGGATGTGTCAGGTTTGAAATCGTCCAAGTTGAAATTGTTTGTCATGCATAAAACGGATACCAGCTAGACCTGCAGTTTGTAGTCGGTGCATGACAAATTTTCCCGGTCCGGGAAGCGAGTCTGTCATGCGGTTTAGGGCAAAAGAGCTGCCTTCTGTCATGCTAGTCAGCAGTCCAACTTTTGACCCTTACCAGGACTATAATCTGCCTCCCTTGCGTCCTCTGCAATAGAGTCACTTTTTGTATCGCATTTCATGCATTACAAGTTATTTCAACTTTGTCGATTTCAACTCTGACACATCCATATGGATCCGTCCATCGCGTACAGCAACGCCATGGCCATCTACGAGGAATCCGGGCCCGGGAGGGCGACGCTGTGGCCCACAACGAGTTTGGAAGCGGTATTTTTAGGCGAACACGCAGTGGTCCGAGTTCTTGTCCTCTACTACTGAGATGATATACGTCCTCGTTGTATTGCCTCCAGTATGTTGATTTAGATTCGGTCGATTCTATATGATTCTGATTGCCGTTTCACTTCTTTTTTCTTGATCCAGCGTTCGGAATCAATAAGGACGATAAATAAATAGTGCTCCATGAAGATCCCTTCTATCTTCTCCATCCCTATTTCCAGGTAAAGAACGTCCCCGACCAATCCATCCACGCGGTTTTCGTGGACGGCTGCCACTTTTATCACTGTGTCGAGGAAGACCTCCGTCTTTGGATCCCCAAAATTATGCCGGGCGGCCTCGTTCTGGGCCACGACTTTTCGCCGCAGTGGCCGGGCGTGGTCCGTGCGGTGTGGGAGAACCGACCAAATCAACGGGTGTTTCTCGCCTATGCTGTGCAAAAGTATCGTACTCGTATAAATGCAGGTCTTGCATTACAAATTTCTTTGTCAAGGCAAAATAGCATTACAAATTTTATTTCTCATGCTCAGAAAATTTGTAATGCATTATAAATATACGAGTGCGATACTTTTGCAGTTCATATCGCCATGGACTGGATGTATTGGTGGCAGATAGACGACGAGCCCGAGGAGCAGACTGCGGCCATGAAAGAGGAACTGGCAAAGGAGGAGCTATGATACGTTTGATGTGCAGATCTAAACAATTTGAAGCTGGTGTCGTGCGCCGGAGACGGAGGGACGTTGGGGTACTAAGGGTAAGGTGGCAAGCCCATGATACAACTTTCTTTCATGATGATCCTTGCCGGTACAGTGAATACGAGTACGACGCCACCTTCGTTCAAGTTTGTCTTTGACAAGAGATACGAGCCTTGAAGATTTCAACAGCATGATCAGCCACGCAGATCATGGTGGTCTCATGGAAATGGAGCACGTCGACAGGAGCGCTGCCTCTAAGATACCAGTTGTCGTTCTTGTCTGGAAGCGTGTCGGTGTCTTGGTACCGACCTCATTCGTCCCACCAAAAGTAGTTCGGGCTCGTGAGTTGTGAGAGCTGCTGAGATGTCTTGTTTGTTAGGCACCGACAAGAACCTTGAGAAGATGAGCCAACTGAGACAGAGTCAGAGATGACACGGACGGCGCGGAGCGATACGATAAAGTTATCTGGTAGTCTCGTTTCAATTACCGCAAGTTGTATTGTTGGATGACGTCGTGTAATTATCCCACGATGAACCAAGGTCGTGTAATATTTGGTTCTATCTTTACGAAAGCAAGAGGATGTCGCCGTGGTTGCTATCTACCAGGGACGACCCATCGTCCCAAGATCGAAAGGACATCTAGGACCACACTTTCTCGGTCTCGACTACCTCCAGCTACCCACCCACTCAAGAATGTCAGCAATCTAGCCTGGATACAACCCAGCCTGTAGTTTTGTTTGGTTCTGGCTACGGCAGAAGTGATTTCGAAGATTCCGTGTTTATTTATACATGTACACCAGAGTTTGCTTTTGCTTTTATTGAATTTGAATGCAAGTTAGTACTTACACGCACCACGATAAGCAAAACAGAATGGAGTTTGACGTGCTTGCTCTTGCAGCAGTCCCAGCGGGCACAAGGAGGTGGGCATCTGTGTGGTCTTGATCTACGTGATAGCAAACCGACGCTGTGGTTCTCGTCGTTCTTCTTGACATCAGCATTTCTTCTCCCGCACACGAAGAATACTCCGCCACACAAGTACAAGTAGATCGACGAAAGAAAATCAACATCATGCTGAACACCTCGAAGCTGAACATTTCCTTTACCAACTTCCAGGCGGTTCGTTGCCAGCAGCACTGCGGCCAGCTCGTTCTCGCCTGCGATTTGGATGAGCATTACAAGCTCAAATGTACCCACCGACATGTGGAGTGTCCGAACTTGTGCGGGTGGACGGGCAAGGCGAAGGATTTGCCGGACCACATTGGCAACGGGGAAGTAGAACTACAAGAAAGTGGAAATGATCAATGCCGGTTGCACAGCCTGATCAACGAACTCCGGGATTTGCTCGCCACCGAGCCCGAGACGCCGTTTCCGATTCAACAGCTGTTGGCGAAGATAAACGAGACGAGAATCCAGCTTCGAGAGGACTTCCTCGCGAATAGTCTGTACAAGGAGCCCAATACATCGAAAGGAAAAAAATCATCAAGCAGCTACAAAAACAGCAAAGTGTCCCTCTCCACGACCCAGACGCTCCACAAAACGCAAAAACTCCCCTTTTACGACGTGGGCGAAGCTTCGCCCACGAGCAGGCGCGCGGACGTGCAGGAACTGCGGTCGCTACTGGAAAAGACGCAAAAGTACACTTCGACGGAAAAGCAGGCCTTCGACACGGTGGCCCGGCTGGCGGCGATCTCGAAAGAGAAGGCGGAACACGTTCTGGCGCTGCTGATATGACACCCTCAGAATGGAAATCCTCAAAGTGGAAATACAAATAATATAAATATTGTGATGCATGAAATGCGACACCAAAAAGAATGTATTGTGGAGAACGCAATGGAGGCCGACTATTGTGCTTTTATGGGTTCAGAATTGGGCTGCTGATTAGCATGAGAGAAGGGCACCCCTTTGCCTAACTAGCATGACAGACACGTTTTGAGTGCCCGGGAAATTTGTCATGCGCCGGCTATAAATGGTGCTCCAACTGGAGTCGTTTTTTTGCATTGCAAATTATTTTCACTTTGAGGATTTCCAACCTGAGGCTTTCATAACTGACCACGCGCGCGTCCGCGGACAACTTCGCGGACACGCTGAAGGACCGGATGGAGATGTGCTGGCGGGTGTGGTATCAAATGCAAGTATGTCTGGGTCTGGAAACTTGTGATGCAAATCTACGAAATGTGGCCGCATTGGCATTAGATTACAATATGCAGCGCAGCATGACAAGTTCAAGTTTTTGCGCTGCTGTGTGTTTCGTTTTTCGCAGGACAAACTGCGTTTTTGCATGACAGGCAAGAGGCCCCTTTCCTGCTCATGCGTCACAGATCTCAGACTCATGCCAGACAAGCATGACAAACTTGCATTCTACTTCCAGACCCAGACATATTTGCAGTGCATATGTGGACCCAGTACGACATTTGCTGCAAGCTGTATTCCGACCGGGACACGCTGCGGCCCAGCGAGGAAATTCTGCTGAAATTCGCGGTATTACAATGAAAAATGCCCCCACCCCCGAACTTGGGAGAATTTGTATTGCACACCTTTCCAAATGAAACATTCGCCCTCTTGCATCGCATCAGCATCACAGATTTCCGATCGTGAATAGCAAAAATTTGCATTGCAAAAGATCCCAGCAAGAGCGGCGCTTGTCATGCAAGCGATGCGACATACACGTAGACTCTGCATCAGAAAGGTTAAGTCTCATTCTCATACTCCTTTCATGCATGACAAAAAGTTTTCATTATATATTTGGAAACTTAGCATCACAAATTTTTGCAACCTTGGGGGTGGGGGCATTTTTCCTCGCGATACGCGGACTTCGAGCTCTCCACGGGCTTGGCGAGGAAAGACGTGCCGCGGATCGCGCGGGCGATTGAATTCATCCAGAAGAACTACCAGTACATCCCGGACGACCCGTTAACACGGGACCAGAAGCAGGACACCCTGCGCGGGTTGACCTCCATTCTGCACGAAAAGAAGATTCTCCAGTTGAAGCAGTATCCGACCTTTCACAAGTGGTTTTTGGACCTTTGCGGGGAACCCTACAGCGAGCAGATGGTGGAACGGGTCAAAGAGTGCTTGGAAAAGGTGCTGTGCAACCCGAACTTGGGGGACCCCGCGACCAAAGTCACACCGTTGATAGCACTGTGTCGGAGAGGGTAAGTACACTATATTCTTGTTTTTCACGTAGAGGTAGATTTGTTCGTTCTCACGTTGAGTTTCGTTTTTCATTCGCGACGCGCGTGCGTGGTTGCGTTGTTCACTTGCAGAAAGCAAAACCAGACGGGAGTACTAAAGAAACTTCAAAAAACACATAAAAGATATTCCGACCTCGTCGAGGAGCTGCTTTACGTAGATTCTGACGCCACCTTCGCCGCTATGGACGGGAAGACCGCGCTCCACGTGGTGTGCGAGAAGCGGGACCAGAAGTGCCTCGCTCGCTTTTGCGCGACCACGAAATACAAGGAGCGCAACATCGCCCACTTGGTTGATAAACGAGACAAAGGCGGGAGGACGCCCTTGATGTTGCTCTGCAGACACGTGGTGGACGAGAAGTTTCTCTCGGTTCTCGAGATGGTTGTCGAGTCCGGGTGCCGTCCGATGCAGAAGCAGGGCGACGATAAAAATTCCGTGCACCAGCAAGTCGCGGGAGCAGCGCCGGAACAACTACCCAGCAGTCCTGCTAAAACTGCCGAGCAGCAATCTGCCGACGGAGGTGGAGCAGATGTTGACCAAGATGGGACGAAAAATGAAAAGGAGGAAGAAGAAGTTTTCCAGTACACGCCGGACGAGATTCTTTCGCCTAAGGACAAGGAGGGAAAAACGGTTCTGCACCACCTCCTTCTGGGCAACATCGGGCTCAGCGGCGAAATGAAGTGCAAGGACGAAGCGAGCTTGCGCAGCACGATCAACTACATGCTTCACAACGGCTATGGATGTGTCAGGTTTGAAATCGTCAAAGTTGAAATAGTTTGTCATGCGTAAAACGGATACCAGTTAGACCTACAGTCTGTAGTCGGTGCATGACAAATTTTCCCGGTCCTGGAAAAGAGTCTGTCATGCGGTTTAGGGCAAAAGAGCTGCCTTCTGTCATGCTAGTTAGCAGTCCAACTTTTTACCTTTACCAGGACTATAATCTGCCTCCCGTGGGTCCTCTGCAATAGAGTCAGTTTTTGTATCGCATTTTATGCATTACAAATTATTTCAACTTTGACGATTTCAAACCTGACGCTTCCATAACGGCATCCACGCCACGCGCTCCCGGGACGTGCACCGACAAAACCCCGTCATCCTGGCTTGCAAACAGCGGTACCCGGCTATGGGGTTCTCAAACGTCATTCTCAGCTGTTGCATGGATCTGTCATGCAAATTTGCTATGAGTAAGTATCTAATCTACATGATCAAGCTGCTTCGCATGGCAGGTTCGCGACTCGCTAAATAGCATTAGAATCTACACCAAACCTGTAATGCAACAGGCGCAAGCAGCTTTCCCTTTTCAATTCTGCCACTCTTGCATGACAAATTTATGTAACAGTTGAGAATGCAACATTTGAGAACTCCATACCGGCCGCGGTGATCCAAACCATCCTAGAAACCATCTCCGAGCCCGAAATCGCGGCAAAGAACCTGGTCGAGAACAGCGCGGGCATCCCGGAAGTCGATGTGGAGCAGTTTGTCGACGAGGAGACGGGGTTAGTAGACGGGGACTTGGTTGAGAAAGCCGAGGAGGATCGCGTCTTGCAGCAAATCGACGCGGACAAGCACGACCTGCTACAGAAGGACGACACGGGAAAGAATCCCGTCGAGTGGATACGGCACTGGGCGAAGTTGAGTGCCTGGAGAAAGTGGGGCGACACGGTGGAGGAGCTGCTGATGGAGCACGGACACCCGAAGGAATGGGACATTGACTTGAGAAGACTGGGAATACCAAACAACGCAGTCACGTTCAAGGATCCGAAGTAAAAATCTACTTGCTTTTGCTTTTGATCTAGTTTATCAGCTAAGGAATTTCAATTTTGGTGCTCGTCATGCTTTAGTTTTGGCATGGATGCAGTTGCAGATGAAATGAAAGTGCACTATTGCTGACTGTCCCCGTGGTCACGCACACAGCAAGCGTGCCATGGGTCTTGTTCTTTGTTCATCGGAATGAATGTAGATGGTGCAAGAAAACTTCATTATCTATCACTATCAGGTTCCACGTGGTTCTGGATTACGAAGAGGTTCGCAACCAGCAAATTGTCGACATGCTCGACCCGCTCGAGGGCATGCCCTACGTGGAGCCCTCGGAACACCCAGAGTCGGAAATGGGCGAAACGAACAAGGAGGACGATCCGGAAGACGCGCCGGAGGTACCGTTTTCCCCGAAGTCGCAGCCGGGGTCCCCGAAAAGTCCGAAGAATGCGTTTGTACCCGATCCAGACGAAATTGTGGTGATGCTGTAGGTGGTTGGACGCGGAGGTTGCAGGCAGCAGTTGGAGCGTTGTTAAAGCTGCTCCTTGTAGGATTCATTCATCATCTTCATGTTCCTCATTCTGTAACCTGCATGGAGATGTTGCAATTCTAATTCATCGTCACCGCTCAGCAACCTCCCCAACATCGCGCTGTACAAGATAGAGGGGTGGATGAAGGTTGAAGATACCATCACAAGAAATGAAACAAAGTTCGCGCTTCGCCGCCCCAGAGAGATGACTGACAATCATCACTGCGCTGTACAATTCTCCCAACAGTAAACCACGAAATGAAATGGAAGACACAAAAGCGAACAAAGAAAAAGATCAAGATGAATATGACGACCACCGGCATTGTGGACGATTTGGATTTGGAGCGCGAACCGCTAGCACGCGCCAGCGTCTTGGTCTTCCCTTTCACCTCCACCAGTTCGGTCCGTGGTGGATCATGTGGATACTCGTACATCGAAACTGCGATAAAAGGTTTACTTGTGTCAGTTTCATCGCAAGGGCAAGAGAAAGAGTAGAAGGTTTGTAGAAAATGAAAATCGTCGAGGAACAGAGTCGTGGCGACAATGGTACACTGTCATTGATGAGCAGGATCATGAGGGACGATTGTGATCGAGTCGAGTAAAGCTAAAAAAGCGCACGTCGGCGCATGGACTACATCTCTGGTCGTGCGACGTCGCGTCGGCGACACGGGCGGCGACGAGGGCACACTGTTTTGATTGTTTTATATCGGGCTCCTATGATGCCGATGCGTCTTAAGTAAACTTTGTCCTTGTCACCTGAAATTGAAAAAGCGAAGATAACACGATATTTTGTACGAAAAAAGGAAATCACCGATTTTCATTTTGTAGAGTTTGTATTTGAGAAGATCGAGGAGATGACATTGGATCTTCAATGCCGCAAATTAATGAAAAAAGATCGTGCTTTCTTAAGTGGATAGGAATTGAACTTTTAATTGATATCTTGATTCTTGTTGTACAGTTGAAATTAGAGTCAGCAATTCGCGTTGCTCTCACGAGCTCGACCATTGACCCACGATCTCACTCGAGCACGATGACATCGGTGACCCGGTCCCTTAATGCGGCAGGTGCGGAGGATCTCCTGCACGTGTTGCAGGACAGTGTGATGTTATCGTCGACGCGGAAGGGCGGGAGCAGCGCCAGCGTTGTTCCGTGCGACGTGCGAACAAACCCCACAGCAACGCAGCAGCACCAGCCGTCGTTTTGTTCTGCTGAACATTTACTAGGAGGTGGCAAGAAATCCTCGACGAGGACGGCGCGGGCAGCGGTAGACACGCCTTCAGCTCTTCCTTCTTTGTCCAAAAATTTGGGAACTTCCACCTCGTCGAGTTCCTCTTCAGCTTCAGCTGCACCACTTTCGCCGCATGGGCATGTGTCTGGGCGCGGTGAAGAAGATGGACTACAGCAGGTTAAGGAGAGCTGCGAAGAAGGCGGCCTCGGATCTTTTAGGATCAACACGAAATCGCCCATCATTCCGCTGGGTCACAAGAATGTTCATTCCGAGCATTTGCTGCATCGGGAGGAGCAGAAGGGTTGGACCGGACGTGTAGGTGGTGGTCGGGCAGGGGAAAGTGTAGGTTTCGGGAAAAACGGATCGCGGGATCGCGGTGCGGAGAAAATATCGGGAGCGCCATACAACTCCAAACAGCTCCAAACAACTCCAAACAACTCCAAACAACTCCAAACAACTCCAAACAACTCCAAACAACTCCAAACAACTCCAAACAACTCCAAGCATCAAGAACTCCAAACAACTCGAACTCCGAGCCGTCATTGCCGCCTTCCCAGACAGAACCGACGCATTTCATCTGCCAGTTCAAGTCAGCAAACCAGGACGAATGTTCAAGATCAAGTGACAAAGATAAACCCGTCTCGCTCCACATTCCTGCGACTGCTGATGAAAAAGTTTTCTAATCCCGTTCATGGATATGCAGAATTTCTTCTGGATCTAGCGAAATACCAGAAAAAGTCGAGGCACCTCGTCCGTAGCACGGTTTTTGCTCTCCATGACGAACATCCCGACAAGGGTAGCGGGTCGTCCTCGTTTACTTCGACGCCCGGCACCAAGGACGACGACGACGCAAGTAGCATCAGCGGAATTAGCATCGAGGATGACGTTGCGACGACAACATGCGGTGATTGGATTGCAAAAGCCCTTGTTCGCACTTTCGGGCCGGAGAGCAGACTCGTCCAGTGGAATTATGACCCAGCATACGTGAAGACGCTGATGGACAACTACTTCGGTGGCTGTGTTACTGCCACAAACAAACCGCAACAGAACTACGAGATAGGAACAATCACACCGACGCCGGATTGCCCGCGGTTGTTACCACCACAGCATTACCTGCGGTACTTTCACCTTGTCAACTCTCATGGCGGGGAAGGTGACGTCGAGGGGGCAGCCGCAGCCGCTTCTCCTACCACCGATAGCATGACGAGAAAAACGGTGGAAAACAGTGACAAGCGGCCTGAAGAGGTCGTCCTCTCGCAAACCTTTCCTGGTGGGCTCGCTCTTGCCGACAGCCACAGTTTCACTAGGGATTTCACGGCATTGTGTGGAGTTGGTCGTACCAGATGGGATTTGATGACAGCGCCGAACAATACAAAACGCGGCAGCGCGGCGGAGAGCAACGCCCTGGGAGCACTGAATGATAACTATTCCGACAAGAGAGCAGACTTTCTGAAAGACGACCTCGAAAAACAATTTCCTGATGCGGCGAACTTCTTCAAAACTAATAGTAGCATCGCGTTCCGTCCGTGGCACCGCGCGGACCAGTTTCGTGGCAGCTTCACGTTTTACGAGGACGAGGCGGGGCCATTGCATGGTGTCTTTGACTTCAGACACTGCGGGGATAAACTGTGCACTAAGCAGATCCTCGGTTGGGAACAGTTATCAGTGATTCAAAATGCTACGCAAACGAAGGACGAGAACAGAAATATAGTAGCAGTAATATTTACCCAAGAGCAATTGAAAAACGCAATACGGGAAGCAACGAAGAGTTACAGCGAGAAGGATGACCCCGTGAATTTGATAACGGAAAGCTGTCGCTTCGAGGAAACGGAAAGTCATCCGGCACGGACGACGAATACTGCTGCAGATGATTCACTACCACTTCCCTTTCGGCGCGCACGATCGTTCGAAAATTTACTACAAAATAATAATGATACAAAACTACCCGCATCAGCTTCACCGGATCCGGCACGAACTATGCCATCTGTTCCTCAACCTCCACGAAAACAAGTCCGGCCGTCTGGGACAACCAAGAACGATAACGCATGGTTCGCGTATGAGTTTTGGAATTATTTGGAAGGCGGCACCACTCTGTTTTATGGTCGCGAGAAGTTCGACAACTGCTTTGGCCCGGAACAAGGGCTGAGGTACCTGCAAGAAACGGCAGACTTCCTTTCAGCACAGCAAAGGAAAGTTGTTTGCGCTTCAGCGGAGCAGAAAAGGGGAATCCAACAGTTGTTCCAACAGTCTTGGGAGAAGTTTTTTCCGAAAAAGTGCAAGAGCGACAAGGAACACGCCCGCTATAATCAAACCAAGGTCGCGATGGAAAGCATCCTCAAGTTCATTTAGAGCAGGCAACACCAACACGATGAACAAGATGAACAAATAAGGGATGACAAATAAAACAAGATGTAGTAAATGGAGGAGTCAACGGATGGGAATAACTATTATCTGCAGTGATGAACGTCATCAAGAAGCACTGGATTTATTGTACCCGATTCGGACAATTGTTGTTGTTGACTACGTAGGAGGGGCGGGAAGGATGGTATTGTTTTCTCTTGTGTGACTCTTGCGATTGGTGTCTATAATCGTAAATGCCAATGCCAATATTGTTCTCGTAGAATGAGATCGCACGCCAGTGGAGTTGGCTCGTTTATTTTGCTCCCTGTCGATGTAACGAACAGGAAGATGAAAAGCTATGTGGAAAAAGCATTGCATACCATTGCCATGATGTCCTGGTCAGGTACGCAGCAAGCGCCCCATGACCGTTTTTATCGGAATGTAGATGCAAGAAACCTTCTCCTTCTATTATCTATCAGGTTCCACGTGGTTCTGCATAGCGAAGAGGTCCGCAACGAGCAAATTGTCGACACACATGCTCGACCCGCTGCCGCTGGAAGGCATGTATGACGTCCTCAAACGTTACATTCTCAACCGTTACATGAATTTGTAATGCGAGCATAGCAAAAGTGAAAAGGGGAACGTTGCGGCCGCTTTTGCATTACAGGTTTGGAGCAGATTATAATGCTATCTAGCGTCTCGATGACTTGTCATGCGAAGCAGCTTGATGATAGATAGAGATATTGGCGCCAATTTTGCATTACAAATTCACTTAACAGTTGAAAATGTAACGCTTGAGAACCACATAGCACGCCCTACGTAGAGCCCTCGGAACACCCAGAGTCGGAAACGGGAGAAACGAACAAGGACGACGATCCAGAAGACGCGCCGGAGGTACCGTTTTCCCCGAAGTCGCAGCCGGGGTCCCCGAAAAGTCCGAAGAATGCGTTTATACCTGATCCAGACGAAATTGTGGTGATGCTGTAGCAGGAGGATGAGAGCAATTTTCTTGTATGATTGGTTTCATTTGCGCTCGTTCTGATTGCCCCACGCCGATGTAAAATTGCAACGCACAATGAATAAGGAGAAAGTCGTTAAGAACGACAGATAAAGCAATACCAATGCTGAAAACAGATGTACCTCAAAAGCAAACTTGTTCCTTTACTGCGGGAGATGAAGCCGCCACACTCATAATTGTGCGAGAGTTTCGTATTTGTTCGAACAAATGATGAATTGGCCAAGCCCAAGGAGTTCCGATCGAGGCGGAGACCACCACCTCACTGCTGCAGTTATGTTTTTTTTCCTGATAGATCATGAGATGAAAGTCAAGGTACTACGCGGTCCGGAATTTGTTTCATCAGTGGCAGTGCTTTGATGGAAGGTTCACATTTTTCCTTTGCCCTTCTTCGTTAAGGATCATGATTTGCAAGCAGCTCTTCTTCAAATTGAAAAATCAACCCAGGCTGCAAATTGTGTGCCATTTCCTGTTCCGCGACCACCAGTAGTTTTTAATTAGAGGAACTCTTAGAGAAGTGATGGCGAAGGTGAATGCTTTTCCATCTTTATCTTTCAACAGTTGAAGTAGTTGTATGTAAGTAGCAGTCAGAGCATCATGAAAGAACTTGAACGAACGCAAACTGAAGATAAAATTCAGACCGTTTAGGCACTCTATCTTGCTTTAGCCCGACGATAGTGATAGGGATTGATTTTGATAGTGATTTAGTATCCAATGTTTGTTTCTCTTTTCTTTCATATTTAGTACTACTCCCTCGTTTCACACTAGTTGTAGTTCTTTGCAGAGAAGTTTCACTTTTGCTTGCAGAAATTCCACTTTTTAACAATTGGCTTTCATCGGAAAAGAACCATGTTCATGTTGCAATATCAAAGACAACCCCGCACGACACAAATAACGAGTAAAATCCTGTTCCTGTGCCAAGAGTAAGACCAAGAGTCAGGTCGTGGGACGGCTTTTAAGAAAAAATAAAAAGCGACCTGCTCCACCCCAGAAAATATATCAAGTGGGGCAGCGACAGCGACGGGGGCAAAAAAATGACCGGCTTTGCAAAAAGGCGGTTTGTGCTTCTCGCTTTTGCTCTCCATCTGGTACGCACTGCTCCCGCGGAACCCAGCAGCGGCACCCTGCAGCGGAATGACCACGACAGGAGACAAGTAGAAAACCAGATAGAAAATCTAAATCCCTTCACACGACAGCCAGAATCCGAATCCAGCGCTACTAGACATGGCTCGTCCTCATCTTCTGGCTCCTGCCACTGCCCTTGTGCACAGGCAGCCACAGCAGACATCAATGGTGGAGGTGCAGCAGATCCTTCCGCCAAAGCTAGTACGGGGGATCACGATCATGGGGCCGCGGTGGAAAGAAAATTTCTTCGACAGGCAGAGGCCACGGGCACGGACGAAAGTGGAAACAAGGCAGGCACGTCTTTGCAACTGGTCCCTGTTTCAGGGAAACTGGAACAAGGCCGACAGATGGTGTCACTGAGCTCTTCCCAGGATCTCGTTCAGCTTCAACCCGAAATCCTTGCGGAGCCGGAGTCCTCTCCACCGCATAACTCACAAGCACAAACGACCCCACCCGTCGTCCAACAAGAACAGCAACCCGCCCCAATCGTCGTTGAAGTTGAGGAAGCGCACAGTCGCGGTTGGTACGTCGCCTTGATTCTGTCCATTCTGTGCGTCCTTACCGCGGGTATGATGAGCGGGCTGACGATGGGGCTGGTCAGTCTCGACCCCTTTGACATGGAATTGCTGATGTCCACGGACCCGGATGACGTCGAGGACCCGGAAGAAAATGAGGAGCTGCTCGTGGAGAAGGCAGCAGCGAGCGTGATTCTACCCCTCGTCACGGACCACCATAGGCTACTGGTATGCTAGCTCGTCTTTTCATCTTCTAGCCAGTAGAAATAGAAGGAATCATAGGCATACCTTTGATTTCTCCGTCCTTGTCTTCTCTGTGTTTCTACTGTTTGCGACCACTGAGTTGTCCGCAACGCATGATCAACGTTGTTGCAGCACAGCCAGCACGACAAGGAAGAAGTGTGGTGCCCTTTGATGTAGTTCTGACAATCTCTCCTACCTGCGGCAAGAGTTGTAGCATTCATATTCAACTTCAATCATGAATGTAACCCGAACTACCCCACTCCAAGGTCACCCTCCTCCTGATGAACGCGTGTGCCGCAGAAACCCTCCCGCTCGCGCTGGACAAGCTGGGGCTGCCGAAGGTGGTCACGATTCTGATCTCCGTGTTCGGCGTGTTGATTTTCGGCGAGATCATCCCCTCCGCCGTGTTTACCGGGCCCCGGCAGTTGGAAATTGCGTCCTTCTTTGTGCCGCTTGTGAACGTGTTGGAAGCCGTGCTCGCCGTCATCGTCATACCCATCGCCCGGGGACTAGACGCACTCTTGGGAAAGGAGCATAAGGGCAGGTATGCACTTGCAGAGCGTGGTCTACATGTTTATTTTCAACTCTGACTACAAGTATACATTTATTACATTCTCCTTGATCAACACGCACCTGACCTGCATATTATTCGACTTTTCGCATGATCAGGAACACCAAGACCAACACGATGCAGAAATAATCACCCACATAAATTTCGTCCTCAGATACAACAAGGGCGAGCTGAAAGCCCTGATTAACCTGCAACTCCGGGAGAACCAGCAGTCGCCCACCGGTTTGATGCAGGACGAGATCCGCATGATGACGGGTGCGATGGAGCTTTCCAAGAAGACCGTCGCGGACGTGATGGTGCCGCTCAACGAGGTCTACATGCTGGCGCAAGCCACGGAGTTGAACATGGAAACCATGGCGACCATCGTCGGCAAGGGCCACTCCCGCGTGCCGATCTACAACACGCACCCGCACGACATTCGGGGCTTCCTGATGGTGAAAAACCTGATCGTGGTAAACCCGGACGACAAGCGGAAGATCGCGGGGCTGGGACTCCGGAAACCGCTGGTGGTCACCTTGAACGACCCGTTGCTGGACCTGCTCACCGAGTTCCAGAAGGGCAAGTCCCACATCGCGATCGTCACCAACCGGCCGGACCTGGTGAAGCGTGCCTGGGCGACCGAGTCGCAGATTCCCGTCAACGTCCATATGGCCGGGATCGTCACGTTGGAGGACGTGATTGAAAATTTAATCCAGGACGACATCCGGGACGAGTCCGGCACCGGGGAGGCCGGAGTGCGCGAACACCTGCGGCAGTTGATCTTCAAGGCCAAAAGAGTGGAGCGCGTCAGGGTACTTAAGGGAATTTGAGCTTCTTCAATTAGTACGAGCTTCTAGTCGTGCATGCTGTTCCAGCGATGTGTTCTTGCTATTGATTCCTATCCCTCGTATTCGTATCTTCCCCTTCATCTGTAAAGGGATTACCAGCAGTAAACTCGCATCATCATCACAAAGCATCAAAAAAACTACAGGAAGTGACGGCCCTCGCGCGCAAGATGTTCATCAAGCGCGCCAACAGCGGCATTCGGCGGCGGTTGTCGCAGGAGAGCAACCGGACCTCCGCCCTGGGCTCGCCCATCATGATCCACCGCAGAGCGCCGAGCGAGGACCATAGCCACCTGACCGTGCCCGAAAACACCATGAACAACATCCCCTACCACCAGTACCAACAGCAGCACCTGCTTCGTGGGACGACAGGCGGTGGGGGTGGAGTTACTGCACCACAAGGGGACACAAGCACGATGGTGTCCAATTCCCCGACCCAAAGGTCCGCTGGCAGGTCGAAGGTTCTCCAGCCCCGGGATAGCACCGTCACCTACGTGTCTGACCGCACGACCAACGCGCATTCGCAGGTCGGTGGTGGAACATCAGCAGCTGCAGGAGGTGTGCAACTGCCATCACAGATCCTCGTCCGGGACTCTGGTGTGGACCGAGGGCGAATGACGGAGAAGCCGCAGCTCCCGTCAAATTTTCCCACGCATCTGACACAGGCTTTACTGCAGACGCGAGACAAAATGGCGGGCGATAGAAGGTATCCCACGTCGATGATGGCGCAGCACATTCAGAACATTGCAACCAACTCGGCGGGGGGGACAGCGCCACCGGGGGCTCCAGGGACGAGCGTCGCAACCGGCAGTGGCAGTGCGGCCGGATCAGCAGGAGTCGCTCCGTCGCTCGCTGCGGTCGTCGAGCAGGCCGGGAGCGCGAACTCGCGACGGGCCGACCGTGCAGTCTCGGACCACTTGTCTGAACCTCGGAGCTCGCCAAAACAGCAACGCCCCACAAGCCCGCCCATATCGAGAACCACGTCCGTCACAGTAGAAATGACCAGCAAAAGCAGGAAGTGATGAAAACAACCGGCCACGGCACCAGGCGGGGTGCGTCCAGTTGGTTGTCGTTGTCCTCCCACCTCGCAGTACAACTAAAGCTCTACCCGTACTAGTTCTTCATTTTCAACATCTGGGGCTGACATCGACACTTGGAGGACCTCATGTCTTCATATTACGGGCTACTTACTGTTCGTATTCATGAGCATGATGCAGCTTCTCTTGCCCGCCCCTGGTGGGAAGGGAAGTCGTGAGAGGGGCCTTGTGCCCAGATGCGCTACTAGAGGTAGACGCATCAAATCGCGCAAACTAAGCGGCAATACGCCGCTGCTCCTGGCGAGTGAAGAAGGGCGGCGCCCGCAATCCTGCGCGCGATCCCCCTACCCCTGGTGGCTGTTCTCTTGTTCTTGAAGAAGAGCCCCGCTCTGGAAGCGGGCGAGCCTTGCAGGCTCCTGGTGAGCAGGCGAGGCGCCTCGCCGTCTCTGTTGGGTGAGATGGTGGTGGGGTTTCGGCCGGCTTAACCTGAACAGCCCAGCGCCACACCCTGCCCGACCAGCCACTCCGAGGAAGGCCCTCGGGCGTGTTGCCGCGTCGTGTGCGAAGAGGCCCGGCATGGCGTGCCTCTCTCGGCCTTCGGCCGTATCAGTGGGCACGCTCGCACCGCCGTAAGCCCTAGCGCCCCACGCCGCGCGCAGCAGCTGGCGGCACTTCCCGGGGATGGACGGAAGCGGTGGGGCCTGCGCTATTCGGGAAAGCCTTGGCGGGCACCCCCAGCCCCCTGGCGGGGCCGGCGCCGCTCTTCTTGACGAAGGGCGCACAGCAGGGCTCTGCGCCCCTTGCACCGCTGGCGGGCAAACTGCACCCGCGCGCCGCACAGATTGCGTCCGGCCTAAAGTCAGACGACAATTAAGGGACGCGCCCAGGTAGCGCGAATCGGGATCCTTTCGCCGTAGTATAATCAATCTGTGTTGCCCACCTGGTGTGCGCCCTCTGATTGGTGCTACTATACGGAACGAGTGCAAGAGCCGGTCTGCCAAGGCCACAAACCTCCAGCACGCTGTTCTCCTCCAGCTCTCGCCACTTGATGTTGCGACTGCGTAGGAGGGTTACGCTTCGCCGGGCCTCCACAGCCTCGCTGTCCGGCGGGTTGCTGCAAGTATAGCAGGGCTAAAGAGCGGGCGCCGTGTCTGTTTGAAACAAGAGCGGATCAAATACAATACAATACAATGCAGCTTCTCTTGCAGCAGTTCTAGTTCATCATCTTAGAACTTGAGCTTCGTCTTCCTTCGAACGTCGAAATAAGTTTAACTACGCGACACCGGCGACCCGTGCCTTGGTTGAGTGAAAGTGATGCCAATTGGCGATGCAACGATAGAAAGCAGTACAGGCGCAAAAACCAAGAGAATTGCAGCGACGAACATTGCAGGAAGATGGGTGTTCATTTTATGATTCGTAAACCATCGTCAACAGCATCCATAACCATGTCCACTTCCACCAGCAGCTCTGAGGATATTTAGTAACACCTGTTTTCGCAGTATTCCGATGTATGAACTCGTGCCCGTGTCGTGTGATTCGTTCTCGTCGTGTTGGCCTCGTTACAACATACAACTGTTGGCTGGACGAGGGAGGACAGAATTCATATTCAAAGCGTCAGTGTCGACTCGATTCACCAGCATAGACAAAGTCATCTCGTTTGGTTGCGTTGAACGAGAGCACCGTCGTCGTCTCCTTTGGTTGAACGAGGTGATGTGATCGTTCGTCGTCGCGTTGGCGAGAGTTTCAGGTTGCACAAGAGAGAATTGTAGTACATTTTGTCACCTGCTAAAACGATAACGACACTCTCGAAGAAAAAAAAATTCGTTGCGTTACACGTCGACGAGTAGGCACAGCTCCCAACGGAGATCAAGATCGTCTATGCTCGAACACGTGGCACGTACTAGACTGGCGCGTAGCTGCTTTCAGCACGAGAAATCTGGCCGGATTGAAGAAAAGGAAGACGACCTGATGCTTATGTTTTTCTGCACCTGCACGCGTACATTTTGATTCAAGATTTTCCAAATGAACAAACCTAGCCTGTACAGTATCAAGGGCGGCATCCATTCGGTGCCCGCTCCAACACCAACACCTTCTTCGTCCTCTTCATCTTCTTCTTTCCGAAGTAGCAAAATAAACAGCTCTACTGCTCCGACGTCTGGCAGCACGATGATTGCATTGCCAGAAAGACACGTCGGCAACAACGCAACTACCACGCGCGGCGCCGGGCGCGCAAGCGGTGTGTTCACGGGGTCATCCAATTCTAGCTCCTCCTCTTCCTCCTTCGGAAATCATACTACGCGCTTGCAGCAGAAGTCCGCTGCTGTGTCCGCCAGACTGTCTCGAGCCCTGGCCACTGCCTTCACTGAGCACGAGGCCAGCGACGGCCTAGTGATTCCGCCGCGACCACCTGCTGTAATTGGAGGGACATCTTCGCCTACATTCGCAGCAGATGACGACAATGGATCTGGAAAGCAGGCTGGCGCTGCTGATTACGTCGTAGGAGTCGGATCGTCGAGAAGAAGTGCCTCCTCGTCCTTGTCAACGGCAAAGCCAGGAGCTTCCGTTCCGGTTCCTGTGCCCCAGCTGCTCGGTCCGAGCACCATCGGCGAAAGCGACAGTGAGCCGGTCTCGTTGGTGCAGCCGCAGCTGCCACGACGGCGCGCTCTTGCCACCAACAGCAAGACGGAGTGGGAACAGGCAGCCGTAGTGCAACATCCGTCGCCTGGCGCTTTACCAGTTGATGAAGGACAGCAAGCAGAAAATAAAACAGCGAAAGTAGTCAGCAACAGCAAAAATGCAATTACTCTGCCGTTCCCCAGAATGAATCCACCCAATCGAAATCCAGTGCTAGATATCAAATGTAAAAGTGTCTGGGTCTGGAAACTTGTGATGCTGTGTGGCGTATCATGAGGAGGCGACAATTGCTGGCTCAGCATGACAAGTTTCTGAGCTTCTAGGTGTTGCCTATTCTGCATGACAAACTACGTTTCTGCATGACAGAAAAGTGGGGCTCTTTGGTAATGTGCATGACAGATTTGAGAGTCATGCCAGACAAGCATGACAAACTTGCATTCTTCCAGACCCAGACATTTTTACATTTGATACTAGATGAAGAAACAGGCTCGGGCTCCACCAGCGGCAAACAGCATCACACGAAGCTTGTCCGAACTATCCGGGGTACGACGACATCGTCCTACGCAGCCTCCCCCGAAGACATCGACTTCGTGCGGCCCGTCTCGTCTGCGGAAGATGATGACGGAGAGAAGTGCAGCATTCCGGCCCTGTCCTCTTCTCAAGGTAGCAGCAACCCCGGCCCCAGTCCCCTCTTCTCGCGTGGATTGACCACCCGGGCGTACGCGAATCGGAGCGCGGCGTTCAATAATGCGACTGGAGGTGGCTCAGGCTCAGCAACAGCGCAAGAGATTGAACAAACCGTAGTACCGGCGCAGGGAGTGGAGCAGGAATCTCTGTTGCCGCCCGGACCAGGACGGCAATTACCCGTTTCGAGGACGTACAGTGGCTCACTACCCGCTGGAGAAGGAGGTGTTCCGACTTTTGTCTTCCTCAGCAAAGAATCGGGCGCATCGTCTTCAGGGTACGATAACGATCTCGATCGCTTGCTCAACTGCTCCTTTGCCATTCTTTTGTTTTTGATAGACTTGACACGTCAAAATCTTCTTGATGTTCTGAATTATAATCAGCGCCAACCAAATCCAAAAATATGAGTGAATATTAGTATGCAATATAATAGGCTCTACAACAAATTTCAGGCCGCAAAGCGCCCCGATGTCTTCCGACGCCGGCACCGAGCCCGCACTTGCAGCTGCGACTGCCCGTCCCTCTGCTAACGTAGGTTCTGGCAGCACGACAGGTGGTGGGCAATTTGTGCTTGCCGCGACCGCGCGCAGCCCACTAAGGAGAAGCAGTGCGGGACAACGAGAACAACGAGCCGAAGGGGAGGCCATGTTTCCCCCTGAGGACTACTCGCAAGAGCCGCGTCGGAGTTCATCGCCCCGAGTTGTGCAGATTGTCAGCGGTGGATCTTCTTCGTCAGATGAGACACAAAATATTTCCACGGGGACCGCTTCTAAAACAATCGCGAAACCCGGGCATCTTCCCACCATCCCGTTTCCGGAAACGAAACAGTCTTCCAAAACCGTTTTAAAAGCAACGTCCAAAACGACGGTCATCGGGAAGGGAATCCGGTCCCTTGCCTCCGCGATCAAGGACCAGGATCCGACTAGCGGAGGACCACACCGACGAGGGGGGGCGGAGAGCACGCCCCACCCTTCGGGTTCGAAGGTTGTAGCGCCGTCCTCAAAGACCAGCACATTGAGCGGATCCCCGCCCGCAAACTACGTGTCGTCGCTGATCGTGCACAAGCTGAACAATTCGTTTTCCCTGAATGGCGTCGTCCCCAGTGCAGCTGCTGTTGGACCACAACCAAGTACTTCTATCAATTCCTCCCCCCCAATCACCAGTGCGCGGCAAATGGCCGACGCGAGCCGCGCGTTTGCCGCCCGAGAGGCGCTGCTTGGAAACGGGTGGGGCGGCCCGATGTCGGCGCGGGGCTCGCGGGTCAGTGAGTTTGACTCGTCCGACTGGAACAACGGTACTCGAAGGGCGACCTCTCTCGCTGGCGGGGGCGGAGCGGGATCGAAGCTGGGCATGGTTGATCCATACAACGTCGGTATTAACGCGGCGACATCCTCCGTGGCGCCGTCCAGTGTGTTCGCCCCCGATAGCAGGAGAGAGTCCACGACAAGCTTGCATCAAGTTCTGCCCGGTGGAGCACCATCAGCAGCAGCCAACATCCGGTCCGTCTCTTGCGACCCCGCCTCCCTACAATACGCGGCGAGTGGAGCTGCTGTTGCTACGAACGGCCGCCTGCCGCTCTTGCGTGTGCCCCAGCGACTGATGAAAGTGCAGCCCATCACGCTGGTGACGCCACGAAGATTGAGCGCGGACACGTTTCAGCAGCAGACAAGCTCTGGGCCGCTGAACACGCCACGGGGGATCATGCTCAGTGGAAATAACGCGTCGGCGGGCATGATAGGGGGCAATCGGCGCAGCGTGTCTGTGTTAAGCAAGACAGCGGACTTCGTGCAGAAGAGAAATTCCAAGCAATCTTCGCAATTCGGCAGCAGCGACGCGGAGAGCTTGAGTAGACAGGGTGGAGGTACGAGCAAAGAAGCATTACCCTCACCGAAGAAGCCAAATCCCTTCGTCGTGCAAAGATTTTTGTCCGGAGCAGAAGTGGGGGTCGGGGAAGTGGACCTAGACAGTGGAGCGCGGCTCGCTACAGTGGCCGCAACTGCGTCATCTTCCTCGATAATTGCAGGAGATACGAAACCGGTGTTGCAGGTCACGGAGAAGCGGCTGTCAAAACAGATGGTTGTAGAAGACGACTTTCCACCTCCGACCAGCACCGTTCGTGGTGGTCAGCAAGGAGCCCCTACTTCTGGACAACTTTCGGATGCGCAACTGCTATCAACCCAGATTGCTCCCTCTGCCTCCGCCATGTGGACGAATGAGCGAAAGCAGAAACTATCCACGAAAAAACACCCATCCCCATCCAATTTGTCATGCAAAACATGCATAAAATCCACTATTTGTCATGCAAAAAATGGATGGGGATGGGTGTTTTTTCCTGGATAGAAACACCTGCCCCGCTACACGGCGCACACTTTCTCGTCGCAACAAAAGGGCACCACACCACCCGTGACCGTGAATGTCGTAGAAGGTGAAGGGAACGATGAAGGCAATCACGTACAACCTGAGCAAGAAACTACCCGATTGATGTCCCACAACATCTCCCAGCCCCTGCTTCCGGACTGCACGGACGTTGGCACGAATCAGAATCTGGTCAAGGGTTTCTGCGGCAACCCGCCCAACCCCCAGAGTGTGGCGTTTGTCGCGGAAACGGTGGCGCTGCGGATTGAGGGGTACGACAACTTACCAGTGGACGCGTACAGCGAGATCACGTTTCAGAACAACACCTACACCAACGCGCGCATCTTGACCGCGGAACCGGTGCCGATCCCGCTTTTCCGCGGCGAGTACGTGCGAATCATGATTAAAAAACGTGGTGCGGGGGTCGGCGGGTACGAGTGCTACTTTCCTGTGGATTTCGTGAAACAAAACAACGCCAGGCTCGGCGCTGGGATCGACACGTGGTTTGCGATGGCCACGTACCAGAAAACCAACACGCCCGAGGCGACGTTCAAAGCCTGCGTAAAGCACGGCATGCAGATGAACTACCCGCGCATCAGGGTGACAACAGGAAATTTTCGGAATGCACTGCAATTTTACGAAAACCGCGTGGCGCTGCTGGAGACCGAAAAGTATTTTTCTATATGGATACCTCTGCGTGTCCTCCCTTTGCTTTGTTTATCTTTGCATTTCTTGTCGATTTGTTTGGTGCCCTCGACGTCTCTTCCGCTAGAATGTACTGGCGCATTATTCATATGCAGCATGTTCATTCTGAAACTGCATGCTCTCATGCATCTTTGCTCTCATTCCCCATCCCCGAGTCCTCCTTGTCAAAAGCTGCTTGGCTCAAGTCTTAGTAAACCTTTTTTTTTCTGCCAAATGTCACTTGTTTGACAGACCACACGGTAGGGCGTACTACGAGCATGGTGATGTTGAAGTTGATCACAACATATATACGGCTTGTGGACCTCCACCTCGTGCTTACATATTAGAACACAAACGAAAATCTTCTACCCAAGAAGCAACTTGCATTTTCAAACGTTGTGACCGCGAATAACGAGCGAAGCCGCGAAGTCATGTATAGATAAGAACTATCCATTTCCATCCCTATCACCACGTGCTAGTGCACCTACTTGTACATCGACATCTCTTTCTACACCATGCGTAAATGCAGATCGTAGAAAATCATGAAAAGGGTTTAGGAAAAATATCAGAAGCACACTGCCCGACACACAAACTTGCCACAGTGAGGGGATCCTGAGAAATTCCAACGCGAAATCCAAATGCAAATCAAATCTTCGTGGTTCCAAATTTATCTTCGTGCAGCTCGTTTTTCTACGAAGAAAAACAGTACTGGTAAACAAAGCTACAGTTGACAAATGAAGTCAGAAAAACATACAAGAAAAATGCTTTTTAAGCACTGGCATGCTCATGTAGCAGAAATCATCTTCCGCAGACCAAGTAAACGAAAATCTCAAGCTCAGCCTAAGTATCTCTTTGACATCAGTTTCACTTTCGCCTTGAATGATTTTGATTTCCAGGACCAAAATTGACGGCATAATTAGCATTAGGTCAAGGAGTCGCGAAAATGTTGTTGATCTAGTATAGGGGTCCATAATATAATTTTGGCGAAGAAACCACGCAACGTCATCATTATAGTCACGCATCGTCTTATTTCTTAGCCCCCACCGAAAAAGTAGAGCAACGCTATTTTTTTGCGAAAGAAATCTTCACTTGACTCGACAACCCATCGATCAAAACCACTACGTCATGCCGAAAATCCGCACCCTGCGCACGAAGCCGCCGCCGGCGGGGTTTGAGGACGTGGAGGGGGTTCTGATGGAGTTGCAGCAGAAGATGACTGAGGCGGTGAACGAGTCCCACGAGGGCAAGAGAAGAAACGAGGCGCAGTGGCCCATCTTTCGCATCGAGCACCAGCAGTCGCGCTACATCTACGAACTGTACTACCGACAGAAAAAGATCACGAAGGAGCTGTACGACTGGCTGGTCGAGGAGAAGTACGTAAATGCCTCTCTGATCGCCAAGTGGCGCAAGCCGGGGTACGAGCGGCTCTGCTGCTTGAAGTGCATTCAACTATCAACTGTAAAAATGTCTGGGTCTGGAAGAATTCATGTTTGGCATGCTTGTCTGGCATGACTCTTAAGTCTGTCATGCACGTTACCCAAGAGCCCCGTTTTTCTGTGATGCAAAAGCGCAGTTTGTCATGCAGAATAGGCAACACCTAGGAGCTCAGAAACTTGTCATGCTGAGCCAGCATTTGTGGCCTCATCATGAGACGCCACCCAGCATCACAAGTTTCCAGACCCAGACACTTTTACTTTTGATATCAACCGAAGGACAGCAACCACGGGACCACCTGCATCTGTCGCGTCCCCAACCACAAGCTGCACAACAAGGGCATCATCGAGTGCCAGCACTGCGGGTGCCGAGGCTGTGCGAGCGGCGACCAGAAGATGACGCGGAAGGCAAATTTGGTGAACGAAACCGCAGGGAGCAGCGTCCAGGGCACCGGCCCAGACGATCCCGTCTGCGACCCGGTGGGCATCAACAAAAACAACAAACGACCCGCCCCAGTCAGACCAGAGGATGACTTTGATTCGGACGACGAGTTCAAGCTGTGAGGAGATGAAAAGTTCTTGAGATAATCGAAAAATCGATGTGAACCTGTGCTTTTGACAATGTTGCGGCACATGACTTCATGCTGTACCACACGACAAGCATTGATTGATTTTTTTGATGATTGAAAAGAACCTGATTTTTCAGACTCTTCCCCCGTTGCCATTTGACTTGAAACTTGATTCACGATAGAATTGAGCATCCTCATCTCAACCCACCTGCTCACTGAACATATATGAACCTGTACACCATTTTGTTGGCGCTTATTTTTCCGAAGTCATAAACCATAGAACCACGATAGAGCGTTCTATTAGAACGCTCCTCGTGTCGTCCCAAAGGTGGACTTGTATTTGTTGCAAACCTGGTGCTATTTTTGAAGTCGCGCTCTTTAGAGCGGATCGGATCGCTTCTCGTACTCGTAGTAGTTGTGCAGCGCTTCGTGGTTTTATTTCGTTGGGAAAGCACCAAACACTTATTCGTGATGGATTTGTCTTTGCTTCGAGAGGGCGGAGAGATCCGGTGACAATGTTGTGTGTCTCAGTCTTGCGAGGACGAGTGCAGTATCGTGATAATCATATGGACGGTGCTCCGTGCATTACTGGTATGTGATCCGGACGACAGCGATGGTTTCTCTTTTCATATATGCGCTTCGTCGCCGGACCGATGCATCTGCTCCTGCAGCTCGTGCATTATTTTTGCCTGTACAAATCCTCAGAGCAGTAGGGTTCCAAATTCTATACCTCAATCTCATCACATTCACAGCCTCCAGCAGCGCGAGCGGATCGTGAAGCAAACGACCGAGTTGGAGACGTTAAAGCACGAGGCCCACCATAACTACCTCGTCACCGGGTACCGCAGTCCGCGTCGCGCCTCACCGGACCAACCGAGCGAATCCATCCGCACGGTGGATCTCGGGACAACGAGGAACGCGTTCACGCCCCAAAGCCCCTACGTGCGGAGCAAATACTACGACAAGACTGGAGCAGGTGGTGATGGCGCGAGAAGTAAGAATGGACAATATGGAATCCGAGGTACTACGTATTTGTATATTGAAAGGAGTCTGCTGTGTTGCCAGCTGTGATGCTGTCATGAAAAAGATCTTCCGAAAAGAATAGCCTGCAGCTCATGTTGATGCTGTCGTTGGTCATCTCTTGTAGATGTAAAGACAAAAACAAGAAGAAGTTAGAAGAGAAATGACTATGATGATGTTGTGATTACGAACACCCAGATGTTGACGGTGCCGGCAGCGACGAGCAACAAGCGCCAAGTAGTACGGGCGTCGCCTCCGGCCTGCCCGCGCCGAACCGGAAACCTAAGGCGTTCGGCTTCAAGAAGCCGGACGAAAGCAACAAGCCAAGTTCAACCACGCTCGGCATCCAGAACAAGCTTTTCCCACCGGCCAGCAAGACCTCCGAGGGCGAAACGGAGCCCGTTCCTCTGCTGTCCGCGGTTGAGGAGAGCGAACAGGACGGAGAGGAGACGAACACCGAAGCGCCGCAGAGTGCCAGCGGGTCGGCCAGCAGCTCGGAGGCGGTGGTCGTCTTGCCGGACCGGCGACAAGCAGTGCCGCAAAGCGGAGATGAGGGCGATGTCGCCGCGAATGAGGAAGGAAACGACGGTCCGCATGTAATCCGGTTGGAACCGGCGTCCTCCGCGGATGAGGCGGAGGATGTCTTGGAGGCGGACCAGCAACACGAGCCCGAGCAGGATGGTGCAGCCATGACAATTGCAACAGGAACAGCAGGACCAGGAGCCGGGGGAAAGCAGCCCACTCCCAGTAACCGATTCCACTACTATGCCGAGGCCCCAACTGCTTTCCAAGAAATTGTGCAAAGTGTTTCATCTGTGCCCGACCCTAAGCACGAGGTCGAGCCGAGCAGCGAGGAGGTCCTACCAGATCCAGATGAAGATGTCAAAAAAAATGCAGCGGTAATTGCCGGTGCCGTCGTGGCGGGAGAGGGTGCGGCAGACCCAGACGTAGACCGTCATCTTGTTTCATCTTCGTCTACCGCTGCCCCAGTGGCCGCCAGCAAGCCTTCTGTAACCGTGGTCAAAGCCAAAAGCATCTACACAACGGCTGCGAAAAGCCTACCATCCAGTACTACCTCGGAAACGAACCCCAGCGTGACAGGAGGAAAGAGTGGTGCTGTCGATCTCTCCAGAGAAGAAATACCAATAAAGAAAGCAAAGCTACGAGATAGCTTAGACCTACCTGCGGGTCTTGCAGGTGAACAAGCAGCAGCGGCTTCGCTAACTGACCCCAACCGGGTGGCAGAGCTCTTGCTAGGGAACATGGAAAAGCTGGCGGCCGGCGTCGAGGCACTATTGCAGCAAACGTCGTCAAGGTCTAGCAGTACCAGTAGAGCATCGAAAGACCACGCCGATCATGCGCTTGCGACGAGTGCAGAGGGATTAATACTAGACGATGTCCTCCAAGCTGACGATCATGAACCCAAAGTAGGAGCAGAGCAGAAGCAGAAGGCATCTCCAAGCGTGGTGGTCTCGGCCGGTACTACAGCTGACATCTGCGTCGAGCAACAAGTAGAACAAAATGTCGGCTCTTCAACGAAGCTGCCATTGGAGGTGGAAACAAGGGCTGCGCAAAAGGAAAAGCAAACCGACGTTTACCGCATTGACGAAGAAGTCGTCGATGGGAAGAAGACAGTACTAGCAGAAAAACGAGAACAGAAACGCACGGCGGCACAGCAAGATCATCAAGATGACTTTGTCTTTGATAGTGCTGCCGGTTCTCGTTGTTCACCGATAAAGAAAGAACCAACTCTTGCTGCACCAGAGACCGAGCTGCAACTACGAGGGGTGGTGGTGGAGCCACACGAGGCATCGCCGCAGATCAAAATTGTTGGAGAGGAGGAGTTTGTCAAGCTGCGGACAGAAGAACAGAAAATCGACAGCGCGCTCCCGGACGCAAGTGTCAGCGAAGCGGAACTGCCAAACACCAGCACGCAGATCAAAATGCATCAAGAACAGATGATCGCGCAGCAGGATTCGCCCGAAGACGTTCGCGCGGCAGGATCTGCACCACGAGATCCAGTGATCCCCCCGGAAACTGCGGTCGTCTCCTTGCCAGTAGACGAAGAGGAAGATGATCCGCTGACCAGGACGCAAACTGCCCCATCGCCGCATGAAGAGCCGGCTTTGCCGACGAGGGAACAAGTTCAAGTAGAAGCAGAAAACGAATTAGCTCTCATCGTGCAGCAGGAAGAAGCGCAAAGACGAACTGCATTCGAATGCGCGATTGCTCCACCAGCGCCTCCCCCTGCATCAACATTTGATGTCGCAGTCCCAGTCGCAAAAGACCGTTCGCATTCCCTGCAAAACCCAAACCTTCCCCCAACCCGACGGTCGGATCAAGAAGTGGACCAGCAGAGGACGCAGCACATGCTCGAAGAGTACCAGCGATTAACAGCGCGGGAGCGAGAGGTGGAGAGTGCGTTGCGGCGGTCGCGGGAAGGCGCGTTTTCCCTTTCCTCGAGCTTTTTGGAGAAGGTAGACTTGCAGGAGCAACGCGAGGACTTATCCGCGCCGGTTTTGCCCCCACGAGCTGATCCTGTTCGCATCGCGGCGCCCCCTAGCACGATTTTAAACGGAAAATCTAGTAGTAACTCGCGGTCGACGTCGAGCTCAAAGACCAGCATACGGAACCATCTTGGTCTTGCACCTGCCCCGCCTGTGGTTCGCGAAAGTCACTTCGTTATCGCGTCCGTCGCGCCCCCACCGCTGGTGCAACTCGGCGTCCAGCCGCAACCGCCAAAGTTGAGCTCGCCCGGCTTGTTGGATTTGGAACAGCAAAAGCCATCGCCATCGTCTATTGCCTCCTGGCCGGGATCAACCTCTGGAGGAGGAGGTCCACCTCCACCTGGCTTGTTGATGATGAATCCAAATTCTGGTGGTTCTTCTTCTTTCGGCGGTCCTCTCCTTCCCGCACCGCCACTTCGTCACAGCCCGATTCCAGTACCGGCGTTGACGCCTGCGATCCCGCTGAACGTCGTGTTCTCTAGCAGCAACTCGCAGAACACGACCTCCTCGTCCGTGATGCTGGCGGCAAGAGGTGCCGGAGCCGGTGCAGTTGCTTCCAGTTTTCCCTTGTTGCAGCAGCACCAGCAGCAGATTCACTATGATTCTCCGGTCGTCCAGCAGGAACTGTCGCCGACTACCGCACTGCGGGATTGGCTAGTGAACCCGCCTTGTCCGCTGCTCACCGGGTTTTCGCAGGACGAACGAGACGGTGCGCACTTTTACGGTGACACGCACATCGAGCTCATTCTGCGGAAAACTGCACCTGATTCCGAGATGAATAATGGATCCTCAACATTTACGTCGCAAATCGCCATGGTGTCACCTCCAGGGACGAACAGCAAAGCTCAACTCTTCGCACGGTTGGCAGACACGAGTACTCCGCTAACGTACGAACCGCTGGAGGTTATCGTCCAGAAAGTGCACGCGATGGAGAAGTTGGCGTGAACACATTGAGCCGGTCGTCTACGCTTGATGAAGGGTCGCGGCATATTAGGAGTCTGCTCCGGTGTGTGAACAAACTTCTCGTCTGATGAAAATCCCACTCGTTACCACCCTAGAACTTGTACCTGCGCCTGCAGCGACGTGCCGCAAGAGTGAAGTTTCGTCTACGGACCAGTTGTACCTGCACCTGTTTAAGTTTATCTAAATGCTCCATTTGAATTTTCACCCTCTCGTAAAAATACAGAACGAAGGACGAATAAATCAAAAGCAAAAGTCGACGAGAATCGTATGCAAAAAAAATTGTTGTACCAAAACGAAAACGAAAAGTGCTTCAAGAACTCGATGAATACTACAATGATGAATGAATGAATACCATATACGGAAGATAATAAGAAGCTTGATTCGCAGAAGATGCAATGGACGACCCTCTGTCACGGTTTCATCGCTGAAAGGGCGACCAAATCTCATTTGGTCACCATACCATCACGCGACAAATTTTGTCGTGCGCCAGATTGGCGGCCCTGCCTCCCACGACAAATTTTGTCGTTGCGGTGCTCCAAATGGCAGCTTTTGGTCACCATACCCTCCCACGACAAATTTTGTTGGGAGGCAGATTGGCGACCCTACCTCCCACGACAAATTTTGTCGTGACGACAAATTTTGTCGTGAGGCAGATCATTGGCGGCCCTGCCTCCCACGACAAATTTTGTCGTGGTGGTGCTCCAGGTGGCAGCTTTTGGGCACTATACCATCCCACGACAAATTCTGTCGTGAGGCAGATTGGCGGCCCTGCCTCCCACGACAAATTTTGTCGCGGTGGTGCTCCAGAGGGCCGCTTTTGGGTGCCATACCCTCCCACGACAAATTTTGCCGTGAGGCAGATTAGCGGCCCTGCCTCCCACGACAAATTTTGTCGTGGTAGTGCTCCAGCTGACAGCTTTTGGGCATCACACCATCCCACGACAAATTTTGTCGTGACGCAGATTGTTGGCCCTGCCTCCCACGACAAATTTTGTCGTGGCGGTGCTCCAGATGCCAGCTTTTGGGCACCACACCATCCCACGACAAATTTTGTCGTGAGGCAGATTGGCGGCCCTGCCTCCCATGACAAATTTTGTCTTGGTGGTGCTCCAGAGGGCAGCTTTTGCGCACCGTAGCATCGCACGACAAATTTTGTCGTGGGGCAGATTGGCGGTCCTGTATCCCACGACAAATTTTGTCGTGAGGCAGATTTGGCCCTACCTCCCACGACAAATTTTGTCGTGGTGGTGCTCCAGATGGCAGCTCAGGGCAGCTTTTGGGAGCCACAGCCCCCCACGACAAATTTTGTCGTGGCGATGCTCCAGAAGGCAGCTTTTGGGAACTATACTATCCCACGACAAATTTTGTCGTGAGGCAGATTGCTTGGCGACCCTGCCTCCCACAACAAATTTTGTCGTGGTGGTGCTCCAGCTGGCAGCTTTTGGGCATCACACCATCCCACGACAAATTTTGTCGTGACGCAGATTGTTGGCCCTGCCTCCCACGACAAATTTTGTCGTGGCGGTGCTCCAGATGCCAGCTTTTGGGCACCACACCATCCCACGACAAATTTTGTCGTGAGGCAGATTGGCGGCCCTGCCTCCCATGACAAATTTTGTCTTGGTGGTGCTCCAGAGGGCAGCTTTTGCGCACCGTAGCATCGCACGACAAATTTTGTCGTGGGGCAGATTGGCGGTCCTGTATCCCACGACAAATTTTGTCGTGAGGCAGATTTGGCCCTACCTCCCACGACAAATTTTGTCGTGGTGGTGCTCCAGATGGCAGCTCAGGGCAGCTTTTGGGAGCCACAGCCCCCCACGACAAATTTTGTCGTGGCGATGCTCCAGAAGGCAGCTTTTGGGAACTATACTATCCCACGACAAATTTTGTCGTGAGGCAGATTGCTTGGCGACCCTGCCTCCCACAACAAATTTTGTCGTGGTGGTGCTCCAGCTGGCAGCTTTTGGGCATCACACCATCCCACGACAAATTTTGTCGTGACGCAGATTGGCGGCCCTGCTTCCCACGACAAATTTTGTCGTGGTGGTGCTCCAGAGGCAGGGCAGCTTTTAGTTACCATACCAACCCTGCCAGGACAAATTTTGTCGGGAGGCAGATTGGCGGCCGCGGCCCTGCCTCCCACGACAAATTTTGTCGGGAGGCAGATTGGCGGCCGCGGCCCTGCCTCCCACGACAAATTTTGTCGTGGCGGTGCTTCAGATGGCAGCATTTGGCCACCATACCATCGTGCGACAAATTTTGTCGCGGCGGTGCTGCAGAAAGCGTAGATACCAACATCGCACGACAAATTTTGTCGCGGGGTAGATCGGCAAATATAATCGAGATTCGAAATGGACACGACAAGACCAAGACCAAGAGCTTCACGGTAAGTAAAAGATGACGAGACTAGGACTACGAATACGAGTCATCATCATGATGTCGAGACGGCTTAGACAAGAAGAAGAAGAGCGGCTGAGAGGACGAGAGGACGAAGAGCTTCGATGTGTTTGTGTATCAGCATCACCAGAGAGAAGGCTACAATGTCTTTGTTTACTGTGCGCGATTGTCAGCGGGTTAGAAGTGTTTTTCTTTTTTCCCAAACAGCACCGGGAAGGCTTCTGACGAGGTCAATTTCATGGAATTTTGAATGAACCTCCACAAGTACAAACAACGAACTACACGTAAAAAAGTAAGTAGCGCAACTCTTCGCGTTCACAGATCATGCCGGAGTTGCGAGGGCCGGCCTCTTCATCTCAAGGTCAAGGACCAGTGCTGGAAGGTTCTGGCGCTGTGCCTTTTGGTGAGTTGGTCTCTTCGGTCGTAAAGAAGCAAGAGGACGCTGCGCTGCTAGAGCACGATGGTCCGCTTGCTTCGACCGCTGTCACCGGCGTGGCGCCGGGGAACAAGCGGCCAGCAGACCAGCCATCGGACAAAAAGCCCAAGGCGAAGCGCCAGAAAAAAGAGCCCACAGCAGAGCAGCTAGCTGCGAAGCAGGTTTTGGTTTTTGTTTTTCATAGCGCTATCATTATAATCATTAATTTTGATTAAGCTTATAACTATGATGTTGTTTCCGGCGGTACCCCATCATTTCAACTTTTGTCAAATGATTTGCATATGCATTGGCTCCGCCCACCAACTCAAACTCAAACTTTGTTTGGCCGCTGTTACCTAGTAGCTATGATGAAAGCTGCTCGCAAGATTCAACAGAACCCCATGGTTTTGCGTTTTGGCTGGCTCTGCGACACAATAACTTTCTGAAACGCAAAACCACAACGACACAGGCCAAGGCGGAAAAAAAAGCCGCCGACAAGGCGGCGGACAAGGAGGCGAAGCGGGCTGCGAAGGAACAGCAGAAACAGGCTAAGGAACAGGAGAAGGCGGACGCGCAGCGCGGGAGGGCCCTGCGCAAGGAGATCGGCGACGACATCAAAAGCCGTCTGAAGATTGTGTGCTCGAAGAAAGGCGGCTACAAGCACTGGTATCTATTGAGAAGAACAGGCCGTGATGCCGATGAATAGAAAATTTAAATTCTGATTCTGCTGCATGGATTTTTCGCAGTAACCTTATTTATTGCGTACGTGCTTGGTGTTGTCTGCATCTTCACACTCGCTCTAACGAGGTATGTGCCCGACGGAGCCGCGTCTTACATGAACATTACCCTGGCGGACTTCAAGTACTTGTTCGCGGACGCCATCGCCCGCGACAAAATAGACCCCCCCGTGTTTACGGAAAACACCCGCGCGGTGGTGGGCGACCTAAACTACGGTGACTGCTGCACGGCCTTCGGTAGCACCAAACTGTCCGGCGGCAGCATGTACGCCCAATACACCGTGAAGGGCATGACCGTCACCTACCGACCCGCGAACCAAAAACTCACCCTCGCCTACGAAATGGACGGGTTTTGATTCTGGAAAGAAAAGCGGTTTCAAGAGTTGTGAGAAGACAAGAGGCTAGGAAAATGATCATCAAAAATATGTTGTACACGATCCGGACGATCCTGTTCCTGCTCCTGCTATCAAAAAAAAGAAAAGACTGAAATTATCGAGATCTCGGCAAGCGCAAAAGGCATCTGCCATTTCCAGGACGGGCTGATTGATTTCGATGTACACTACACCTCCCCTGCCCTGCGTCTGCCGGCATCGCGGCCCACGACAAATTTTGTCGCCGCGGCGGTGTCGCGAGAGGATAATCGTCAGCCACTACATCATTTAAGTATTTTGAACGACAAGTTTTGTCCACATAGGGCAGGTTATTTTTGGAGCCCTTTCTAAGGACACGATCAACCCGTTACTCACAACTGTTCTTAATGTTGGTGGTCTTGCTTTGGTTTGAGTCGCATTTTTTGATGGCACATACTCTGTAGCACGACTTCGCTCAAGGCGCACTACCACTAGAAGGTACTCAATATAATTGATGAGTGGCGTAGTACGCAGCTCTCCTTTGTCGCTGATCTAGATGCCCGCACCGATCTGGCTGGTGCTGAAGCTGCTGTCCTAGAGGACGACGATAAATATGGATGGGAGCAGGATGAGGATCTTCTCTTCTTAAATCCGTTTCCCTTTCCGTATCCTATCGTGCCCATGATCCAAAGAACAGCTTCAAAGGTGGTCCTCGTGTACATGTTCCTGTCGAATTATCTTCAACAAACACGAGGGTCATGTAGATGATGTCCAATTGCAATGGATAAAGCTGCAAAGCGACTCAATGCCCCAAAAGTTGACAAAATTGTGTTGCTTTCTAGTAGCTGCCCTTCTAGTACAGCAAGTGAATACCTATGTGCAGGACCAGGAACACGCATGCCGCGCTACTTGCTCCGTTTTGCTTCTGGCGGCACTTCTTGTAGTTCATGATGATCTTCGAAGAGAAACAAGATGAACAAAACTGGCTCTTGTACGTGGACGACGGTGTCGTGGATCCGCTTTCCCAGAAGCGTTCGCGTTGGTTGCTCCTTTACTTTTCTATGATGTTCATGCTATTCATTGTCATTTCGCTTCTGACACAGCGCCACAACGTTTGCCTTTTTACTATTCTCCCTCGTGATTGATGTTGTCGGTGGTCCTATGACCCAGAAGGGTGGTCCTATCACCGAGAAGATAAATCTTGCGTAGCGTTTGAAGCCATGTCCCGCTACGCACCGCTAAAGTCGGGCGACCGCGATGCTCCGTCCGAGCATGATGCGTCGTCGTCCTCGGAGGACACAAGCGCAGATATGACTGGCCCTGATTCGGACGAGTCCGAAGGAAAGGTTGATATGAATACCGGAGGTGAATCAACATCGGACATGGAAGGCAGTTCGGGGGATCTACAAGATGAGGACAGTGGATCCGAGGATTCGCGGATTCCCTCCTGGTCGAACTCCTCGTTTGTGCCCCGAGGAGCACAACCTTCAAGAACGCTGAATCACAGGGGGAAAACGCCAGACCATGGCGCCGCGGTGCAAGGAACGCATACGAGCCCGAAGATTGCAGCGGCGCAGGCACCAATGCTAAATTTTGACCTAGGTGCAGACGCCAATCTTGATATGGGAGTGGTCATGGCCACTACCCTCACCGGGACGGTGACGACCATAATTCCGAATGGAGCGAAAGCTCTGGAACGCTTGCGGGAACAGCGCCGAGAACGAGAAAAGAAGCAGCAGGAGCTCCAGCTCGCAGCATCAAATGCCAATGCTGATAGCTCTACTAGTGCCAAAAGCGGTTCTGACGATGAAGACGCGCGTCGTCTTCTGAATGAAAATTTGAATTTTGATTTCGACGAAGAGGCGCAAGTGGTGGCGGCAGCACTGCGAGAGGAGGAGGTGGCGGAGCGCAGTTATTACGGTTTCATTCGCGTTGCAGATGCCAACCTGCAACAGGACGTCATTTTCTATTGCACCGACGTGAGGAGCTCGGACTTTGATCTCCAGCTCGCCAAAGACGACGTCGTGGAGCTCCAGATCGCGCAGCGGTCAAAGGCACTGGCGGAACAAGATTCGAGTGGTCGCCGAAAGGCGAGAGCACAGTGGGTCCGCGTCAAGTATTATGCCACCGGGAGCGGTGCAGCGACGACCAGATCGAAAAATAGACGTCGCGATTCGGCTTTTTCACTGACCTCGACGGCGAGCCTTCAAACGCGCGGTGTCAAGCAATTGTCATGTGCTGCAATGTCGGCAACTAGAAGTAGAACTACCACCGTCTCCAACCGTGCTTCTACTTCATCCGGCGTGTCCTCGCGGACAGAAGTGATGTGGCCGTCGCACCATTGGAAAACAAGCGCTCGCCTTCCCTTCTGGAACCTTTGTGCAAGAGAGATCGGAGCCATGCTCGAGTCGGCTTTTGTGGCTTTCATCACTTCTTCTTCTTCTTCTTGTTCCTCTGGTGCCCGCTCCTCATCCTCGAGTGCAGACTTGGGCCAAGCAATTTTGCTAGTCCTTCGGACGTGCGCGATGTCAGATGTCGCGTCTTCCACTGGGTGCCACGATTCTGCAGTGGGGTGCGGGTCGTCTGATGAAGATAAATCTACAACCAGAAAAATTGAGCACCTCATCCTGTCCATCAGTCGCTGCTACTTTTCGAAAGGCTCATCGTTGGAGAATCGAGATGAGTCTGGACTACCGTCGCAATCGGATGGAGATCAACCCTTTCGCCATCGCAAACGAGATTTCTTTTTACCAAACAAGCACACACCGTCGGGCAAGCTGTGTGGGCACAAAGAACGGCTTGGATTCTTTATCACTACCATCATGTCGTGCGCTTCCGGCGCGCGGACAGCGCAGTCCATTCTTGACGAAGCGCTCACTCCCGTTCTAAAGTTGTGTTCGCGGAATGCAACTCTGTTGCAAAATTTCGTGGCTCCGGCACTCGAGAAACTGCGAAGCTCCCATATCGAAGATGGGTCGGCGATTAACAAGATCTACCACGAAATCCTGCTGCAGCAAGCGAAAGTGAACATCGCGGAAGGGCGTCCACGAAATAGATCGGGAGCGGACGAGAAGCACGGCAAACACTTTGAAGACACTGCTGCTGACAACGAGGACAGCCTGTTTCAGATGGAGTGCTTCGGTTTTTCGTGGAAGGAGCTCGCCAGTCGCAAACCAAGTTTGCGAGAACTTCGGGACGGTACCGCAATTTTCCGGGACCTGCAAAACTCCCGTGTTTTGAAGGCGCTTCCGTACGACGACGAAGATCACTACATGAGCGTGTACTCCCGGCTCTTTCGTGCTGAAGCGTACAGTGGGCTGTGTCGGCAAGTCGAGCGAGTCATCGATCTGGTTAACGGAGACGCCGGCGTAAAAAAGCTTAATTTTTTGGAAGCCAAGGTTTATCGTGCGGCCTTCGCGGGCTACTACCCATTGCAAAGTGGGCCGCACAAGGGAGAAATCGGGCTCGCGTTTTCCAGCGTTCAACCGGACTACCCACTGTACGCAGACGCGAAAGCAAAACTTGCGAAGTCTTGGGCTGCACGGGGTCTAATGGCGGGAACGCTGCTTGCGTGCAGCCTTGACGGCTCGTTCACAAATCAGAGCGGCTTGCTCTACCTGACCGTCGTTCTGAAAGACGACGCACAGCTGCGAGAGCAGCACGTCTTCGTTGCGCTACCCGTTGCAGATGCGAACAGCGGCTTCCAGAGCAGCAGTGTTATTGGAGGGCGTACCAGCCACCGCCATGACGGCTGGCCGAGCGAAGCTGGTGTCTATGCGCAAATTCGTGCGATGCTTAATGCCCACACAACAGGAGGCTCCACCGAATGCGGAGCGACGATCCGGCTCGTTGAGAATCCGGGATTCTATCCTGCCTGCGGACCAGTGCTTCGCAACCTCGTCGCAAAGGATGCTGTACCTTTTCAGGATACGCTGGTGCACTGCCAACCACCATCAGACCTCGACCCGGGCCTTCCTCGAGCTATTGCTTCTAGGTGCCGGATTGGCACCGGTGTTCCAGATGATGAGCTTGAAGTTTTGTATCCTCTCGAAGCAAAATTTCCTCGGGAACTCGTCATGAAGGTCAAAGTCACGGACGAAATGAAAGCGTGGCCGCATTCGCGACTTCTCTGGGAAGCCGACAACGTCGTCTCCCTTCGCGAGTTTCTCGAAGCAGTGCATACGCTTGCCGTTTTTCACACAGATGTTGACAAACAAATGAGTTGGCTTAGCTCGTCCGAGCTTCACCGTGAGCAGTTAGAAGCCATTGCACATGCGCTGACGCACTCCGTCACCGTGATCAAAGGTGCGCCGGGTACAGGAAAGACCTTCTTGGCAGTGCGAATCGTCCTCATTTTGCGCAGGATGATGATGAAGGGGGACCGCGCTTCAAATTCTGAGTGGGAACCGGGAAGCGAACGCCCGAAGGGGTTCACTCAACTTGTGCTTTCGTACAAGAATCACGCCACGGACGAGTTCTCCCTAGATGTGCTGGAGCACAAAGTTCCAGTCGTCCGCGTCGGCGGGCGTTCCTCTGCGGCTAAACTGCGAGAGCACACCCTCCAAAGCCTGGTACTCAGAAGCCGCCACGACAAAAAGTATTCTTCTGCATGGGAGCTCCACTCCTCGTCCGAGGATTTTCGAGACGAATTCGCGCACAACGTCAAGGAAATCCGGAGGCGGTACGACTACATCAACATCTTTTGCATTAAATGTTGAAGATCTATCCAAGTAGAACAAGATCACCTCTTTTATATTAATTTTGATGTTTTGACTTTTGGTTTTTTACATTGACAGACAGTATCAACGTCTGTCAATATTTCGCTGCTTCATTCGTCTGACACGACAGGTTTAAGGCTGAGGAGAGAATTGAGTTTTCACCGAGACTGCTTGCTGCCGTTCTGAACCTGGCCCAGCTTGTTTCCCTGCTGCAAACCTGGGCCGCGGACAAATTGACGACCCGGGCGCGACGTCATACCCGCGCAGGACAGGATCCGACGCCAAATGAGTGTGAGACCCGAGCTGCTACTTTTCTGCAGAAGCAAGCTATCCCCGTGCTGACCTACATTCGAGATGTTTTTCGCCAAAAGGCGTGGCCCATGCCGACGCTGGAAACGTTGATTCGATTTTGCAATCTGTGGCAGCTGAACGACCCGCTTTTCGAAACGCAGATGTCTGAAGAGAACATGCAGCAGGCACAACAGTTGGTCTACAGGCTACTTGCAGATCTCCTGCCACACTTGCTCCAGCCTGTGTTCTGCCAAGTGGTGGTCGACTGGGTGCCGCCGGCACGCTGCCACCAAAACTTGGTAGAGCACCTGCGCGGCCCGGTCCTGTTTTCAGACGACCCGTCCGTAGTTGCTAGAGCGGTCGCCCAGCAGGGTCCTAACCCCTTCGAAGCTGGTACCGGTACGGCACTGGGTTCTGGAGACGCGGACGACGCTTTATCCTCTGACGACGACGATGCAGTGTTGGATCGTGCTGTCTTGCTGCAGGAAGCCCTTGCCGAGGTTGAATATGACCAAGTAAAGAAAATCCACAAGGACGAGCGGGCTGTGAAGATTAACGAGATAGCACGTCCAGGAGATCGCGGTCGATGCGCAAAGCATCCGGAAACTCGCGCCGTGAGCCTTCTTCCAGAAGTTGCGAATTCTGGTCGCCTGAAAGGCAACGCGCAGGTGAAAGATCAGCTTCTAACGCAAGAGGACTTATGGCGGCTGAACGACGACGACCGCTGTCGCTTCGTGCATGTAGTCCTCGAAAGGGCAGCGGAGGCTCGCCAAGACGCGATCGCAAAAATGGAATCCGACTTGCAAAACATCGCGAATACGCACCGGCGTAGGGATCAGTTGGAGAAACTGGCGGTGATGGCAGACAAATGCAAACAACCCGTCCTGTCTATGACGATTGATGGAGCATGCATTCAGAATGAGCTCCTGGAGCAGTGCAACGTTGATGTGGTTTTCTTCGAAGAGGCGGGGGAGTTGCTGGAGAGCAAGCAGATTGCCTGCATCCCCCGCACTGCGCGGCACCTTGTGATGATCGGGGACCCGCTGCAGCTGCCGCCCAATCCCGACACCTTTGAACTCAAGGAGCATTTTGACTTCGGCACGTCCTTGATGGAACGACTGATCAACAACGGCTACCCTTACAATAGAGTATTTTATAGGCAAGGGAGTGAAACTTCGAAGGGAGTCAAGGGAGCCAAGGGAGGAAGATAAAACTTGCACAAATTGCCTCCCCTAAAATCATCGCAAAAATGCATGCTATGGGCGCACTTACCGGGCACCGGTTTGGGCCCTGCTGCCCCCCCCCCCCCGCTGCGGCCCGCGGTTTGGCCGCGTTTAGGCATTAGCTCGCTGACGAAGGCCCTGGCCTCTTGAAGAAGGTGAGGGCTTCTAGAGTCGCCCCCGTCAACAGAAGTCGCCGGGGCGGCCGGGCCTCTGCCTGGCAACATAGAGCGTGGAGCCGAAGGAACGCGTAAACTGTTGCCGTGGCCATGTCAAGTTTCCGCTGTCCAGGGGAAGTTGAGGCAGCCACTTCAGCAGTTTGCTTGTCGAGATCTTTCGCGCGAGGTTCTGCGTGACCAGATTCAACGTCATGCCGAACAGAGAATACGAACGCAGTGGAAATGTTGAAGCGGCCACTTCGACTTTCTCCAATCGGGAAAGAGTTGCAGTGGCCGTCAGAACGCGCCGTAAGTTTGAAGCTCACACGCGTGGCATATCTTTCTAGCCTGCTTCGCATTGATGCTTCGCACTGATGCTTCGCATTGATGCTTCGCATTGATGCTTCGCATTGATGCGTCGCAACATTCCCACACGTGGGCGCATGTCCTACATGCTGCACGTGCCTCGCCGCGCGCGCGCAGCGCGCGGCCCGAAAAATTTTTGTGATGTGCGCACAGATGTCGAGCCGCGCGCGCGCAGCGCGCGCCGCGAAGAATTTTTGCTATACTTATGCCGATCGCATTGGCGCGCGCGACTGCTTTTTTAACTTACTCCCTTGACTCCCTTGGAAAGTTGCGCTGTACTCCCTTGGCTGGCGCCAGACACTAATAAACCTATTACAAGACTCTGATGCGCCAGAGCCGCATGCATCCGGACATCAGTAGACTCAGCCGACACACATACCCGCAACTCGAAAACCACGAAGCGGTAGTGGGTGCACTGGAGAAGTTCCCCGGCCTCGCAAATAGAGTGCACTTCTGGGACACGGGCTCCTTGTACCGCGAGGTCAAGGAGAGGAGCGTAACCAACGGAGAGGAGGCACAGCGAGCGGTTGGTATCGCCCAGAACCTCGTCTACAATGGGGTGCCACCGGAAAAAATCGGAGTGCTTGCCATGTATAAAGGCCAGGCGCGATTGATACGCGATCTGATCAAGAGATCCGAAAACTTTGGTGTCGAGGCCTTTTTGAAACAGCCCCTGCCCAAGAAAAACGCACTCGTCTCTGAACTCCTGGACAAGGGCCGAAATCCCTTATCCAAATCCGGCGGCCCAGCTGCCTATACGAAGGACGAAAAAGGCCGAACGGTGAGCTACAGCAAGCTGGAGGATGTCGCGGTAGATTCAGTCGACAATTTTCAGGGCGACCAGCGAGACTACGTGATCGTCAGCTTTTGCCGATCCAACGACAATCATGACTGCGGCTTTCTGAAAAAGGCAGACTCTGGACCGCAGCGACTTAACGTCGCGCTCACTCGCGCGAGGTGTGGATTATTTCTCATCGGCGACCGCGCCTGTCTCGAAACGGACTACCCGGTCAGTGGAAAGGACCGCAAAACGCATGAAAGGCTTTTCGACAAAACTCGTCCGGTGCCAAATGCCGTTTTCAAAAACCTGTTTGCGGATTTGGACGAAGGAAAACTCGTCAGCAAAAAACTGGAACTACACTGTGAGCGGCACCCGGAGAACGGTGGACTGGTCTGCACCACCGCGGCAGACTGGGCACTGGGGGCGTTCCAATGTCGAGAGACCTGTGGAAAAACGCTGTCCGCGTGCCAGCACACCTGCAAGCAGCAGTGCCACCCGGGGCTCTGTCCTGCAAACCTCTGCCGCGAGCCTGTAGTGGTGGAGTGTCCAAACGGGATTGCAGATCACCCGGCGTGGACGGCGTTCTGCTACGAGCAAGGGAACGCTAAATGCAGGTCAATCGTGAACTTTGACTGCGGACGCTGCAGGGACGATGACCTGTTTTCCGATCCAGTACAGAAGCAGGCCTGTAAGGAACGACGCACGCCCTTGTCCCGGCTTTGTTTCGAAACGGAGCGCGAGGTCGCCAAAACTTGCTCAGCCACGTACCACTACACCTGCAGGAATGGCGACCACCACTACACCCGGCGTTGCCACGAAGATGAGATCGCGCAGTGTTTGCAGCAGACAACTTGCGTTCGCAAAGACTGTGGACACCTATTCGAGAAGAGATGCTATGCTCTGGATAAGACGAACACGGTCGAATTCGAACAACTACTCGAGGATCTCGCAGAGACACCGTGCCAGGAGGAAGTATGCGAACCGTGCGCCCGCTGCGGAGAAGGCGCGCTTGTTCGCGTGTGCAGTGAAGCGCAGCCCCGGGACCGGTGCAGAAGGAAGCTGCCATACCACTGCGCCGCATGCGGTCACGAAAGTCAGAGGCCCTGTGAGGTTCCGGAGGCGGAGTACCGCTGTCCCGCCGTTTTGGAAGAGCTTTGCCGCGACTGCGGCGTTGCAACGGTGAAGCGTGTCTGCAGCGAGACAGCCCCACAGCAGCCATGTACGCATGAGATCGATCATACCTGTGTCGATTGCGGAGAAGTGGCGAAAAAGCTTTGCAGTGCCCCGGGTGGTTCTTTCGTTTGCCAGGCCGTGTATCCGCATACCTGCGGCGAGTGCGGCCTTGTGGGCGATAAACAATGTGGGGTGCGGAAATATGTATGCCCCGCTTTGCAGCCGTTTAACTGCGGCAGCTGTGGCGCATTCGTCAAGCACTACCAGTGTGGCATGCCGCCGACCCCGGAGCAGCTCGAGACCGACTTTCTGTGCCTGAAAGAGGTGGACCAGGAGTGTAGTGAGTGTTACACCGTCGGGAAACGCGTGTGTGCCATGTCGCCATCGGAATTCGTGTGTCGCGCGCCTTGCAAAAAAGTCCTTCCTGAGTGTGGCCATCCGTGCGCGCGGGTGTGCGGTCTTCCCTGCGCCCGAGAAAAGTCGGAGTGCAGGTGGTGTGCCCTGGAGCTGACCAAAGAGTGGCTAAACCACGGGTGCCTCTCGGAAGACAAGGCACCCGAACACGATTATGCCGTCGGGACCCGGTGTTTGCTTCCAGTGTGGAAAATCGAGTTTACACAAGCCAGCATTTCAACGGAGATGCGGTCCGGCGCCTCGGTTGATCAACAAGTGGAGGAGATCATCCGGTATTGCCCCGAGGACCTAAGGCCCGAAAACTTCGAGAAGCGTTTCACTTGTATCAAAGTTTACAGGATGTTGGAGTGTGAGTACCTTCGCCCGATTCTCCAAGATGGCTCGGAAGGAGAACCCCGGGCGGTGTGGCGGACGCGCTTCTACGCTCTGGACAACCGCCGGACGGCGTTGCTAAAGAAGTGCAACCCGGGCGGGGAGGTGTACGTGGAGATTTCGGGCGACGCGAAAGACTTCCAGAGCAAGTACGATCCAAAAGGGCGTGCGAAGCTGCAGCACGACGAAATTAGGCAGGTAATGGGCTGCGCCGGTCCGGACAAGGGAGCAGGTGTGGCTCCTGGTGCCGCGACAGCGACTAATAAAAATAAAACGAAGAATAAAAAGGTTAGCAAGAACAAAGCTGCGGCTCCAGCAACTGACCATGAAGTTCTAAAGGGCGTTGAAGCGAGAACGTATGGCGTCGCAGAAGGTAGTTCCGGCACCAGGTTCCCGAGTTTAAAAAAGAAGAGGAAGACAAACCCAAACGGGAAGAAAGCAAATAAGAAATGCAATATTGAACCTTTCGCCGCCACAGAAAATGTAAAAGTGAAAAATAAGAATGACGGCAATAATAAGAAAAACAAAAAAAATGCCTGCAAGAAGCAGCAGTCATCCTCATCGTCATCGGCCGACAACGAGAAAAGCAAGGCATCCGAAACGCCAAAAGGGAACGATAAAAACGATGACAAGCGAGAAGAAACAGAAGCAGAACCAACTCAAGCCGCCTCATCCTCCCAGGTGTTCATGCAATCGCTATCGGGACCGCTGGTTCATGATGATCAAGATGACAGCGCCGGTAAAAAATCCAACACGAAGATGTACGAGGAACAGGTGGCACGACTGTCAGCTATTTTTCCAGCAGGGGAGCATGGTCTTGTGTTCGCCGAGGCCGAATCGGTTCAGATTTCAGCAGAAAAATCTGATTTAATGTCGTCGCCGGTCGTCCGCATCCGGGGTGCGGGGGATGCAGGGCGCTGCAAAATCTCAAACACCGAGCCCCTCACTGCAGCACCTAGTCCAGGATCATCTTCCGCCACGAAGAGTACACCAGGTAGCCGTGATTATTCAATGAGCCCTTTGCCTGAACTTGATCTCCAGGGCGAGTCCAAAAGTAACACTCCAGCTGCAGCTCCTCCTGAAGGTGATCCAATTCCAGAGCTGCTTTATCCTGAAAGACCACCACTCCCCGGCTTCGACCCTGTGACTATTTGGCGACGTCCACAAAAAGGCAAAGAGGAGCCGCGCGTGAAAAGTAAAGGCGCGGGCAAGTTTGCGGTCGTAGAACATGAACAGGGCAAGGTTGTAACAAGGCAGATCTTGCGAACCGACGCGGCGGGAGAGATGAGAAACAAAGCTGGCACGCAAATCGTCTTACATCACTACGAGCTCCCCATTGAACCACCAGAGGATCATGACGATATCTCCCTGCTTCGAGACGGGAGAAGGCAGCGCCAAATTGCAACAAGTCAGCGCTACGTTATCATCGATGACCTAGACCTGGTCACGGACACAGTTGCTGGCAAAAGTGCAAGAGCAGAAGTAGATTTGTCCAGCCTCGAGACATGGGCTACTGCGAACCTGAACGCTGCTACGCCGCCTACTGAAAGTCCGGACTGCAGCGCCGAGGGAGTGAGCAGTCGTGAAAATACAGAAGTTTTTGAGCGAGTGGTTCGGGAAGCTATCGATGCTCCGCTCCGCATGATGATGGAATCTCCCGTTTGTCTCAGGAAATGCCTCGGCTTCCGTCGGGATGCTGAACCTGTGGTCGTCGTCAGCTCCGGTCTGCTGTACTTGCTCGGATTGTTGCATACGACCTACGTGCACGATCGGTTTCCCGACTTCAGTTTTCAGGCGTATTACGACCCTGACGTGCGTGTTATGCTGCTCTGGCGAAAGATCGAAGAGGAATTCCCCGAGCGCGTCACCCAGCATGGCGTGGAGGGGGCCCGCGAAATTTTGCGCAAGTCAGAGGAGAGAATTCTGGCGGGAAAGCGATTTATCCAGCATGTCACATCATCTAGATCTACACCAACTGCCACCTGCGCGCCTCTCTCCAGAGATCAGGAAGGGGTGATGCGCAATGCCAATCATGCGAAATTATGCAATACTACGTCTACGTCTACTACGAGCATAACCTGTACGCTCCGCCGCGTCCCGTCGTTGAGCTGCTTCCTACCGGTCTTTCCCTGTCAACCACACAAAAATGATCCGAGCTTTCTCCTTTACGGTGGCGGTAGCTACCTACGGCACGGAAAACAGCTGCAACAGAACGGAAAGACGCTGTACGCGGTTGTGCGAAAGTCCAACAAAAAATTTCGCGAGGCCGCCGATCACGGCTGGAAGGACAAGAAATTGAATTCGAGGATTTTCTTTGGTGCCAACGCGTACCGGCAGTACAACAAGCTCGCGTGTGGTGGTACGGATGGCCTGCTTCTTGGTTTTTACAACGAGGACGACGGCCGCGTGGAAGGGGTAAACGCAATCACCTCGCTGGAACAGTTTCGCAACACGTTTTCGTGGAGCTTGAACCACGATCTACCGCAGGGTGGCGAGCTGTACCGGGTCCTGTTCGCGCAGCTTTTTGAGAAGTGCGCACGATTTTCGGGGAAGCCACTCACCGTGCGTAAGGAACGCGGATCCGCCGAAGAAGATCACTACGGCTACCAAAAAGCTGTCACGCTACGATTTGAAGAGTCATCACCTGGCATCGACTACTCCAACGAACTTATCGACCTCATTCAATCGTTCACGCACAAATGGCAGCGGATAGAACAGGGCCGATCATGATTGTGAAGAAGCCAGAGGCAGAGCAAAACAGCTTGCATTTCGCGCGATCCTTTGTTTCGCGTGATGATAAATCTGCAGAACTCGAACATCCGCAGATGGAGATGCAGATGGCTCGAATTTTCCATCTTCATTATGTATGATATTCAGGGACTCAACGAAGATATAACTTAACTATCCTCATTCAAAAACAAAACCTCAAAGTCAAGAAAGTGGGAGGCTTGCAGGGGAAAAATTATTAAGTTCCCGGACAAGCATTCACGTTTCTTTTCGTTTTCCTGCTCTGAAAACAAACGCCCGAATCATCAGGCGCTCATTCTCACATACGCGCGAACGCAAGTGTGCGGGTTGTTTGTGCGAAAGTAGAACTAAAAAAAGGCTGCATGTAGTGAGTCATGTTGCTATATTCGTTTCTTCAGAAGCCGAATTTTGAATATGATTTTTCATGATCTTGATCGTGTTCCATTCCTCGCATTTGTTTCTTTGAGGTGAAGGTCGGTTTCTTTTCATCTTTCTTCGTCATCGTCAATCACAATCGCAAAATTACTGTTGAAGTCCCTTTACAAATTCGCAGTCTGTGTTTTTCGTCTCCTCCTGGGGATGTAAAGGCAGATGAGTAGTCGGTTCCGTTTGTCCATTTCCGGGATCGACGTCGTTGGGTTCGGGCCGATTCTCTAGTAGGGTGGTTCGTTATTTGCCAATTACTAAATGGTGGTGCGCCCCCGGAGAGGCAGTTGATTATTTTCGTCGAATCCCAAAAATGTGCAACATACAACCGAGGAGGGTCCTGTTCGTTCTGCAAGTGTATGTGTGATTGCAGCAATTCCTCCCAGCTAAATAAACATCGGTCGTCGGTGTCGTGTCTCTTCGAGCTTGCGTTTCCGTTTGTCATTGTCTTCGTTGGGAACTGGCATTATTTTTATTACTACAGTGTAGTTCTAGTTGAGTCTGAGTGGTGTTTTGTATTATCATCTTACTTGACCTCAAGATTCTTATTCATGGGTATCTTTCTTTTCATTCAAAAATGCAGTTATACGAACCGTGGTTGCCAGAGAGAACATGAACACAATGTGATGCTTCGCCTTCCCTTTCGCATTGATTTGTTCAGCAGTTCGATTAGTTATATGTTGATTTGCCTCGAGTCGATGTCAGCTACCCCTACCGCTACGGGTGCAGACGTAGAATATGAAATCGAAGCCGCGAGACCAGCATGGTCCTGCTCCGATACCCATCCCCCTTGGAGATGAAAAGGCCTTCATCGCGCTCGGTGACGAAATCGGGAGCAAACGGCCGAGGCTCAATAACCGATTGGTCAAAAAAATTCTCCGCGTCGCCCGGGAACCCGAGTGTTTTGGTGCCGGCACCGAGTTCCGCCTCGCAGGCTCCAGCAAACACCACACGGACATCCTCGGTTCGGACTACGACTATCGCGTCAGAACCAAGAGCCCAATCACGCAAAAGCAGCGGCGACGCTTCGCAGAGCGGTTGCGGGAAGAATTTCTCCTGACAAAGGAGGAACTTCTGCAAGAGGAGGCAGAGGACGCCGAAGTCGCAGAAGGTAGTCCTGCTGGGGCAGTGGTCGCGCATGCAGGCCGCGCCGGCGCAGGACGAGTAGAATGTGATCCTGTCGAACGACAAAGAGAAAACCGAGCGCAACTGCTCGAATACAACTACGCGGTCAAGCGAGTAAAGATCAAGGAGCTTGCGATCAAAGTGGAGGCGGTGTCAGGCGCTAGCTACGACTTCGTGCCCATGTCGCGAAATTTTGGCGAAGTACAAGATCTGCATGACCTGCCCTTCTGTGGGAAAACTCGGCCGGAAATAGATCGCGAATTGGACGCTTTTTTCGAAAACAACAAGCCAATGCAGGCGGTAGTGAGAATCTTGAAAGCACAGACCGCGATCGTTGGCGGAGTCCCTGGTGTTTGGTTGGAGGTTATGACCATGCGCGCCGCAAGTCTTTTGAACAAAACGAATTACGATGATGAAGATGAGGAATCAAAAAACATAAATTTCATGAGCGGGAAGGGAAACCGAAACTACGGGATGCAGTTGCAAAACAAGCACCAGCCCGAGTTGTGTGTTAGAGTCAACAATGTCGCTACAGCCACACATCAACTCGTGATAGATCTGTTTCTGGAGGGTCAGGACAGCAGAATCAAACAACTGTTGCTGGCGCGGGAAGATAAAAGTCACAAAACGAAAAAATACACCAGGAGCCTGGAGAAGATTCAGAAGCACTTTGCGCAAAACGGACACCGATCGATTGTCCATCGGTGTAAAGAGAACAGACTACTTGTTGAAAGGAATTCGAATTGGATTGAACAGAAAGAGGATTGTTGCCAGTCGCAAACGAGGATTGACAGTGAGCCAGCAAGAACGCGACAAACGTCGTCGAAAACGAAACGCGCTCCTTCAGGAGGAGCACGACCTGACGTTTCTACTACTTGCCCTTGTTCATCTTCTGAAGAGAATACAATCGCGGAAATAAGTAGCAAGAAGATGAAGAAACGTCACAATTACAGGCACTACGCAACCGGCGTAACAGGACAGATGACAGTAAAAATACACGACACCAGAAATAAACAGAACAACCCCGCCGCGGACACAACGCAAGCTTCTGGGCAAGAATCCAAAACAGAACTACCAGTACCAGTGGAGGTTCTCTCATCTAAGGTGGTAGAGTCTGAACGTAGTATGCATATGCTCGGAAGTTGTGAACGTGAAGATCAACGGAGAAGTATCGATATCTCTACTCTGGGCCTAGTAGAATTACAGCTTGAGAAACTTTTGAAACGACACCAAGAAGAAAATCAAAATATTCTGACGCGACAACGTGAGGAAATACTCAATCTTTTGCGCGAACGTGATCATGTGTGCGAATTATGATGGTCGCTGAAATTTTCAATGAAATGAAAGTGAACGCCGGCACGACGAAAGCGAAACCTCGCACAAACACGACGAGAAAATAAGCGAATCCTTTCTTTGAGTTTGACTTTGTCTTTGTTGTTTTTGTGTTCACCTTGACAATCCTCCATCCTATTTTGCAACACATTCTCAATCTCATTTACATTAGGCTCGTTCTTATTTTTCTCGATGAAACGACTACGCGTACGCACACAGACACATTGCACACACCATAACCCGCCCGACTACGGAGATAGACGCCCTCTAATTTGACCACTCCAAGTCCAAGATCAAATCCAAATGTACGAAATGGAAATCCATGATCTGCCAAGAACAGGGTCATCAAATCGATCTAATATTGGTACTAAATTGAATTTTGCCCGAATGAAAATTTTGACTTGATCAAATCATGTTATTCAACATAAAAACGGTCGCAAGAAGATTTCGATGTTATGGTCGCACTATCATTCTATTCACAGAAAATGTCCACAGGAGTACGGCTTTGATATTAATTACTACACGCATTCAGGACGATTATAGCGTACAACTTCAGGAAGACCTTGCTCTGCCAACAATTTCGACTCACCAATTGCAATCGAAAAGAGGAAAGAAAAACAAGTAGAAACTGCCACAGTAATTACTTTTTCCAAGACCCTCACCACGCGTACAATCCTAGTCGTCCTCGTAACAAGCGATTAATAGACAGAAAGAAATTCCAACAAGATGGCACACAAGTTTCTATCCTCTGTCCCATCCATCTATAAGGATGGCGCGGGCGAAGACAAGGGAGATGTGGCGCGACTGCAGGCCTTCATCGGGGCGATCGCCATCGGAGATTTGGTGAAGTCCACCCTCGGTCCCAAGGGAATGGACAAGATTCTGCAACCGTTGCCGGGCGAAGGTGCCAGCAAAGAGACGACTGTGACCAATGACGGCGCCACTATTCTTTCCCGTGTCTGGGTCGACAATCCCAGCGCAAAAATTTTGGTCGACATCTCCAAGGCGCAAGACCAAGAGTGTGGCGATGGAACGACGTCCGTCGTGGTTCTTGCGGCAGAGCTTTTGCGGCAAGCGGAGCAACTTGTGCAGCAGCGCATGCACCCGCAGGTGATCATCAAAGGGTACCGCATCGCCCTGGAAGCGGCGCGCAAGCGACTCGAGGAAGTCGCTTTTGACAATGGCAAGGACGAAGCCAAACTGCGCGCAGACTTGATCAAGATCGCGGAGACGACGTTGTCGTCGAAGCTGTTGAAACACGAGAAGACGCATTTCGCCACGCTAGCGGTTGACGCCATCTTGCGCTTGAAGGGACGACCGAACCTCGACTACATTCAGGTTTTGAAGAAGGCCGGTGGTGCAGTGAAAGAGTCCTATCTGGAGCCGGGTTTCATTCTGGAAAAACGCATCGGTGTCGGCATGCCGAAGAAGAAGGAGGATTGCAAGGTCCTGGTGGCCAACACTCCCATGGACTCGGACAAGATTAAGATCTTTGGCAGCCGCGTCAAGGTCGAGTCTCTGGAGGCGATGGCGGAAATCGAACGGGCGGAGCGGGAAAAGATGAAGCGCAAGTGCGACAAGATCGTGGCTACGGGGTGCAATGTTTTCATTAACCGTCAGCTCATCTACAACTACCCCGAGGAGCTGCTGAAGCAGGCCGGCATCACGTGCATCGAGCATTCGGATTTTGACGGCACCGAGCGGCTCGCGGCCGTCCTGGGTGGCGACATCGTCAGCACCTTTGACGACGCCGAAAACATCAAACTGGGCACTTGCGAGCTGATCGAGGAGATCATGATCGGGGAGGACAAGGTGATTCGCTTCAAGGGGTGTGCGGAAAACGAAGCCTGCACGATCGTGCTCCGGGGTGCTTTATCAAATGCAAATATGTCTGCGTCTGGAAGGGTCTGAAATTGTGATGCTACCTTTGGACTCCACAAAAATCTGTATTGCATGAGCAGCAAAGGGAATGTAATTTTTGCTACGCGGAGAGGGCATTTGTCATGCGGGAGAGGCATCAAGAAGCCCTCAAAAAGTCTGTGATGCTAGGGCATGCATCACAGACATCAGGGCTCATGCAAAACGTGCATGACAAAGATAATATTAGTGCCCGGGGATGAAGATATACTCGCGATACCTTTCGCGGTTCTGACCCTAGATCTCCTGCGGCCGTAGCTGCTTGCGGCGACGGTGCAAAGGTTTTCGATGTGGTGCAGTCGGGTATGCATGACAAATCTCAGAATCTTGATCTTCCAGACCCAGACATATTTGCATTTGATATGCTTCCACGCACGTGTTGGACGAAGCCGAACGGTCGCTGCACGACGCCCTGGCGGTGTTGTTCCAAACCGTGACGCAAGATACCCGTGTGGTGTGCGGGGGCGGGTGCTGCGAGATGGCCATGTCCCGGGCGGTGCTGCAGGTCGCCGCGGAGGTCGGCGGCAAGGAGTCCGTTGCGGTCGAGGCTTTCGCCAAGGCGCTGGTCCAGATTCCGATGATTCTCAGCGAGAACGCCGGCTTCGACGCTCAGGAGATCGTGGGAGAGCTCAAGAAGTCTCACGCGACCGGCAACGCGTTCGCGGGGATCAACGTGATGGAGGAAAGCGTCGCGGACATGCGACCGTTGGGCATCTACGAGTCGTACCGGTCGAAGCTCAGCGGGCTTTGCTCTGCTGCCGAGGCCGCGGAGCAGGTGATCCGCGTCGACGACATCATCCGCAACGCACCCAGACAGCGGCAAGGCATGTAAGTAGGTGGCGTTGAAATGAAAGTGCCGTTTATTTGGACGAAATTTTTTGAAGGTAGACCACGTATTTGCGGACCGTGCAGTTCTTAGTACTCACACAACTCCCTCTAACCGAAGGCGATGAAAGCGAAGACATTCGTTTTCTGACCTGTGGTTTGGAGAAAAAATACAAAAACCGAACAAAAACATGAACGACTACCACGGGCACGGTAGGGCAGTGCATCACGAGCAAAATGGTTCACATTCACATTGAACCATTGTGAAAGCTCTCAACATCTTCACGACAGCAGTGCGGAAACAAAAAGCAAAAAATAAAAAACCAAAAAACGAAAAAAATCAACCCTTCTTTCGATTCCTATTACAGACTCATTTTCCTACTTCCTTGCGGTGTTGTTCCGGGTCCAAATAGATCCTTCGATGACTTGCTGAGATTCTAACATTGTCGCACTCAAAGAAACGAAATTCACGCTCCACCATCAATCCAGGTCCTTGGTTCTCGTTCTTGTGATAAAAAATATAAATTATGCATCTGAATCAAAGTTTGTTTTGTTTTTCTTTTTCCGATCTGTGTTTCATAATTCAATTATCTTTATCGAATCATGATTTCATGATCAATGTCTTCATATGTTGATGATGGATCGAAATCGATATCATATCAATATTCATCTTTCTCAAGATCCATCTATATCGATCGGAAATTTGGATTGTCTGAAATCTTTCTTTCTTTCTTTCTTTCTATCCATGTTCGGGCATGATGTCAAAGATTCAAGGTCCTAAAAGTCCAACATAGTCTTGTTCTCTTCTCTTCTCATCAATATGTGGATGATATCAAAGGTTAAAATTATGAAGAACTTAAAATAATCTGAAATCTAAGTTGAAAATGTCATTGATTCGGAAAATCTCTATCTCATCAAAGGAATTTCAATGTGAATATATTCGTTGTATGTTGTGATTTTCAAAAAGAAAAAATCATTTCGAGATGATGAGCAATCTTAGAAAAAATTTTTTGAAAAAATTGTGTCGATATCTTCTTTGTGGATCATATGTGAATATGTTCCATTTGTTTATCTGTGAATTCCAATGATTTTGAAAGATCGAAAATGTTAAAGGATCCAGAAAAAAAATTCAGGTGATATAAAAATTCAAATGAAATAAAGCATGAAAATCGAAAGGAAAATCGAAAATGAAACAGGATCGAAACAAATCAACAAAATTGAAAAAAAAAAAAAATCTGGATTCTCCTATAGGGAGAAGAGGATTTCAGAACAACCTCATTATAATCTTTCTTTCCATGCCTAGATATGCATGGCAAGGCATCAATTTTTCGAGGCCCGAAATTCATTGTCCCATGTTCAATTCTCATGCCACTTCTTCTCTGTCACAATAAAATTGAGACTAACTAAAAACTACGAAGACTACGACGACCTTCAGGATTTCTTTTGTAACAATCTCTGTGATTGATTCTGAGACATTCAAACTTTCCATGATGGATAATTGATAGATTCGAATAAAAAAACCGAATACATCAGAATCGAAATGGGAAATCCCGAGGACACCATTTCCTGGGACCCCGAGACTTTTTTTCGATTTTGCGAATTTCGATTCTGACAACACCATAATTCTTCTTAATTTTTTTCGGAATATCTATATCTTACAAGAAATATCCAGATATCTTTAAATAATATGAAAAAAATTTCAGAAATATTGTTTCCATGATGATAATCCCGATCTTATGGACATGACATCAATCATATCGATTCATTGTCATATTGCAAACATTTTTAACGATGAAATTGATACATGTTCTATGTCTGTGGATTCGGATGGAGTGGGAAATACACAAGAAAAAGAAAAACGATATCATATGATTTTCGGATTGGAGACATGACAAATTTGATTCAAAAAACCATCCAACGAATTACCCGATTTAAGGAAAGAATGATGAAAATCTGGATTTTCTTAATAGACGAAGATCGATCATATCGTTGCCAGCGAAGCCGATTTGCTATTAATCTGAAGCAATGGCTTAACCATATAATTTCAAATCGATTTGTCAACCAGGTTGTCGTCAACCAGGTTGGCGATGCCTCACATGACGCAGAAAAAACCATCAACCAACGCAAATAATCTACTTAATCATAAATCTCTCGACGGCAGTAGCAAGTCAGTGTTGAACTCTCTGAGACGAACATGAAGTTGAGCAAAAGAGCCGCGGAGTCATTCTTCGTTTGTTTCGCCCGTTGTGCGTTGTGGTCGGAAAAATTTTCATTGCTGCGTTATGATGAGTATGAAGTTCAAGTGTTTTGGTCGTGAGTCGAAGTTGCATGATCATTTTTTTGGTTGAGGTCGTCGCGCTTAAATGTTTTCGTCCGTAGATTTTCTTCGAGAGAGATGCAGGTGCTAATCTTGGTCGTGCTGTAATTGATGGTCACAGCCTCATGGTAATAAGCAGAGGTGCCTTTGCTTTAATCGTTCGCAGCAACAAATAAGACCAATCTTCATCATCATTGTGATTGAATATGGTATCTTTGCGCGGCAAAAAATCCCATGCCCTCTCTATTTACTTCTTTCCTTTTCCTTTTCCTTTCCCTTTTCCCTTCTTACCGTCCTTTCCCTTGCCCTTGCCGCCTTTCTTTCCGTCGCCCTTCTTGCCGTCACCCTTCTTTCCCTTTCCGCCCTTCTTGCCATCGCCCTTTTTGCCGTCTCCCTTCTTCCCCTTTCCGTCCTTGCCGCCCTTCTTACCGTCGCCTTTCTTCTTACCGCCCTTTTCGGTGGTCTTTTTGCCGCCGGCAGCACTTGCACTGCCCTCCATCTCCTCGTCGTCGGACTCTTCCTCCTCTTCGCCAGAGCTTGATGCAGCAGCAGCAGCAGTCTCGTCGTCCTCAGCAGTGGGCTTCGCAACGGAATCTTCACCTTCCACGTCAGACTCCTCTTCCTCCTCCTCATCCGAAGTCTCGGCGTCGGACTCACCGTCCGTGGTCTTGGCGACTGGCTTCGCGGGTTCGGAAGTCTTTGTTGCGGGCGCAGCAGCCGCAGCCGCTTCTACTTCTTCTTCTTCGGAAGATTCTTCCTCCTCTTCTTCTTCTTCGGAGGATGCCTCCTCGACCGCAGCAGCAGCCGGAGCAGCGGATTCGGCCGGCTTGGCAGCCAAGGGCTTGGTCGGTTCGGCGGCCTGGTGGGATATACAGACAAAGTCAATTTGCTTGCGAGTCCAAGTCGCTCGTCATGAGGCAAAAACTATGCGTTCGCATTCAAAAGCGAATTGGAGTATGCATATGATCAAGAACGATTACGATAATTACTTAACGATGTTAACCCCTCATATTATACCTCCATCTCCACATCCTCATCGGATTCTTCCTCTTCTTCCTCTTCGGACGATTCCTCCTCCTCAGCCGCAGCAGCGGGCTTCTTCTGTTCGACCTCGGATTTGTTCTTCTGCTCAGCAGCAGCAGCCGCGACGACGGACTTCGGCTTGTCGACCGGAGCCGCGAGTTCCTCGTCGGACGACTCTTCCTCTTCTTCGGACGATTCTTCCTCCTCTTCGTCGACCTCCATGGGCTTTTTGGCGGTGGACGTGGTGGAAGCAGTGGAAGCTGCTGGTGCAGCTTCGGCCTGGTCCAGCTTTTTTGTCACTTGCTCGATCGGAGCGTCATCCTCGGACGACTCTTCTTCTTCCTCGGACTCAGACTCGTCGGCATCCTCCGCTTCTTCCGCCTTTTTGCTCATGTTGAGGTTGGTCTGCTTCTTTTCGGAAGCCGGGACTGCGGTCTTCTCAGTCGGGGTGGGGCTGGACGGGTTCTTGTTCTCATCTTCCAATTTGCGCTTTTTGGCCTGTAGTATATTTGAAGTATGGTTTTTCTTTAATATTTTGGTGAAAGAACAATACTCCGCTGTGGCTGTACAGCTACAGGTTGTACAGGTTCTGGTACTTAGTCCTATCGCTTGACCTAGATCATGCGCTGTAGCGGCAATAATTTTTATTCTCAACATCAAAAAAGCATTTTTCACAAGCATCTACTTTCACGCTATTGTTGCTGTACCTCCGGCAAACCAGCCAAAGCTGCCAAGCCCTCCATGTCGTCCTCTGAGCCGGATTCCACTTCGGAGTCAGCGGCTCCCGCGTTCGCGTGGCCGATCAGATCCACGGTAGTGGCGCTGTTTGTGGCTTGCACCAAAAACCCGTGCGTTCGGCTGTTGATCATGATTTCCGTTCGCTGGCTCAGCTGCCCGTCGATCCCAAGCTCGCAGAGAAAAAACTTGTTCTTCGGGTTTTTCAGAGAGGCCACATACACGCGAGCGGTCTCACCACCGACCAAAGCCGCGTTGGTGAAGCAGGCTTCGCCTGTGGAAAGTATTTAAATGGAAATGTGAACCGTCATCCAGTCGTTCTCACGTCGTCCCACAGTAGTTGCCTTAATAGCCTTGGTAAAATTGCTATTTACTATTTTTTCTAAATTTCATATCTATAGAAAATAATCAACTTGGTGAACTAGTAACTCTAACTCTTTCAAATGACGGACAGGATGAGCATACAACGACAATATACCGGAAAGCTCCTCCTCCCCGATGCTCCACTGTTTGACGCCCGTGTTGGCCGCAACCTGAATCCCGACAAAAACCGACATTTTTCACTTTGACTTTTTGGTGGTTCAAGGAAATTCTGACAATTATGCTTTCGAATAACAATTCAAACTTTTTGCAACAAATCGTAGGCAGGTGCGTCGAGGATTTCTTGAACTTCTATAAAACAACCACGGGTAAGTAGCGCTGTAATAAATCTTCTAGAACTTTCTACGGTTACTCTCTTCAGGAGTCTTAATCTACTTCTTAAACAAACGAACTTACACCTGCAATACAGCAACGTCGAGTGAGTGAGAGTCAGGTCGTGCGTAAGAACTTATCTACCACAACAAAATTCCACATTCAATTCTACTTCTTGTGCGCCGGCGCCGCCTTGATCTTGATAATGATCTCGATTTGCATTTGTTGCAGCGGCAAGTGATCTCTTAGATTTTCCAAGCGACTGATCTGCGGTAAAGCCAGATGCTGATCGTGATTTATCAAGCTCTGATCGAGAAGGCAGTCGATCTCAAGATCGATTTTTTTCGGTCTGGATCAGTTCTCAGGCGACACATGACCATGGCGGGTCTGGGTCGTCGATCATGCAGATCTAGTTCAGTATCTGTACTATACCTGAAATGGCTAGTACACCGATTGAGAACGTGAACGACTAGGACTAGCAATGCGCTGTGATGCGATTTTCTGCAGATCCAAATGCAATGACAATGTAGTTCTTCCACTTTCTTGTTCTATATACGGGAATCCGCATACGTCTTTATGCAAGACACAGTGTGCTGCACGTATTGGTATTGCAAACTGGAAAGTTTTGTGCTATCTTCCTCTTCAACTTTATTTCGAAATCGCCAGACGCTGACCGTGATTCCAAGTTGCAACTACACCAGTTGCCGCGAAAGGGTAAAATTATAAGCTGGTTTCGAAATTGCAGTCGAAGCAAAGAGAGTGAAATGAATCTTTCCGTACAACCAAGCGGGACAAGCTCAAGCTAAAGAGGACAGTTTCAAAGTCAGTAGATGTTCTTGAGTCAGGCTGCGAGCAATGTTCCGAGTCTACCTCGGCGTGCAGCGTAGTTTGGAAAATTGTATTTACACTTGGTTGTAAGTTCACAAAAACAGGCGCTAGCCGTGGCAATAGCATTCCAAGTACCTACAAGGTTTCAGTTTCACGACAAGAATAAAGATCTAGAAGTGGCACTCTTCTTCTTTTACTTTTCTGTGTGTCCTTCGTCCAGCTGCGGTCAGTCCTCTTTCGTCCCGGTAGCTCTGTTCCACAGAGCCGCGACCACCGAGGAGACGAAGTTCATTGCTAATTCGGAAGGATGGTGCTGCGCATCTTCAGCTGCATCTACCAGCGCGCCCGCCTCGTCTGGTGGCACAGCCATGACGAGCCCTGCATTTGCATTGGTACTCATCACTGCAGCTGAATTCCCAGAACTTCTACCTATCCCCATTATCCCGCCACCGCTTTTGCTCATGAACGCCAGCGACCGTCTATCCCTTTCCTGCGGTTCTTCCTCCCCCTCCTTGTCGCCGCCGATGGCAAATCGGAAGATGAGGAATGTCACCGGAATTCCGACCCAGGTACTGCAGGCGATGATTTTGCCGTTTGTCGTCGCCAAGTTTGGGGTGCAATTCCGTCTGCCGCATGAGTCCTGGACGCACACACAGCTGCGCGGATCGTTCTCGTTGCTGTAGCAGCAGTCGGCTTTGGGAACCTCGTCGTACCCTTTGTAGTTCCCCTGCTGCTGCGAATGATTATGCGAGGACCCGGCGACCGGTGCGCCGACCATGTTCCCGCGCGGATTCCCGTACTCCTGGGCGTAGTTGGTTTTGTATTGGTTATGGTTTTCATGCGCAGCACCACCGTAGCTGCCACGCGGGCTTCGTGCAGGTTGTTGACTAGTAGAAGTACTGCCGCGGGGGCTAGGACTCGTCCTGTTGCGGTCGCCGCCACGCGGGCTGCTGCGCGGACTTTTGCGAGGACCCTGACTCGGCCGGTCCACGCTCAAACGGTTGCCTGCGGATGTTGACATTATCGTTTACCGTTTATGTTCGAAAAAAAGAAGCTGGCAACACCTTTATTTAACTATAGTATTTGCGGCATTGACATAATCCTCGTAGTTCCTGATGCTAGTTCAACATGCAACTTCGACTCAACCACCTTGTGGTCTACATCCAGAACGGGTCCGGGTTTGCAGTGAAACCGAGCTGCTTCTGACACTCCAACTTGTGAGTTTAACTTTCTGACTTGCTGTTCTTGTTACGATTTTCAATACGAAAATCTGATCTCAACATTTTCTTGTACGCTCAGTCCAGTGTAGTTGTAACTCGGAGTCGCTCGCTTTCCCTCAGAAGTTACAGCATGCAACCACACAAAGTTCCAAACGCAAACACTATCACTACGTCGTCATTATCACCGTATACGTGTCGTGCGTCGACATAGAAGTAAAAGTATAGGTGGAAAGGTGGACAATTTGTTTTTGTACTTATGCGCGCCTCGTCCTCGACATCCCGCGTCGACCTTGCGCAGAGGGATCATTTGCGACTTGTGCACTGCAGCAATGAAAAATAAAAAAAATGTCCCTTTCATCACACATGATCCGCGATGCAAATTGTCTTGATGTTTTGAAACTCCAAGACGCCGTGCGGTCCGCACTCCCTACCCAGCCCGCTGTTTCTCACGCCACCGAACGGCAGGCTGGCGTCTGATTTCACAAACGCGTTGACCCAGCACATTCCGGTCGACAACGCTTCCCCCGCGAGCGCCTCCGCGTGCTTCTCGTTCTTGCTGAACACGGCGCCGCCCAGGCCAAAACTTGTCTGATTGTGCATTTGAATAGCTTGTTGCTCACTCTCCGCGGCAGTGAGGATAGAGAACACGGGACCGAAGATTTCCGTGTCAAAATGCGCGGGCACGTTTGTGAGAACGATCGGGTCGGCGAAAGACGCAGAAATACCAACTCCTTCCGTAGAAGTGGTACTGTCGACCACCCCACCCACCGGGTAAATGCAGTTCGCGCCGTGTTTTTCCACCGCTTCTTTCACCTGCAGTGCGACGCCTTCTTTTGCTTTGCTGTGGACCATGACCCGTGCGGTCGTGGAAACCTCGGAGAGCTTCTGGACAAGTTTCTCCTCGACCTGCTTCTTCACGGTCTCTCCCTCACAGATGATCCGTTTGGGCCCGATGCAGCTTTGACCGTTGTTTACCAGTCTACCGGCGACGATCTGGTCCACAGCACAGTCGATGTCCGCGTCTTTCAATAAAACGTACCCATCGTTCCCGCCCAACTCCACCACGCATTTCTTCAACAGCGCACCCGCCTGCATCGCGACCGAGCGCCCCGCGCGCTCGCTGCCAGTAAGGCTGACGCCACGGACAACGGGGTGGGACAAAATGTCGGTGGTCTTCGCTGCTTGGACGCGGATATCCTGTGCAAAAGTATCGTACTCGTATAAATGCAAGTCTTGCATTTACAAATCTTGTTCGCAAGGCAAATCTGCATTGCAGATCTTATTTCTCACGCTGAGGAAATTTGTAATGCATTTATACGAGTACGATACTTTTGCAATTCATAGCGGAGGGCACGGAAAATACAGGGGACTGTGAGGTGTTGTGAAAAGGGGTTTTTAAGTCGCTTTTGTAAGTTTATTTAGGTGTACGTACTACAAACTCAACATGCTTTACCACTTCAAGAAACAAACCTTCAATTATACCTTGCCTTCCTTCCTCTCCAAACACCCGCTCGGCCGCTTTCGCGAATATTTCTTCACATTTCAATGCCGATCCAAGCACGTTCGGTGCGTGCTTCAAAACCACCGTGTTGCCGCCGACCAAAACGGGGATCGCCATGCGAATGACCTGCCAGACGGGGAAGTTCCAGGGCATCACGGACAAAATCACGCCCAGGGGCTCGTAAACGTAGTAGCTTTTCTTCACGCCCGGGATTGTCGGTTTGATATCACTTGCTGCGTCTGCGGTGATGACCGGCTGGAGGAACGCCTCTGCGTTGTTTGCGTAATACAGGCATAAACCGGCCGACTTCCTCACTTCCGCCTCCGCTTCCGGCATGGCTTTCCCCATCTCGTTGTGGATTAGGGTCGCCAAGGCAGTCTGCTCTTCCAGTAAGATTTGCCCCACCTGCTCCGCGAGCTTGCACCGGAGGGGAAGCGTTTCGAAGGAGCTCCAGCTTTTTGCTTTATTTGACGGAAGAGCCGAAGTAGCAAACGGCTTTGCGAGTTCCGTCAAAACCTGGTCCACTTCCCCGTCGGTCATTTCCGCGAAGCTTTGCAATACCTCGCCGGACCGCGGGTTTCGGGATTCTAGCACTTCCTCCGGCGGAGGCTGGGCCAGGGATTGCACCAGCTCCAACGCGTTCGAAAATTTCGGCATGGGGGACGTCCTGAGGAGAGAGCTTTTCAGTCGAGTCGTCGTGAAAAACGTTCTGGCTCTGACCGGCCCCCGCTTCGGATTCTGTAGTAAAGCTGGCGTCGAACAACAATCAACGGGTTTCGTCGTGTGTGACGAAAAGCAAAATGCCTTATTGCGGCGCACCAGGCGACAAACCGGCTTCATGTCAATGTTAGCATTTTCTGATGTTACCAGAGCAAAAGCGATTCGAAAATTCAAATATCAAATAGATGGATCGGTTCGTCATACTGGTAGATAGTATGGCACGCTCTCTGGTGCTCCTCTCCTATCACGGGACCTGAAATACATAGCAATCGAACCGGAAAAAGAACTCAAAGTTGCCTCCCTCTCCATGCGGAGGGAACCTGATTTTTGATCTTTATCGAGAACTACCACGATGTCACAACATGCATCTCACCTGGACACCTCAATGACAATGTGCTCCAGTGTATCTAAGTTTCTGTTCGACAAAAATGTCGCGCAGCTGCAGTATGTTCGACTTTGCTGGAAAATACAACATATTTACTCGCTCAAGCTGTTCTGCGGTTTCTTTCTTCACGGCCGCGCAATTACGGAAAAATCATCTGTTTGCATTCCCCCAGGGAAACGAGATGAAACTGTCCGTGCTAGTGCATTTGCTCCTTCGTAGTAGCTGCTGCCATATCGGTATAATTACCCGCAGCGTTGCCCGGAGGACCTCCGCCTAGAACACCGTGGTTCTCCACATGTTGTCCTCGTCCATTCTCCGCTGTTATCGTGATTTCCCCGTCCTCTGAAATCAACGCTCCTTTCGTCTCCCTCGGCAGCAGCATGAACACCGTTGTCGCAATGAAGATCATTAAGCCGCAGACGATCCCGATAAACCCGTCAAAGGATTTTTTCCCTCCCTTCCCGTTCGCGGACTCTTCGTGTAAGTAAGACGTTTAAGGAACCGGGCAACTCCACACTATGACTATCTTCAGTTTTTCTTTTGATCGTCACGAAATATACACACCCAGTGATCTCATGGAGGCGGATCTTCGTCAGCGTGCTACAACAACGCGCCAAGGCACCTCTACATATCATATCGTTATCGAGGTACTAGGGAATTATAAACTAGCAACATGTAGTTGACACGAGGCTCGATGCTCCTTGTCTTCATTGCCTTCCTGTAGCTCATAGTCATACGGCTTCTTCATCATTTTGAATGGCGAAGGCGATGAAGGCGATTGCTTGAGCTTCTTGTTGATTCCGGAAAATATAATGTTGAATGTGAGTCAATGCGTTTGTGTTCCGAAAGTGAATCCATCAAGTGAAGGAGCGCGGAGGTAAATATTTATACGGCACGGAGGTAAATATACGGAAAAAGTTTCAACAAAAAGAGCCTTCTCAAGCAACTGCGTTCACTGCTCCTTTGTCGTAACTCCAGCGTTGCTTGCTCCATTGACACCCGCCAGGGTATTCGTGCCACCGCTGGTTAGGGTTACGTCATCCCCGTGATCCACTAAATGTGTCATCGTGATTTCCCCGTTCTCGGAAATCAGCGCTCCTTTCGTTTCCCTTGGTAGCAGCATGAACACCGTTGTCGCAATGAAGATCATTAAGCCGCTATCCAAGAAAAAAACGTTGTTAGTGTAAATTTGTGATGCGGAACATGCAAGATGATTGCGTCTGTCATGCTTGGCATGCATTGTAGGGTCCACTAGCGGGCGTTTTCGATTAGTATCTCTATCTGCGCATGACAGGTTTTTGCTGTCATGCCAGACAGATTTGTAATGCTGTTCCTCCAAAAAAGTTACACCTACAATGTTTTTTTCTTGGATAGCCGCAGACGATCCCGATAAACCCGTCAAACGACTTCCCTCCCTTCCCGTTCGCGGACTCTTCGTGCAAAGTTGCGTTTTTAAAAGTACTAGAATTTTTTTTTTAATGTTTGCATGGCACGTCGGCAACTAGCTAATATATTAGACTAGACAGAGTTAGCTAATTATACTAGATGGAGTTTTGCATGCATAGCAAGGTGTCCAATTCAGAGGTAGTAAAGTCGTCTTCCACGAAGGGGGGCTGGTCCACGGATCTGTCCGCAACGCTATCGGTACGTCGTGGCGAGCGCGGACATGTTTCTGGTTGCGCGCGCAGTCATCTACTCCGGTTGAAACAGTAGAGCGACCATCTCATGATGTTCAGCGTCTAGTACGAGTCTGCGAATGACTTCGCAATACGCAAGTGCGGAGACCACCTGTTGTGGACCGCAGCGAAAAGAGCAACCGGCACGCAGGCCTTCCCCAACACGAGGCCCCCCAAAGGGGCTTCGAAGTGGCCGGCAATATGGCCTACGAAACACCCCCCCCCAAAAAATCGCCAATCCCGATGTAACTACCCCTCCCGAAGAGGCCGATCAGTTGGCATCTGCGGAGGGGTGCAAACTCGGGCGAAGTTTCAAAATAGATTCGCAGAGGTTTTTTCCCCATGTGCGACAGCTAATGCGCCGTCGCAGTGTAGGTAGCGCCATCGTGCGCCAGAGTCAAGATCTGGCTGGATGTTCGGAACCAGGTATCGGAGGTTGGTAAGCTCCCCGCGGTTTTCGTCGTTTTGGGACCGTACACCTAGCCACAGCTCCGAGTAGAAGACCCTCAGCAAGGCTTGGCGACGGGACCGCCCTGGACAGATCCGTAGACCAGAGCCTCGAAGAGTACCAGCCTACTTACCTCTCGGCGCCGACGTGCTTTTGCACTTTTTCGCGCTGAACTTCTCATGCATATTTAGAATTAGCTAGTTTTATTAGCTAGGCTTGAGCACTGAAGCGCTTGCAAAAAAAAAATTCTAGTACTTTTCAAAAAGCAACTTTGCGCGCGCCATAGGATTTCCCTCCCTTCCCGTTCGCGGACTCTTCGTGTAATACCTCAAATACCACCGGCGCGGAAATGCTCCCGGCTCGCCCCACCGCGGTACACAGCCCCACGGCGGAATTCCGAATCGCTACCGGGAAGGATTCCGCGGTGAGAACGACGGTCAATAGGAAAAATCCCAGCGCGGAGCACTTGAGCAGGTAGGCGCACAGGATATGCACCCCCTGCGGCGCGCCGGTGCCGTCCAGCATCAGAATGGAGCTTGCGGCGCTGGTGATTGCGAAAATTTGCAGGCTCGCACGGTGCCCGATCGTGGGGTGTCTTGTCAGGTAAAACGCGGCAAGGATCCCGGGCAGACCGAGAATGGACATGAAGAAAAGCTCCGCGGCCGTGGACATAAAGCTGCTGACGGATGCGAAAAACTGCGGGAACACGTAGGACAGGCCGAACACACTGAAATCTTTCGTGAAGTGGCAAACGAAGAGGAAGAGCGTCGTGCCGAAAAACGCAGGCTGGCCAAGGATCTAGTATGGTATGATTTGATGATGTCGTAGAGATGCTTTCAGCTGGGTGACCCAATGCTGAGCCAATCGCCTACGCCTACACTTCAAAATTGCACGAAGTCACTAGAGCATGTGCATGATTATGAGCAGCATCATTATCAAACACATGCATGATGATCATATTGTGCTAGGAAAAAACAACATTTACCCGAAACGTGTTGGCCCACGACGCGTACTTCGGCGCCGGACTTTCGTGTTCACCGAGATCGTCCGCTGGGGATCCCAGTTCGTCGTCGTCGATCAAGGCTTTCAACTTCATTCGCATCTGATCGGACACGTTTTCAATCCCGTTTCGCCACGCGATCCGGTCCAGGGTCCGCTGTAAAACTCTGTGTTTGCGTTTGGACAGAAGGTAGTGCGGTGATTCCTCCAAATACAGCAAAGCGAGCACGAAGAAGCAAAACGCGGGAATTGCGGAGTACTCGCACAGCATCCGCCAACTGCAGTCCTCTTTCGCCACGACGAGGTTGTAAATTTTCTCTTCCTGCTCTTGGAGGCTGGTGGCGGTCGTGAACGCGTTTGCGTACGTGTTGCTGCTGTGCCGCGCGACGGCGGAGACAAGGTTTTTATCATCACCTGAAGTGCCTGAAGCTGTTGGGTGCCGCAGCTGCACAGACGGATTTGCGATCCCGTCCATGAGGAAGGAAATGTGGTTCGGGTCTTCATCAAACATGCCGGCGTTCAGCCGACTGCTAGAAGAAGTACTGCTCAACATCGGAAGAAGATTCTGGTTCGCAGCTGCTGCTGCAGTTGATGTAGTTGTAGTTCCTATCGCGGCAATGCCAGCAACGCGAGACCCGCCTAGTGGCGGAACCAAGTCGGCCAGGAAGGAGACGGCTTTTGCAAGGGGGGAAGTGAAGATGGAAGGTGAAGACGAAGAGTGATCCAATGTTGATGAGCTGCTACTTGTCCTCCTCGACGCCCCGCCTCCATAAAGAGAAGCAGCAGTCGTGATGTCTTCTGCACTCAAAGGATTCTGCGGAAAGTGCGGGAGTGCTGGTGGTTCTTTTTTGGCCTGTTGTAGTTCGTGTACTATCCGCTGTGTAGTAGATTTGGCATGCACTTCTGCATGTAGTTGTGTCCCTCCATCCTGCTCTTCCCCGTCAACCTGCAAGAAGCTGGTGGCATCGCTACTGATTTTCGATGACGAAGAGGAGGATGTCGCCGGTGACGACTTCGAAGACGACCTCGCCGGAAGAATTTCAATTCGTTTGTTATTTGCGGGCATCGTCGGTCGTGAATATTTGTCGCTGGGAAGATTACGCGCCGGCGGTGTGCCACCCCCACCACCCGAGGTGGACGAAGGCAAGTGATGTTTCTCGAAGGATGGAGGTGAGTCGAAACGACCAACATGCGGGCTCGAAGTCCTCCTGCTCCTGCTCCACGGCTGCTCACCGGCCGGATGTGCGCTTTCATCTACGACCGTGGCTTGAATACTAGCATCATTATCCTGGCTGGTGGTTTTAATCTTATCCCTCCTGACCAGCAGCTTCGCGATGTCTTCTGGAGTGTCGTTCTTCCCGAAAATATCACAGTATTTCTGGGACTGGTTCAAATTCGGGTCGATGAGCCAGACCCCGATACTGGCGAACAGCTCCCCTATATCCAAGAAAAAAACTGTGTTAGTGTAACTTTCTTTGGTTGACAGCATTACAAATTTGCTCTACATGACAGAGAAAACCTGTCATGCGTGGCTTGTAAGGGAAAACACATAGGAAAAGAGGACTTCATGGCTGTCTGGCATGACACGTGTAACTCTGTTGCATGTTCTGCATTACAGAGTTACACTTACACAGTTTTTTTCCTGCATACCCTAGGGGCATGACCCCGATCATCAGTGTGTTCGCTCCGGACCGTATCTTCATCGGACAAACCTCCGGGATCATCGTGTAGACGGAAGGGATATGCACTGCAAATACGTCTGGGTCTGGGAACTTGTGATGCTGGATGGCGTACCATGAGCAGGCCACAAGTGCTGGCTCAGCATGACAAGTTTCTGAGCTTCTAGCACTAGCAGGTGTTGCCTACTCTGCGTGACAGCCTGCGTTTCTGCATAGCAGAAAAATGGGGCTCTTGGGTAAACGTGCTTGACAGATTTAAGAGTCATGCCAGACAAGCATGACAAACATGCGCTCTACTCTTCCAGACCCGGACATTTTGGCAGTGAATAAGGGAACCCAATCCCGCAGCCGACGCCAACGAGGAAGCGCAGGAAAATCATGCTGGTGGCATTCACAGCGTACGCCGTGGCCAACCCGAAAATCCCGATCATGAGGTAGGACAGGAGAATGCTCCGTCTGCGCCCGTATCTATCTCCGATGGTGCCGCTGAGGAGATTTCCGACGCAGAAGCCCACGAAGACGATGGAGACCATGGTACCGCGGAGAATCGGCGTGAGATCCCAATGACCGTGGAGCAAAGTCGTGATGGAGCCCATGACCTGTGAAGTTTCGTTGCCGTGGTTGGTGTCAGTAAGGATGATCTTGTGTTGCATACTACTGTACGCGCGTGTCGTGTGCTTATGGGTTTTGCTCCGCACGACAAATAAATCAAGCTCCGATGCTTGCAAGTCCAATTCATGCACCATCATGATGTTGATTGTATACCAGCATCTCGCTGCCTTCCGCAAACATGATTCCGCCACACAAGACGATCATGAGAATCTGCGAAGTCCCGAACCCAAGACGGTCGATTTCCGTCTGTAGCTCGGCTGGCGTGATGTCGGGCGGGGGAGGCATTTTTGTTAGTTATGGTTTTCTACGTTTACTAGATACGAAAGCTCAATGGCGCGAAGTCAAAGCTGTAAGTTCCGGCCCAACCCGTCGCCTGCTGGAGGTGGCAACTTTCTCCGTGACGAGTAGCAGCTGGAGAGCAGTGCATTTCTCGCGTACTTGTTCTAGTTCTAAGGTCGCACCTCGACCTCCCGCCACTGGCACCTCTCATAACCTCATTGCTCATCCTCGAGAAAATTCATCTTCCCACTCTCCCATGCCATCCCAAAGGCTGTGAAAGCGTCGTTTTTTACACCCTCACACGGGAACGATTTTGAGACATCAATACCTTTAAGCGGCGATGCACCACTCCGTACACGTACTAGTTCATCTTTATAGAGATTCCTTATAAGCAGCGATGCGCACACGCACCCCCGGCGCTCCTCGCGATAGAATCCACCGCCGCCCTACCAATAGATGCAGAGATTGCAGCCCTCGGTGTAGCTAGAACAGTCGCACGAAAGGACCTCTATCTCGGTCTCCTTGCCGGAGAACCACCGGCCCGTGTGCAGGGGAGTATGCGCAGGACCAAAAGTGAATCCATTTCTTCCCTCTGCCGTCTACAACAAGATGAAGAAGCTGTAAGGCAGAGATTGAGATACAGGAGCCAATGGCTCTGTTGGAAAAGTTTGCGGACAGACATGATGAAGATACAACACGTTGTGAAGATTAGTAGTTTTCTTGACGCAAACAGAACCTTAAACTTTTTTGCAGAAAGTCGAAAACTGTTGAAAACCAAAATTTTATTCCCCATGGTGTACCAGAAATGTGATTGGAAGGCATTTTTGACGTGGTTTCGCAGAAGAAAAACTAAGTCGCTCGGAACAAGTAAACAAGGAGCACCAGCTGCTGTAAAAATCGCAACAAGGCGGCGAAGCCTCGCAAGTTTACTATACGTATACCGGCTAGTACCACAAACTAGGCGGGGCCGAAGTAGGACGAATCGAAACACAACGAGAAGCACTAGTGCAGTCTCCGTTTGCCTCCTCTCGCTTTCCTCGGCTCCGTGCAGCTGAAAACCTTCTGCAGATGCGAGGCCAAGCTTGCCAGAACTGTGGTCGGGTGCGACGCCGCACCAGCTGTTGTAATCGCGACACGGCGGCGAACAAGTCTCGCAAGTGTATACCGGCTGGTACCACCAACTAGGCGGGTCCAAAGTACTAGGATGAATCGAAACACAACGAGATGAACCACTAGTGCAATCTCCGTTTGCCTCCTCGCGCTTTCCTCGGTTCCGTGCAGCTGAAAACCTTCTGCAAATGTGAGGCCAAGTATCCATAGTAAATTTCCTGTACATGTACAAATCACCACTGTTTGTCATGCAAAATTGAAAAGAAACGCGGCTTCGAAAAAAAAAAAGTTGCAGCTTTCTCGGGTGCTGCCGACTGAATATATCTACCCGGCATGGTATTGCTAGTGAGATCCGGACGCACGGTGCCATCCCTCTCCAACCAACCCTCTCCGACCAGCCCTCTCCGACCATCCCTCTCCAACCAGCCCGCATTTGAAAACACAACGCCGCAGGCCCATCCGTCTTGCCGTATGTCGCAGCCAGGTGGCGCGGGGACATGGAGGCAGCAATCTGGGCGAAGACAATCGGCCCAGTAGCGGCCCCGGCTTTGAAATATTTACGGGCCGCGCCGTACGAGAGCTAGCAGGCCGCTCCGAAGCCGGAGGCCCCTGATGTGGTTCGGATGGATTTACTCAGACGCCCGCGATGGATTTGCGGCGTGTGGTTCCACTTTTAACGCCCGGAAAGACGAAGAAGGGAAAAGTATGGGCCTGAAGGTGGGAACTGCTGTGATGTGTAATCGCGCCAAAAGCGTCGGGCTTGGCTGTTCGGGCGCGATCGCCTCCTTTTGGGAAAACACACAACACCGCCCGGAAGTGCGGCCCATGGCGGTCGGTGCATGGATCTCGCGCGGAACCTGGCAGCGTCTTTAGCTAGCTAAATTGGCTACAGGCACCACCAGCATAGGACATTTACTGCCATCCCGGCTGCATGTGCGTGCTTTTTGTGTGCGTATCGTCATGCATGGTTTGAAATTTTTTGAAATGCAATTTTTTTGCGTCATTTTTTAAAGGCAGAAAAGCAGGCGAATTGTACATGTACAGGAAATTTACTATGGATACCAAGCTTGCCAGAACTGTGGTCGGGTGCGACGCCGCACTGCTTAGAGCTTTAACACGCGTTAGCATGAGACGTGGCGAATCTCTAGTGAATTTTGCATGACAAATAGCAGAGGAGACTGCCGGGACATTGTCCCTCTCGCCCTTCTGGGAAGAGCGTTCTGCACACCGCAGAACTCGCCGGCTATGCGGCAGGCAGCTGGACATGGCCTGGGCGTCGTTCTTTGGCCATGTCTTTTCGTCTTCCTGTGCTTGCAAAAGAGCAGGCACTGCAGCAGCCGTGGCAAAGACGCGAAAAACAAGAGCCGCGAAGCACATACAGTTTAGGCAAGATGAAGGCGCGAGAGCAAGGGTGAAAGGACCAGGCCGAGAGCTTTGACGCGTCTATCCGGCAGGTGCGTGAACTCTCCAGGCCTTTTCGGCAGAATATAGACGGGCTGAGGGCAGCAGAGGGCGCCTGTCTTTCCCCCCCGGCCCCACTTCCCAGGGCCTACCTGTGCACTTTTTTGAGCACTTTTCTGCGCTAAAGTTTGTTTATCACGGTCGAAAATGGGCGCCCGGTGAGTTTTGGGGTGAATTTTGAAAAAGCCGTGGGTGAATTTTGGCCCAAGGTGCCTATTCAAAATTCGCTAACGCACGAGAAACTCCGGGTTTTGGTGCTTCAAAAAAGTTTCGCCAAAACAAAAAGCCCCAAAATTCACCAAGAAGACTCCTGACCTGGGGGTCACGTCAACGCGTCTCCAGATGTTCAGGCCGAGACAGCAACGACCCGTGACGCGACTTCTCTATTTTGAGATATTGAGCCACTGCCCCTGCCCCCCTTTCCAGGCATGGCCCTCCCTATCGATCCGCCACCATCGAGTCTGTGGACCAACATGGAGTATTGTGCTGTAATACCGGCGCCACAAGCCACCTGTGTTGCTTCGCAGTCCACCAGGTGCGCCTCTTTGGGCAACAAGCGGCAAGCGTCCACAGGAGGGCAGCGTCACCAGCCAAGCAGCCCATCAACACGGCGCGCTGGCTGCTTGTTTTCCACGTGTTCTTCGCATGCACGTGATTAGCTCATGCATTGCCACGCAATACAAATTCACTGCAGATTCACCCTTCTGTATGCTAACGCCCGTCCAAGGCATAAGCTTGCCAGAACTGTGGTCGGGTGCGACGCCGCACCAGCTGTTGTAATCGCGACACGGCGGCGAACAAGTCTCGCAAGTGTATACCGGCTGGTACCACCAACTAGGCGGGTCCAAAGTACTAGGATGAATCGAAACACAACGAGATGAACCACTAGTGCAATCTCCGTTTGCCTCCTCGCGCTTTCCTCGGTTCCGTGCAGCTGAAAACCTTCTGCAAATGTGAGGCCAAGCTTGCCTACCAAGGGGAAAAACACAGGAAAGGGGAAAATTTCAAAATTTTGCCATGCCTCATTTTTGAAAGAGGTGAGAACCAAACGCATGCGCATGGCGTTGGTGATTTGCGCCGGAATCACAAACGCCGGGCCGAAAAACCGCTCGCGGCGTATCAAAAGACACACTACGCAGAAGGCCTGCCCCCGGGCCTGTCTACAATTTGAAAACGCAGGCGCTCCGTTTTAACATCACTGCCGGGCCCCAGGCGGCGCCATTGTCGCGCCCAAATCGGCCGAAATCGGCCGCGTTGTCGCGTTGGGCGCTCAAATCGGCCCAAAACTGCCGGGTTTTCGGCCCAAATCGGCCGCGCCATTGTCGCGTCCGGGGTTGCCCTCATTTCTGGGCATTCCTGTGGATTTGTAACCCGACCTATGTCCCCCAGATTTGGCCAAAAAGAGGCCTCGCTTTTGGGCTCTTTTTGATGGCCCCTGCCTCGGGCGGGTTCGTGTTCGGCAGAAAAGCAGGCGCCCGACTTCCGGTACGAACGCGGCGAGCAAAAATTGGGGCGCAAAAATATTGGCGACGATGTGCCGATCTTGCGGAGAGTGGATGGCTGCGCTTTGCTGGAACTCAACAGGCAGAAGCGCCGCCGCTAGGAGATCGCGCCGGGCCATCGGACAGGTGGGCCCGGCCATCCCTGTGCCATTAGATTTCGGAATGGGGCTGCCTTTGCAAGATACAAAAATTTTGAATTTTTCCCCTTTCCTGTGTTTTTCCACTTGGTATTGCCAGAACTGTGGTCGGGTGCGACGCCGCACTGCTGTCGGCCGCAGTTTGGCACCCATTGCCTTTTCCCTCGCGGGACGCTAGTGACTCCAAGTTGTACTGCTGCAACATTGCACGCGCTTCCTCGTACAGCCCGCATACCTCGTAGGACCACTCCCGAAATTTCCTATGGTCGTCAGGACTGTCTGGAAGATACGTGGCCTCTATTCTGTAATACATTTGATTGTACTAGTTTCCGAGCCATTTTCTAGTGAAGAACCGGAAAAAGTGGATTGAGATACTCACAGTAACACAAACAAAAGCATAGACATACTATGAATGTTCTCATCTCGTCTCACAGTCAATTACATTTCCATCTCAATTGATACATCTCCCACGACGGAAGAAGAACCAAATGGGCAAAAAATTAATAATAATACCTCTGCAAAGTGAGATCCATGATTTCGCACTGTTCTTGCAAGTCCAGCGTGATCCGGCCGTAGCCCTTCTGCGCTTGCGCATCCGCTTGCTCCAGCTCCTCGGCGACTGCGTTTAGCTCCGTGCGGATTCTTATGAACTGCAAAATTATCGTACTCGTAGTATTTTTGCAACACAAATTACCTCAGCATGACAAAGAGAATTTGTCATGCTGATTTAGCTAGAAAATGAAATTTGTCTTGCATGACTGCGATTAGTAGGAGTCCGATGCTTTTGCACAGGATAATTCTGGAAAGGGTCAAGAGAAACCTTGGAATTACGTCCTGACCCATATGAAAGCCTCAGGTCGAAAATCCTCAAAGTGAACATAGTTTGTAATGCAAAAAACCACTCCAGTTGAAGTGCCACTTCTAGGAGGCGCATGACAAATTTCCCGGGCACTCAAAGCATGTCTGTCATGCTGGCTAACGCAAAGGGGTGCCCTTCTCTCGTGCTAATCAGCACTCCAATTCTTCACCCGTAGAAGGGCGGCAATAGTTGGCCTCCATTGCGTCCTCTGCGATACAGTCTTTTTTGCGTCGCATTTCATGCATCACAAATTATTTCCAATTCCACTTTGAGGATTTCCATTCTGAGGCTTTCATAACCCAGCGCTCTTCGGACGTCGTCCAGATCGTCGCATTTCTGCAAAAGGGTGACGCGGGATTCAGCGCTAAAGATCTCCAGCATTGAACAAGAAAGGCGGTACTTATTAGAGAGGAGTGGCCCAGCACTTTGTTGAGGCAGCAGCGGCGCGGTCCTGCTTCGAAGGAGCCAAACCAAGGACGACCGCAAAAACAAAGTCGGTGTCGGTGAAGGCACAAAAGCTACACAAAAATAACGAGGAGAAGCAATACTAGAACTACGCTGAAGCAAACGTAGCACAAACGCTAGGCCTAGGGTGGAAATACCTCAAAATAATATGAGACCGAAGTCACACTCACATATTCATCCCCCAGCACGCTCGCATGATGTGATGTTCCAGAAGATTTAAGTTTATGACGCGAATCAGAAAGTGGCACTCAGTTACTTATGGAAAGAGAGCGGTAAGATTGGTTTGCTTCGTAGGCACAACTCGTAACTCAGGCACAGGTAGAGGTAATTCATTTTCATTTTGGTATCGCTCGTTCGCTGAGTGCGCCGCTCACAGTTCGGTCCGGCATTTCCACTCCTCCATCTCACTTGTAAATCGTGTTATCTACTCTTCTGGGGAGCTTCAGTGGAGAGCGGCGCAAAATGCACACGTAACGGTAACACTAGCGTAGGTATTCATCAATTGCTGGTCGGATGTCAAGTCATCAACATGGCATCGCTCTTGCACCTGATGGTTTCGGGTCCGACATTTCATTCTAAACATCATACACTAAGACTAACATGCGACGGAAGTAGAGGAATACAAGTTCAAGCTGCTTGTAAAAATTTCGTTGACTATCAACATCAGGACTACTTCTAGAATACGATCTTATACCGCTAGCTACCAATAGAACAAGAACTGTGATAGGGTGAGTTTGAAGATATGAAATTGTACATACTCGTGTTTCAGGTCTGTGAAGGATCAATAACAATAAGCACGGCATACTCTATGGCTCTACTAAACTTGTCGTGTGCAGCGCTAGAGCTTGTTTTCTAGCTAGACTTTTTCTGTATCGGAAGGTCTCTTCTTGCTGTGTCTTAATCAACGGTGTGTTAGCTACAAAGCACATGCGTTGTGATTTTCTCTTCGTTCTTAATCCTATTTGATGAATCTATCGAAAGCCAAAGCATAAATAAGTAGAAAGTTGGATATTCCATAGTTGAGTCAGGAAAAGCTTGCTGTAAACGTGTATACGCTCCTCATAGTTCACTAGACTTGAAATCGTAATAAACGGATCAGTCTTGGCCTTGATTTTGCATCGCGACTCAAGTTGCTGGGCCCGTCTCACTTCTGTTTTTTTTTCTTTTTAGCCTAACGCTAGCAACACTTTCTACTAGTATTTAATATTCAGTTTCTTTCGAGAATGATTCGTGGATCACTTTCGATTCCATCATTTGAAAGGCATCACGCCTCTTCGGTAATATGGTTTTCGTCTTCTTACTGTTAGTTTTCGATATAATCAAGGTGTCGAGCAGGTGTAGTCGTGATTTTCTCGCGGCTTTCTCCCGACAGAAAACCTCTGCCCGCACGATCTACTTCTGCCCCTCCCCTCCAATCTGCCTTAAGAACATCCTTTCACATCTTTCCTCCGCGGTTTCGTCGGTCGAAAACCACGGCAGTTTGTTAGATAAATCCGTGGTTGGCCCCAATCTTCGCCGCATTTTGTTGAACTTTTCCCGGCTCCGCTGCTGCGACTCCCAGCGCCGCTGCTGCGCAGACACCGGCTCCAGGTACATGTCATCACCCAGTTGCGCCACGGCGGAGAGAGAGCCGGTGCTCGCTGATCCCCCTTGAGCACTGCCTCGGTTTGTTCCGACGAGGGGTGACAGAAATTTTTTCACGGCTTTCTTCGTCAGCTTCGATGGTGCAGCTCCTGGGGATGAATAAGGGTTGTGGTGGTCCGAGTGCGTCGAGGGGTCGATGTTAGTGTTGTAATAATCGTCATCCGTTTCTGAAAGCGCAGCTAGGTTCTTGCTTTCGAGCAATTGGAGTTGCTGCAAGAGTCTGGGGTCGACTTCAATGTCCGGCTCCTTGTCATCACGTTGACCTTGTTGCCCCCGATGTGTAGAAGAAGTAGACGCTTGAAGATTGTTGTTTTCGTGATTCTGCCTTGTTAACATATGATCCTTTTCGTTTTCCTTCGAGCCTGACCGTGCGAGCGCCCTGTTCGACCCTGTTGGTATTGTGCCAGCAGTCTTGCTTTTGCTCTTCGTTCCACCACTACCTGCGCCGGAACTTGCTGGCGCTGTTCCGCATCGCGGCGCAGCCCATCGCCCGTTTTTGATTTTCGAGCCAATTCTCGCCATCGTAGAGGTAGAATCTGGCGTCTCGAGGCGCTGCGGCGAATAGGTCAGCAGAATAGCGCGGTCGGACTTAGACATACTCCTTGCAGCTGCACCAGTGCTAGTAACTGCCGCAGAAGTACCACCGCCAGCTGTGGACGATGTAGTGAGGGATGTGTTCATCGTGTTTGCAGGCTTTGAACTCGAAGAAGCTGTGCGGCTTTTCGACGCGGAAGTTTTTCGCTGACTTTCCTTGCTCGACCTGCCGCTACCGGTTTTATGCACACCGGGGTCGACGAGGACCGTCGTGACCACTTGGTCAGCAGTAGGCTGGAGTTGTTCTCCACCTGCTGCAGTCTTCTTGATGGCAGGGAGATGCTTGTTGTTTTCACTCCTTTCCCTGCGCAGCTCTTTCTGTGCTACAGGGTCTGTGACCTTCTCAACACCGCTTGCCGGAACAAATGCAGTAGATCCGGAAACACTATCCTTCTGCTCGTGCTTCTCTTCCTCCGCCCGCTCTGCCGCGACCGACGTCGTTATCCTTTTCGTGCTATGAGAGTGCACAACTCCCACTCCGCCTCCCCCGCATTTGTAAGCATGGCATGAAAAGCAAGACAAGCGATGGCAAAGAGAATAAACTTAAACATGCAGCATTTGCATGACATCAAATTCCCGACAGGCTCTAGTGTTGATTCGGCTTCCGGAAGAACCTTTCAACATTCAAACAGCGCTGAGAGCCAAAGGGCACGACATTCAGTATTTTGCACGACAAATGACGACGAGGGGGACCGACTAGGGGGGTAGTTTTCCCCTTTCGTACACGCCCAACAGCCCCAGACTGCTCGTTCCAAAGGAGTCTCTCCGGTAGGATTTCGGCAGCGACTTTGTCATCGCTACGGTAAACGCTTCCAATTCCTGGTCCTCGTCAGACCGTCCCCCAAACGTCTGCGCCAACGTCCGACCGAGCGCAGCGCCCACGTCCTCACTGCCCTGTTCGTCGGCTTCGGCTTCGTTTTGCTGCTCGTCTTCATCATCTCCACCAGCATGGTCTTGTTCTCCTCCACGCTCTCTTTTCCTTTTTACCGCGACTATCGCTGCCGGGTCGAGGTCCAGATCGTCGTCACCTACTTCGTCCTGTGCGTCTTTTAACTTCTTACCGCTCTTAACTTGATGGACTTCTTGTTCTTCCCAGGCCAAATCAGTACAAACGGTGTGCGTTGGCGCGAAGGAGACGGACGCGCGGCGGTCCATACCATCTGAGGAAACGCGGAGGGCTTGTAACATCGCATCGTCAAGCGTTTGCTCCATCTCCTGTTCTTCCGCTTTCGAGTTTTTCATTTTTTTCTGCTGCTCCACAACTCGATCGTGATGCTTTTGCTTCTCCTGCAAATACGCCGATCGATTGACCGCCCCAATCACTTGGTGCTTCGGACGCACCGCCGTTTTCGGTCCAAGGCCGGTGATCTGGCGTCTCGCTTTTCTCTGCCTGCCGTCTGATGTGTTTGAATTCGCCCCTTGAAGTAGACCACCGTCTTTATCCTTTTTCTTTTTTGACGGCGTGCTATCACTCGTGTGGTCCCGCCCGAGAGACTTGGCGAGCGCGCGCTGCACCGCTTCCGCCTGCAGTTCGTCCTTCCACAGCATTCGGGTCTATCCTGAGCAAAAATGTCCCCACCCCATAGTCAAGATGGGAAATCTGCTAGAGAAGTCAGCCAGTTTTGGTTATTACGCATTTTCAAGTTTGACCTCGTAGTGTAATCCTGCTTAGCTTGTTCAGCAGCGTCACAGATCTAGCCTATGATGCTGATTGGAGCATTACAGATTCCAAGACACGACTAGAAAATGCTTGTCATGGGGCTCCGCATGAGAAACATGCTGAGCATGCAGATTTGCATGACAACTCTGGGGTGGGGATGTTTTTACACAGGATAGGGTCCTTTTCACTCGGTGCTGCTTGTTGTCGACGACAAGGTCCTATCCTGTGCAAAAGTATCGTACTCGTATTGCAATCATGCATATACAAATCTTGTTCTTAAGGCAAATCCGCATTACAAATTTTATTTCTCACGCTGAGAAAATTTGTAATGCATTTATACGAGTACGATAACGATACTTTTGCAATTCGTAGGTCCATCGGGTTGAACTTGTCCGTCTTCGACTTCCCCAGTGTGGTCAAGGGCGGCGCAGTCGACGCCGGCGCTTTCGCGCCGGCATTCTGCCCCGGACCAAATCCACCTGCTCCGGGTGATGCAGTTTCTTGTGCAGCAGCTTCTTGATCTAGCACCTTGTTTATTTCAGACTTCTTTGTCTGCTTCCCCATTACCAGACTCGTCGAGGGGCCGACAGCCGGACTGGTCTTTGATTTCCCGAAGGCGAGATGAGCTTTGTCGTCCTCGTCATCCGACCCACTTTCAAGAGCGTTCGCAACATGGTCTTCCAAGTTCAACAAGAGCAGCTCTTGGTTGACACCCAAGTTCGCGTGACTGTTGAGATCAGCTGCGGTTTTGTTGTTCAACATCAGATGCTGGTTACTGGCGTTGATGTTCCTCGTTGAAGAATTATTCATCCTCGCCATTTGCCTGGGCGCGTTTGTCGAGGTGCTCGGTGGCGCTGGAAATCGCGAGTTGTAGGTGTCTGAATCCTATTCTGTGCAAAAGTATCGCACTCGTAATCGTATTGCAATCATGCATTACAAATCTTTTTCTTGAGCTAGATCTTCAGCATTACAAATTCTAAATTATTTGTATTTCTCATGCGGAGGAAATTTGTAATGCATTTATACGAATACGATACAACTTTTGGTTTTGCACTGCATACATCCGCGTCAAGCAGATCCAAATGCTGGGGCTGCGTCACCAGCTGCGTGTCCCCACTGGGGGACCGCTGCAACAGGTGTTTACCAGCACCTCGAGAAGCCGTGCCTTTCGGAGAGGTCGAGGTCGTGGGGGCTCCACCCTGTTTCGGAGAATTGGATGATTTCTTGGTTGATGCACCTGGAGGACCGGCCGGAGAGTCATCTTCTAACAGGGTTAAAGATCTTCGCTTGTTATTCTTGTCCGCCCGGCCTTGCTTAGCGTTATTCACGACTTTCCCAGGGTTCGTGTGATCTACTTCATCGTTGTCCACATCAGCAAAAAAATCCTCCTCATCGTCCCCCTCATTGAGCGTCATCTGTCCGACGATGTCATCAATCTCCTGCTCAAAGGCCTGCTGCTTGGAGCCCGACCGGGTGGTCAACGCGTCCGACGCGGTTGCTTCGTTTATTTCGTCTAGCACGTTCATGCTTCCGTATGCGGAAGCTCTTGTTCCTCCCGTCGGACTAGAAGTGCCTACTTGTCCACCTCTACCTGGAAGAGCCACGCCACCTCCCGTTGATGTACTAGTTGCAACTCCGTCTTTGTTGAAAATCAGGCTTTTGAACCCCTGCGGACTCAAACTGGCCAGCTGGTTTTTCCCGTTCAATTCAACCAGCGGTTGGTTCGTCTTCGCCATCATATCCTTGCTCAGTTCCAATAAGTACTATGAATTGCAAAAGTATCGCGCTCGTATAAATGCATTATAGCATGAGAGATAAAACTTGCAATGCTGATTTACCTTGTAATGCACGATCGCAATACGAATACGATACTTTTGCACAGGATAAATACGACGCTTCGTCGATTTTCTTCTCCTCTTCGGTAAGTTGCTCCCTGCGCTGCTTTATGCACTGCAAAAGTATCGTACTAGTACAAATCGCAATACAAATTGGCTCAGCATTGCAAATTGAATTTGTAATGCGGATTTACCTAACCAACTAGATTTGTAATGCATAAGTGCCATTACTGCGAGTACGATAGTTTTGCACAGGATATGCTTCACAAACTCCAAGTCCTCCTTGCGGTTCTGGCTCAGCCGAGTAGGGGGAGGGGCCGCGGGGTTTTCATTTGGTTTTTGAGGAATCAAATTTGGTGGATTTTTCACATTCACCACCGCACTGTCGCTGTCCATCCCCTCGTCCTCCGTGCCGCTACTCGTCGGATAATTCGGGTCGATATCCTTGCTCCCCGTACCGTACTATGCAACGCAAAAGCATCGCACTAGGTATACCCAGCGCCAGCACTTTTACAAATGAAATTTGTAATAATGAAATTTGTAATGCTGTTTTACCTTAGGAAGAAGATTTGTCATGCATATTTACAATTAGTACGAGTACGATACTTTTGCACAGGATACGTACAGCCCGTCGACCGGCATGGAAGCAGCGACCGGCATCGAAGTAGATCCAAGTAAGGTAGATTCCATATCCCACAGAAAAAAGCTGGCAGGGCATATTTGTAATGCAAAAATAAATACACAGAAAAATCTGTCATGGGTGGCCTCGTAGCATGCTGTTTAGGATACGCAGTACAGATTTTTTTGCGTAGTTTATTTTTGCATTACAAATGTGACCTGCCAGCTTTTTTCTGTGGGATATTCCAAAGCCTTCCAGTTTTGCTGCTGCAACTGTTTTATCCTGTGCAAAAGTATCGTACTCGTATATTATATGCACGTCTTGCATTACAAATATTTTGCTTAAGGTAAATCAGCATCACAAGTTCTATTTTTCATGCTGAGAAAAACGATACTTTTGCAGTTCATATCTTTTTCCCTTTCATCCATCTTCTTCTGTTGTTCAATTTTCGACGCGAGCGACTTCGGCGAGATATTCTCGCGCTTCGACTCCTCATCCAAGGGCGCGACAGAAGGTGGCTGTCCAACCTGACTGGTGTCACCACCTTGGCCGCTGGTCGTGCCTCCCCGTCCACCTCCGATGTCACCTCCGTCGAGGTGAAAGCTAGCTTCGTCCGGGGACCGAACCCCACCGAGGGCGCGCAGCACGGCTTTGGGGTCTTGTCCACGGAGACTCCCTATCCTGTGCAAAAGCATCGCACTCGTACTAATCGCAGGCATGCAAGACAAATTTCATTTTCTAGCTAAATCAGCATGATAAATTCTCTTTGTCATGCTGAGGTAATTTGTGCTGCAATACTACGAGTACGATACTTTTGCAGTTCATACTCCCGACATTGTCTGTCCCCGGGTCGATGGACCCGCGGTGGATTGACCGCGCGCCGCGAATCTGTTCGGTCAGTTTCGCTGTCGTGTCCTCTCCGTCGTCGTGCAACATGTGATCGCCGGGCGGGGAACAAAGTTGATGACTTTCATCCTCGACGGCTGCGTGGTCTCGATCATCTCCCTTGGAGGCAGTCGCGCCGTTACAGGAGGAGCTCACCTTGACACTAGTACCAAGATCTGTCGCTCCTCCGACTTCCACGAACCCAGACGCGGTCCGTTGCGCGTTCAGCATGTCCTCGTGCGCCGTTCTGATCTGCTCCTCCAGGATCTCCGCCGCCTCCACGTTGCCGAGGATCTCGGCGTAATCCTTCCGGTGCTGCTCCTCCTGGGCTTTCGGAGCCTTCTTCCGCAACCTCGCCACGGCGTTCACCGCAACTTGGACCTCGTCCCCCGTCAAGGAGCGGATCTTTCCCACAGTGATGTTCTCTTTCAACGCGCGCACTGTGTTGCCGGAAGACACCACCCTCTGCCCCGCACTCCTTGTGCTGGTGGAAACGCGTGAGGCGCGCTTCAACAACGAACTTTGCGCGGACAAAAGTCCGAGGTTGTCCTGGATTTCTGATCCGCCGCCACCGAGACTGGCATTGAAAGAACTCTGGTCGAACAAGTCCTCGACGTCGAATGATAAACTGTCATCCACGCCGCCCGCCGCGGGGCCGAGCAGCCGCGCGCGCTCCATTTCCACGAGGGATAGAAGTTCGGGGTCCGGCCAGGTTGCGGCCGTGGTGCCGGACATAATCGTGTTGTACGCCGCTAGCGACCTGGTGGTCTTTGCCGTTGTACTCAGGGCGGGGGCAATCACACTGTGCTGCTGTAGAGAAGTTCCGGTGCTGCTGATCGTCGAAATTACCCCTTTCTGCTGCTGGTGCATTACCTCTCCGGATGAACCAGCAGTGTTCATCGTCGCTGCCGCCCCGGCCGCGAGCGTGCTCGGGTTGGCGGAATGGATCTCCACGACTTTGGCAAGTTGCGATTTTGGGGAATACAGAGGGCGTTTGTTGATCGGGGAGATCCCTCGTAGTTTGCGATCTGGGTGCTTTTTGTTCCGCTGCAAGTGCCGCTCGCGCTTCTGGTCCGGGCTGTCGTTTTCCGCTTTGTGGTAATAGAAGAGGTCCACGCCCCGCCTGCCCTTTTCGAGTAAATACTCCTGCATTTCCCTTTCGTGCCGCAACAGTTGTTTCTGAAACCGAGGACTCTCGTATCACAGGAAAAAGTGTTAACGTTAACGGTTCTCACTGATGGCAGTTATGCATTACAAATTTTGCCTTCCATGCATGCTACGCAATACAAATTTGGGCACCTTTTCTGATGCGTTACTGCGTCACAAATTCCGTTAACGTTAACGCTTTTTCTTGTGATATCTCGACCAGCTTCACTTTGTCATGGAACG